ATTTCCGCTGAAATGACTGCTTTGCCAAATAAAATTCTCGACCTCCCCTGGTATCCATAGTCAATTATGTAGAATTTTTCAAAAAAAACAAGATATCCTATTGGCATTTCCAACACTTCGATTGTTGGATGTCGTAGTTTCCACAAAAAGGAGTATCCCGCTTCTCGCATGCGAGATATTTGTTTTTTTTATTACTTAATCCAAGATTGAAAAGAATTTATATACTTGAAAAGCCACTAAATGAAAATCTGTAAGACTGTATTTTTTAGGCTGATTTGAACGCCAAATACGTTTTCTTATTTTTGTTTATAAAACTGAGCATAATTTTCTGGTTTTTTTTTGAATGTATGAGATCGTTAATTTACTAATCTATTTGCAAAATAGCTTCCCTGACGCAAGAAAGACCCTGTACATTTTACTCGGTCGGTAGATATCATAAAGAAACGATCACGCAAAACAATTCCAATGATTTGGAACAGAGCTTGTTATGTTCTATTTACTGACAACATGCAGGGAAGATCTGGTGGCAAAGATGACTGGAGATGTTATTGGCCAGGTAGAGTCTTACAAACAAATGATAAGGCTGAAAAGATAAATTATTTATTGTCATATTCCTGTCCAGAGTTATTCTATGGATAGATATGATGGAGGCAAGGGGGGCAATTGGGACCTCCCCCCCTTTTTTCAATATCTCTTGCTTTGTAAGGCGTAATAGTATAAAAATACGCTTTGGAAAATACTTAAATTTGTTAAGTATGGATGTTTAACAGTAGTTAATGTCTCACTTGTTAGATTGATCAATTATAGCGCGTTCAGACTGATTGCCGGAGTACGATACCCTGGATCGGGCAAAAAATCTGCAGGCCGTTCACACTACGTAGTATTCACTAGCTTCATCTATTTATAATTTCACGTTTTTAATTGTAAAGTTTTAAAACTGTGTGCTGAATACGTGTCTCTCTGTACAAGTTACTCAGGGTCGTCGTTCACATTGGTGGCCGTACCTGAGCACCGTCTTTTCGTGGTGCCCAGACACGGGCACTTATACAAAGACATCATCAATATTTTGTGTTCACATTGGTGCCGTTGCCTGAACACCGTGCCATGGTACTCAGTCTGAACACACTGTAATAAAATTTACAAACGAAATCAAACAAATTTTGTATATTGAATGATTACTGATAAAACTGTTAAAAAACAACTTCACGATATACCGGCAACAACAATCCCATTCTGCTACCTTCTTTCGCCAACCACCCACCACCCCCCTTTTATAACCTCTCCGCGGCCCATGAATGCTTATGAAATTTATTTTTGATGTGAAAACTGTATTAATCATTCAAATTGTGCGCTTACATTGCAAGTGCAGTAAAGACTAAGCGAAGAGATAAATAAAGGTAAACATATTTGAAACACAATTGAATTATAAACACCATTACAAGCACAAGTGTTTTCATTATTTTCTTATATCAATAAAACAAAATCAAAATGTGCAACAACTGAACAAGTATTTGTACTCCACTTCAGAGCACCACAAAAGGGCTACTTCGTAACGAAAAAGGCCATTGCCAATTACATGAAAAGAAGCAAAAATGCAATAATGAATAAATTAATTTTTCTCTCACCGTGGCGATAAACTGTTATTTTCTTTTTTCATACACTAAAAAGTTTAATCGTGCAAACAAGTTTGACGCGGGTAAAGAAACGATCAGCAACGTACATATACATTCATATGCGGCCGACAACAAATAGCTCTTTCTTCGATAGTTATAAAATGATCTTCGTAGGAGACAATAACTGGCAACCACAGTTGACTCGCTGTTATGAATCTTAGGTTTTTGCTTTGATTTTCATCACAAAATTTCTTGCCTTATTCCAAATACACACATACTTATTTCTAGCTCTTTCTTAAGGGGGGAGTGGAAAATTTTTATATTTTCGGAAAGGCAGTCATTTTTGGCAAAACTCATCGGCAAAGGACGAAATCCGCCATTTTGTTGGCGTCATCTGATATCTAAAGCTGTGATTGAGATAGCCGCTCCAGTTATTTTAGAACTCAATAGGTCTATACCATTGGGTCTAACTTTTTGTCTACCTTTGGGTCTACTTTTATGTGTACCTTAGGTCAACCATTTCCTCTATATTTGTGTCCACCATTATGTCATAAAGTAAACTTTCTGATGATTCTTAGGTATCATTTCAGCTTTGCTATAATGAATTACTCTTAACCATATTTGTATTTCCTTTGTGTTTTTTTAACAGAGGTTTTGTTGTGGTTTGATCAAACGTGTTTTTTTGCTCTACTTTGTGTTCTACCCTGAGTTCTTTTCATAATCATCATCATCTGGAATGAAATAAGCAAAATCATGAGTTGAATATGTTGCTCAATTGCCCTAAGACTTTGAATAACCCTACATACCAGTCTTTTTTAAGAAGTTTTAGAACAACTTCTTGCAATATGTCGCATCCATAGACAAATATATCAAACTTACTACACAAATTTAACGACAATGGATATTTATCAAACATAATCCAAAAATGCAGTGATGGAAGACAATAGAACTATGTTTTCTTTTCAGTAAGTGCGAAGCACTTACCATTGTCTGTGTCATTGTAAAAATCATTTGAGCAATGAAATTTATTCAGCCTACCAAATAAAACTTTGTGTCTATCTTTGTCTCTGCTTTTTTGTCTTTTACATTTGTTCACCTTGTTACTTTTATATTTTTTGTGTACCTATCTATTTGTCTACTTCTATCTGTCTTTGTGTCTCCCATCTAGTCTTCTTTGCCTACCTTTGTGTGTACCTTTTTGTTTAGGTTTGTCTCACATTATGTCTACTTTTTTGTCTACCTTTACGTAAAACTTTGTGTCTACCTTCGTGAATATAAGACTAACTTTTGTGTAATATCTTTGTGTGTACAATTATCTTCAATTTTAAGGGCTGTTCATATGATCCTGGCTAACCGGGATTCTATGAGGCGTTAAATGATTTCGAGGCATTGAAAGACTTCAAGGTTAAAAATTTCAACTGTTTGTTAAGCGCCACAAGTCATTCCTGTTGAAAATGTTGTTTCAATTTTAAATGTTTTGCGTAGTTGCTGAATCAGAATATTGTGAAATTGCTCAAGAAAATTTATCTGATAAGTATAGAATCGTTTCCATTTGCAAAATCATTTAACGCCTCACTGAACTGAATCTAGGGCTGATTAGGCGGGCTCATATCAACAGCCCCAAGTCTCCCTATATGCAGTAGCGTAGCCAGCCCACACGTTTTGATCCAGCTATGTAAATTGTAGATCATTAGCATTATTCATTTTTTAGAAATCGATTGTTTTTTACAGTGAGTGAACACAGAAAAATTAACATAGCAGGACCAATTTGAGGGCTGGCTACACCACGGCCTATATATCTACCCTCACGTTTACCCTTTATATCAACTTTTATGTCTATTTTAATGTCTACCTTTATGACTATCTTTGTGTCTAATTTAATGTGTACCTTTATGTCAACCTTTTTGTTTAACTTTATGCCTACCATTATGTCTATCTTTATGTCCACCTTTATGTCTACCGTTTTGTCTACATTTATAATTACCATCATTAATTCTCAGTTTTTTTCATGTTGTTTATTGTAATTATATTATACGACCAACGATTACACCTCCACACTAGAATATTGGATTTAAATAGAGACGACATTTACGACATGAACGACGAAGAGACGACATTTCAAAAAGACGACATAAACAACAGTTAGTTTAACTACATTAAAGTACATTTAGTTTTAGTCGTCATTCTTTGCCTCTTTAAAGCAGGTGAATCTCCCATAGTGGACATTAGTGAATCTGTCATATTGGACATTAGTGGACATTGTCTGACGTACATCCGATTGTGCGTACATTACAATAGCGGCAAAGTCAATCTGGTAATCTAATTTAATCTACATGCAGTACTGGATTATGCAGTTTGCAAGCTCCGTGGCATAATAAACGGATTTCTTGTTTTCATCTCGTCCATACAAAAATTATCACAATCCAATGTATCCTGTGCTGGAAATAAGGAAACACAAAAGCCGGAAATCGATAGTTCTAAAGTACTTTAGGCTTAATATGTAACCAGTAACGCTTGCATCACGTTCATAACTTTAAAATCTTGCTAACTGATTGATAAACAATGATAAATAACAATTTGAAAACAAGATTACTTTAACAGTTAAGCTAACGAGTCGTAACAATCTACACATGTTGTCCGCATTGTTTGTCTGAGTCATTTCGCTTTTCGCACGTTTGAGATTACGTGTTTTGAGATGTTTTCGCAACTGTGCAAAAGATGATGTGGAAAACAAAATCTGAAGGTTTCATGTGATAATCATATCCTCTGTTGAAAAGTCTGAGAAAATTTACTGCATGGTTGTATTCTTTACTTCCTAATTATTTCAAACATACGTTTCAGAAATGTACTTTGAAATTAAGTATTCCTCAGAGAACGAGCGTTGAAATGTGTTGCTCTTCAAGACTCTAAAAACTAATATTTCTTACGCTAATCAACAAGTTGTACTCAAACACATGTCTGTGCAAAGCACAACATTAATTATGTTGTACAATTTGCCATAGGTACGCTTTCGCATGCACGTATCAGCCGCTCTCTTATTTACTGATGACATGAAGTTGCCAGTTTAAACCAAACATCTCAAAATATTATAAAGGAATAAGCTTCGCTGCTGACCACAATTATGAATTATAACTCTGAACGCACTAGGGTGAATACTCAAAGAAACTTGACACACCGTGCCCATGTTTTGAGAAGCTCGAATACTTTAAAAAATTCTTTGAGCGTATTTCAATTGTCAACTAAATTAAATCATTTTTTCCAAAAGAGATACGAAGACCATATGGTCAAATTTTTCAGTCAAAGTCTTTCACTCAGGTTCGGTCTGCACCATCTTTGTCAAGTATGTTGAAACCATGGTTCAAGCCCGGGAAACGGCATTTAACACAATTTACTCATGGAAATACATATATTTTATACATCTACACGGAGAAATGCCTTGCAAATTTAAAAATGTGATTAATAAAAAATGTCTTTATTTGTCCATAATCTGGCAAACACAAATAAGAAAACAAATAACAACACCACTCCTCTAGAAAGCCATGCTTATTTGACCTTCTGCATCATGCTTAACTGGAATAGCTATCCATGTTGATGAAAGAAATGCCAACCATCTGGGATAAGGATGCACAGTAAATGACTGTACTACCAATGAACAACGCAACAGATAGAAAACCCGAAGCCTAAAGATAATAGAAAAGTTTTACATCAGTAAAAAACTTGACGAAAGCATATTTCCAATAAGCAGAAAATACAAAAACACGCACATCAAACACAGATAAAAAGGCCGATACAAATCTAGGAAAATTAATGGTAAGTTTTGGGGGAAAAATAGAAAAGTTTTTCACTTCAGCATGAACACGGTGGAAGCAATTAGACTCGAGTAAACAATTTTCAAAACATATCAAAAAGTATATAAGGATGGCAAAAGACAGGGGCGGACAATGCTCATTAGTTGAGGTGATGATTTAGAACGAGGGTGCAAACTTATCATAACAACAGTTGCAAAGGCCTGTTGTGGATTTACAGGTTTTGAGATAAGTGATGTGTGTTTTGTTAATGTGATGCACATTTACTAATCTATTTCAATTTTAATGTTTTAATGAAAACGAACATGGTAATATTTAATTGCAAATGGTTAAAATGAGAAGTTCTGTTTTTTACTTAGTCTTACTGTACATTTTTATAGCCTTTAATACAGTTAATTGAATCGTCTACAGCACGTAATACCATTTTATATTTTTTCTTGCGAGGAGGTGAAGAATTTTGGGGAGAGCAACCCTCCTACACTCCCCAGAAAGACTGTAAATTTTATCCTATGTAAACTCCCAGTGCAAACAATAGATTTATAAAGAAATAAATAATGATAATGTTTTGTTCACAGGACTAAATCCTACTGGATGGCTACGTTACAGTGAAAGACAAAATTTACCACTCCAATTATCAGCTGATAGCATCGAGCGTCAGTGTCATTTCCATCATCTAAGACGTCACATATTGATTTACTGTGGTAGGTTGTTTCTGTTTTGCCAGAAGTGACGAAGATACAACCAGAAAAAGCAGCAGTACTACGTGCGAGGCAATCATCTTTACATGAATGGAGAAAGGAAAATGGACTGAACTGTAATTATACCCAAAGATAAACAACAAATGACTAGAACCTTAGCTAATTTCTACTCAAGCAATAAAAGAATTTTAGGTTGCCAAATTTCTGTCAAGCCAGACAAGTAAAGCAATTTCTGCAAAAATTGATACAGTAAAGGCGTAGAAAGCCTCCAAGCTTATCCATGCTTTTTTGGTGTTCTCTCGCCGATAAGGAACATAAATCATGAGAAATAAATCACAAGATTGATAAGATGTTTACATAGCACGACTACACTTTGCCGGCTAGCTTCTTCAATGCATCGACAGAAAGCCAATGCCTAAAGCATTATAAAATCATCTTTTGACGTAAAGTTTCGTAATTTAACCATATATTACCCCGAAAATATGTAAATTGAGGTAGTCATTAAAGCTAACAAAATTTAAGTCATTATGCCCGATGAGAACAAGTGTTTTTACACATCCAACTCAATTTTTTCCAATTAAAATGAAGCAAATCTACAAAAGTTACAATGAGGTGACATATATCATTTTTAAAAAGGAACACTCACAAATGCGGCGCATGGTGCTTTATTGTGAGACCGTGTTATCCCAATGATCAACGAACACAAGGCAACAACAAGTGCGACAGAGGCCGAGCAGAGGAAGAATTCTTCACGCCCGTAGAGTCCAGTCAGAAAAAGGCTAAGAAGTTGAGCAACTTGACCTGGTGCTCCACTTTTGACTTTCTCGAAAGCTGCGTTCAATTCATTCAAGAAAAATCCCACAGAGCCAAGGGCCGAGATTAAAAATACCTTGAAAGAGCAATCGATATCATACAAAAACAATAAGAAATCATGTTTAATGAATGGTCTTCGTGTATCGAGATTCAGATATCGAGTATCTTTGTGCATTCGGAATAGTCTTTGTGTAACTGTGGCAAGGTCAGGGATTTTACTATTATAATGCAAACGTTTTATGTTCTTATACTGGAATTAACAAAGAAGGAAATTTATTTTCTAAAGAATGAATATTGGTTTGCCTGAAAAATTTGCATTTGAAGCGTAGACGTTCGTGGCTGGCTTCGTCCCTTCGACTCATACAGTAATTAAACATGATTTTCTTACATTATCATAACGATTTTTTTTGTTTGTTGCTATTGGGAAAATATGCTTTATGTATTACTAAGCTACACAAAGTAAGCCCGAGTTTAAAATGCATTTTTCTTGTGATGTTGGGATAATGCACTAATCACGGCGAGTGACCTGCACAACGTTCTTTGAACCAATTAAAATCTTTCTTATTTGGCTACACGCGTGAGTGTCACGCTAATGACACGTAAAATGAATCGCAAAAAAACTTCAAGCAAACGAGGAAAGGTTCTTACAATTTGTGCAATAGACAATACCATGATTCCTACTCGGGAAGCTCCACTTGCCATGATAAAATCTTTTAGTTTCTTACGATACCTTTTTTAAACCTGCAAGAAAACCTTTGTCAGAATCAAGAAAAAAATTAAACTATGTATATTATTCTACTACATTATAGGTATTGCACTGTATGCTCACTCTCGTCGGAACCTTTGAACTTTTTGTCCTCAGACATGTAACCTCGCTCATGTTCGCCGCTATGTTGGCAGTAAGGAAAGAGAAGTGAGATTGCTGAGATCTGTATTACAGAAATGTGATTTTTACAATGAAATGGCGATATTTTTGCGTTTTTGTCCACCGATTGGCTTTAGCTGAATAAATTAGCTGCTTTGAGGATATATAAGCCGATGGATGCGTAAAAATCGACAAATATTGCCAATTAGTTGGTAAACTGTATGTTTCCGTAATACATTTCTTAATATTCTCTGAAAACATGGCGGCCAGCATGCGCGAGGACAAGTTTCTCCGAGAGTGAGCAAACTGCAAAATAATTATCAACGAAACAACGCCCTTTTACTTTACTGTAAACATTACACTTAATTCTAATAGCTTTAATTCTACTCATAAACTACTTGTGCAATTCTAGTATTTTCATTTTTAAAATACGTTGCAAAACAGTAGTTTTGAATAGAAATTTAGGTGTTAATTGTTATATAGGTGGTGTGTTTGTTGAATGTGATTGGTTCATTCATAGTCACGTGACTTAAAATAAATGCAATGTTTCCTTTAAAAGTAAACAAGTCAAAAATCGTTGCCCGCTCATTTTAATACTTTAAAATATTACCAGTTACCGAATCGTACACTAAAATAAACATTTCTGGACTTATTAAGCGACGAAATTCATGTGATAATGTAAAAGAGTTCAGAAAACAATCGGAAGTCGGCCAAATATCGTGTGATCAAATTTGGGGCACTTTACAACGAAATTCTGCCGAATAAATCTCTCCCGAAAGACGTTGATTTTATTAAAGAACTATCGCAACCTATGATCTTCGTTCCTAAATAAAAAACTTGTTTGTTTTTGGGAAATAGTTTTTTTTCTCTCGAGTCTCATGGAATATTTCTTGAACTATCATTGTAATTACGTTAGTTTTATGTCTACAGTTGTCTTAGCATAAACTGTAATGTAAAGTTGAACGGTAGATTGAACGGTACTCCAAGTATTTCGTCTACAGGTATTCAATTACAACATCAAATTCTGTCCATTGTAAACATAACAAAGACGCAGGGAAGATATAAACGAATATGCAAATCTGATAACAAACAAAGTAAGCATTGCGTTAGAAACAATCTGTTTAAGCATATTTGGTCTCAACATACTAAAATATTTTGTAGTGAAGATACGGTTTTAGACTCCAAACAATTGAAATACTCCACCTTGAACTTTTTGTTTCAACTCTGTACTTCTGATTTAGCACTTGTCGCAAATATAACTTTCACTATGACAATATTACAAAAGTAGCGTAAAATTTGCATTGTAATTGTACTAAATTGAAAAAATTACATTCTCTAACCGTTGAAGGTGACATTCACGACGCAAAAAAATTTCAGTTACAACTTTAGGTAAAACTCGCATTGTGTATGAATGTTCTTTGGCACGGTAAAATGACAAAAAATGCACAGCTCAACATAGAATGCTTAAAGTTTGAAAAACATTTTCTGAAGACATATTGTTCTGCAAAATACCATTAAAGCCACCTGTAGACTTAATAATATAAAAAGCATGAACTACATGGCGAAAATGAAACACTTTTATCGAATCAGGTATTCTTGGTAGAAATATCACAAATGTGTTTACTTGCTTTTTATAAATGACATGACACTACTTCAAAAACACGTTTTCATAGCTAATACATTCAAACCTTTTTTCCTTCAACAAAGTTGGAAAGACGGCAGTGTTCAGCGATGACCAATTGAAAAGGGTTAGCCAAGAGAACGGTTAAACGCATGTGCTCGACAACTCCGTTGAACTCTTCTTCCAAGAAAAGCTTGTAAAATGAAAGCAGTTTGGTCAATTTTCATTGGTTAATATCTTCCACGTGACTAAGACACTCCAATCGCCATCAAACCTTATCATTTGTGCCACTTGTTCAATTTAATTACTACAAAGAAAATTTTTCACTTTTGGAAAAATGTTTGTGATCAAATTGAAAAAACTGTGATGAGATGGTTCGTAATATTCAATATTTAGTATAATTCTTGTTTAGAAGATCATTTTCTATTACGTAAATTCACAAACACTCCACATCGCCTGTTTAACATCAACTAAAATCAGTGATTATAGAGTTAAACATCTATTTTAACGATTTTAACCAGCTGTCTCTCTCTCTTTCTCTTGTCGTCTACAAAATAGCAAATAGCTATGTATGCTGATGCAAATAGCAATGCATGGTAGTGCTAATAGAAATGTATGGGGCTGCAAGTAGCTATGTATGGTGATGTAAACAGAAATGTATAGTGATGCAAATAGCAATGTTTGGAACATGGCCAAAGCCACTCGGCCAATCAGCATCCAGTATTTTGATGTTCTATATCTCATTTGTACCTGTTCCCAAAGCAGTCATTTCTTTCATGCAAGAATCCAATGCATTTTGAAAGGAGTCGAACTTTGCATTGTCCTTTGAAAGAACGTTCAAATCCAACCTTTTTAAGTCGTCCTTGAAATGCCTGATCAATCTACATGTAATATGTATTAGCATAAAAAGAGTTAGCATGATACGGGGAAATATCCCGCTTCATTACTTCTAAAATAAAACGTGTTAACCAATTATTTATTTCTCTGACACCAACATTCTTCAAATCATTTGGAACATAAGGTTAGTCTTCACATAATGTCGAAAGTTGTTGATTTCGTTATTCTGCCCATGATTTCAAAGTACTCAATGCCCATACCGTATTATCTCTTGTTTTTTTCGTTAAACTCTTTGTTTCTCTCTCTTTTCAATTTCTTCTAGTTGTATGGCATCTCGAAAGTATAAAGTTATGTCACATTCTCCTTCATCTTTCAACAAATCTTAAGTTGCAATCTGATATTCTAACAATTCCAACTCCCTAACTTATGTCTTTAAGTACACAGATTAAAATAAATTATATTAAAACTACTGCGAAAGGGTATTATATCTTTTCATTTTTGATGTTTATTTACTTTTCTTACACTTAAACAATCATTACTAAGCCTTAACCGAGCTCGAAGTTTTTACAGAGAAATATCGGAACGAGGTGTTTTTGTACAAACCGAGCCCGTAGAGTGTGGTATTATTTGACCTGAAACGAATCTTGCTTTCTTCTCATCCTTGCTGTTTTTTACGGGTTGGCTTTCACTTTTCTAGTTTTCGTCCATAAAAGAATAGATCGTTTCAAATTGTATCGTCTGGACAGTTAAACTGTTTTCCAAGTGTCTTTCCTTCAAATCACCTTCGCAAATGAATTTTTGTTTCGTTTATTTTGCGTTTTGCGGTTACGAAGTTTGTTTACATTTAACTGTAAAATTGCACGTTTTGGACCGTGGTCGATTACGGGAAAATAATTGACAGACAAAAATGTTTCTGAGCAAATCAAAGCGCGCCATTTTGCTGGAAGTGATGCTGGCCATATAATAATAACCAATAATGACTAAAATAAAAACAGGGCATCTTAAATTCAATACCATAAATAATCCTTCGTGGCTTTGGTCATGTTCTAAGATGATTAGAGCATAATCACTTGTGTCCTATGGGATTAGGAGACCCTCACATCAAATAAAAATTCACCCGGCCTACGCCCTCGTGATTTTCTATCGAATGCTCGGGACACTTAATTTCATAAAACACAAGTGAATGAAAGTGATCATGCTTTAACCCTTACTTAAAATGATCCGAAGTCATTTCTTAAGTCAAAATATACTTGTATTCATAGTAAGTATTGACGTCATATAGCTAATTTTAAAGGTTGGAAACTAGTGAGAAATCCTAATCATCTGGCTGGAATAATTGCCGACAAGAGGACACGTTGTACACCTGAGTGACCCTTTTGTATAATCATTATTCTGTGCCTGTGCATTACTGTTCATGTTTTGCTGTTAGAAGTTCAAATAAATTTTGAAAAGCAAAAAAACTTTTGTGCTAGTTACAAAGATATGTAATATACACAAAAACCTCACAATATTTTACGTACTCGGGGCTTAGCATGGTGACAGACATTAAAATTATCACTAAACGTCAATTTGTAAAGGTCTTTTTTGTGATAGACCTGTATATTAGATTAAATAGCATGTTAATAATCTGGTGGTGTGGAGCTAAGGTAAAGAAAATACAAGTTAAACAGAAACTCGTAAAGAATAATTAAACACAATAGCTCATGGTCATACTTTAATACACATTAGTATTCTCTATATACAGGGTGTACTAAAGAGAAAACCTTTAAAATTAACGTAGCTATTGTGTATTTTTCATGGTATCATTACGCTAAGCTAACGGGTGGGAAATTACTTTTCGAATCAGCCATATTTGACATTTGTGAAAATAGCTACGGACTGTAAAGACCACGGGACCAGTGATATGGATTTTGTTTTCAACCTTCACCTGCAAAGTGACCTATTCATTGTTTAAATACTCAAATTACCTGATTTTGAAAGTTTATTGATGCCATTGTGCTATATTCTGCTTGTTTTAAACAACCAGCAGCCAAGCAGCGCCACTCATTATAAGTTTTTGTGTGACATTTAATTCATTACGCCAAGTCAGTAGTATTTTCTGACAAAGAGGAACGCTGAGATCGGCAAGCTCTACCCATGGAGTAATTTTATTAAACATACTGGATAGTTTTACGTGGCAAAATAGTCTAACAGTTCATTCTTTATAAAATGAAACGGTGTAGACTCAACAAAGATATTTACCAGGTCACTGTGTGGGAATAAACAGCAGGGAAACTTCAATGAAACTTCTTTGTGTGACGAACATCCGATTGCATGCGCATTACCATAGCGACAAATTCGACGTCAGCCTGGTAATCTAATACAGCACTTGATTACACAGTTTGCAAGTTCCCTGGCAGAAAAAAGGATTTCTTGTTTTCATATCGTCCATACAATTATTATCACAATCCAATATATCCTGTGCTTGAAATAAGGAAACACAAAAAACCAGCAATCGATATTTCAAAACTACTTTACTGATAAACGTAATATGTAACCAGTGACTCTTGCATCACGTTCGTAATATGAAAATCTTGCATACTAATGGATGAACAATGATAAATAACGAATCTAAAACAAAATTACTTCATCATTTGAGCTAATGACTCATAACAGTCTACACATGTGGTCCGCATTGTTTGTCTGAGTCATTTTCGCTTTTCGCAAGTTTGAGATTACGTGTTTTGAGATGTTTTCACAACTGTGCAAAAGATGATGTGGAAAACAAGATCTGAAGGTTTCATATGATAATCATATCCTGCGTTGAAAAATCTAAGAAAATTTACTGCATAGTAATGTGCTTTACTTCCTAATTATTTGAAGCATACGTTTCAGTAATTAGCTTTGAAATTGAGTAGTCCTCATAGAAGGAGCGTTTAAGTGTGTTCCTCTTTTAAAGACTCTTCAAGACTCCAATTTTTTTTAGGGTAACCAACAAGTTGTACTCAAACACATGTCTATCCGCCTGTCCCTGTACATTTTTGTCTACGTTACAGAAGGATACATGCAAAAGGCACTGAGATTGTGCAAAGCACGACATTAGTTATGTTCTAAAATTTGTCATACATACGCTTTGGCATGCCGAGATTAAAAACGCATAAAAAGCAATAGATATCATGCAACACTAAGAAAGCATGTTTCATGTAAGTTTATTCCAATGACCTAGATAAATATCTGACTTTGCCAAAATTTTATAGTTACGACTGAGGCAAGCCGTCATCTTAAAGGTCAAAAAGCTGACGATATTTAGGATTAATATCTGCTTTTCCTGAGTTTATATACAGTAGTAATGCTGAGAGTATAGGTTCTATATTTTAAATTTGTGATAGGATTCGGTTTTTAAACCTTCTTTTAGCTTATTTTTCATTTTGAGTTTTGTGTTTTGCCACCTTTCAAGATGGCGTCCTCGCCTCACCTTAACACGGTAGTTATAAGTAGAAAGAATTGGGTTCTAAATTACTGCATTATTCAGAATAGTCTTCGTGTATCGAAATATGACCTTTAGCAAGTTAAGGGGATTTTTACTCTTATAATTCAAATGTTGTTTTTTTACTGAAATAAACAACGGAAGAAATTAATATTCTAAACAATGGATACTGATGTGGCTGAAAAATTTGCATTTTAGGCGTAGACGATCGTGGCTGGCTTTGTCACTTCGAGTGATACTCTAATTATACGTGATTTGCTTACGTTATCATAACGACGTTATCTGTTTTCTTGCTGTTGGGAAAAGATGCTTTATGTTATATTAAGCTACCCAAGATAAGCCCGAATGTTAAAATGCATTTTTCTTGTGATGCTGGGATATTGCACAAATTACGCGTGACAAGCACTGTTTTTGAACTAATCAAAATCTTTCTTATTTATCTTCAGCGTAAATGTCACTCTAATGACACGTAAAATGAAACATGATTTACATAATATATTTCCATACGTCAGATTGCATGTATTTGAGAGTGAGCATACTGTATAATACCTATAGATCGTGGGGTTAACACAATAGTAGTTCACGCATACGTATAAAGTCATCAAAATTATACACTATATGATAAGTGAATAGTGTACCTCAATTATACATGAGCAATGGATATATGTGAATACTTATGAACAATTATGAAATATATCTGTGGATATACATCAATATTTATAAGATATATGAAGATAAGATAAGAATAAAGATAAGAATAAAGTAAAAATAAAAAGATTTTTTTCCTTGAGAGACCAGCTTGTTGAGTTGCTCCAATTCAAATTGTACGGTTTTCATTCTGCAGAATAAGATAAAATTTTAACTTGTTTTTCAGGAATAATGATCGAGCTTTTAAGCCTGGTTCACACGAGTAAAATAAGCATAAAGGTCAACAATTTTGTTTCTATTGCTCTAGATGTTTACATAGACAAAGGCACTGGGATTTTATTTAAATCTTTTTTGTTGTTCTTTTGTTCTTCTCTTAGCTTATGCTTGAATTTCTTCCTTATGCTTGCGCTTATGTCAATGCTTATGTCACATGCTTCGTTGATTATCTTTGTTTTATCTTTGTCTACGCTTGTGTTTATCATTATTTCACTCGTGTGAACCAGGCTTTAGACCAATTTATTGTTAGAGAGGCTTCTTGCAAAGTTGTAACTACTTCAACATGATTGAAATTGTTATAAAGTTTTTAATAATGCACTCCTGTCACATTTATAAAAGATCACCAATATACATTACCATCTAAGCTACCTCAATTGTATTCATTGAAATTTGTTGATTATTGCTGTTCCGGTTTTTGATGTATTTTTCCTCTGTCTTTCGGTGAAATTCCACCATCAACACGTACAAATATGCACCAAAGATACCTCCGAGACTGCAGGCAACCGGTGGAATCCAAAACCAATGGTCATGTGCACTGTAAGATTGGATTAGTACGAGGTATTATGAAAGTGAAAAAGGACACATGGACATCATTCCTATAACTTAAAAGATGTTTGCACCTTGAGGAAATTATATGTAAACATTCATATTTAGTATACGTTCTTTGGAAGTACAGCTGCCAACTCTTGTCTTAAAGCCAAAACTCACTCTTATTCAGGTTGTTAAATGAATAAGCTTGATACCAAAAAACAAACGTTTCTCATCAGTGAAATTGTCTAATTAGAATGTAAGCAACCTTCTTAAATAATATATTCAGTGGAATACTTATTTATGTTTTGTACGATGATAATTGATAATGCTTTTGTAAAATGGATGATTATATGCAAACAAAATTCCACTGTAATCTCACGTGAAAGCTTCTCCACCCCAACCAGCCATGGCGATGAATATTCTTGGTCCCAGGTCCCTGGCTGGGTTAATGGGGTAACCGCAATGGTAGCCAAATGTCATTCCAATTACCATCACAATAAATCCTGCAGCTACTGGTGCCAACCCAGGACTTGGCTTGTTGCCGTTCTTCTTGTCGAGTATCGCAGACAGAAGTGCCACAAACATCGTTGTACCGAAGAACTGGTTGGAAAAAGATTGACGTCAGCATTACGTAATGGTTTGTATTTATATGTGGTTTTATTAAACACGCATATACGACTGTATATAAAAAATGCTAGCTGAGGAATACGAGCTGATAAGGAAAGTCGTTTATCTTTTGTAAGGGGCTGTTAACATGAGCCCGGCAGCCGGGATTCAGCAAGCGTTAAATCATTTTGACAAATGGAAAAGATTAAATACTTCACAACAAAAAACTTATTTCAGAAATTTCTCTATGCTCTGACTTTTTAAATTTACAAAACCTTAAGAATGAAAACAAATAACTTAGCCTGATATGAAAATTACAACTTAAGTGACATATGACGCTTCAGAAAAGGTTGGAAGTTATGCGCTTAAAAGTTTTACTCCTTTCACTCCTGTTCATGATCTAATGAAGAAAGATATTTACATAAAGAATACCATCTGGTGAAGAAAATGTTTTACATTACATAAAGAAAACGATCTGGTGAAATCAATTGCAAATATAGAGTATTTTTGATGAATCTTAAAGATCGCGAATAATAGGTATCAAACGAAAGAAGAAATCCAAAAGAAAGTGAATGGCGATGAAAACCATGTCATGTGTTTTATCTAAGACACTGTTTATGCTGGTTGAAATGTTGAAATGTCAATGTTAATCGACTTGTCAGTAAACAGTCACATAAAGTTCAACATATGAAAACTGGCCCTTGACTTTCACCTTACAATTTCTCGGCTGCGCGATTTTCAATAATTCTCTAATCCTTAACAGTTCTCAATTGTAAGGTATCATGGTTCAGTGTTCAACAATGAAGTTTGGGGCAAATTCCTACATCTGCTTATGATAGAAGGATCTATATAGCTAATACTTTCACAATACAAACATTGTGCGTGAAGCTTGTCAACAAATGTTTTAACATTCTTTCCAGCATTTTATAATGCAAACATTGTGCGTCAAGCTTGTCATCAAATGCTTTAACATTCTTTCCAGTCATTAATAAATAATCAAAGCTAATCGGTTAAATCAAGTATAAGTAGCTTAATGTCAATGGATATTTGTGTGAAATCTTTATAATCATGACAATAATAATTTCCTGATAGTTTTTTGTTGCTGTAAATTAACAATAGTTGCTAAGGAAACAAATACCCTAAAATGGTCATTAAATATTATACATTATAAAAAACATGATATAGTTATCCCTGATATTTGTCATTGTGTGAGACAATTGAGTAGTTCTTAAAAGGACTGTGGAAAATCAAAATGAAGTTATCCATGCAATTAAACATGACACGATGCATTTCAAGACCTATCACAATTTTCTTTCATTTTGTTGCTCCTTATATAAAGTCTGCCGTAATGCATCGTTTCATATAATTTTGGGGATATCTTCATTTTATTTTTCAGCAGTTAAGAACTACAAAATCTTTATTCATCAAGACAAATACTTGTTAAGAGCAAAATTTAACTAACAAAGGTTGATGGCTACAAAACAAACCTAAAAAAACTTTCTTTGGGATTTCTGAGATAAATTCATACCCCTAACAAGTACCTCATTAAAGAATCCAGTCACATTGGTTACAAAGGGTTGTGGGAATGTAGTAAAGATGCCAGCTGTAGCGTTTCGTCCTACAACCTGTCGAACTCCTCCGTCATATTTATCAAAAAAATCTGGAGCAATAAAAAGAAGTGTTATTGGTTATAACAAATAATGTTTTGATAGCGAACTATGATGTGAAATAAATTTTACTCCGTAAGTTAAGATGTTCTGACGAATGAAACAATAGTCGGATGATGAAATAAGAAAAGACAAAACTTAATTATAGAAGAACCACAGTTGTTCTTCAGCGTGGTTATATAAAGAAGCAGAAGATAGTCTGTGACTCCATGTGCCGTTAAATAAATTTCAAAGAAAGAAAAGAAGTTAAAAGACCGGATTATGAAGGGCTGTCCTGGCAACAAAAAGATAAGATCAAGATCCTACACCAAGAGTTAGAAGATCCCATGAAAAAAGAAGTATCTTCAATTACAATAACACGACTGCTTCTCGGGAAAGACTGGAGAGAGAGAAGAAGGAGCGGAGAAAGTGGTGAATGAAACAATGGGGAAAAGTGATGTTTTCAGATAATTCAATTTTTCAATATGGAAGACTAATACGGAAGAGCGCTTCGTCGAGAATATCTTGTTCCCAATAATTATGTCATAAATTTTTCCCAATAATTATGTCATTTATATTGTTCCCCAAAATTATTTCATAGATGGTCCCAATAGTTAGTCCTATATGTTCTCCCATAATTATAAATTATGTCATAAATGTTCCCCATAGTTATGTCATATATGTTACCAATAATTATGTCATAAATGTTCCCCATAATTATGTCATATATGTTCCCAATAATTATGCGATTACCGTAACTGCGTAAAAGCACTATTGATAATGCGCGTTTGATAAAAACGACAAGTTTTTTTAAAATAAACATGTTTCAACATCTCATGATGCCATCTTCAGTATTATAAGGAATATTATGTATGTGATGAATATACATGAGTGATATTACACTGTGATACAATTTATACACCGAATATAGTGTTGAAACGAAAAACTTGAACTTTGAGATTAGGGTTAGTTTTGTTAATGTGAAGTGCTTCTTTGATTTTGAGTGCGAATGTATTATCTGCAGTGTCGATGATTTTAAAGCAAGCGGACGAATAGTTAGTTTTGCATGAAGGTGATTTTAAAAGGTGTCGAATAATATATGAGTTTTTGTCAGTTTTGGTGTGTTCCCTGATTCTGGTGGTAAGTGACGAGAAGTTTCGCCAATGTATCGGGAATTACATCCCGCACAATCGAATTGGTATACCACCATAGATTTAATAGAATCAGGGATAGGATCTTTGAATGAGAAGTAGTTTTTGATTTTGAAGGAAGTGAAAATTAGTCGGATGTTAATGTCAGTGCAGAAGCTTTTGATGATGTTTGTAAGTCTGCAGATACTACATTCGCACTCAAAATCAAAGAAACACTTCACATTAACAAAACTAACCCTAATCTCAAAGTTCAAGTTTTTCGTTTTAACACTATATTCTGCCTGTAAATACTTTCATCATTAATTCTTACCACTATTTCATTGTAATACAATAATCTATTCATAAGTGTATAAATTGTATCACAGCATCATACTACTCTTATATATATTCATCACATACGTAATATTCCTTATAATACTGAAGATGGCATCATGAGATGTTCAAACATGTTTATTTTAAAAAAACTTGTCGTTTTTATTAAATGCGCACTTATGCGATTCACGTTCCAAATAATTATGTCACGCATATTTACCATGATAAAGAGCGAAAACAACAGCTGCCGCTATTATGGATCCGAGCATTTGAGAGGCAATGTAGATTGGCACTTTCTTCCATGGAAATCTCTGTATAGACGCGAATCCCAAAGTTACAGCTGGATTTACATGGGCGCCTGAAGTGTGTCCAAACAATTTATAAATGTGTGAATAGACCGCAGCGGGCATAGCATGGAAGTGTGCTTTTACTGATTATGGGAGTATGATGGCATAATTTGCTTATTCGATGTATCTAGATACTGAAACATAGTCATCGTACACTTATGATGAATTTACCGGATACGTCAGCTGCCCAGAACAATGCCATTGTTAGTGCCAATCCTCCAGATAAATGAGTGGAAAGAGCAGTACCTGCGGCGCCATAACTTAAAATTGCCTGTGCGGATGAGCCGATCACGAACACCTAAATATGTGGTGACATTTAAGAACGGGCTGTTTGTTTTCGTTCCTCGCCATCATATAATCTCAGTGCGCCACGATGATAAAGTGTACGTTGATTAAGTCTCTCGCCAGTGATCTCAAGGGGTCGAGAGGTCAACAAATAAAAAAAATGTGCTTCCTATTGCATCTCTTGCCAAGCCAATTTCAAGAGTTTTTATCTGCATACGTAAATTACTTGAGCATTCCTGGGGGTTTTTTTACAGAAAAATCTGATAAGCAATGGTTAAACACTGTGCTCGAATATTCCATCGATTTGGCAATAAAACATTTCATACGACGGAGAATACACTTGATACAGTATATAAATCATGCTGTTATTACGTTTCATTGAAAGTGACTTAACATTTGAAAGTGAATAAACATACTGACTAGCCACGGGATGAAATTTGTAAATCTTGTCTCAGAAAAAAAAACACATACAAACACTGTGTATAAATGATTAATCGCACTGCCCTCAGGGTGGTACTTGCGGATCAAAACATCTCTGCAGCAAAAACTATCGCTGTTTATCTAGGTCTTTGCTGCTTTTGTGTTATTTTACGAGACCAGCGAATATGACTTAGAAAGTAGAAGGTTTCAAAAAAAAGTAGAAAGTTTACCACAAGAATGAATGTTCCCATGAACTCCGCCAACGCTTCTCTTAACCATTCTGGTGTCCGGAAATTCGATTTTTGAAGAAATGTTGGCAGGTCGCTGAAATAAAGACAGCATTGTCACCATTTCACGAAAACAAAAATGAAGCTAATGAATGTATTGAATTTTTGTGGGGATGATCTCTTTCAGTTTCAGAATTGATATATTGTAACAATGGGAATCTATATGGATACATAGGTTTTTGAAGGGGTAGTATTGCGCTTTCAGATGTGATACAAACCATGAATAATCATGATATGATGTGCTTCGTTCATGGCGACTGTATACTTCGTATTGAATCATTTGAATGTAATTGTCATTAGACGGAAAGGGGCAGATTTTACGTACTTTAAAAATAGGAAAAAATCGCAAGTATTGAGTAGAGCATACACAATTATGAATCAATGTAAGAACGCTGTTCGTTAATCAAATAAACATTTGTTTAAATCCATTGTAAGAAAATAGGTGTGAAAATTGAAAGATTAGCAAACTTTGTTGCGGTTGAAGATCGTTCAAAATTGCACAAGGCACAAACTGACTTCAACATAAACTGACAATGTTGTTTTTGAAATTTTAGATATTTCATGAACTGCGGATTACAGATTACATTATATGAAAAAACTGTTTAGCGTCAAATGCACATTAGTGGTGCCATCTTGCAATGATGTGAACTGTGAATTTCTTATGCACAACAGTTTAAATAATCAATTGCACAGCCGTTATGAGAAAGATTAAATGAAATAGCACAGAAAGTAATGATACCAACAGTCTGTAGAAACAGCTAGTTATAAGCAACACAGATACTATGAATTATCTAAGTATGATTTTGTATTTATAAATTAATCCTACATTGAGCCTTGTATATAAAATTGATTTGTTTATATTATAAAGATATATAATTATTTACCTTTCACTTGACTCTTCGATTTCTCCAACCACATGTTTAGATTCGTTGACGCGTTTTTGCCTCTCCTTTTCTCCTTTGCTCGTTTCCATCGAAGGACAGCACTATTTCACTCTTCGATTTTAGTATGTCTGCACAAATTTGATAATTATATTATTTGAGCTCGCAGTCAATCAGCCAAGAATTTGTAAATGTAGCTAATGCTTTGTGACAGGATATACACATAGCTGTGGGTATAGGGTGAGAGTATGCGCTTTAATTCCTGCGTCATCAATCGTTAGTTTTTTTACGTTATCGATGACACAACATACACATGATTGCATTTGTCAATGATATGATTACGCAGTTATTGAATTGATATCAATGCGCATGTGCGATACAACTCCTTCAACTGATGACTAGTACAGTTTCAAGTTTCAAGTTTCAAGTAATCCGTCACTGGTTAAGGGGGACTGCTAACTGCTGCTACGCGTTTGTTCTTGAGCTAACCTTACCGTATAAGTGTTGCACCCCTCATGCTAACTACTTTAGAATATTTTAAAGTGGACATAGAGGTTTTGAATCTTTAGAAGCACGCTTAGCAAATCGCCTAGTGCTCCTGCATTCTTTCTATACACCCATTCAATTTATCGAGTTATCAAATCCTTTGAATAAGTCTACGTCGATACCTTCTCCAGTCTTTCATAAACTATATAGAAACAGAAGGGGAACTTGGTGATTAAAAAAATATCTTGTAGAAGCTCCACGTAGTATGTAGAATTAGTAACCAGACGCTATAAAATAGAAAAAAAATCACTCACGTCTTCATTGTTGACTTCGTCATGAACTATATATAAACAATCAACGTCGGGATAATACAGTTTAGTTAACATACGGGTAATTGTTGGGTTTTGAGAATTGAAAAACAAACTTCCAAGATAGGTCAATCAAATAGGTCATCAAGAGACAACTTGCATTATTACGTCATTTAGTAGTCACGCACATGAAAACATTACCATTGCATTGAGACTTTACTTGAGAAAACAATCTGCTTGGTTTCAAAAGGCGTCCTAATTCTTGCTTTTTCAGTTAGACGAAGTTTAGTTGGAGAAGGTTTTGTGGCTTTTCGGAACAATAGTTGGCAATCGATTTAAATATCGAATCATCTAGCGTAGATTTGCCGTGAATTTCTGAGCTGGAAGTTTTCTGAAGATCCGTGCAAGAGTCTCAAAAGAACTAGGGACTTCGGCCGTACTTCTTGACTCAGAAATGTGACTAAGATCAGCAGTAAACTCTCTTTCGCTAGGTGGCCATATTGCAATGTTTTCATGTGACGTGACTACTAAGTAACGTAATAATGCAAGTTGTCTATTAAGTGACCAAAATCTTATATATTATTCACGACTCCTAAATATATTATATAGCTAATTAATGAACTCAACCAACACACTCTGTCAGTGGCTGCTACCAGTGGTCCAGCCAGCACGTTTATTCAGTACTGCACGATCTGTTAAATTTTGGGTGTTCATTCGCTGCGAAAGCAATAGATTTCGAAAGAAATTAATGATGAAAAAGTTCTGGAATTCCCACTTAACTGGACTAAAACTTGGCTACGCTGCTTCTATGAAAGAAAAAAACTTTTTTGAACACCCTTTAGCGCTCTTTTTCGAGCAATTTTCATTACGATCGAGCTAAGGTGAATGGGCGAGACATAAAAATAAGGGACTAAATTTATACTTTTATTTATGAAATTTGTAAGATAACTGAACGTGAAATGTTTTTTGGCAAATCACTTCCCTCTTGGCTTTTTTCACAGTCATTTCAAAAAACAAACTGTCACATATAAGTTTAAAGAGGTAACTGCATGGGCTGTTATAGAACATGTCACTCGGATCCGAATTCCTTATCTTGAATCCCTGGGTCTTTATTCTTTGTTATCTTTGTTCATGCATAATGTCTCAGCATTGGCAGATCTGGTTAAGTCAGAATACCTGACAGTGCTTCATTTTAACTTCAAAATACCGTATAAGAATAATTCTGTTTATAGCAACGGAATTGTTTGAAAAATGTTTTGAATATTAAATGTAAGTCTTAATGTATTTTCAATTTCCCAATACATCTGCGACTGCTTTCAACTTTTAAGCGACTCCAAATTTAATGACATGAAATTATTCACATAATTAAGTACAAACTTTGTATAACGACGACTGAGGCATGCATTTAGTTGAATAACTCAATTGAGACCTACTGTGGAGCGAGAGATATTTTCCAATATAACAACACAGCAACTTTTGACATGACGTTTGAAAAAAACAGCAACTTACTGGACGATTCACATTTATTGAAAAAACCGAAGATTCTTAGAAGGTAACTGTCGTCATAAGATAAATTTATTTTTACGAAAACTTCACGACAATGTAGTGAGATTGCAGTAAGCCAATGATCGATAAGTAACAATGTGGAATGTTGTTTGTTTTTAACTAAATAGTACAAAAAATTATCATTTAGCAATAGTTTATCATGTTTTATCCAGGCAGTAACAATTTATTTTGGGAATCGTATTTTGATGAGAATCCTAATTATGTTTCAAAGTTCAAATACTATTCGTTCTTATTTTAAATGCAATTAGAAAATACTTATAACACAGTGGCGTAGGAAGCTCGATTATTTTTGGGACAGGTATTCAGATTTTCATGTTATGCCGTATTGACTTCCATTGAAATCGATTGTTTTTTCATTGAATAAAGCAAAACGTAGCTGGCATATATGAAGGTTTACCTCGCAACAATTAAGCCGGCTACGTCATGGTAACTAGATGTTATTTAAGTTCATTAACTGTATCAAACCACGACTCTTGTCCAGGAATAAATTTTTTAGAGGTAAAACGGGTGTAAAATTGTGCTGTTTTTATCGAATCAATCGTCTCAACCATCGTACTTCGACTATGCTCTTTAAGTCTCCTTAAAGCTGAAAACGATCTCTCACACTCACAAGAGGGGAATGATTCCTAAAATTCTCAACAAAACTTTGATATTCTCAAACCTCGGAAAGTTAATGGCTATTAGTGTTGAACTAATATTATTAGAAAGACTATCTTGCTTCTTAGATTTCCAATATGCTTCCCAAAATTCAAGCTCACCATCCAAAGCAATAGGATTTGGAAGATCATCAGTAAATCTTCGCTGCTAAGTCTAAAGCAATTCTATACCATCCAGTATGATAGTTATCGATATCATTACGTATTGCACGACCTAAGTTTTTTAAAGAGTTAATCAAATGCAAACCATGTGCAATATCGTTACTAGAAGATTCAAGTAATTGGGTAACAGGAAGAGTAAGGTCGAAAAAGCATCTTGTTATAACCAGGCAAACAATGAACTTAAAACTAGCTAGAAAGTGAAAGAGAGGGCCTGCTTTGCTGGATGTCTCTACATTGCTGTTGCGTTTAAGATTGTAGTACATCTCCTCAAGTGTGAAAACGATTGGCAAAAATAGCTCCTCAAACGTGTCAAGACTTTGAATGCGCTCCACCCACCTAGTTTTGCAAGCACTTTTCAACCTTTTTTTAAAGGGTGTGGGCAATATTTGGTGATATTGGATTCTAGTAGAAGCAGCCTTCTATCAAAAGAATTGTAAAAATTTGCAACTTCTTTCACTCTTTCCAAGAGATTTCTAACGGACTGAACAGAGCGAGATGAAGAAATGCTTAAATTAAGTCTATAGCTATACCAATGAGTGCAGATGGCTTTTTTGTTTAAGCGTTTAATATGTGCAACAAGACCGTTTATGTGGCCAGAAACAGCACCAGCACCATCGTAACCTTGTCCACGACAATCATTTATGTCCAAGCAAAGATCCTCGTTTAAGCATTTTAAAATGACAGAGGCAAGATTCTTCCTAGCTAAACCTTCACTGCAATGAATAAAACGAAAGAATTCTTCTTTGATATTAAGTCTGGATCCGCCCCTGTCGAATCTATATATATTTATACAGATTTATATTTATTTTATTTTATTTATATATTATATATTATATTTATTTTATATTTATACAGATTTATGATGTGGATAGAACTCGGTATGATGAAAAATATTGACCGATTACCTTTCCACTACATACACGTTTGTTAAAAATGCTAAAAAAATAGTTGGTGGAAGAATAACGCACCTTATTAGAATTCTTGATTGTTCAGGCAAGACTTATGATTTTTGACGTCTTTCTTCGGTGGCGTTTATGTTTGTTGTGTTTAGAATTTCCTTCAACACGAGCAGTTGAACTGTTGATTTCCCCCTCTATTAATGACAATCACTTGCGTAAGCAGAGTGTTTGTCATTAAATGTGCCACTTTAAATGTGCCATTTGGTTATGCCAAATATTTTTGTATAATCAAGTGGCCCATCCGCTAAGTACAAAAATAGCATGGCATTTTAATTGCATGACATGATGTTATTGCTCGGTTCAAATTTAACATAAACCAACATTGCTAACAACCAAACAGGCAACTACTACCAGTCCACTGCAATCATCTTACTACTATTTTTCGAAACTTACGTTCCTTGGTGTCGTTAAAAAAGCGGTGAAGGAAGTTTTCATTCCCCAACGCCTACATTTTAATTGGGGTAGTTATGTACTACAAGAATTTTGAACACAGACTTCATGTCATTTAACATTTAGCTTGAACGAAACAGGAATTAAAATTCTTCCTAAAAAAACGCAAGTTTGTTCATATTATGTTCATATCATAAAATGTAAATTGTGCATCAAATGTACATAATTTGAATGAAAATACAAAATATCCTAACATGTAAACTCCGAAGATTTGTGTGCAGGCTACTAAGACTACACTGACGAAATACTTATTTCTGGCATGATGTCATAAACTTGTACAAGTAGCTATGTATTCTTGACTTGCAATTTAGCCATGTTGGTGGTATGATACAAAAGATTATTTTATCAGTGCTATTGTTGGCACCAGCCGACGTTGGCGAGCAACATTGTTTGATAAATCTCAAGAGAATGATTGCAAGTCAAGAATTATGCAAGTTTCTAACACAAAGAACAATGCGCTGGAATCTGGCAATGAAAAAATTCAATTGTAAAGTCCAACTTTTTTCTCATAGCTATTAACTTCAATCGTAAAACATGAGAAGTCTTAACATTCTATAAAACAACTAAACTCTTTACAATCCTTATTCATGACTGTTATTTTGGACAATATTTTCAGATTCTGGTATGACTTATGCAGCTTGTAACTTCTTCTATGGAACTTTTAGGTGTCTTGTGTTTCATGGTTGTGTTGTCAAGGCAAGAAAATCAATTGATGTTCGTCTTTCGCTATGCCAGACATAACTTTTTTCAAATTTATGATGAAATTTATGACGGTGACAGAATTCTTTCTTTCCAACGCTGTCATTTTAATTGCTTATGTTATTTTAATCGTTTTATCTTAAAGATCTCAAGTACTTTCTAAATTACGGCAATTATGTAAAACAGAAATATTGAACATGCACGAATTTAGTCTTATTACACATCTGCAAAAAAATACGAATTAAGATTCTTTCTATTCAAACAGTCATGAGCTACATCAAAATGAATTATGTTGTTTCAAATATACATCTCATCATATAATACTACTGGTATATTTTATATACATATATATAGTGTGTATAAACATGCAAAATGTCCCATACATCTAAAATTTTCTTGTGTCATTTTTTGACAACAAAGAACAATGAGCTAGATTCTGAGGGTTAAAGCTCCAATATTTGTCTCCTATAAAATACATCCTAATTTGTTTTTGTAAAGCAGGTGAATTTTTATTCAAGAGTGAAAGCTCCATGAAAGCCATGTTAGGATGTGGAATGTGGCTTATTCTAATAATTGGACAGACAAAGCCAGTCGGGCATTTTTGCTAGAAAGTTGGGTAAATTAGGTCATTTGAGATCGAAAATGTAGCGACTACCCCATAAAAACGCTGGCCCGTGCGCCCATGCCTCCAATATTTGATGATTGTTAGTTAAACCCTTTATAAGGTGTATGTTGGTTGGATGATTGTAATTGATCAGGAAGATTTAATGGTGTATTATTTATTACAGTTTCATCGCACCAAACCATCATGGTCGGATGCCATGAAAATAAACCTGCACAATGAAAGGGAAGCAAGAAATAAGATGAGGAAAGTTATTGTGTTTCATGATATGCTAAGAAAAAGTCAACCTGGCAAGGTTTTATCAATTACTAACTATAAAAACAATTAATTAAAATACATGAATAATGCATCGTAATGTTTATAATTTACGCAGTAGGACTAAATCTGCTGATATGCCATGCTGCTGATGATTAGCACATGAGTAACATTGATGTTTGGTTAACAGTTTAGCTCAATCCCAATTGAAATAAAGCTTAATCTGTGAGCCCACACATCATTTGTGCCTTAGTTGTGGTACAAATAAATGTGCAATGAAAATTCCTGTCTTTTTTCAAATATGTCAGCCACTGCTGTAAATGTGTCGTAATTACACAAGATGGTATAACAAATTCTAAATCATTACATGAAAGACAATGTTTCCTAAAGAGTGTATACTACTTGTAAGTAAATTTGAAAAATTCATTGAATTAGACATATTTCTAATAAACGCAACAGAAACAACGTGACATAATTTTAAAAATCTACTCTGTTACAGTCAATTTCGTTCAAAGTTCACACAAACTTCGTGTATCGAAGTTCATAAACTAAATTTGTCATTTGTAATTTAACGAACTTCGTATTTCGTAACATCACTCGGAGTGTCAAATTAACTGTTAGAACATCGTATCCCCAAAATGCGAATTGAAGCAAATTTGCCGTACTTTCGACAAACACCTTTAAAAATGGCGAAATCCTACCGACAGAGTAGCGTGCATATTGGTTACAGGGTTGTAACTGGTTGCATCAATGCAACACCTGCTCTGATGATAGCCCTAATTTCCAGATGGACCGCAAAATAAATCGTATTACAAATAGCAATTCCTCTATGGTGCATGTATTTAAATAAAATACAAATTAGAAATGTAACCAAAATTGAAAAAGTGCCAAAATTGGCCACGATCGCCTAGGATGACTACATATACACTAACTTTTACAGTTTACTCTAACTTTGACTACATAAAACAAACCTTAATTTGATCCTACACGTCATTTGTACCTGTAACATTTAATACAGTAACAATAAAAGTCCGGTGAAAAATAGTGTCTTGTCGTGCATTAGAAAGATGGTATGGTAAATTGTAAATCTAACAAAGAATTGGTGTGGCGAAAATAATATTTACAAAAGAAAATATCTTTGAGCATAAAAGTAAATAACATCTTACTTGTTTTGGGTATAGCCAACCAACGTATTGCTATTAGAGAAGAGACTTATGCTCTAGGATTGGTGGAGGTGTAGAAGCTAATGTTAAGGACGATATCGCTACGAAAATATGATTTGAAATAGTGCACGATGGAATGGTTATGGCTTAGAATTTGCATTAACAAAACACGTAGTTTTTCAATTTGTATTATTTCCAGATCTCCAGGGCCATATGAGCACCTCAGCAATACATTCAAATATACCTAAGGTGGGGGAGATCATTCACCTGTATGGGTCAGGAAAACGAATAAATGGTCATTATGGGGTTATTATAAACTGTCGAGTATACTGTTATTATCTTTAACGAAACAATTACATGAAGTAAAGACAATAAATGCTTTGAACAGTTTCAAGCAACAATCACTTTGTGTTAGCAAGCACTTTGAATCGTTGATTGACGTCATTGCTACAGCATGTCTCACAGTACTTACGTAACCAGACTCAGGGACTAGATGCATAAAACCAATAACACTCAATACAAGGCAATATATGTTACCCTAATAATGTTACCCCTTTCCTTCCAATGTTACTCCTTTCCTTCCAATGATACTCCTTTCTCTCCAATATTACTTCTTTCCCTCCAATGTTACTTCTTTCCCTCCAATGTTACTCCTTCCCCTTCAATGTTACTCCTTTCCCTCCAAAGTTACTCCTTTCTTTCCAATGCTACTCCTTTCCTTCCAATGTTACCCCTTTCCTTCCAATGTTCCTTTCCTTTCATCCTCGTTACTCCTTTCCCTCCATTTTTCCTTTCCCTCCATTTTTCTCCCTCCATTATTCTTTCCAATGTTGTTCTCCTTCCTTCCTTATCCTTTCCTTTCAATGTCCTCCTTTCAATCTCCTTTCTTTCCAATGTTATCCTTTCGTTCTCCTTTCTTTCATGTTCCCTTTCCTTCCATTTCCTTTCCTTCTCCTTTCCTTTCATGTCCTCCTTTCCATCAATGTTATCTTTCCAATGTTATCCTTTCCTCCATTGTTATCTTTCCTCAATGTTGCTCCTTTCCTCAATGTTACTCCTTTCCCTCCAATGTTACTCCTTTCCCTCCATTGTTACTCTTTTCCTCCAATGTTACTCCTTTCCCTCCAATGTTACTTCTTTTCCTCCAATGTTACTTCTTTCCCTCCAATGTTACTCCTTTCCCTCCGATGTTACTTCTTTCCTTTCAATGTTACCCTTTATGTTTCCTCCTATGTTACTTCTTCTAAACGAACCTCTAGTTATTCCAACTTTTTTGGACGCTTTCTCGAGCGATTTTTATTACGATCAAGTTTCTTAGTTAATTCTGCGTCAATGGGAAAGTAGCAATAATCGCGGTGTTTTACATAGCTATTTTTGATTCTCGTCTCTTTAATAGACAATTTATGACATTCACCCTCTCAAGACCCATGACTGGGCTGTTAAAAGTGTGAATTCGTCCAAGACTCCTAACATCGAGTCCTTGGCTCGGTTATCGTCATTTATTTACTCATTTAAAGCTTTGTAAGAGACCCAACATTTAGTGTGAAATTATTTACATAATAAAGTAGTTTGCATAGCGGCGAATTACGAACACAGCATGGTTGAGCGAATTATAGAGAAATATTTACCTTCATAACAACACGGCAACTTTCGATACGTTTGAACAGGAAGAGCGACTTATTGGATGATTCACATTTTTGAAGAAAATTAAAGGTTCTTACCGAAGGTAATCTTCATGAGACAAATTTATTTCAAAGCGAATTTTCGCACAATGTCATGAGGTTGCAACATTCCAAAAGAATTTGAAATATTGTTCATTTCTGAAGCATAGACTATAAAGAATTATAATTTAGTAATTTGTCATTATATTTTTCTTCGGCAGTCAAGCATTGCGCCAAGAATCTGAGCAATGATTTAAATGCAATTAGACATAGAAAATACGCATAACAAGATGTTATATTTAACATCATCGTACAACTGTATCAAATTCTTCACTGCGAGCATTTCTTGGCAAAAGTGAACGACCATGGGCTATTGAGGAGATCTAAGCTTTACTGTTTCACATGTAAGAAAGCCATTGGTCTATTGAAATTCATTCTATTTTATGATTCACGTTTTATACCTCTACACCAAACGCTTTCTGGCATTTTTGAAAAACCAAAACACATCGATCAATTCGCATCCATATCCGCGCATGCTTAATAAGTGCACGTTTATTTGCTCAAAATTTGTTATTTTCCCCAGGCAAAAAAAGTATGGACCTTAATATCGAGCGCTGGGGATTTTAACGACCACGATTATCATATCATTTACTCTCAGGGGAGCGAAACAAATCCAGTAAAAATTCGCAAAATCTCTTCTTTGTTGTTTTCTGCTTATTTCGCAGCCTTGTTCTCTCCAAAAAGTAATATAAAATTGTTCAGCTCAACACTCAAGTCCAAGCAAGCGAGTAAGTTTGTTATAACAATCAGCATTAGAATTATGTTCAGTCACCGCCAATATGACTTATTTATACGTTGCGAGACGCCGACATTGTGTATTGTTACTTTTTCAAATTGTTTCGTTGAAATGTTTTATTAGCCGAATTTTTTCGATTGGGAAATTAATGTATAATTTGCATCAATGACTTTTTGGTATAGAACAGACAGTCTCGTTATCACAGGCATTTTGGTATAGGCAGAAGGCTCATATAACTAGATTTTTAGAGTAACACAAATTGCAAAACCTAAAGAAAAACGGCAAATGGCAGATAAGATATACATGAAATACGTACATTGCACATTTTATTTGTAAAAACAATAGATTGGAATATGTAAAATGTTTGGATACCATCCTACAGTTTCATTTTCTTTTTTTATTACACTAAATTTATCCAAATTCAATAGGCCGCCATCTTGTTTTCGAAATGTTGACGAACGGCACTTTTCTAACCAATCAAATACGTTAACGTTTCTTAAAACAATCAATAAGTCAAAAAAGCAGACCAGAAACACGCGGGAAACTTGAGAATTCATATACCTTTAAGAAGCCCTGTTAAAATGATGTTCTTTGGGGCCGACCTGAAATCTACGACCAGAAGCGTAACCGGAACGTTAATTGGGAGGGGGTGTATATTCATATATTCAGTTGTGCCTGATTTCTTTTGAAATTCAAATCACTTTTGATAGAAATCAGTAAGGCACAACGGAAAATATGAATATGCACCCCCAATTAATAATCTAGTTACGCCTCTGTCTAGAACCTGCACACTACAAAATACAAATATTACAGGCAAAAACTTAAATATTTTAATGTTTCTTTAATATTGGTTTTATATTATAACATAAACATAAAGTACTGATATTTTTAAGTTTTTATTGCAAATGTGATTTTTTAAAAAATATTTTTTTAATATGGTGGGTAACATCCGGCAGCCGTACTCTCGGAAAAAACAGACAACATTGCTGTACTATAGAAAAGAAGAGGTATAAAAGACCTAAACACTACGATTGAGGCAAGCCGCCATCTTGAAAAGTGGCAAAAGAGACGATATTTACACCCGCTTCTTCAACATTGATTACAGTTGCAAAATCGATGGTCTAGGTTTGGTTTTTAAAATTTTTGATATGATATGTTGATCAAGAATTTTGCGTTTTTCCACCTTTCAATATGGCGTCTTTGCCTCCCTTGACACGGTAGTTATAGATATCTTAGGGATTGAGTTCTAAATCCTTGGGAGAGATCAGTATAGTTCACAGACCATTAAAAAAAACAACATGGTGTGTTGATTTAGAGGGAATTCAGAAGTCGTTCAACTTTTTCTGCGTATTTGCCCAGTTAACATTTTTGTCTATTTTTAGAAAATAAGGAATAATGTCGTATACTAAACTAAAACTGGTCGTCATCGGCGATGGAGTATGTGGAAAAACCTGTCTGTTGATGGTATTTCGTAACGACGAATATCCACCCGAATACGATCCACCCGAGTTCAAGAATTACGTTAAAGCACTCAGAATTGACGAGCACGACATCGAACTTGAACTAAATGATACCAAAGGTCAGGAGGACTACGACAGCAGCAGACCGTTTTCTTATCAAGGAAGTGATGTCATTCTCATCTGTTACTCGGTTGATTCGCCATCAAGTTTTACCAACGTCAAGGAAAAATGGTTTTCGGAAGTTAAGAAATATTGCTCTGGTGTACCCATAGTGCTTGTGGGTATGTGATGTTTAATAAATAGACCAAATTTAGTTGTTTCATTCATAATTGCAGAAGTACTCAATTTCCGTGTTGGTTCAGAGTCACCTTGAATAATTTCAAACATTCCATCGCCGATTTAGAAATCCAAACAAAAAAATCACCAAAAATTTTTTCATAACATTCAATTTGTTTGGAGTGATTTACAAATTGCAGCGCTAGTCAGTAAAATCCTTTCACGTTTACCACAATATAGATTTTATCACGCAGGGGACTCCACTCAGTAGCTTTTCACGAGCCCGCGTTCTTAACAACTAACGAATAAATTAACAGGATTTTGTTTTAATTGTAATTTGTAGGTTTAAAAAAAGATTTACGTGACGACACAACGACGACTGAATACCTGGCAACAAATGGGCAGCAGCCCGTGAGCACTGAACAAGGAAGAAAACTGGCGAAGAAGAAACGAGCAGCGGCATTTCACGAATGTTCAGCGTTGAAACGAGACGATGTAGATGAGGTGTTCCATGCCGCTGCAAGAGGCGGCCATAAGGAAAAAGAAAGCGCATTCGAGTTTTCGTTGTTTAATCTCGTAAAAATGAAAAATTCTCTTTTAATAGTAAAAAAATTTTAAATTTGTCTTTCTAAATATTTCGTTATTGATTTTTACGACATCTCGTTGAGAAAAGACTGCTGACCGTGGTAATAAGCCACGGTCTCGGTATATCATTATCCCAGGAGCGTTAGGGCATCAGTCACTAGTATTTTCCGTCAGGGCTTTAAGTCTTCGATAAAATGAACATTATCTTAAAAATGCGAAGTCAAAGATCTAACGCGTTGTACCAAGGAAATGCATCCACGTCAGATAACTTCATCAATTTTGTAAAGATAAATAATCGAGCTAAAGAAATAAATAATTCAAGCTAAGAATCGAGCTCAGAATCAACATGAAATTGGCTTAGGACCTGATTATGTGGAGGCGAGCTGGCCCAGATAGCGAGCTAGCCCGATGATTTCAAGGGATTGAAAGAAGCCAAAACTTCAAGGTTAAAAATTTCAACTGTTTGCAAAGCCAATTGTATCAGCCGCTTAGGAACTGATAGATGAACCCGGGTAGCCGGGATTTAGCCAAGCGTTAAAGGATTTTGGCAAATGGAAACGATTCGATACTTATCATCAGCAGATAAATCTTCTCGAGCAATTTAATTTCAGAATATTCTGATTTAATAAATTCGCAAAACATTTAAAATTAAAACGACCAATTTGGCCTTATTTGAGAATTACAACAGGAATGACTTGTGGTGCTTAACAAACAGATGCAACTTTTACGCTTGAAGTTTTGCCTCCTTTTAATGCCTCAAAATCATTTCATGCCATACTGAATCCCGGTTAGCTGGGATCATGTTACACAGTCCCTTAATTTGGTTTCCGCATTAAATTCTAAATATTGTGTAACAGAAGAATTGTATCGAATTTATGTAGCTTTTGGAACGATATCGAACTGTGTGACTGTGTGTAGCTTATACATAAGTCCGGAAATATATAACATACGCACAGTAAAAGAAAAGGAGCCAAAATATTGACCCCAGAATGGCCCCATAATTCAGAGCTAATTTTGGCCCTTTAAAGAGGGGCCGAATTTGGCCCCAAAACGTAGCTGAAACAGCCCCAGGTAAGAGGACCAATTTAGCCCCATAGCGAGCTATTTTGCCCCTTTTGTGTGAAATTCAGCTCTAAACAGAATAGCCAATTTAGCCCCATTATCTCATCAAATCGGCAATGGCTAAAAAGCAGCCCATTGCCCTGGAAAGAAATGAAATTACTGAAAGCTTACAATAAACAAGACTCGTATAATATACGTAAGCACATAAGTGCTTAACATCTTCATTAAAATACTTTACGTGCACATATTTTCATCTCACTCAAATTAAACTTCACAAAAAAGAATTGAAATAAAACATAATCTATATAACCATGTGCATTCATGATTAGTTGAACACATTTGATAACACTCCAACTAAACTTTTCACAGAAGATGGACACTTCTCTGGGATAATTCCCAATAATGCCATGTCAAGAAAGCTATAGACATTCTTGCCCTCAATGTATTTTATATTGTACATATAGTACGTGGCCAACAAAGCAACAAGAGCATCGCCAATCTTTTTGGTTGTTACATGGCACAAAACTATTCCTTCTGCCACCACATATATAGTGTCACTTTGATAAAGGTCATCCACTACCAAAATACAAGGTTGAATTTGCGTTCTTATTTTTTCATCAAGGAAAGCGCCATTCTACGATAAAAAGACAGCAGAAATTTAGAAAATTAGCTTGAGACTGCACAATAAAGTCGTAAGTGTCTAATTTCATTAGGGTTCACAAGTTACTTTTTGTTATGTGAGAAACAAAAATGAAGTAGTATGGTAATACTCATTTTATAGTAAAGATATAATTCCAGTTTTAGCTTAACAACTTTGTCTGTTTTAGCCCTCATTGTTAGCCAATACGGCTAGCAATTTCAAAAGCCAAAACGACCTCATGGGGCTAAAATGGCCCATTTCTTTTTACTGTGCGGTGATACAACTTTTAAAGATATGTCTTGGCGTCGATGGCGGTCATGTCATTTTAAGACCACTGCAGTCAGTTCCAAACTTAATCAGAAATAAAATTTCCATGCATGGAATATCATGATATGCAAAAATGCTGAGGGATGATTCTGTTGCTCATACGGACACCACTCAGCTGTTTTGCGTGCACGTTTTTCGTTCTGTTAGAAACTCTGTGGATGTACAAGCGTAGAAGACAATTTAACAAAAAGAATGTAGCTCTTAGGATAACAAACAAAGGGATTAAAAAATGGCAAATACATTTAAACATCTATTTTAAGTGATCTAGAGCACACAATCACTCCCCCCCTCCTTCCCAATCCTCCTACGAACCTGACTCCTCGCGAACAGAGAAAACAAAATGCCAAATTGTGTAGTTCCGTTTTTGTGCGCAACATGAAACAAGATACTATAAAAATTCAAATAAGGTGGAGACCACATTTTTAGGAATTTCTTTTTACTACATCTCTGGAGCGCTTTTGTCCTCTCTCTGGACAAAAGATTTCAAAACCGGTAACTAACTGGGCTGCTCTGCTATAAAATATGAGAATCTGAGATCAATTCCAAGCTTGAATCTATATACTTCCTATTTGGGTATCATCCTTTATATATGCTTTGAAGTTTTGAAAAATATCGAGTCTTTAGAACAAATGCTCTTCACATGCATTTGTCTGGCGACAGATTACAAACACAGCATGCTTGAGCTGACGAATAGATCAAATTCAATCATAAAGATTGCGGAAAACTGACTGCAAGTATAACTGGAAAAAAAACAACGGTATTGCAGACAAAAATGCCCTCGATTATCGTGCGCTACACTTCTTCAACAAAGTTCGATAGCTCCGCGCGCACTCATGTATTTTACATAACCGCAATTTAATCCGCGCGTACGTGCATAAATTAGAATAAATTCATAAAAGTAGGAGCAACCGCCTACCGCGGAGAAATATTTAACAGCATAAGAACACAGCAACTTTCTATACGACGATTGAGCAGGAAAGCTGACTTATTGGGCGGAGTTCGATTCACATTTACCGAAGAAAATCGAAGATTCTTAGCAAAGGTAACCGACTTCATTAGACGATTTTATTTCTACGAAAATTTAAAGACAAGTAGTGATATTGCAACATTCCAAACACGAATTATGACTTGTAATAATTTCGAATGTCGTTCTTCATTGAAGCTAAATATGTGTGCGAAGGATTATGATTAGGAAATATCTTATTATATTTTTCTATCGGCAATCACATTGCACCAAGAATCAGAACAATACTTCAAATGCTTGTCCTTTCAATTCAAATGCGGTTTGAAAATAATCTTGTAAAGGAAACGATTTAAATTCATCGTGCGAAGGTCGAACACGATAACTCTTGTCGATAACTATCGTATCCGCGACTTAAATTATCCAGACTTGACAGAAACGAAAAAAGCGGCTATGTTTTATCTAACCTTGGAAATCACTCATTTTATGTTTGAAATTTTATCATTAAACACAATGAAAACAGTTGTATACTGTGTAGTTGTTGTTTACCGAATTTGTGGCATTGATTTCGAAGTAAGTTGGCCCTTCATTTCGATTGTTTACACACAGGGGACTCGGTATAAATTTTCACCACGGTATTCAATGATAAATTCCTTTCATACTTCGCCTATAAAGGTTAAACGGTCATGAGATAGTGATTTCAAATGCTCAAACACTTGCATTTGTGATTATCTCGTGATTTATCGCAATTTATCTTGCTTACATCGATACGGTGAAGTTTAGATATTGATGTATGACATGTTTGGATACTGTTTTGTCGATAACTACAGGCCAATAGAAATGTTCTGCCGAAGGTTGTCAGTGTAAGAAATGTTTGAATGTCGACCTCATGTTGTATTCGTTAAGTACTTCTATATCAGTTGAAACTTAGATAAAAATACTGTGAAATCGTTGCTGAACTAGGGAAAATCACTTGATTTGGGCTTCGAAAAGCAAATATTTATATCATTATAAAGCGATCAAGGAAAATATTCGGTATGATAGTTTTAAATGTTTGAAATTTCCGTTGATAATTGTACTGCCGACGAAACACCTTGCTGTTCAATTTTCCGGTAGACGTAGGACTAAACGTAGACTTATTTCATACTCTCTCCCCTCTTCACATATAAACAAAAGTCTTTAACTTTTATGCAAATTTATGCAGTACTTACGAAATCTCAGTTATTATCTTATTAGTGTGATTTATACTTACAAAACACCGCCAAAGTTGTTTTTATAATACGCACTTATACTTGATTGTGGTTTGCTCTTAGTTACACGGCGTGTATTCATAAATACCGCTACGAAAAGTCGGTTAATACAATGAAATTTCTGACTTGTGACCATTCGGTGAATTCACAATAGATAAATGTCACCAGAATATCGTTTACACGTAGGTATTTTCAAATCGGTGTCGACAAAGGCGAAAAATATATCAACGGTAATTGCTTTCAATCTTTTTATAGAAAAAAATTGAACCATCGAATTTCTTGCGATTGCAAAGATTAATGTACATTTTAATATCGTAATAAATTTGATATATGTAGCAGGCTGATAACCCGACTCCAGTGGGAAAATATGCATAGAATATTGGAACGAGTTTCAGATAGTTTTTAGCAACGATATTTCCGATTGAAACCAGTCAATCCAATTTCAATTGGCCGCCACTTGCACTTGTCAAAACAATAAAAAATTGGAACAAAAACAGAATCTTTAGAAGAATTCACATACCATTTTAAGAAAATGTGATTCAAAAGACATAAATAGTCTCAAAGATTCGGATTCGCCTTTCCTGTCAAATATAAGTGAAAGAGTAAATTATTTGAAAGGAAATTATTTGGAAGCATTGTCAAGGCTCCCAAAATCGTTTCACTTCTGACTAGTCTAGTGCTGTGTGTCATTTCTAAATTGTAATTATGATAATTTGCGATTAATTCTGATTTTTCCATCAATCATCGGTAGTAACATAGTGAGACTTGATAAAACTCATCGCAGAATGTCTAATGATGAAAAAATTCAGATAAAAATAGAATTATGGACTTTTATCCATGACTGGGCAAACGACAATTTTAATCTTTCTCTACAGGACTACAAAAGTCTGTTTTTTTCAAGTCAACTTTGAGTAGTTAGTGATGCCCGACCGTCTAACGCTTACCAACCAAATGAAGGTCCTGGCTACACCCTTACTTTTCTTTAATAACTTTTTTATTTTTAAAACTAGAGTAATGTCGTTTATAAAATTAAAACTTGTCATTGTCGGAGATGGTGCATGTGGGAAAACATGTCTACTAATGGTGTTTCGCAATGACGAATTTCCACCCGACTACGTTCCGACGGTTTTCGAGAATTACGTCAAGGAACTAACAGTTGACGAGCGAGACATCGAACTTGAACTATACGATACTGCTGGACAAGAGGACTACGACAGGCTCAGACCGCTCTCTTATCCGGGAAGTGATGTCATACTCATCTGTTACTCTGTTGATTCGCCAAATAGTTATGAAAACGTCAGGGAAAGATGGATACCAGAAGTTGAGCAATTTTGCCCGCGTACGCCCATAGTGCTTGTTGGTATGTAATGTTTAACATATAGCTAGTAGAATATATTTTGTCAGCACTGTTATTGATATAAAAGTAGTCACTCCCTGTGTTGCTTCAAAGGAACGTTTTCAATTAAGACCGTCGAACAGAATGTATCTGGAAGGGTACTTCCCGCCAAAATATGAAGCCTGTCATTTAACTAGTCCCAATCCTTTTATGAATGGCCCAAAGAAAGTTCATTAACGAAAGTGAGCCAAAATGCACGAATTTACGTCCAGTGCGCATGGAAGAGTATAATATCCGGGAACTGTTATCCTTCATTGATATTCACGTAACGAATAATATGACTTAGGTCGAATGTGCTGGTGGATGAGTCACTTTGCGCACTTGCCTGCGCTCTAGACCGCTGACAATGAATCAACAATGTTTTCTATGTGTTATATTTGTGTAGCTTTAAAGAAAGATTTGCGTGACGACACGAATACGATAGACGATCTGAAAGAGCAAGGCGAGGAACCTGTGAGCACCGCGGATGGAGAAAAACTGGCTAGGGACACCGGTGCAACGGCATTTCACGAATGCTCCGCTTTGAAACGTGACGGCGTACACGATGTGTTTCATGCTGCAGTGAGGGCGGCCATCATAAAAAAGAAAGTAGATTCGGGTTGTTGCTGCGTGATCCTTTAGGAATAGAACATATTTTTGACTCTGAAAAAGAGTCTCACGTTGATAATTGAAGAAATATGAATCGTAAGTGGAAGTTATAGTAAAACGGAACTAGATTTGACAATTATATTTTATACTGCACGAATTCCTAGAAGAATATGCATTACCGCTATTTTTATCGCGGGCTCAACGATTAATACTAGTGAAATACAATGAGAAAAACGATCGTAGTTAGCTTTTGATACGTTATAGAGGAACTGTAGGCTGACGTAGTAGTATAAAGAAAAAATAATTTTTAAAACAAAATGTCGCACTTTTCATGAAGTGAACCCTTTTTACATTTCCCACCAATTTGACGCAACCGGATCCTTGACACCATAAAATTTTCGCCTCAGAATACATAACTTAAAAATGGCGGGAAAACCAATAATAAATTTGAGTTATCATGTTACCATAATGCACCTCGTGTTGCCATCTTTAAATATGATATATAACGTGTCAAATGCGAAATAAATTGATGTTTTTCTCTGGCTTTCATTAAATTCATTGTCGTATAGGCACGGAGCCAGGAAATTGAAACTGGGTAGAAAGCATTTACTAAACTTACGGCGTCTCACTTTGCCCCTAGTTACTCTTAAGTACAAAAAATAGCAGCAAAAATATTACCTTCGAGGAAAAGGGATATCTTGAGCCTCCCCAGTCCCCTTTGTGGCGCCGTCTGTTACACTTTCAACAATCACATGTATGTTTTATTTTATTTTCTGCATTTTAGTTGACATAAAAACCCGTATCATAAAACTCGCACACACTCACACTTACTGAACGTGGCTTTAAAATCACCTCGTAACTCTTCGAAGACGGCTGTATACTGCTGAACATTCTGTCAACTGATGGCTTATATATTATATATAACCACAAATATTGGCATCGCTGGAGAAATGACGTAGTCATTGACTAGAGAGAGCGTGATTTTTCTGTCGCACTCAGTGAGTGTGAGCGAGCCTTTAGATTACGGGCAGTAGGCTTTAAATGAGCCCGGGGACAATGAATAGCAGGCAATACGATCTGCATAGTTTGTGAAGAATCAACGGCTAATTTTCCATTAATCTGGAATCATGCAATATTCTGACACGTCGGAACGAGTCGAACATTGTTCGTGAAAAACGAAGTTTGCCACATGCAATATGTTAATGTTCACGTCGTATTCAACTATTTAGGAATGTGTTCCAATAATTATGATGAAACATAACTAGTTTCTTACTTATTTACAATTGTTATACATGTTAATTAATTTAGCACGTCAAAACTATCCTTAGTCATTTTTTTCAAACGTTCAATAAATGAATATGATAACTAACTGTTGGCGTAACTACCTCAATTGGAAGCTTGAATGGCGAATGTCACGGCTCGACCGTTACGCAGTTAGCTTTAGTTTACTGTTGATTTGAAATTTCACCGAAGACATGTCATTACCTACGATCAATGATAGCTGCAATGATAGCAACATGTTTGTAGAAGTAGATCGTCCGGCTTAGTAGAGTCCTGAGAACGACTGTTGGTATTGATGTTAACTGACGTTTCAACAACCTTAGCGGTAGTCATCTTCAGAGTTAAGTGAGAAATGATGTTGTCATTGACTAGAGAGAGCGGGAAAATACGACTAACCTGACTTTTACTCCTCACTTGAGTCTGAAGATGACTACCGCTAAGGTTGCCAAAACGTCAGTCAACATCAACACCATCAGTCCTTCTCGAAACCCTACCAAGCTGGACGATCTACATCTACAAACATCTAACAAAACTCCCGGGTTCAAACCATTGACTTTACTACGACGATAGCTACATTGATACTACACGAGTCTCAGTTTTGGCAAACTGAAGAATTAGTTGAAAAACATTGGTTGAAACTTGCAACAAAATATGTTGCACTGTCCAGTGTTGCAAATGAAAAGACATATGTTACGTTAAAATTCTTTTCAGTTCCTTGCATAAACAATGTATATAAAATAAAATAGTGAATGGTTGGATTTCGAGAGTATCGCTACATGCTTGTAAAAGTAGTACGTCCTGGTTAGTAGAGTCCCGAGAAGGACTGTTTGTGTAAGAGTTGACTGAAGTTTCAACATCCTTAGTGGTAGTCATTTTAACGGTGTTTGACTACTTGTAGCTTATAATACGTACCTCTTAAATATTTTATTAGATAAATATATAAATCGATAATTACTATGAAAAATTATCGGTAATCGGATAATTACTATAAGCTGCATTTATATAATTTCATGGGGAGGAAGGTCAGAATTAACGACGAATGGAAAATTACAACAATCCGAATTTCTTGATGGTAAATCCCAAATCAGAACTCACCTAGAATGCTGGACGCCACGACCGACTTTGTCAGCGGTATTCACCCTTCTCTCATTTCCAAATAACGGTGATGTTAGGGTGGTTTTCAATGATTTCGTCCAATTTTTGGTGACTCATGCCAGTTTCGGTACAGATTTCGTCATAATTATGGCTTCCATTCAACCATCTGAGGAAGAAATAGCATTCATTTCAACATAAGGTCACTCAAGGAACATAAGGACTCAAGTATTAGGAAACATTATAGAGTCGTGTGACGTAGTTTGTCACCGGGACACTTATGTACATTTAAGGATGGGGGGTTGCTGTGTTGAAAAGAAAGGAAAAGACGAGGGAGAAAGCAGGTGAGAGGAAAAATAAGTACGAAAAATAAATACTACAAACATAAGGACTCGAGTTTTAACATCAACTGACTCCTAATGCAGTATAAAGACAATAGCGCCGGTAGAATTTTATTTTTTTATTTTTTTTTTGGGAGGGGGGACACTCTCAAAATGTCACTTACATATGTTAAATGCCTGACATTTTTTCTGTTTGTGCAAGCGAGTTCCCGGCGAGGCGGTGAGTATTTAGATATTGAAATATTACATTAGTTAATTTCTACAAGTGTTTTTTTAAATATACCGAGTAGACTGAAATATGTACGAACTCAAATTCAACACACTAGTCGAAGGCTGTTGACTGGAGTATCGACTTAAGTCCGGACGTCTTCCTCGATCGAGGGCTGTAGAGTTCAGATTTCGGGTTATTTTAATGTTATGTATTAACCGTACCTTGCTAGACGTTCATTTTGCGAAGCTTGCATGCCATCATCTGGTTTCAAAAGTACCGGAAATTTGTGTAAACGACGTATGAAACCTTTCATCAAACCGAACTGAATCAAACATCTGGAATAAAGAACAAGTGTTAATGGCAAATCATGAATCGCCAATGTTTGAATTTGAATGAAGCATTAAATTCTTGAATGTGTAATTGCAGGTTGGACGTTGCAGCAGCATAGCGTAAGAGGAACGTTCTTTATAGATCGTCTTCACCTTACGTCATGGCCGCCATATGGGTGTAGTAATTGAGAAGAACTTTAATTAAGTTCTTTTGTTTCAAACACAAATATTGCTGCTTCATCCACAGTCAGGTTGATCCCAGGGGAATCAGAGAAAATGATCTATTGTGGTACATTGGTCTTTATGAATATGAGCCCCTAAATTACCGATCTTCCAATGGCCCTGTCACAGTATGGTGAAAATACAGTAGAGCCACTCCATCGAAATTTTCGTGCCATGATTATCTTTTTACACATGTGATTATCATAGTGGCATCCAGTCAATTGCTTTTTTTGACCAAGAGGAATGATAAAATGGCTCACGGCAACCAGTAATCTCAATAAATATATTGCAGTCAATTGCACACGATCTACTGTATATTCTCTATATTGTGGCCCTGGGTTAGCAGAAAGGGCTTTGCGTTCACGTGCTAATCCAGCATAAGGTAATAGAGGGAGGAAAGTGGTCAGCAATGGTTTGATGGATGGTGTAAGCCCTAGATCTAGTTTGACAAGTGATGATGACTTTTCTTCCTAACTATAAAACATAAGTCAGAAGACAGATTTGCTCCCTAAATTACCAATGTTAACCCCCTTATAGAAATGACAAGAAGGTGCACACCATCCCCCATATGCATATAAATCCTATAAACCCATTCATTTTTTAGTCTCTTATAGATTTGTTGACATTTCATAAACAATTTTGGGCAAAAACCATCGAGCTTGTGTTTGCTATCTTTGGTCACACGAGTTAGCTAAACAATTTACCGTTCGTCGATGCGTAGAAACGCCGGGTTGTATCTCGAACAAAGGTCTCGCACGGTTGCACCAGCACTGAGCCCAGAATATAACTGAAATACGTCACGAAACAATGGAGGACGGCGAACTAGAAATTAAATGGCTGCAAATGAACGGAAAACACCAAAGTGTTGACAGTTATATTAAGCACTTACATTTCCTAGCAACATAATTCGTGCATTCCTCTTGTAGTTGCTTGTCTTGAAATAAATTGTTTATCTTCGGAGTTGGAATGTACACGTTGGAGTACTACAGAGTGAAAAACTTCATGTAACATATTTAACATGTGGTGACGATGTAAGTAAACATCCCTATTTTGTTCATTTCAATCCTCTCTAAGAGTTTTTCTTCATGCTCTAAGTTTTCCATACAAAACCGTTTTTTCACTAGTTTACCCATTTATATGTTTTTCTTTCATTAATCTGCCCTCCTGATTAAACAGTCTTTAAAACTGTCACTCCTCTCTCAAGTTTGAAGAACTGGCATAAAGATGTGATGTAATGTGATGTACGGTGGTGTGACATAGGGTGTGCAAGGTGGGGAGATGTGTGTTAGTGTAATGTATGATGTGTGATGTAAGGTGGTGTGATGTAAGATAGTGTAATGTAGGGTAGTGTAATGTAGTGTTGTGTGATGTAGGGTGGTGTGATGTGGGGTGATGTGATTTAAAATGATGTAATGTAGGGTGGTGTAATGTGGTGTGGTGTGATGTAGAGTGCTGTGATGTAGGGTGTATGGAATGGTGGTGGATGATGGAAGATGGGGTGATGAATGTAGGAGTGGTGTGATGTAGGGTGTTGTGATGTAAGGTGGTGTAATGTAGGGTGGTGTGATGTAGGTGGTGTGATGTAGGGTGCTGTGATGAAGGGTAATGTAATGTAGGGTGGTGTGATGTAGGGTGGTGTAAGGTGATGTAGGGTGATGTGATGTAAGGTGGTGTGATGTAAGGTGGTGTAATGTAGGATGGTGTGATGTAGGGTAGTGTAATGTAAGGTGGTGTGATGTAGGGTGGTGAATGGTGAATGGGGTGGTTAGGGTGGTGTGATGGGTGGTGTGATGTAGGGTGTGTGATGTAGGGTGGTATGATGTAAGGTGGTTTGATGTAAGGTGTTGTGATGTGGGATAAAGGTGGTGTGACGTGATGGTGTGATGTAAGGAGGTGTAATGTAAGGTAGTGTGATGTAAGGTGGTGTAATGTAAGGTAGTGTGATGTAGGGTGGTTTAATGTAGGGTGATGTGATGTAAGGTCGTATGATGTAGGGTGGTGTTCTGTAGGGTGGTGTGATATATAATGGTGCAATGTAGGGTGGTGTGATGTAGAGTGGTGTGAAGGAGGATGTTGTGAAGTAGGGTGGTGTGATGTAGAGTGTTTTGATGTAGGGTGGTGTGATGTAGGGTGATGTGATGCAATGCTGTGATGAAGGGTGGGGAAATGTAGAGTGGTGTGATGCACGGTGGTGTGATACAGGAAAATATACGGAGTTGTGATTTAGGGTGCTTTGACGTACTAAAGAGGATACAATGCACGTTAAAATAAATAGTATTTACCATTGATATTTACAAACGTACCTGAAAAATTGAAATCAATGTCACAACTTGGAAATGACTAAAACAGAGACGAGATAACATCGCTTAAGAGAAAATGTAACATCGGGAAAATGTAACATGTACTTCGTGTAACTTACACCATATTCTGAATACAAAGTCTGACCAAATTTATATCAACATCCGCTTGAGCTGCTATCTTCTTTATATGCTGAAAGCCGTCTATGTAAGGTAAAATCTAGAAGAAAATAGGCACACCTCGTAAATATGTGAATACGGGAGCCTCTCTTGTCTCTTAATGCTTTCCAGGCGTTTTGCCTTGAACCCTTTTAAAACAAACAAGTAAACAAAGAATATAAGCAAATATCTACAAATCAATGCTGTGAATGTCGCCATTTAGTACAGGAAATTTCATCTGGTCGATTGCAATTCGCAAGAAGCACGCACAAGTGACTTAAAGAATAAGGTCTGGTCATTGAAATTTTTGAACACATGACAAATTCGCAAGCTCAAGATTTTTCCAAATTCACGATAATCCATGCTAAAGTGATAGTTTAATCCTGTAAGTATCGTTCAAAGTTTGTGGAAGTTGATCGCCCAGGGAAGAAAAAAGGTGAAGTATTGATAGTTAAACTGTTGCTGCTTTGCCGACATTGAAAAGACAATAAGCGGACGGATACTTCCCGCCAAAATTTGAAGCCAGCAATTGACCTAGTCCCAATCTCTCAACGCACGGTCCAAAGAAAGTTAATTTACGTTTACAACGGTAAACTAAAAGGCGTGACTTAACCTCTAAACACGCGTGTTCGGGGGTAAGATTTGCAACATGGCTTCATTTCGCCAGGCTTTATGCAGGTACAGGCATGTTTATTTAAAAGTGGCCTTCCAGTCATAATTTAGTTCAATGCTTGGCGATGGTTGTAGTGAGTGTTGTTTTGACCTCTATATTTTCAGATTAAAAAATGAACAAAAACAATAACGGAGGTCAAAAACGTCAGTCACTACAACCATCAACAACACCCTCCATCACAACTCCTACAAACCTTAGAATCCATACCATTGGAACATAATGATACCGCAGGAAACGAAAAAGACAAATCATGGCAAATTTTGCTAATAATTTCTTACAGAAATGAGCAATGTACAGTAAAAGCGCCCCTTTCAACAAAAATTTTAATTGCGATACTAAATTTAGGTGTGAATTCCAAAATATCAGCGAAAAAAGTTTTTACGTTTGTCGAATTGTTTCATTTTGGCTTTTTAAAGTTGGCAAATATGGCTTTTTAAAGTTGGCAACTATGCTCGTTTTAATGGACTTTGTCCGTCGTCCCAAAAGTATGGATCGACTTACTTTTATGACGTCTGCAAAGGGATTCCTCAATACAAGAACGTCAGAGTTTTGTTCGACCCAGACTACGTTACACGATGGACAAGGTCCATTGAAAATCAACTTTACACCTCCATAACAAGAAGAAAATTCAACTAAATTGAAAAATTTTTCGACTTATACGTTGGACATTACACCTAATTTCAATATACGCAAATAAAAGTTTTTGCTGATAGCGGCACAAGATTTTCCAAAAGAAAGACCGTTAATTACACTGGTTTGACGATAATAAGTTGTTGCCTGACCTGTTGAGTGGTTATATCCCATTGAGCAGCAGTAATGATTGAGCTGTCCCATAGAAATATAGGAACATGATGATTAAACACTTCAGGCTGGTCATCTTTAGTCATTGACAAATGAAGATAGATCGTTGTCACCGCATCTTAAAGAAAGACAAAAAGAGACCATTTCATAAAATTTAAAAGGACCAGCTACCTTGTGTTTTTTGGTATATGCCGTGCCAAATAAGTTTTTTAGACGATAACTGAGCTATACAGGGCTGTATAATATAACGGACCACAGGACCATCGGTTCCAGAATATTTTTGAAGTTGGGAGAAAAAAATTTGGTTGAAAGTACAAATAGTAAGAATTCTCAAAGAAAAGAAAACAGGGTTGATACAGAAAGGAAAAATAAAAAGAAAGAATAAGTTTCAGGTACATACAGGCACACGTCCTGCCTGACAGCAGGCACTCGGCATTCAGAAAGTTGGAAGAAAGTAAGAAAAAGTCATCTTCGTAGTTCTTACAAGCCATTTCTTCATCTACTGCATTTAATAACAGTGATTGATGCAAATGACTTCATTCAATGGTTGAGTAAAAATTTCAATGAAGCATTTTTTTGAAAAAACTAATTTAGTTGGCCTTGCAGTGCCAAAAAAATACGATATTCTCTGCAGCCCTGGAGATGCATGTAGATGTTTGAAAAAAAAAGAGTAGCCAATAGTCAGCAAAGAATTTTCATAAGGATTGTGTTTTAATCCCCAAGAAGCAATGATCGTTTTAACATCAGAAATGTGCTCAAACAATTCACAATGAACTTGTTGTGTTATATTTTCAATTTCTCCTAATGGCTAATGACAATATATAGTTTCACTACTTCAACAAAAATCATCCACAGTCAATATTTTGACAAAAATGTTGACAAATAGTGGTCGGGTCAGTGAATTGTTCATATGCAAATTTCAAATGCATATTTGCCCCTGTTTCACTAATCTATTATGTCAAACTTATTATGTCATACTTATTATGTCATACTTATGGGAATAATGCATTTTCTTTCTTCATTGAGACCATGCAAGATAGTAGTGAGAATTGCAGGAATTCTTTTCTTGCTGTCTTCTTCAGATATAAACCCATTTTCCAGCTGAAATATTTAACAGACTAATGGCATTAATAAGCCCTTATTAATCAAGCATTTGGACACCAACTCCAGGGGAAAATCGACAAAGGGGAAATGTTTATGTCTGAGTTTATAGAACTCAGGAGTAACTTTCACCTCAAGTGATGTAAGATATGCTGCGAGCTTCTTCACTACAGGTTGAAAGGCTTGAACTTCTGCAGACTCATCCAGAACAAAACAAACATTGAATAGAAGCGCATTGCGAGAATACTTTGCATTGGTTATACACACTGGATAACCAATAAACTTGTCACCAAATGCATTTCTGTTGAAAGAACAAAGAAAATATCAAACTCTATTACATTTGTCGTGGTGCAAAGCAATAAGTAATGATATGGCATGGTATGGTATGGTATGGTATGGTATGGTATGGTATGTTATGGCATGGTATGGTATGGTATGGTATGGTATGGTATGGTATGGTATGGTATGGTATGGTATGGTATAGTATGGTATGGTATGGCTGGCTTCCTTACTGGTAAAATATGTTTCACATTTAATAGCTAAACAATACATGAAACTCATCATCCTTAGAAACATCTAAGAAACTCATCACATCTCAATCCTTCAAAAAATCATCATAATGAATCTCACCACGTACACAGTAATGACTTTGCTTTGCAATTCAGGCTTGGTTATTATGTAGACTGCAATACAATCAAATGACTCCTTTGAAATGAAGTCTTCTGGCACCTGTAAACAAAATACGTGGATTTTTCATACCATATACTGCCTTCCATATAGTCAACTTTTGGAATGCGTTGACTAACCAGGCCAATGTGTGCACGGTGCAGTGTGCTTATGCTAATGCAGAAATATAGAGGTCTTAACTAAATGCACTTATTTGCATGGAAAGGACACATTAAATGAAATTTGTACAGCAGGTAAATGGCATATCACACAAAGGGAAAGTTTTAATAGCGCGAATATTACCTGGTAGACAATCTTAGGTCCAGCAATTGGGTGAAACTCGCAGAACATAATCGCTTTTATATTAATCGCCATGTGTTTTAAGTACAATGTGTAAAAACACTAAAGAAAGCATTCAACAAAGATAATAAAACTTTTGGCAATGTTTTCTTTCTCACACAACTCAAACTTGTAAAGAACATGATTTCTTTTCATTTGGGGATTATATTGTTTTATATTGCTGCATTTAAATAAAAATAAAATTGCCAACGTGATGTCTACGACCATACCACGAGGAAATCACCGGTTCTCGTCTGATCACCGAAGTTAAGCCTCGTCGGGCGAAGTTAGTACTTGGATGGGTGACCGCCTGGGAATACTTCGTGTTGTAGACTTTTTTAGATTTTTTCTTTTGATCAAAACTTACGAGGAAGTTTTATATAATAAATACACATTATTAAGACAATTCTCTCATTTATTGTCCAGTAGAATATTATTGTTATTGAAATACCCTGAGATAACGTTTCAGAAAGGATCAACATAAGACAGTTAAAATTTTTCTACCACTACAAATTTTTCTTCCATTATTTGGAAAACTTTGTAATTCACTGCAAAAAGGGAAATGAGCTACGCAACATAGTTTGAAGCGAGATCATTATGCATTTGGCCGAGTTGCCAAAATTTTCCACCTCGGAATTGAAGTGAGCTTTATTTCTAAGCCAAATCGTTGATAACAAAAAAAGATAACAAAAAATAACGTCGTTCGTCGTTTTCAATTATGAAACTCTTTGCAACAATATACAGCCAACTGGACGACATACTAAAGGCTTAAAAAAGTTTTCAATGATTTTATGAAGTGCAAAACAGGTTTCATTTCCGTAAACTAATGCTTATCACCAAAGGCGTGGTGGAGCTACTGCCACTTCAATAATTTTGCTGCCATTGAAATTTGTTTTCGAATCCCCTACGCACTTTATATCTCCGTGACTTCAGTGGAAATCAAATACCACTACCCCTCATCAAACACATGCTACGCGATCCCTGCTTCAGACAGTGAAATTAAAGCACTTTCTTGCAGTTTAGACCTTCAATGCTGCGTGCAACAAACGAGGATTTATTTGTCGCGCGGCAAGGCTTTTGTGACGTAACATAATGAGTAAAACGGCAACCATAGACGCGATCATTGATGATAACAATACAACATCTTTTGGCATTGAACAAAATATGGAAGAAACTCACGACAGGAATGAAACAGAAGCACAAAACATCATAAGAAATTGGTTCGAAAAACGTTCGCTTGATAGAGAAAACCCGGACATTGTGAGCTTGACAAGTGACGCAAGGTTTCACTCTATTTGCAAAAAACTCGAGCAAGTCGAAGGCGAAATAAACTCATACGAGCAACACCACAAACATGAATGGGAAGTCAGCCCGGGGAATGAAAAGAGAGAAATTTCGTTGCCCAAACTTAAAAGGAATGATAGAACTGAGCAGTCTAAAGATAGAACGTTGCTTGTTGCAGATATCACTAGAATTTTACACGAAATCAAGCAACATTTTTAGCTTGAATCTGTTCAGCGCAGAGAGTTAGTAATCGGTATTTACTTTTTGTTACAAATTTCATCATTAATGTATCTTTATCAAAATAAATATTAAATTAGATATTATATTTAAAGATAAAAACATATGAGTATGCCCGAAAACTATCTAACGTCAAGTTTCTTTAATGTACTGGCTTCAAACATCATTCAATGTGAATTACTAAGAAGTGAAATTTTAATTTTATAGTTCATTAGTAATAGTCAATGGTTCACGTTTGAATATCAAAACTGAAAATGAGGAGTGTAGATGTACAAGTGGTTAGACTGTGCTTGTACATTCCACCAATCAAACACGAAAGTTTGATGTGAAACATATATTTATTCTGTTTACTGCATAATTTGTCAGAATCAACCGAATTCAGGATAGATCTTATGTTTATTATGACATGACTTGACATTAAAAAGCCTTCGATTATCTATTCATTCTTTTGCCCTTTTTCGTTTGGATTTTCGAAATAACAGAGAAGTGCTTAGGACTTAACTGGTTGTACTAACCTCTAACAGGATAGAATCATCGCTGGAAAAAACAATTTTGCATGTGAATTTCAGCTTTCCAATGCCCAATTTTCTTATGAGCCAGAGCATCTAAACTTTTTAAAAATGTTTGAACTTTAAACTCTAAACTTTTCAAGTATTAATGCATTCATTCTGCCTCCATAAGCTATTTGAATTCTTGACAATATTATTGGTGGTCTTCATTCCTTCTTTCGAAATATCTTGTTTTCAATGTTCGCTGTTTTCTAGTAAGGTATTTTGTGAATTTGATTTCTTAGGACAAAAATTTTATCTTTGATGGTCTTTGACGTGTTGCAAAGTGTTTTATTCTTTGCTCCTTTCACATACTTGCAATGCAATGGTGACCTAGCAAAACCTAGTAAAACAGCTCTTTATCACAAATTGACCTTCAAAACGAATTCTTCCCGACAGCATCCTGGAGATGCATCATGTCATCACCTGCAAGTATGGATGGTCTTTGACACGTTGCAAATGAGGAATCAACGATTTATACATCATTTAACGCAAACGACAACTTTTTTAAACTTTTTTAATGCGTGCATGTTTCGGCAAACTTATGTATCATATTTCATTCTAAATTAACTCTATTTAATATATAATAAACCTTTTAATAACCTCGTTTTCTCGGTCTTTACTGAGAAATATCGGACCACTGTCTTTTTGTACAAACCTCGCCCTACGGGCTCGGTCTGTACAAAAAGAACTCGGTCCGTTATTTCTCCGTAAAGATCTCGAGCTCTGTTATTAAAGGCTTAATAATACATTGTATAGAATAATTTTTCTGTAAGGGGTGTGTGTTTATTTGACGACGGTCACCGCCTCGCGTGTATTGATCTTGCGTGTATCGAGTAGCGGCCAACCGCGTGATACCACGCGCTGTAAAAAAGGAGGCATTGTTTACAAACAGATATCTCCGTAAGTGAAATTTTACTCCACAGTTAATTAATGATTGGAAAATTCACAGTGTGAAATGAGTTCGATTGCCGAAATAAACGCTGTAAGGGTAAAAGTGTGTGTAAGTATATACAATTTCAATGCTTTGATTTTTTATCTTTTTGTTAAAATTTATTAATTGATTATACCTGTTAAAGCGTTATTATTCATGTGTAAATAGAATCTTGTCTTTATTATTCACATCTGGCTCCTAAAACTGCACTAATTTCGTTTTTAATTTGTCAAATTTTTCATTACCTCTTTGTCCAATAAGATGTGAAGACGAAACTTTTGTATTATTATAGCTGGAAGAAAATCCGGAAGACATCCGTCGTTTTGTGATTGATCCGAACATTACAACGTACAATGACTTGTGTAAATGGATTCAGCGAGCGTTTTATGTCCAAAGGTATTATATAATGACATTATAACCCACACAGTTGATGGGTGGTCTTGCGCAAAATGTAGTTGATTATTAACCATTAAACAATTAAGATTTTATATAAATTACATCATTTTTTAAATCTTCATTATAAACAGTTGTCATTGAAGGCATTCATATTTATCCACCATCATCCGCTATTGGTAAATAATCATTCCTCTAATCTCTCAGGACTGATTCATAAGAACTTATAGATCTCAATATGTTTACGAAATCAGTGAAGGGACTCCAGCACCATAGCCAGCCTGTAAGTCAACACAAAAAATTGCATAACTGAACTAATAGGCAGGCTGGCTTTGCCACTGAGTCTTTCCCAAAATTTAACAATCATGAAGAAGCTAGCATTAATGTTTGTGTTGTATGATCTCATGGTGAAGGAAAGAAGCAGGAAACTTGTGTTTGTGTTGTATGATCTCATGGTGAAGGAAAGAAGCGGGAAACTTGTTGATTTATGATTTGATTAAGATTCAAATGATGAAATATACAAGAAACATGTATGTTTGTAAACAAGCATTGAGAGGAATTCCTTCACAATTGCATCATGCAACAGGACATTTCTACTGTCCTCTAACTATCTTTTCACTTTCACAAAAAAGATGACAGATTTTGCTAATTTAAGTCTCCCCTGTATTTACAGTAAACGGAGATCCCTTTCTGTCAAGTTGCAGAAGGGATAGATCACCCATCTTCATAACAGACTCTTTTATAGCAAGTCCCTTTATTACCTCAATAAAAGAGTCTATTTAAGCAGAACTATTGAACCATAGAAGGTGGGAATCCAGTGGCATAGCCAGCCCACAAATTTGTTCATACCATGTAAATTTTCTTCATTAACATTATTCATTCAATGTTTGTAGATTTAGATTGTCCAGGTTGGTGAAGTCTAGAGAAGGACTGTTTTTGTTGTTGTTGACTGACGTTTCAACAACCTTAGCGGTAGTCATCTTCTAAGTCAATTATTCATTCCTTCAGAAACTTATTGTTTTTACAGTGAGTGTAAACCAAAAAATTTATATTGCATGAAAAACTTGTGTGCTGGCTATGCCACCAGTGGTGAGAACCCAAGCCCGACAATGTACATTTCTCAGCAAAATTATTATTTATTTTGCAAAATTAAGTCAATTGTCTTTCCAGTGATTGAACACAAAAATACTTGCATTGTAGTAGCAAAAAACGGGCTGGCTTTGCTACTGTATGAATCACAACAACTACTCTAGACTTTCTAACGAAGTGGCACCCCCTGGAACCTCATGGGGTCATGGTAAAATTACCACATGAAAAAGTTGGCTTTCTATCCTTTTGGCCAAGGGACTAACCGGCCAAAGGGGTATACAGTCCTGTTGACTGATGAAAAGTTTGAAGGGTGCGCTGTTTTCTTTTTCTGGGTGTTTTACTTATGTTTTAAAAACGTATACATTATTTTGTACAGGCATGTAGAAATCTTCTACAGACTTTTAAGGAGAGGTCGCCTGACAAACACTGCAATTACATCCGACGACGACCTTCACGAAGCGATAATGGCAACAACAAATTCTCCCTACCTTGAAATTGCGACTCGTGTCGTGGACGGACGTAAGCGAACTTGTATTTTGATAACTTTCAGCATTGAAATAAGACACGCACGAAATGATATGATTAGCTTTTTTAGTTGACTTGTACTTTGAAAAGTGATTTTTTTTCAATGATGTATTTTTAGCTATCGTGGAAAACAATAGCAATGATTGGATAGTACTGAATGCATTTGATATTCCCATGATAAAAGACATAAAATCATTTGGTAATAAACTCACCCTACCCATTGCATCTGCCTTACGGAAACGCTTTGAGAGCACGTTCTACCAGATAACCAGCGCATTCGTTGACACAACGCGCAAGACTCCGCTGGGTGTTGACGATTGGTCGACGCACCTCGACGACGATGGCCGCTTGATGAACCCCAAAGATTTGTGGGTGATTGTTTTCAACTGGGGGATCGAACCTCAATTACGGCATTACGTGTGGAAACATCTCCTGAACGTTTTCCCCGGATTTGACTCAAACAGAACGAGAAAAATTCTTGGCGATGAAATGTAAGGTGAGGACGTGCTGCAAGTTTTTATGGTATTTAGGGGGGGATTTTTACATTTCTACATCTCGCTATTCAAAAATTCCCAGGTGTACTGGAAAATGCTAGCCTCGTGGAAAAGAGAAGATCAATTGTCAAAAACCAAATCCCTCAGAGACATGGTGTGGAAGGATGTCACCCGTACAGATAGGACTTACCCATACTTCGATGTCCCTGACGACCACGATCATCTGACGTCATTGTTCAACATATTGGTCACTTACGCCGTACTTAACCCGGATGTGTCGTACGCGCAAGGCATGAGCGACCTAGCCTCTCCGCTGATGGTTGTCATGGACGATGAGGCCGTGGCGTTCACCTGTTTTTCAGCGCTCATGGCGCGCTGTAAGAAACACTTTCTTCCAGACGGCAAGGCGATGTCTTTAAAATTTGACCATCTCACGCAATTGGTGCAGAAATTTGATCCAGAGCTGTACAAGTGTCTGTTAAAGGTGACCATGTAGTAACCATTTATTTTCAGTCAATAAAAGAAGTACTAAGACATCCTGGCGTAAGACAAGTATCAACTGCTACGTAAGTCATACATGTCTTCCCTTCATGACGCATGCATGAAGTAAATGAAGTCACACATGTATGACGTCGACAAAAATCAGGGAAGATGAGTAACATCAACATAAGACAAGTGAACACATGAATGATGGAGGCACATGACATTGGAAAACAAGGGAAGACATGTATAACGTAAACATAAACATAACACAAAGAAAGACATGTATAACGTAAACATAAACATAACACAAAGAAAGACATGTATAACGTAAACATAAACATAACACAAAGAAAGACATGTATAACGTAAACATAAACATAACACAAAGACATGTATGACGTAAACATAAACATAACACAAAGAAAGACATGTATAACGTAAACATAAACATAACACAAAGAAAGACATGTATGACGTAAACATAAACATAACACAAAGAAAAACATGTATAACGTAAACATAAACATAACACAAAGAAAGACATGTATAACGTAAACATAAACATAACACAAAGAAAGACATGTATAACGTAAACATAAACATAACCTAAAAAGAAAGACATGTAAATAAACATAAACATAAAGAGACATGTATAAAAACATAAACATAACAAAGACATGTATGACGTAAACATAAACATAACACAAAGAAAGACATGTATAACGTAAACATAAACATAACACAAAGAAAGACATGTACAACGTAAACATAAACATAACACAAAGAAAGACATGTATAACGTAAACATAAACATAACACAAAGAAAGACATGTATAACGTAAACATAAACATAACACAAGGGAAGACATGTATAACATGAACATAGGACAAGAGAAGACATTTACGATGATGGCTGGACATATTGAGAAGACGTGAATGACGTAACTTAAGGACAGTGGCGTAAGTCAGCTCACAAATTTCGTCATGCAATGCAAATTTTCTGTGTTCGCTTACTCTGAAAACAATAGTTTTCTGTAGAAGGAATAACGATAATGCTTAAACATATCCCATGGGAACACAAGTGACATGTAATCCCAAAACAAGGGAAGACAAGTGAGCATTAAAACCATTAACTAAAGGCATACCTATATATTTTTAGGTTGATGCAGATGACATGTTTTTTTGTTATCGATGGCTTGTTCTTGATCTCAAACGTGAGTTTCAATTTGACGATGCCCTTTGGATTATGGAAGTCATTTGGAGTTCTTTACTGCCCCCACCTCCTAAAGATATACTCCAGTCTCCAAGCACCGAGACGTTTAACACAACGAATAACCTCTGCAATAACTCCAGTGCAATCTTGCGTTCAGAGGGTTACAACTCGTTACCATACTCTTATCACTCGCTCGTGTACGCAAACGACGACGAAAATTTTACTGATGAAGCGGAATGTTCACTAGTAAACCTGAACGATTTTGACGGGAAACTGGAATTGCTTAGTTTACCAGATCCTTATCATTTAGGCGACGGAAATCCGTTCGTTTTGTTTATATGTCTCGCCATTCTTATGCTAAATCGCGAACGGGTTTTTCAAGAGCAGGACTACAACTCTTTAGCGTCGTCTTTCGACAAAAAAGTACGGAAAAACGACGCCTTGAAGGTGTTGACAAAAGCGAGGAAACTTTTCTCCCAGTATCTGCAACATTGCGAACTTGTTGACAACAACGAATTTGTTTCGTTACAAAAGACGAGCAAAACAAAAGAAAAAGAACTATCGTTGTCGAAGGAGACTTCGTCCTCGAAAGACGCTTCTTCGTCGTCCTCGTGGTTCGACGATAATTCGTGTGCAATTGTGAAGAAGTCGAGCCTAGAGATACAATGTTAATGGCCACACGCCATGCCGTCGACTTCCAGGATAATAGTAAAGAATGGTTCGGCATTGCCGTTCATGTTTGAGAATGCTGTGTATTTTAAACTTTCCAATCATTCACTTTTACTTTACACTTTGGCAATGATAACTTCAAATTTCTCTGATAGAAATGAACAAATTCACGGCAGTCGCCATTCACGGCAGGATAAAGCATTGTTCAAGCAAAGGAGGATTAATTCACGAATCAACTTCACTGATAAATGACCTACGCTCTAACCATTAAAAAGTTATATATTTTTCATTTGTGGTCCAACTTCATATCTTAGCGTTTTCTTCCTGCAATCTGATTGGCTGTGCAAGCGGTGCGTTTGAGTCCGTATAAGACTTCAGAGCCGTTTTTTAGACCCCGTGACATAAGTCAGTAAACGACATATATACCTTACAGACTGTAGTAAATTAATTCTTGTTCATTTGTATGACACCCAACGCTGACTCCTTGCTGACAACTTTGCTTAACGTTTACACTATTGTGTGTCTATATAGTGTTATGTCCGTTGAAATAGCAGTGATCTTCTTCAGGTCTCTCTGTTTTCAGCTCTTCTTTTTATGTTGCTATATCCAATCATCGTCCTTCATTTTCGTCTTTTGCCTTCAACTCATATTCCCTGCGATTACTTCTTTTACCAAGTTATCAACAACAAAAATGATGGATGCAATTTACCTCTTTTTTAGTTATGATTTTATCAAACAACTCTTCCTTTTCATCTACCATTATCAGCACTTCCTTATTCGTTTTTGCCTTCTATCTAGCTTACTTCCTTTATCCATCCTTCTATCTAGCTTACTTCCTTTATCCATCCTTCTATCTAGCTTACTTCCTTTATCCATCCTTCTATCTAGCTTACTTCCTTTATCCATCCTTCTATCTAGCTTACTTCCTTTATCCATCCTTCTATCTAGCTTACTTCCTTTATCCATCCTTCTCCAAATCATTCACATAGTGCAACTAAACCACGATCAATAGGTTGTTGCGCGTGGATTATAAGCAATTTTATATTAAGAACAACGTCCGTGAAAACCTTTTTAAATTTTAGATTAGATTCAAAAATCTTTATAGTTTATAAACGAAAATAAATCCCTTCACATTGAACACTAATGAAAGAAACGTTGATCTTCTGCATGGTAATGTTATAATGAAAATGGTATATAAGAAATATATGCACTTATTTCCTTATTCTTGAGACATAATGAAGACGGTACGTCAGAAATAATGTACTTCATCTAGTTACAGTGAGGATGATACATAAGTAATCAATGTACTTGATCTCCTTATACTTATGTACTAACGAGAGTCGTACATCAGAAATCAACGTGATTGTTTTCCCTAATTTTCGAATGCTTATGTAATAGTGAGGATATCCAAGCAGCAATAGCGCTGGATCACCTTAAACTTAAATTTCATTGTGACGATGTTGCATGAGAAATATATTATACATGATATACATGTCATAACGATAATGAACATAAGAAGTCAATATAGTTGATCTCTGTGTCTTTATGTCATAGTGAGAATATTAAAAATGACGACGGTACATGTGTGCAAAATCAATGCACTTGACATGCCTTCCATATGTGTCTCTTAAGATCAATAAATATAAAATATTTATACTGTTTATACTCACACCTGTGGGAAGATGTTATGTAAAAAATCAACGTTGTCAATCATAACGTTTTAATGCATGCTGTGAACGCGATACACAGGAAGTCTATAGGTTTCGTAAAGTTCGTCTGAAGATGCACAAAAATAGCACTTTTCTGATGCACAGTGCTTATGACATACGCATGCGCCTCCGTATCCCAGAAGAATTGCAACTGATTTGACTTTTTCAAAATCTGTAAGATATAAGCCTTTTTAACCCCATGCTCTATTTATAATCTTTTCGAAATGTATTCACTGCGCGCTCAAGCCGGCGATAACAGCTGCACAACGCGGAAGTTTTCGTGAGCTATTTCACGTTTTTCTCTGTCGTATTCAGGAAGCTCCATGTGCATTTAAAAAGTGCTGACAGTTGACACACGCCCAACTTTGTTTTAACATCTTGAAAGGCAATTTCAAAATTCCTTAACGCAAGAGACTTTTCGCAAATTTCTGCGTATTAAAGATAAAAAGTCTTGTTTACTTTGTGGCACCGCAATCTTTCTCGAGCAATATCTTTACGTCATGTAATTGCGCTGTGTGCTAGGGAAGTTAATCAGTCGTTGGGCCGTCGCAATTAAGACAGTGTAGTTTATTTTAGACGTTCAAAAGCGTGTGTACGACGGACAAAAAGATCGATTCTCCACGAAAGGTAAGCGGAATGTCTAGATCACATCAACTTCATCTCAAAAACCTAATTTTGCAAATAAAACTTTCGATAAATCGAGATATGTAATGTAATGTACCTGTTTGCATACATGATTTTCGACATTGCGTTAGTATAAATGTTATTGGAGTGAAGATTTCGCCCCTGCAACGAACGGTTGTTTAACCTGATAAATGGTCAATTTGCAAAAGCTTTGACAATGCCTTTAAAAAATTTTTTCCAAATGTGATTCATATGTTTTTGTAATTGTGTGTATAGAGAAAAACCACAATCGGAGAAATCATCTTAAGCGAGTAAAATCGTTTGTTTCAGCGATCAAAACAACTTTCGTGTATTTTGCTACAGAAAAAACTTTTCAGTGCAGAAAGGCAATAACAATTTAATGCAGTATGTTAGGCAAACACAAAATTATGACACACGAAATATAATAATTAAAATTTCATAACGGCTGTTCGGAAATTGAATTCGTCTCTATTTACGTATACAGTTCAATCTCAAGAACATTCTAATGATTCTTTTGCGGTTAAAACAAAGCACAACAAATCAGAACATTTGAAGTTAAAGGATGATTATGTAGTCAGGTGCCAACGCGTGCATCAGTCATATGAATGTAAGAATTTCAACATTGTTGACCTGGATAATGCCCGATATCGCTTTATGGATGTTTTAGAGAGATAATTGAATCTGATGAAGGCTCACGTTCTTATAAAAACCCTAAAATGGATGTACGGAGTAACGGCAGCAGTTTAAAACAGATAACAATCTGTTTCCGTTACAGTTAGTCTGAAAAACAAGAGTGTTCTAAATTATCATGAATAAACATCGACTTCATATCAGCGATCAAAAATAAAATAAGCGAAAAAACCGTAAAACTACGCGGATGATTTTCCGCCATTTTTGCGAATCAATTCACGAACTAAAAAAAGACTCAAAACAGTTCCAGTAGATGGTTGATCCGTCAAATATCTAACACTGTATAATTTCTTCGTCGATTTTAGTTTCACAGCTAGAAGCAGTCGTTTCTAATGGTCCAATAACAAAAATGGAGAATGAGACAAGGAACGACGATGACTTATGGTCAGGAAAATGTTTCAAGGATGATGGTGTTTATTATTCGCTACTCGTCGTCGTCTCTTTCTTAACTACATACATAAATCTTGATGTTATCTTCACCATGGCCTCCAACAAAATGCTTCAGACGAAGAGAAATGCATTCCTGCTTAGCCTCAGCGTTTCAGATCTCATGACCGGACTGGTTTCCATTCCCCTTCATATCGCCTCGAACTGTCTTAATCAGCAGTTGCAAACTCTAATCTTGGCACAAGCCATCTGTTTCCGCTTTTTGGCGATTTCAACCATGCTGAACATCCTCATGATTACGATCGAAAGGTATATTGGGATACTCTATCCCATTAGATACCAAGTTATTCTCACGAAGACTCGCATGTGTATTCTGGTCACGTTATCGTGGGCGACTTCGATCTCGGCAGCCCTCGTGTCCTGCTCGTGGCTTATTACAGTGCCAGCCGGCAACGAAAACGTCCCTATGAGAGAGGCTCAATTCGAAAGAGCCTATTTCCTTTTCTCATTTGTGACATTCTTTATTCTACCACTATTCACAATGGCTATCCTGTACGCCAAAATGTTTCGTACTATCTCCAAAGCAAAGAGTCTCGAATCGAAGGCGCGGACGTATTTGAAAAAATTCGAGCGTTCGCAATCTTCCACACCGCGAAGTCACCTCGAGATACGAATCACGCGCCCACGGAGTGTTACAGTTGATTCCTATTTGAACCGTCCGTCTAGGTCTGATTACTTCCAAACATTATCACAGACTCCTACGAGCATGCGCAGCAGTTCACATTTAGCTGTTCATGAAAATCTGGGTAGTCTTCCGTCTTCTCCACATTGCTGTGAAACCCAATTACCGATGCTTATCACGGCACAAAAAGATTCATCAAATAAGCTGTCTGAACCGAAGCATGCACGACGTTTTCCGAAGTCCCCTCATCTAGAGCTACCTGTTAACGAGGCAAGTCGTTATCCCAAACATCATGGATCTTATGACCGCTTTCTCAACGTAAAAAACAAGTTTAAGTCAACAACTTGGCTGACAAACTCGACCCAGTCCATCGAGCTAACAAGAAGTGCAGAGCCTATAGGGAAATACCGAAGTGATGACGTAATCATTAATCGTCGAAAAAAAGAACACTCTTCGCTTGCTGACAGATTTTCCGATGTGTGCGAGTCAGCAGTGACAAAACTGCGCATGCTTAGACATGGAAGCAGTGAGGACCGTTGGAGTACAACAAAGATCAAAGGGGAGCATCGTGTACTCTTGGTATTCGTGACAATGTTGTCGGTGTTCGCTTTGAGTTGGATATCTTGGTACATAGTGGTCCTCGATTTTATGTACGGGGTCCACATACCGTCAGTGGTGTTGGATTGTTTTGACATCTTACGCTTCTCCGTCTCATTCGTCAACCCCATTTTGTATACGTTTTTCAAGAACGACTTCCGCTCTGCGTTCAAAAGGAGATTGCAGAAACTTTTTGTGCCCGCCAAAGACGCCAAATACAAACAAGAGTCGAAGGAAAAACTCAAATGCTAAATAAAAATTTTGCAGTAGCATTTCAACAATCAAGATATTAACTATTACTACAAGCACGTAACTCATGTAAATCGTTACTCTATCACTCCGTGCATAAACAAAATCGGTAGATGAAACCGCATGCACTTTCGCTAATATATACCAATATATCCGTGAGCAGGGCTTTGAATAGTCAACAGCAAATGTATTAGATGCAAAAAATTTTGATTCACTGTTCACATGACGTAAATTTTATACAAAAAGCTCTAAACTAAAGTATCACCAGTATCACCCTACGCTGTGGCAAAAAATTCAAAGTCTCATCACAAATTTGCTGTAGAGATTGCTTGTCTTTGTGTACACTTCATCTCAAAATAACAAGTCTTTCATGCGAGCAATATCGCAATCGCAAATTACGATCTCGTGAAAAAAGATCTTCAGTAAATTCCGTCAACAGAAGCTATGTGCGCACGCCCAAGCAAAATGCATAAAGATTTTAAGGATTACATGATAACGGACATAACGATCCAAATACGATGAGATTGGAGATAAAATCAAAAAATTAACGATAACAATATTATTAGCGGCGAAAATTCAAAAACAACACAATATTTCAAACAGCGTACTGTTCAAATCCGTGCAACAAATGAACGCTCAAGCTTGCAAATACAATTATGTTTGTCATTTTTGGTTGTTCAATATTATGTAAGTCAAACGTTTTCTATTGGGGGTGGGTGGGTGTTTGCACTCTTCAAAACAAAATAAAATCAAAATGAAGTACACCGACTTTTGTTGACGGCAAATTACAATCGTTTAACGTATACACAGCGTTCAAACACCCTACTCCCGAGGTTAAAATTATACTTATTCATAAAAACTCACAAATTCATTCATAAAACTTTAACGAACGATAAGGAGAACAGATGCTGGAAAACAAAAGCGCTTTCAAAAATGCAAACAAAACAAAAATGAACTTGACTGGGGGTCAGCGTATGTTTTCACACATGACAAACAAAGCGGTCAAGTTTGTGAGTGGCAAATTTTCTTGTATTCGTGCTCTCGCACCAATCATAATGCGCAGAATTCAAAAGCAGTAAACACATACAAAGTCTGAGCCTGCATTTTTAGATTTTTTTAACTTTAAAATTATTGCCTACGATTCTCTCACACGTTTTTTCAATTTATTGATAGGGGAGATAGTAACTTTCAAAATATTCCTTTAAAAATAGCAATCTTAAAATCGCAATAATGCTATTTTCGAATTTGCAGCTTTAGATTTGACAGCTGACAGTTGTGATTCCAAATAAAATTTCTTCCTAATGAAAATGTCACTCGATATGCAAGAAAATATTTCATGCTCAATGTGTATTCTTAACAGTCGCAGATCGTAAACTTTAAATCTCATGTACGATTAAGTTGTTCATACTGAGTTGCTACAACGATAGAAAGCTTTTGAAAGAAGACGACTAGAGAACAAATATACCAAATAGTATTGACTTTAATGACTTGTTGTGATATTTCCCAGATTTTCAAATTGGACACCGTAAATGCCTTGACATCTAAAACACTTTGATATGGAACTACTTCTCTTTCATGAGCACTTAAATTCACATCGTCATCTTCTCGACAAGCATGCACCATTTATAAAACAGATTTCTGGCATTTTTAGTATTGTATTCGCAAATTCAAAGCTAAGCCCGCTTTCTTTATCTCTTCTCATTAAAGGCTTGGGTCTTTTTTATAAAAATCCAGTGAAGGCTCCTCATCAGCTAACTAAAGACGACTGCACATACATAGATATATGAGTCAAATTCAATACTCTTGATGCTTCTGCAAGAAACCTCTTCGTTCCTACGTTTTTGTTGCCGAAACAACAAATAGTGTGCTCAGTTTTTTCCGACGATCGGGACATTGTCAATACCAACATAATAATCAATGTTTGGGTTCAAGGCTCAATCGACAATGTCCAATAGTTCCACCATTGCCTGAACTACCATTGTCCAATAGTTTCATCATTGCCTTAATTACCATTGTCCAATAGTTTCATTATTGCCTAAATTACCATTGTCCAATAGTTCCACCATTGCCTGAATTACCATTGTCCAGTAGTTTCACCATTACCTGAATTACCATTGTCCAGTAGTTTCACCATTACCTGAATTACCATTGTCCAATAATTTCACCATTACCTGAATTACCATTGTCCAGTAGTTTCACCATTACCTGAATTACCATTGTCCAGTAGTTTCACCATCACCTGAATTACCATTGTCCAATAGTTTCACCATTACCTGAATTACCATTGTCCAGTAGTTTCACCATTACCTGAATTACCATTGTCCAGTAGTTTCACCATTACCTGAATTACCATTGTCCAGTAGTTTCACCATTGCCTGAATTACCATTGTCGAGTAGTTTCACCATTGCAAACATTTGATGCAGAGACGCCATTTTGTGTTCGAAATTCCCGATTCAACCCAGTCACGTCAACATGGGCGTCATTTGTCTCGGAAAGTTTTTCAAACTCGTTATCAAACGGTGGCAAATCACAGCCAATGTAGGAATTATTGTCCACACAATAACGCAAAAGAGCACGCCAGTAATAATCCTGAAACATTTGAGTACGTACATTTATAAATGGATCCGGACTTGTCTCGAGAGTTCAAAAGCTATATATAACATTTTGTCGTAATTTAGCTACAAGTTTATGTTAAAAACTTCCACAAAACTTCATTTGAAGTAAAATTTTTTTGATCGGAAACAACTATTTCAAAGTTTCGCACATTCTAAGTGTTATCACATTTATGTTTCACTAAAAGCCGGCCGTGTCCTAGAAATATAAATTAACGAATGTTGTCCGTGTCCTAGAAATGTAATTTAACAAATGTTATCCGCTGATTATAGAAATGTATAAATGTTAACAGAACGACGACTTAAACCTTTGTGCTGCTATATAGATTCGGAGGCTGGCTTTACATTCCGAATGAAAGAAATAGACCGAGGCAAAACCACTGTATCCAGAATTTCATCACTACTTTGGCTTTGACCAAATATAGTGTAGTTGCTTTTGTTTTAAATATATTTCAGTTCATTCAATTAGATCATCGCGCACATATTAATGATCAATTGAGAAACGATTGAAAATCGTCCTTCAGTGAATGGACTTCATGTTTGTCAACATTGCCTTTCTCCCTTCCTTTTTTGCCGGTAAAAAATAAGACCTCACTTATCCTCGAGAGCAAGACGAAAAGATGCAAAAACTTACGCATAGTGAGCTTTACAAAATCGCATGTGTGAATAAATTATCCTACCTTAATCAGAACGTGCGGATTGCCGACAATGATCATCAATGCTTGAGCTCTGGTTATAGCGACGTTGAAACGTTTCGGATTACTGAGAAATCCAATATTGTGTGAGCAGTCAAATTGTACCATTGTCCCACTTGACCTTACCTAGGAGAACCGTTAAAATTATGATGTTAATTATGAACGATAAGTTGACATGCTAATTTTTCAATTACTTTTGATAAAACACTATATAGACTGGAATAAATAAAAACTTAAGTTTCGACATCATGCAGATCACTCCAGATGAAGACATTAGACTGGATTATACAAGGACTCAAGTTTCAACATCACATTACTCCTGTTGAAGACATTACACTGGAGTATATCAGGACTGGAGTTTCAACATCAGATCACTCCTAATGAAGACAATAGACTGGAGTATATAAGGACTCAAGTTTCAACAACAGATCACTCCTGATGAAGACATTAGACTGAAGCACACATGAAGCTTTAGATCATCAGATCACTGTTAATGAAACAACAGACGGATTGTATACGGACTCAAATCACAACACGAGATCATTCCTGATAAAGACACTAAGCTGTAGTATAAATAGACTCAAGTTTCAACATCAAATAACTCATAAAAAAGATTTGGAGATGACGATGTGATGAGCCATTCACTTACAGTGGATATGATAATCACCAATCTTTCTTGTCCTTGAAACTCTTCAACAGAACCAACTTTGATTTCACTCATACCCAGTCTATCCAACAGCATACGTATCTTCTCTACCTACGAGCAAATCAAAAACATAAAGAAAACATTAAAATCAGCGCAATCGAAATGATAATGCTACATGATATAAAGAGTATATAAGACCGCAGACATATTTGATTTTTCCTTACCTGTTTCCTATAAGGTGTTATGATTCCAATGTCATCTAAGTCAACGGGATGTTTACTAAACTTTCTTAAATCCCGAGCGTAACGGATGACTTGCACGGCCTCGACTGGGTTGAACCAGGATGGACTGTTACCTTCGCGCATGTCTTCGCCCTAAAACAGGCGAGATGAACACAAGTCATATGTGAATCAATGAGGGACTCCAGCATGCATAACATCGAACAAATAAATCACTTGAAACTCTATGAAATGTATAAGTTTTATTAATGTCACAATATTTGTGTTAAGGCAAGCACTTTTGCATCTTTTGGTTAAGATATTTTGGCTTGTAAAAAAAATATGAATGACAAAAAAGTGTTTCGAAGAAGGCTCACATAAAGTGGTTGGCACAAACATAATAAAAACGCTTCAAAAAACCAATTTTAGTTTATGGGTATTTTCAAAAAGAAAAACACGAAGGAAATGAGGCTCGCCCCGCATAAAAATATAGACTTAGAAACATTGTAATGAATTAAAATATTCACCACGAAGTACATACAAAAACTATCTAGAACACTTAAGTTAAAATTAGCAAAATCTTAAAGAACCTTCTATGATCAGTCATGCTGAGTCATCCCGACTTTTAAACTTTATACCGACATTTATTTGCTTTCTTATTTTAATCCATATTTAATAAAAATACAATTGGCTAACTAATTTATATAAAACGGCAGTTGATATAGATAGAAAGTGCATACTACAAAATGATGTTCCCAATTAGACAGTAATGAGGAGCCTAACACTATCTTTATTGTGACTAATTTGTTAGCTCGAGACATATTAATTGGCGACTTCATCAATTAAACTTCAACATTGTCTAATTTCTTTCATATATTAACTAGTGTCAAAAGACAATTCACGTCGACTTTTCTATGCATATTCACAGAAATTATTTAAAAAACAGACTTTTCCATCCTTTTACGCATTTTGTGTTTCCCACAGTCGCAATTGTTTCCCACAGTCGCAATTGTTCGCACAGGGGACCTCTCCTATTGCACGAACCTTTTTACGTTCTAAAGTAAAACAACTCCGTTATAAACTTTCTTTTCGAAATGTTTTCGTGCTTACTAAAGAGCTTACTGAATAATCTACACTATTTCAACATTGAAATGAAAAATATACAAAGCATCGAATTAAACTTATAGCAGCTTCTACGAGTGAACAATTATGACATTGCACACGTCGCAATAAATATCTTTATTACACAAAGAAAAAGAAGCAATAAAAGTCGACAAGACTTGAGTTAATTTGAAGAGTGGCTGGATACCATGCCCATTGCGTGTATTTGCAATAAAACATACGTACTTTAACGCCATGAAAAAGCAATGGAAATCCTCCATCCTTTTTTGGCAGAGCGTCCCATTCGCACAAACAGTTCTTGAGGCTCTCTTCGGCACAAGAAATCATCTCTGAATGATAAAAGAGACGCGAAGATATCGCAAGTATCGCTTCGTGAGAACGATAGTTCTGAACAAGTTTTGTCACGACTAAGGGATCGTAACAGCCGTGGTTCGAAAACTTCCCGGGATCTCGAAGATACGGTATTCGCGACATGAGTCGCTCTAACAGCGATAAATTTAAACCATATGTTTGAGTGATTGGAGAACGGAGAACAGCCCCAAGTTGATGAAGATCACCGCTTAGTACTATCTGAAATAAAAGTGGAAACATCAGTTCATGACTGAGTGCGATGACCGCTCTGATTATGTTGTCTACAATAAGGTCTTGCTACACGCTCAGTAAATTCTCTAAAAATTTGTGCACACATTGGAACTTGTTAAAAAGAAAAACGATGTTAAACAAATTTCCTCCAAGATGCGAGGATAATTTAGTGTTGTACAAACACACAAAAACAATACCGAATAACGAAACTGTGGAGTAATTTCCACAAAAATGGCAGAGCGAGTAAAGCACAAATAATGCGGGTATTGCCGTCGATCAACAAATACTTTTACCAAATCCCGTGGTGCAATGCGTGTGTACATAAAATAAAACATGATAAATCTGTTGTATGATAAATCTGTTGTATGTACATAAAATAAAACTATGATAAATCTGTTGTAAAAATACTCATCATTGCATGCAACTTGCAAAAGCTAAATCACACAATACCTGTCCCTCGGAGCCAGCCAATAAAGAGATTGGAACTAGACATTCAGGTTCCGTCGCTTGTCCAGCCTTAAAACATTAAAATAAACACTATGACGATGATGGAATAGTGGCATTGCACTTTCCTAAAAGTCACTAGGCTAAATACTTGGTCACGACATTTCTTTGTAATATTAAATTAAATTAACAATTGCCATTTGTTATGTTAAGGTACATCATTAAGTAAAAAAAGCAATAAGTAGGGTGCAGTTGCGAGTCCAGGGTAGGTCAGAAACATTATTAAATATATACCTCAATTTTAAAATACTTTAGAGCAAATCCTATTGGGAATATTTCAACTATTCTTAAGAAATTTCCAGCAACTAGTGTGGTTGAAAAAGAATTTTCAATTCAAAACGAGCTTCTACAATTTATTTTGACCTACCCTAGATAGGATAGTCTTCAAAAAGAAATGTTCTCAACTTACCTCGTCAACTAAGACGTGAGTAAAATGTCCCGTTGCCAATCCAAGCGTATGCAGCTGACCGGCAGTAGTGCAGGTGCATATGACGATACGAAAATGAGCAGCTACATCAAGTTTGTCGATATTCGTGCTATAATTCTCGATATCTTCCGGGATACTTTGCTGACGTTGGAAGGCATTCAGCCTCACCATGTCACCACCCTTTATTGCACCACTGAGATGTAAACGTTCAGTCTACAAATGATTAAATTCGTACATGGTCAAATCTTGAGCCTGCAGCCACAACTTTATAAGCAAACGATCAATTAAGGTATTCGGGTCTCAACAAACTGACCAAAATCACCGGCCAAAATTTCCTATAGATCGCGCACATTTCCAGGCCTTCCACAACAATCATTGATCGGTTTTTCCTTCAATGCTTTTTTGAAACATTTAACGTATAATTTGTAAAGAAAAACCGCGTTTTCTTTTGAAATTACGTGTTGGGTGAACTTGGATCGAAGTAGGCATTGATTCCTTTTTTATATACGTAGTGTTTTGATTAGATCCTTTAGCCTAGATTTATATTTTTGTGCTAGCCAATTTTGCCATATATGGATTTCCCCCAAAATACAATAGTGATGAATAAGCGCTTTGAACGTCAAACATGAAGATCTCAAACCAAATTTGATGTGTTTACGTTATCGAAGCAAATGATGTAGCTATGCATATTAGTCACCGGTCAAAAAACCGACTTTGACAGAGCTTAAATGAATTTGATAAGTGATCTTGACCGTACACACTTCGGCCGTTATTCTGAGCCTTGAGTACTGATTGGTACCACGTTGTAATAATAAAAGTTACACAGTATTTTACAGGCCGCCATGGTAGTGGAAAAACCATAAACTAACCATAAACCATAAGCTCCATGCAAACACATCATACATCGTCCAGAGAATATACATTTTTGAGCAAGGCCGTCAAACTCAACGTTGACGCCATCATTCAAAAGGAATTGGACAAGTTAAAGATGCTGCTTATTGACTTACAATGAGATCTGCTGCGCTGTTTGAAGGAGTGCAAACGAGAATTCTACTTTCACTGAAGCGATGAAATATCTGTAAAACATTAATATCGCTAATATTCGGATGAAAATAGTATCGCCTATAATGCACATATAAACTCAAATTTCAACATGCGATCACTCCTATATTGAAAATACGGTTCTATAGAGAATATAAGGCGTACAATTTCAAAGTCAGCAGATGAACACGAGTTGTAACATCAGACATTGCTCTTACTTGAAGTATTGTTTCAACAAGAGTGACAGTCTTGCCAGTGCCAGGTGGCCCAAACAGAACATAGGGCATTGGCCGAGCAACACCTATAAGAATTCGTCTAACAGCCGCCCGTTGTCGCTCGTTCAACTTGTCGTCAAACAGGCGCTTGTCGTGGTTACTTGCCTGTAGAGGTAGTTTAGCGATCGCTTCGTTCGGGAACAAAACTACAAGTGTTCCAAACAATGTGTATTATTTATAAGAAACAAGGCTAACTTGCTTCTAAAATTTACGATCTAAAACACCTCACGATTAAGTTGTAATCAACGAGTATCAAATTGTACAATCAAAGTTGTATTTTCGGCTTATTCAAATAAAGAAACATCGAAAAAATCTTGATGAAATACTTCTTCAAGAATCAAGCGAATTCAACTGTATGTCGGTGAAAATCAAATGCACATTTTTGCGCATCTCTTCTAGCCTTGGCGATTTCCTCATAAAAAAATAATACACCAGACAATTTCCCTAAGTAAAGTACTAGTATGACAAACAATTAACCAGAAGCAATTGTCATTAATGTTTAATGGAGCACACTTCCTAAAATCTCCAAATCAATAAAAGATTTAGAGATTTTAACAAAAATATCTGATATGTCACGACAACAATTGGCCAGTGAAATCGAATCGAAACCAGAGCGCTCTCTTTCTCCCCTTCTAAAAGGCATTATGGATTCGTCCATCCTTGTATCATGGATCACGGACGCCTGATTAAATATACTCTTACAACGCTCAAAAGGATTTTAAGAGGATAAAATCGATATTCGAATAATACAAGTTTATGCGTGGATACCTTGACTGCCAACAAATTTCGATGCCACATCGACGGCCTTGTGACATCGCCTTAGAGGTGTTCTGAACAAAAAGCACAAGCCATGCGAGAATTGCTCATGTGATATTTTACACAAAACTTGGAGTCACAGATGTAAATAAAACTTGCACTCCCCTCGCAAGTTTTCCTTGAGTTCATCAAACGAGATCATATTCACAGCAAATGTTCAAAAACATTATATCTAATAAACGCACCCTTGAAGTGCGAGTTTGCATAAACGCCTGTCTTTGATAAACGCCCGTTTCTAATAGACGCCCCACCACACGTCCATTGTTATAATATCATTATAATAGTCTGTCGCTGTGTGGGCTCAGAAACCATATATTTTGTCCTTGTGTTGTTTTCATTTGTTCACACTAAGATAATAGATTATACAAACGCCTCTCTCTACTAAAGCATTGTATTAATTTAACGCCCCACCCCCCGGAGTTGCTAGAATTTATTAAACACCTACGGCGTTTATTAGATCACTTACAGAGTATCTCTTAAAAAAGACTTGTGAATTGTATAAAACAACGTTCAACTATAAAAACTTATAAAACATCTATATAGACTTTTGAAACAAGTATAAACCAACAGAAATTCTCACGCAGTACATAAGGAATAGACTTCCAGTTGCGTATTTTATTCATTTTGAGAGCAACATGGTCTGTGCACTCCTGTGCATCGGCAATATTCAAAGAAAAGTGATTTCTTTGCTTTACACGCACCTGTTAAAGAAGAACATGACGTCACAGGAATCCTCGTCATAGGTCACGTGAAACTCCTCGTGGAATCTCAGTAAGACTTCTGTACTCATCACCTGAATATATTATAAATAAAAACAAATAATTAAATGTAAAACTGTGATAATAAAAAATTCCTTGGAAGTGGCAAATGCAGCTTGATGCAAACACTTATCTTGAAAAACATGCAGTCGATGATGAATTTGTAAAATCTCCTTACAATGCGACAACTTTAATCACAACCGTTCTTAAGCGAGATTACTTAAACACATATATCGACCAATACCTCGTGAATAAAACCTTCATATTTCGGAGAATTGTTTGAACCATCTGAAAAAATTACGTAATGATTTTAAGAATATGAAAACATAAAATGGAAGGCGAAATTCTGTGAAAAGATTTAATTTGTTTTATTTGTTTCCACAATTTTTTTCGAGCAATAGCCAGCTAACCCTCCAGTTTAAATGGTTTGAAGTCAACACACATACCACTGACACACAAAATAACACGATCACCAATAAGCAGTGACGGTCGACCTTCTGCCAATCCTGGTACAAAAAGACTCAAAAACTCGCCAAATGGTTTCAATGTCACCTAAAATATATAAATGAAATATTGTTATGACAAAACCAATGAAAACATATGCAACACGATATGCAGTGGCGGATTACTCTGTAGGCTAAGCAGGCTGAAGCCTAGAGCCTAGAGCTTTTGAGAGGCACGTTGTATCTTGACATATTTAGTTTTTAGTTTTTGCCATTCCGGACAAGTTAAATGTTCTTAATTTAGACCATGCATTTATGCTGTTAAAAACCTTATGATCTAATGTTCAAATGCACGATGCTCAGAACTCATGAAGTTTAAACTTTAGATTTATTCCTTATTGTTGATACTATGAGTTACAAAAACAAGCTGGGAAATGCAAACGACAAAGCGTAAGAAACGCAAATGTCATCAAGACACTGAACATAGTGGGAGGAGTAGATATCCGACTTAAAGTCCAACAACTTTGTTTTAGCCTACAGGCCCCGTAATTAGTAATCCGCCATTTACAACATGCCTAATGGTAATGCAAAAACATTTAAAAACGATGTGTTGTTGGAGAAATGATGTCAATTCCAAGCATCGGGTGCATGTATACAAACTACAGCATTACACGAAAAAAATGAAGCTAGTGATACATAAAAAAGACGATATTTGCTATATTAAGTGGTACAGTGATAAAGTCAAGACATTTCAAGCATTTGATGAAAACATTAACAGAATTTACAGTGGATATTGGAAGACATTTAAAGGATGCAATCAAAATGAGACGAACCCCTTTCATATCAAATTCTCGCATTTCCAATTCCATTTGAACTTCTTCGGCATGCAATAAGACGGAAAACCTTTCCTTGTAATTTCTCAACGAAAGCAGCTAGAAAAAGACAGAAAATATAGAACAAAGCAACAATTAGTAAAACATGGATTCTAAACTTTATTATCAAACACAGTACACACGCTTAACACGAGTGTAAATCGATAATAGTACGGTTGTCATATCCAGGAATCATCATTCTAAATCCTAAGTATTGTTGAGACAGGGATTGTTCAAAATTTTCGGAAGGAAAACTTTCGAAACAGGTTTTGAAAACTGGTAAGGGAAACCCATTTTACGTAAAAGACTGTATCAAAATATTTCTGTTTATGTTTCACATTTGTCGAAATACCTGCAATAAACAAGGTACAATAGAAGATAGATCCGTTTTGTCCAAGATATTTTGCCTCAAAGTTCGGGGAATTTCGAATTGGTCCAACTTCGTGGAGATGTTTATCGACTTCTGCCTAAAAAGAAAAATGCCATAAATCTTAAATGTTAACAGGAGGAATTACGGAAAGAACGTCCAAAAGAGCCTACTTTATACAAGCTTCGAGAAAAACATCAGTAGCTACAAACTTCCAAAACAAACGTTGGGGAAACAACCTCGAAACAATTTTAGAGCTCTCGGACAACAGTTTGAATAATTACCAATAAATATTCCAAGTCTGTTTTAAAAAGGCAAGTTGAAACCGACAACAACATGCAACGATGCTTTACATCAACTTCATGCAACTGTAATGGTAACAAAATCGACAATTTTGGCTTTTACAATCACGCGAGAGAACATTGGAAGTGATTGACAATTTAGATGCAAAAGGATTTATTTGCAAATCCTGAAGACAAATTGCAGTATTTGTTGAACACCTTTGGTCAAAACAGTGAAATAACTTTATTACGAAAACTGAAATTCAGTTATGATCCGTTTTGTGCCTGACTGCCTCCAATATTTTGGGAAGTGTACATTGAAATGACATAGATACTAAAACCTACTACAGAATATCAAGAACTATGATGTTACTATAGTTTTATTGAAAACAAAGACAAGCCTGCCGGGAGGGGGTAGGTAGGGAATTTTGCCATGGACTGGGGAGGTAAAAGAGCATCTAATTGAAGACAAGACCTCCACTTAAGAAAATAATAGTTGTTCTGACTTTCAAGACATGCATGTAGCACACATTTCATGCAATCGCAAATGTTTGAAATCATGACGTCACGGGAGCATGGGACAGTACCACGGTTTCACAGTTTCTCCAGTACTCTTTACAGATGTACCATAAAGCTAGAAAAAGTTCACGCACTTGAACATTGGTCTTTCTCCTGGAATCACCCATTGCCGACTGTTTCTCATTTCAACGATCTTGTTCAATGACTCTTTCTTGTCGACGAACTTCCTACGGTGATATGGTGTTTTTGCATCGAGCAACTGCTGCCGTTCGTCACGAACAGTCGCTTTGAAAAAACGACCGATTTGAAAGTCGCCAAAATGAAATACGACCATTTGTGAAAATTCGCCCAAAAGTCTAAAAAATGAAAAGATTTAAAATTTAAGCGAGAAGCCCGACACAATTGCAGTGGTTCGTCAATGACATCAACGTGCCTTTTGACATAATGCCTAAGGAGTTCTGTATATATTTTTATCGAAAACACAATTTTAGCGGTGAAAAGTACTTGAAACATTTCAAAAAAACAGAGCAGTTTGCCGCATAGCTAATTGAGCTACTCACTCACCTTGATTTAAAACTGACTTTAAATTCTACCAAACAATTTGACGTTATGAGGACATCAAAAGGAATTCCACCAACGTGATCAAACGTCGAAGACCTGCTGACGTTAACATCTTCCCCGATCATTTTTATCTCAAACACATTTCCCGTCGACATTAAACCTTCGATTGACTTCAAAACGACCGAAAAATTACCATTGTTTCTGAAAGAAATACAATCGTCCGAATAAAAAATCCTTTGAAATATTTTAGAAGCGAGCACAAGAGTCGAGCAGGAGCTGCAACAGATTTCATACGAAGGAGGCTTCTATCTTCATTTCTTGTTGAATACTAGAATGAAAAACTACCTCGAGGGCAAGAACAATTTTCATTCTTTATTGCTCCTTTTTCCCCGGGGAACTTCTATTCAACTAACCTTTACTTTACTCAGCTAACCTTTACTTTATTCAGCTAACCTTTACTTTATTCAACTAACCTTTACTTTACTCAGCTAACCTTTACTTTATTCAGCTAACCTTTACTTTATTCAACTAACCTTTACTTTACTCAGCTAACCTTTACTTTATTCAGCTAACCTTTACTTTACTCAGCTAACCTTTACTTTATTCAACTAACCTTTACTTTACTCAGCTAACCTTTATTCAACTAACCTTTACTTTACTCAGCTAACCTTTACTTTTTAACTCAGCTACTTTACCTTTACTTTACTTTACTCAGCTAACCTTTACTTTACTCAGCTAACCTTTACTTTACTCAGCTAACCTTTACTTTATTCACTTTACTTTATTCAACTAACCTTTCTTTACTCACCTAACCTTTACTTTATTCAACTAACCTTTACTTTACTCAGCTAACCTTTACTTTACTCAGCTAACCTTTACTTTACTCAGCTAACCTTTACTTTACTCAGCTAACCTTTACACTAACCTTTACTCAGCTTTATTCAACTAACCTTTACTTTATTCAACTAACCTTTACTTTACTCAGCTAACCTTCTTTATTCAACTAACCTTTACTTCAATTCAACTAACCTTTACTTTACTCAGCTAACCTTTAGCTAACCTTATTCAACTAACCTTTACTGAGCTTTACTCACCTTTTTAACCTTTACTTTATTCAGCTAACCTTTACTTTATTCAACTAACCTTTACTAACCTTTACTTTCAGCTAACTTTACTTTACTTTACTTTATTCAGCTAACCTTTACTTTACTCAGCTAACCTTACTTTCTTTACTCAGCTAACCTTTACTTTACTCAGCCTTTACTTTATTCAACTAACCTTACTTTACTCAGCTAACCTTTACTTTACTCAGCTAACCTTTACTTTACTTTACAGCTAACCTTTACTTTACTCAGCTAACCTTTGTAACTAAATTTGAAATTGACAGCAATAAATTTCAATACAAATAACAAACAAAAAACTACATAAAATTTTGAATTGTTTCCAAGTTAAATCTAGTAATTGTGTAGAATAATGTCACCTGACCGTTTTGAAATGAACAATTTTGGGAGCCTGGAGAAGGTGACCGCGTCTGCTTCATCGAGGTGACCGTTCAGTAAAGGTTAGTTGAATAGAAGTTACACAGTTGCCCCCCCCCCTCCCCTAAAAAATGGAACCTGTTTAAATAATTTAGTATCCACAACTATTTGTTCCAGTGAACTGTAATATTAACTGGAACGCTATAACAGGGCTAAAGGCCATTTTGAAGCCAACTATGATGCCTTTTATCTGCGTTTTTAGGCATATTACCTAATATCGTGAGGTAAAACTTATCATGGCCATTTGTGCTACAGTATTTTATGTTTATCGTTGTTAATTTGTTAAAATAATATCATGGAACTTCTAAAAACGCAGAAAAACTATCATCAGTACTGGCCTCAAACTTGGTGGCATAGTTAGCATTCCAGTTAATATTACAGTTCAGTGGCTCAGCGTGGTTAATTTAGTTTGACGCTGGTTTCAGAAGTTTGTCGACGTTCGTTGCAACTTAAGAAAAATATGATTACCTTCTCAGTGTGGCTGCTACAACTCATTAAACTGTTTTCAATGCTAGTTACATTACTGCGCATGAGAATTTTACTAAATAGATAATTTCCGCATAAAAATTTTAGCACACAAATAAATAAATTTATACGAGTTCCATTTTCTTGGGATACCCTCTACAATCTCTTATGAAATTTTCGGGACAGTGCAGGATGTCATGTTAGCGAAGGGTGACCTAAATACGGTGTGTCCCTTAACACAGGTTCAACTTTACCTTATCGAAATCATCATATCCTGACTGTGACCCAGTATGACATCTGGAAAATTGATATCTTCTGAAATTTCAACTCCACCTTTGTTTTCCAGGAGTTTCATTGTAAACTTGCTTTGGCTTATTTGAGTCGTTCGTGAAACAAAAATAGAGCTAGGAATTACAAAAAATATTGCTTTGGTTTACTTGAGTCCTTCGTAAAAACAAGGAGAGCTAGGAATTACAAAAATTGAAAAATAATGTTTTGGAAAAGTCAAAATTTTTAAGCACGCAAAGCCCTGATGTTAAATAGACCTTTTCAAGGTTATCGCAGCCATATTGCAGGGGGTGCAAAAACATTGGGCCGAGCGCGCGGTCACGCATGGCGTCCATATAAATTACTAATAAATGCTCAAAACTTGCCCTTATACATATTGGCCATTTCTTTCAAAAATATTTCTCAAACTCGTCCATTTTAATAGTCGAATTATTATTTGCGATTTTTCACATATGTGAGTCCAATTTTGTGGTAATCAAAAAGCGGAAAGTTAAAAAAACATTTGTTTTCTTTGAACAACTTGACCGTCGTTTGAGCGATGTTCTTCAGTTCGCAACACACGCACATGTCTACAGCAAAGTCAGCAAGTATCGCGAGGAACTATTCTACGGCAAACTCTTATTAGTATTTCCAATTATTTGTAAAGAGACATTGCTATTTTTATTATTATGTAAAGCGACTAAACAGCCAGAAGAAGAAACAGCCAAGTATTCAAATACACACTTAAAACTGTTAGTCGATGGCAGGCCGGTGTGAAACCTTACATCATACTCTCTCGTCAACTGTTCCAATTCCAAAGGGACAGGGAGTAAAGATGCCTCAGATTTTGCTAGATTTCCATCAAAACTTGAATCAGAATCCTCGGTGTCATAGGCTTGATGAGGACGCTTTGATGTCGTCCATGTTTCTCTTCGTTTACGTTTAAGCAGAGTCCTCGATTGCTCGTACTCTGATAGCGTAATAAAAACCGAAGGATAATCCGTTCCGCGGTTATTTGGGGTTCTTCTTCCCAAGGGAAAATAATTTGAGCAAATGAAAGTCCCTTGTGCAAATGAAAGGGCTTTGGGTTAAAGTCATCGACTCTGCTGTTTGCAATTTGTTTTCGCAAAATTTCAGCAAGTGCTTGATCTTTGGGCCACTAATGGAAAACTAACTTTTCTACGTGAGACCTCTTAACTTGATAATCAGGATAGCGTTTATCATTATCGCAATATCCAACTGCACAACGCGCATTTTTTACCATTTCGGTTATGACTGCTCACAGCTACTCGGCTAGTTTAGGGTTTAGTTCGTTTGACTTGGCTTATGAGTTCCGCACATTTGCGAACTCAAGAACATCGCGCAAACGACGGTCAAGTTGTTCAAAGAAAACAAATGTTTTCTTTAACTTTCCGCTTGTTGATTACCACAAAATTGGACTCACGTATATAAAAAATCGCAAATAATAATTCGACTATTAAGATGAACGAGTTTGAGAAATATTTTTGAAAGAAATGGCCAATATGTATAAGGATAATTTTTGCGCATTTATTAGTAATTTATATGGACGCCATGCGTGACCGCGCGCTCGGCGCAATGTTTTTGCACCCCTGCAATATGGCTGCGATAACCTTGAAAAGGTCTATTGAAACAGTGTTTACATTTTTCCTCTGACATTAAACGACGATTGATTTGCAAATTTCTTTCACTGATTTCATTGACTAAGCTCATATTGGTTTGCACTGGCCAGCGCGGGGCTCAGCTTTTGACCAATCAAAGCACGTGTTTGTGTACAGCAACAACGTATTATTGTAAATTTTTTTTAATGTTTTATAATAAAACTAACATCCGTCTGTTAGATGACGTCACTATTCATGACATGTTTATTGTCGGATTAGAAACGTAGTTTTATCAAAACTTAAAGAATAAATTCTAAAAAAGGAAATTAATACCAGTACCTTAAAGCCCCTGACAGTCTAATGGCAGGTTTCATAAAGCATTAATCAGCTTGTAAAGCAATAGCTTTGTAAGCCTATGGATTTGAAAACTCCATATCATAAAACAGATTTCTTAAAAGCACTATATACATCAGGCATTTCAAGTGAATGACATGTTTCTTTAAAGTAAACATGTTTTGGCATGCTTATGCCATCTTCAGTACAAGGAATGATTATGTTATTTATTTAAAGTTAAATTTATATTATTTAAGTGAGAGTGTATCAAATTACTAGATGATGGAATTATTTATAAGTTGAATATTGTGCTGATACATCAGCAAATACATCAAATACATCACATCTACATGATATTCAACTTATAAATAATTCCATCATCTAGTAATTTGATACACTCTCACTTAAATAATATAAATTTAACTTCTAAATAGATATCATAATCATTCCTTGTGCTGAAGATGGCATAAGCATGCCAAAACATGTTTACTCTAAAAAAAATTGTCATTTACTTGAATTGCCTGTTAAAACAGATTATAATACTACATAATTGAGCAAGCACATTTTTTTATGCCAGCAATTTGGGATGAATAGAAGAAAAAGGTAGAGAGCCTCCAATCATTGTGCTGGAAGTTCTCCACAACAACTAAGATATTATTCCTGTACGGTAAAGTAAACTTTATATTCAAATTTTTCAACTTACTTGGTATCTTTTACAGGAATCCTTGGCTCAACCTTTATTGCCCTCCATTTGCAATTGCCTTGATTGGACTCTATAGCAGTAACCTTGACTGTGTGTCCCTTTCTCGGTAGATAATTGGTCCGGCAAGAAAAAAAAGAAAAAAATATGTCATCATTGATATAACCATGACCACATCCAACAGCAGTAACTGCGCCAGTAAGACTTTTTTGTCGCAGGGTTGGACTACTTTGACCTCTGACACCTGTCCTCTATGACGCACAACTTCAGCTCTAACCCAGTCTCCCTTTGCTGGCATGTAACCAAAAGCAAGGGATGTCATTGGGCAGTGTACATCATGGCAAACAATGAGGTATCTTTCGTTAAGTTCTGTTATGTCTCCAATCAGAATTTCATCTTCCCCTTGGTCTGTGCACTCATCCCAATCAAGCCCTTGAACCTCCACTCGCTCGGCCTGCCATCCATCGTTTGATGATGACCGACTTGCCCAAACATGGACTTCATCATTGACCTTGGGCCGTACTCCTCCAGTAAGCTTATCATAGGTGAAGTATATCTCATTATCAATAAGTCCAGAATCATCATAGATTTTGGTAACTTTTCCGTAGAGCACTTTGCTTAGCTCGCTTGATACGTTTGCAGTTTTGCTACCACGTGCGCCGAAGCTGTCATCTTGTCCATTCCGTTCTGAATTTGGCTTAGACGACAAACTGTCAGTCGTGTTTGCTGGATTTTGGCTTCCATCGACAGAAGAACTATCCCAAACTTGAGAAAATAATCGGGATATTATTCCGAACATGTTTCACAAACATCTCTATCACTTTACATTTTCAGTTTTCCAATAAATATTTCCAATTTTTCATCAATACAAAATACCCTTCCCCCCCGCAAAACGTGACGACCCCCCCTCTGTAAAACTACACTTGAAGGATGGAATTATGCATACGAGCAACCAGATTCCATCCAAAAATAGAAATTAAATATGGCGGCAAACGGGTGGTTGGAATTGGAAAGCGACCCCGGTGAGTTTAGTCACTTAAGTGATCGATTTTATCCCCCCCAAAGGATTTCACAATTAAATCATAATTTATTCCTTTCAAATACTCCTCTAGGGATATTTCTGCTACTCATAGAAGAATTTGGTAATTCATTAACCTATTGTTGTATTAAAATATCTTCTGTCATTATTTCAAAGTGCAATAGGCATTTGATTGACTCAAAGCGTTATAAACTTCGCCATGGATATTCATCCGACATTGGAACTTAATTTTCAAGTGCTATTCATCCGACATAACTATTTATGTCTTAAAAACTTAAATATACTTTACCCAAATCCTAACCCCAACCCTGACCTTAATGCTAACCAAGATTATTTTTATATTTTTATGTTTTAGTTATTAAAAAATGAAAGATTAAGTCGATTTTGAGAATGAAAAAATATCTGAATAATTTGATAAAATCTGTCTTTGCAGAGATAGGTTTCGAACTAGTATTTGGCATGTTGACATCGTAATTCTTGCCTTTACCACTAGGCTACACAACCGTCGGCACAAAGCCAGGGAAATTTAACTTTATAAAATAGGTGAATTGCCTATACAAAAATTAAAAACTAGATGCCAGATGAATATCTATGGCATAGAAACTATTTTATATGAAGGGTATCATTGGTTAGATATGCAGCAAGATTAAATGCATCACCACAATATTTCATTGCCAGCAAAGTCACGTAATTTATAACTGCTTTCAATTTTCATTGCATTAGATTTTTATTTTGACACAATTCAGTTTTTCGATTAGGCTATGTAGCCCCTGTACGTATAAACAGATTAGAACTGTGATTGTCAAGTCTTACTGCTAGTTGATATTTTGGATGCATGACAAAGTCTTTTCATTCACTTTAGTCTTTTGTGTTTTCATTTCAATGTCTCAATATCATTTTTTCATTCTGCATTTGATTCAAATCACAGATCAAAACAACTATTTAGATTAAAGATTTTTGGATACAATTTTAGGAATAAATGGTGTTCAAGTGGATGAAATATATGATTTATCCAAACCTATCAAAGGGTAAGCATGGTTACGGGTTTTGATTGGATCAGCAATGTTGTAAACTAGTATTTTGAATGTAGTTTCTTCAAGTGGAATTCCAGATGAACTGTATTGTAGTCATTTGCACAGACATGAACTTTTACATAAAAAATAAACAGGGGCATAGCTAGAACATCAATGGGAGGGGGGACGGTGGTTGTTTATGTAAATTCATTTGTGCCCAACTGATTTCTTCTGAAAACAAATCACTTTCAAAAAAAATCAGTCTGGTACTTAGAAACAACATCCCCAATTAACATTCTAGCTACAAACCTGAAAATAAATGAATGTCATTCATGCCATGAAAGGTTTTGTCTTCAATTTTGCAACTTTAACAATAATGACAAATTAAAACAACTACTGAGACACCAAGCAAGAGGTTTTTATAAGTTTTCTTACCACCAGTCTTAGAATGTAACTAAAATTTAACCTATAAGTCGAAAACAACATCCAAACGCGTTTTTTCATTTCAGCGACGAATATTCTATTTAAGTATTAAGTCTTAGTCTATCAAACTTACCATAATACATCTTCACTATTTTGCAAAACGGCTCATTTTCGCGCGCCTCCTGTATCATGATTATGTTGAACCCGGTATGTCGATGACATGTCATGTTGCAATTTTTTTCCACCACAAGGCACGTTTATGGCTTTGTGTTTCTCTTCAAATGGAACGAAGAACGTCGCTCGAGAAGGAAAGGAACCGTTCCTCTTGACGAGGCGTTTGTCGAGAGCGACGATGTTGTCAACAATATGTTCTTTGCTCAGCAGGTGAGCTTTAACAATTTTTGCGTGCCGACATGTTAGGTCATTAACATATGAAACTTTTTTAATTTTTTCGTAGATTATTCCCAATTCTTGTGCCACGCATGCGCTGTTGAGTGTTCTATTGAACTGCGATGAACTTCATCCTGGCGAGACGTTGAGTAGACTGAAGGAAGATACTAAAGGTTTTGACCCGGAGGTACGTACTTCGCAGAAGGTGGAATTACTGGCGATGGAAACAAGTCTGAACGTTTGGTCACTCCTGATGAAGACACTAGACTGGAATATGTGTAAGGACTCAAGTTTCAACATCAGAACATATCTGATGAAGACATTAGCCTGGAGTATGATAAGGACTCTAGTTTCAACATCATGAAGACTGTAAACTTTTCAATGATCATGAAGACTATAGACTGGAGTATGTAACCAAATACTTCAGTTTTAACATGAGACTGTTCTTGAATATTAGAGATAAGCAACAACGCTAATATGCTTAGTCACCACTGCTTTGCTTTATGTTCTCTAAAAATTCTTTTCTTATCAAGACTAAAGGTTACGCCATTGGAAATATACCAGAGATTGCCATTGTTCACAACAAATACGCGAGGTAATGAAATAAGTAATGAAATCTCAATGTGATATTTCCCTCGTTCAATTCAACTTGAGCACCGTGTTACGGGATAACCCTGCGCGTCAAGTGGTCATGTGGAAATGTCCCGAAAATTTTTGCTGTTAAATTCTTTATTATTTTAAAACTGTTTTCGGTCGGGTGAAGTAACAACAGCCTATAATAAGATATATTATTAAGTCTTTGTTCGAGAACTTTTAAAAAACTTAGTGTCTGAGCCGTCCGCGACAACAAACAACAATTTATGTTTGTTTTTCTGCAGTTTAAGCCCTCTTATTTTCTACCTCGTTTTTTGCGAGACCCGCATCAAACGGTTACGTAGAAAATCCCCGGGGTTGTCTGTTTAGTATACGTTAGACTATACACTTTTATAAATCGAGAGGTCAACTAACTTTCGAAATAGAACTTAGCGGGCAAACTCAGTGAAATCCAGCGAGAGTTTTTCATGGGGTTGCAGTTATTCATTAAATCATGTAGTTATTATTAATCATGGATACTAGTTCCCGTTTTGTTCAACAAATAGATGTCATTGACTATGTCAATAAACTTTATTGACATAGTTCATTCAGGCTTTTTCCATTAAAAGTGGGATGGATTTTAATTTTATTATTTGCAATTTGCACCCCTCTATGCATCTCTGTTGACCATTGCCTACAGGGGTGAGCACCCCCCCCCCTCCCTATAAATCCACCACTGTGACATAAAAATTTTTCTTCCGCGGAATGTAAGGGATGGCTTGCTTGCTATAGGTTGAAATTTTTGAGTGGAAAGTTTGGGGGGGGGGGGAATGTGGGAACTGTTTCAAATCCATTGCAGGCAAAGTAACAACTCATCTTGAATTGTTTCCTATCGCATGTTTTTTAATCGAACGGACAGTTTCAGACGATCGAGTAACTTCCTTAAACACTCTACTTTCTTAAAAAATCTACGGAGAATAAAAGTAATTCATTACTCCGGTTTAATAACTCTGTTCAATGCATACTTGACTAACGTTTAGTTTGACTTCCACAGACCCATTCACCGCATCCTACCCGACAGTAAACCCGGAACAAACACTCTTTCATCGGGCAAGGCCGGCGAGGCGTTTCACTTCGTTAGCTACTTGCCAATCAATGGGAAATTGTTCGAACTCGATGGACTTAAACCTTATCCTATAGACCACGGTATGAACAGGTTGATGTTTGTTCACTGTTTTTTACTGAGAAACGATGGTCAAATTATATGATTATTACATTTGTTTACCATAGCACACTGAACAAACATGGTCAGATTTTATGATTAGTACATTTGCTTACCATAGCACGGAACAACAAACATGGTCAGATTATATGACTATTACATTTGCTTACCATAGCACTGAACAACAAACATGGTCAGATTTTATGATTATTATTTACCATAGCACTGAGAAACACGGATGGGTAGAACCTATGGAATGGACATATTCTCAATTTTCCTAATAGCTTAGCAATTGCGCATGTAAAGCCACCATTTGGAATCAAATGATCACCTTACGTAAAAGCTTGTTGCTATCCATGGCTTGTTAAAATTACATATCAACATTCAGACTACGTCACTATTTAGGTCGTTGGAGAGAGAACGAGGACTGGACCGAGAAATTCCGTAGAGTTATCACCGAGCGCATTGGTATTGCATCGGGGTGGGTATATTTATGAGCAGTTACAGAAGTAATATTAGCTAACTTCAGTATATCAAGAATGTTATCTGTTGTTTTGATCATTGTCAGTATTAATAACGATCACTTTAGGTGTTTTTTATTTTATTTGTGGCTTTTAGTGAACCTTGCCATGACATTCGCTATAATCTCATTGCTATTGTGGCTGATAAACGTCCCGAATGCGAGATGAAATTGAAAACGCTAAAGGAAAAAAGGTTCGTTTATCGACTCAGCGATTCCTGGAAAACCGGAGCAATATTTCTTTGATTCCTTAAGCGTAATATTTGTGTCTAAATATACTTAAAAAAATTGTCAATTTTGATTGATTAAGAGCAGCGCAATTTTTCTAAACATTAGTGGCATAAAAAGGAAATACCAGTGTTGATTTCTTTTGTGCTTCTGATTGGTTAGTCAAACAATGAAAAAATGAAATCGAAAAACACAATTGGCTGACATGGTCGTAAGCGGAAGTTAAAAATCAACAGAGATTTTTTATGTATTTTATAGATGAGTAATAGCATAGTTTCTAGTGCAGTTTGGTGCACTAGAAGCTATGCTATTCAAGCTATGCTATGCTAAAACATATTCGTGAGTTTTCCAAAAGACTTCCAACTGCACTTGTCCTTCGGACTCGTGCAATTTTGATAGTCTTTGAAAAACTCACTTGTGCATGTTTTTTCCAAAGTTGCACTAGAAACCATGCTGTTACCCATGCAAATTGTATTCAAAACGTTTCCTTTTTAAGCAATCATACTCTAGCAATTTGACAGTCACTACAGACCATACAAATTTGGAGCATCACAATCCCACCCACCAAACTCCCTGACAAAAAATATTGTCTCATTTACATCCCTCATTGTCGCTATATTCTTAGCAAAACATTTAGCTCATTAACTATTATTATATAAACATATTTATCAAAATTTCCATTTCTTTCAGGAAGATTGTATTGGATACGCTGAACAAGGTGAAAATTAGAATGTTAAAAACTATAAGCCTGCCAATGATATTTCCCACATCAATTTTCATTCAGTTGGATAAAAAAAACAATCGTAATGTACTCCTAAACTACACAACTTTTTAAGGCGCTCCGCCAATGCGAGGGTGATTACTTAACCCTTAAAAGTATCCCAAGATTCCCTTTGCAGTTATAAGTTGCACACTTTAAAACAATTCCATCTCAAGTATTTTGCAATTAGTACGCTGCCTGCATTCGGCTAGAAGTTGCTGGCATTATTTTTCACTTATGTCGATTCAAAGATCTCCATCAAAGATTGTTTCTCACAAATCCTTGGCTGTATCGGGTTGTCCAGAGGGTCGTATATCTTTGTTAACTTCCCGAGAACAGCCCTTCGTAAGCTTAGTCCTCTGTCATCCTCGTGCTCCTGTAATGCTCCAGGATCATATGAATGAATTGGACACAATTCAAATGTTGGTTTTATAGTGCTGCTTCTTAAGCACCTTTCATTGTGGATAATGAAAGTACAAGTCTACAGGATTTTTGACTATACTTCATTAAAACGTGAAAAACACCACACAATTTAACTTTTGTAAATTCCCTAGGCTGGTCGTGGTGACTCCAGTACAGATACGGCTTCCGAAGGTGAAACCGACCTCACCTCCGAACATCCCGTGAAAAAAGCTAAACATAAATTAAGAATCCCTTCTGGACGAGCCAATCATAAGGCGGGAAAATCTTATCACCGGAACTTTTCCCTTGACGTAAAAGTCGATGCAGAAATACCGGAAAATGTACTACAGCAGTCGCTTTCCATGCTTTCGGATTCCATAACACTGTCGTCAGAAACATCACGCGAAGACGACAAATCAATCGTTGAAAATTCTACGGAAAATGCTCCCGGAATTTTAGCCTGTATGAACAACGACCCCACGAAAAAACCGCCTCTAGTTGATACATCCTCGATAGGAAATATAACCAACCAAGGTACGTCTACCATAAAATATATCCTGACTGGGCACTAATATAGATATGGATGAGAAGCTGATGTAAGATCTATTTTTAACGTAGAACCACAGATGAATCCTTCAGCTTCAGACAATTCAAGTGACGTGAACGTAGAAAAGTTGGATTTTAAGGCCAGTGCTCCCGTTTACTTCGAAAGAAATGCAACATTATTTACAGAAGGTAGAAGCAAGTTCTCTCATTTATCGCTTGCGTGTTTGTGAATGAAATATTTTAACATTTAAAATAGATATGCTCAACATGTTCGGAATTTACGTCATTCATTGATTTCTCGTGATGTCTGTTACAGATTCTAAGTATTTTGCTGTTTTCCACGAGCAAGCAACGATGGCATCTTTGGACATTCCAACGGAAGCGGTCGACGCGGCCATGGGACTGGTAACCCGTGACGAACCGCCAGATGCCCAGGTTTGTACGCACACGTTGTCTTTCATTACCCAACATGCACTCTGTCACCATATCTTTTGAGCTCGCAATCGGCGTAATGCCTTCACTGCAATCACTAGTCCTCGGATTGTTTAGTGAGTATGTCAGAGTATTCATTTGAATGAAGCCATGTTGCATTGACAATAAAAACTAAAGTTGACGGCATCATAACTCGAGATTTTTTCATCAGGATTTGTACCTACTTATGGATGTGCTCAATCAGGAGATCAATAAATTTCAAACGGTTGTTTCAGAGGAGACGTACAGAAGACGAAAATACAAGGTCTGTTATTTTACTTCGATTGAAAATTTTGCAGCATCTTCAAAGGGCATTTCAAAACTGAATTTTTGCAGTTCTAAATTTCTAATGTTCTCGATTTTAAATTCAATTCGGCCCGACCGTCAGTCGTTTGCATTGCATTATTATCCTGGATGTGTCCACCTCAGAAAGATAGGTAGAAGAATGTGACTGAATGTTGCATAATTCAAATTTCCTTCAATGACATTACCAAGCCTTGTTTTTGAACGATTTCGTTACGAAAAAATTAGGGTGCTTGCATTGAACTGCATATGTAACTGGAATGCAACAATTGAGTTACGTTGCCCGTGCGCGCTTGAAACTAAAATTTACCTCCTTTATATAGTACTGTATTATTTCAAATCTACTCACAGATCGACCATTGCCGAAGAACGCACGACTTCGACCCGTTTATCTGTACATTTCTTCGCATGCTCGCAGAACAAGGACATCTCGCCTCCTTAGTGGAAGAACAATCGTCGGTCAAACGACATTTGGTACAATCGACTTCGAACAAAAATTTGAAGAAAAAAAGTTATAAAAAGAGAAAGCGTTGAAATTGAAATCGAATGGGAAAAGTTCAGTAATTTAGGTATTTGAATTGCCGATGACATGTCGTTTAGTAAAGTACCGGGGCCGGTTGCACGAAGCCTGGATAGCAATATATTTGAACGCTTCAAAAGTTTGCTTGAACAATTGCATGATTTCAGCTGAACAATCAATAAAATACTATATTTTGTTTCTAGAATAACAAAGTTTCATAATCATGTAGAAAGTATAACCACCTTTTTCACAAGATTGAAAAATACTATCCAATGCACAACGATATCCAAGCTTCGAGCAACCTGCCCCTGGATTGTATTTTGTACATTGTCTTAAAAAGAGCAATTGCCAAGGTGAAAGGCATGAAACCCGAGAAAAACCAAGAAACTCAAGGGAAAAGCGATAAAAACTCAAGAGTAACCCACTAACCCGAAAGTGCTCTGGCGCTAAAACAGTTTTTTTCAGAACTCTTGGTTTTTCTTGGCTTTCAGGCCATCCACCATTGCAATTGCTCTTTTTAAGACAATATTTGAATTTGTTAGATGGACGAAGTCTATTTTATCATTTTGTGTATAATTCAATTGATGAATTCATCTAATGATGTGTCTTTAGAAGATTAAAGATTCAAGTTGTGATCGTCACGTCTTGTAGACGAAAACAATAGCTTTTGGTGTCCCTATGGACTTTGTAACTTTATCATTTTATCATTATTGAAAGCACGTTGTGATATAACAAAACATTACAGCGATAAAAACACCTTTTTAATTAAGAAACGTTTTGTCACTCATGCGACGTGCTTATAATACATGGTTTTTTGCTCCTGCAAGCCACTTACACCATTTTTTTTAACCAATAAAATCCTATTCTTGATTGCTTAGTAAGTTTTGCATTTCATACATCTCTAACGCCACCATTGCCTTGTTACAATTAACATCAACAAAATTACTTACCCACAGTTCTATCAAACATATCAGACGCTGTTTAATTTGTTTCATAGCTGCACAAATTGAACTAAAATAGCTTGAAAATGAACATAAGATTAGACATTAAAAATACTCATACGCAATTAATGCTCAGTAATACTAGAAGTAACGATACATTTCAATAAGGAGCCGTGCAACTGTAATGGCGTATGATTCAATATTTCTCATTGCGTGTATATGACGTCATTGGGAATAAAAAAAGATGTGCACTAACTGTTTCATAAAGTTCGCTGTCATTTCTAAAAACAGTTTTAAATATCTAAATACAGTTTTTTTCTTTCATTGGGAACTTCAAAATCTTGTAAAACTATCATCAACCAATAGAGTCATTGGATAGTTGCACAGTCATAGACATTAAATGTACCAATTGAAAAAAATGTAAATAAAGTTTTTCTTTGCACACGAACTTTGATGCCTTTACCGGGCATATAGTTCTATTAATCCATGCACTCTGGGGCTTTGATCCCGCTATCGCTGATAAGTTTTCGTTTATATCGCCTTTAATACAACTTTTTTATTGTGTTAAATATAAGATCACTAAAAACTGTTATGGATTTTCTTTTTAACATCAATGTTCGCATGTTTGGTCCTGAAATGATTAAAGTTATAGTAATATGTAAATTGAGAATTTATGTTTTGTCGTTTCCTAATTTACATGTTTATAAAACTGCTAGTCTTTGGTGAAACCTATTTTCAAATTAAGTGAACTGATAACCTTTCTAATATAAAGCAAATATGTTTATTTTTGGCTAAAATAAATAAAAATAACGAATATGTTAATTAGGAAACGACTGAACATACATTACCTAATTTACAAGTCACAAACTTTCAGAAATCCAAAACTAAACATAGAAACATAAATGTTAAAAAGAGAGTCCGTCACAGTTTTTGGAGATCTTTAAGCTCACCAATCCTAGTCCTTTGTTTATAGCCTATAAGCTCACTAATCCTAGTCCTTTGTTTATAGCCTATAAGCTCACCAATCCTAGTCCTTTGATTATAGCCTATAAGCTCACCAATCCTAGTGCTTTGTTTATAGCCTATAAGCTCACCAATCCTAGTCCTTTGATTATAGCCTATAAGCTCACCAATCCTAGTGCTTTGTTTATAGCCTATATGCTCACCAATCCTAGTCCTTTGATTATAGCCTATAAGCTCACCAATCCTAGTCCTTTGTTTATAGCCTGTATGCTCACCAATCCTAGCCCTTTGATTATAGCCTATAGGCTCACCAATCCTAGTCCTTTGTTTATAGCCTATTCATTCTGATCAACTTCAATACGCTATCTTTTCTATCAAAGTAAGCAACGATAATATTCCTGTCTGAGAGCAGTCGTAAAACACATAAGCTTTTATCAAACAACAATACTTTAGAAACATTTATATGAAGTGTGTTGATTTAATTTAATTAAACAAGGCAAAACGAAGGCCGTTTAATCATTCCAACAAGATTAACAAACATCTATTATTATCTTGTCATATGTACAAGCAAAAGAGCGCACACAAAATTTCACGTTTGTAAACGCAACCAAATGTTTTCTCTGCAACAGCCACATTGGGGTCACGTGTTTTTCTTTTCACAACGAGATAACGCAGCCAATGTACACAGCTTTGAGCATTGATGAAAATATCGATGAAGATATAGAGAACTGAATAAACCGAATGAAAACCGAAGATGTTAACAAAGGACGGTGCGCTACTAGTAACATCTCGGTCAAGTAATTTGTTGCTAAAAGTTAACTGGAACTTTTCATAAGAGTTAACAACTCAGTGGGATTCACAGTTCGAGTAACGATGTGCGAATCGCCCGATAATAAGAACTACAATCGACACACAATGTACAATACAGACCCACGAATAACACGCAAAAAACACGAATGGCACGAATCACGCAAGAAGCATTGTGAACTATGCTCACAAACAGCCATTGTCAACCAACAGAAAATCAGAACGACACCACGAATAAAGACAATGTGAATGTGTTACGAATGCATTACTGCAAGGTTACGGGCGACAATCATTCGGTGATATGAGGACGTTGTGGTTGTTGGGAGACGTTTGGGGTGATCGACGTTCGACTTAGCGAGCGACCAAGACAGTCCGCTGGCATGACAGACGTCGGCACCGCCGCGTTCAAAACCTGACGCAAAAAAATGAAGATATTGATGAATTAGTGTCAACTAAATTGGTTGAAAAGTGATGTCAACAGTCAAGTGCCTTTATACGACACATAGTGAGTTCACTCAGGGTGATCGGATGTTATACATTGAATCTTGTTCTACTAAACTCTAATTCTCTCCAATCATAAGTGATCTGATGTTGAAACACGAATACTTTCAAATTCCAGTCAAGTGTCTCATTCGGGAGTGATAATGTTAAATTCAGAGTCCTTATTTATTCCTGTCCGGTGCCTCTATCAGGAGTGTCTAGACGGTGAAACTTCACTCCTTATGCACGTCAGCCAAATTGTAAGATCAAATGTAAGAGACAAATACTAAAGCCTTTCTTTCTATCCACCACCCGCGGAGACTAGGGGATGGGGAGGGCTTAAGTCCCCACAACAATTTTGAAAGATTTAAAATCTTACACCAAATCCCTTAAATCACACTTACATAACATAAATGTGATGTTAAATAATAACCATTTGAGAGACTTCTGTACTATACACGTACCAGCAGACGCACTAAACCTTTTGTGTGCAGGTTCCTGTGCACGTGGTCAAATTTTAAAAGTATACCAATAGGCATGCTCTAGAATCTCTCTAGAAATCTTATGATTTGAGGACAAACCCCCCCCCCCCAACATTTCATAACATGTCCGCCACTGCTATCTACCTGGAATTTTGAATACGAAAATCAAAAGAAGTACCTGTCTTCTTGACGATGGCTGTTCCGGTGTCATATTACCAACACTGGTTGGATGCTGGCCAATATAGGAGTAAGATGTCCCAGTGAGGGAAGAGACCATGTCGGAAGACGAAACGCCTATTGGTCTTGCCCCAGTTGGAATGTCGATGAGACTCGTACTAGAGGAAGGCTCGTTGTCGTCATCTTCGATATCCATAGCATCACTACTGTTGCCTAAAAGAACAAAGGAAAAATAGCTACGATCATTTACGAACTTTCCTCATTTGATATCGGTGAATTTTGCAACCTGTCGAATACTTTGAATGTGGGTTTATTAACAACTTCACGCGGGGTGAATGTCAATCGACACCAGTGATAAGGATGTATTTGAGGAGGGGTGCGAAGACCTTGCGTGAAGTGGTGCCGATTTCCTTACAAAACACTAACACAACCAAACAATTAACCAAAATCAACTGTGATAAGTGTTGTATAGAGCACACTTTAAAAATCTCCCAATCGTTAAACAAGGCTACAACATTAACTGTTTTTCCTCCGTTAAGCCCGCACTACAAAGGTAGCAAAATAAATCACCCCCCCCCCCTCTTTTTATCCCCTTCTCACGGCAAATTGAAAAACACCGGGAAGTCGACCTCACGATGAAATCACAACATAACACGAGTGCTCATATTCAATGATATAAAACTTTTAATTCCTGTGAAATTTACTATATTGCAAAAAGCAAAATAGGAAATTGCTTTGTGTTAAGATTTTAGACAAAACTTATCGTCATATGTCAAAGTTTTTCTCTAAGCTTTCCTCAGTTCAAACTTTCAAAATGCACTTATGCACGTTCTGAATTGGGCATGTTAATAAATAAAAATTAATATTGAAACATATGTAGGGTGAATTAGTATGGGCTGGCAATTTCGCACGAAAATTTATCTAATCTTACGGCGTGTTTTTAGTTTCCCCTTCAAGCAATTCACCACTTGAATAGTTGCAAAATAACATCACCCCACAAGGGGATAAATAGAGGAATAAGGTAATCCAACGAAAGACTCCCTCCCATAACAAAACCAACGTGGGTCACATTACTGATCAATGATCCTTTCTTGTAGATTTTCAAAAACGATACGAAATTCGGAGGGTCGTTTGAAGTTTCCTCGCGAAGGCTTTGGTAATCGAGTACAACGAATGATTTGACGTGTCTCTGACAGTTACATCACACTGTACGAATGATTAACGTAACAGCATGTGAACAGGGTCAGACATTTATCTCACTCCAGTTTAAATCGTTCATGAAAATCTCATGGAAGAAACGATTTTCAATGTTCGAAGGAGTGTTGTGATTAGGAAATGCTAGTAAGCATAGTTAACTTTAACGGTGTATAAGGTACAAAAAGTAAAATATGACAAGAAATTTCTTCAATATCAGCTAAGTTGACAAGAACAAGCTTACATATTTTCGGAAATATTTGCTGTCGTTACATCGCTCTAAGATTGAAATCACAACTCTACGAAAGAGAGTAAAATACACCACAGTTCAAAAGTTTAAGACCACCATGGGTAATTAAAAAAATAACAATAGTAAACGAGCATTTGTGTTCACGCAAAAATACGATAATGACCGCAAATGATGGTAAATATAATGTCCTTAACAATTTTACATTGACACATGACAAATGCTTAACGAACAAAGTTTCGCTAGCACTTTACTTTGTTTAAAAAAGTCGCCTCTTGCTTTTAAAATTGCAGCACAAATTCTAGCACTTGGTGTAAACGCTTTTGAAGAATTGCAATAGGCACCTTTTATTCCATTCAGACTTCATGTATCCTCGCAGTTCAGTTGTAATTTAGAGTAAATGAGCTCTAGTGTAAGACGTAAAGCTTTGGTCGCGTTATCTTGGTGTGGCCAGTGATGTAATATATCGCTAAATTGCACTTGGGCTGATAAAGAAATACAAAATCGTTTTGTTGACATGTTAACCTATGTCCTATGTATGGCGTGTTTAATTAGTCGTTTCTGTTCATGTTTAAACGACACCGAAAGTGGCTTTAAACTTTTTGGCCTGTAGCGTATGTTTATAAATCTTCTTTAATATTAACTGAAACGAAAGTCAAAGATGGTGGCGATAAGTTAATGAAATATTTATCTTGCCCGGTCGACGCGGCTTTTTTCGAGTTGGTAAACATCCTTCGAAACCGAATGTTCTTCGTTATTTGAGAAATTTCATAATTTATCACAAACAAACGCGTTAAAATAGAAATTTACCGGAAGCCTCTTCGAGCAAGCAAACAATAAGTCTTTACTTACCAATGGAGGTTCTCTCGATGATTTCTTTCTCACCAGGTCTCTCATTATTGAAACGACTTCCATCGTCAGGGCTCACTGGTTCAATCATCACCCCATTTGTACTACTACTCACGCCCGTCGTTCCGTGCATCAAAGTACTCCCACATCCAGTATGATTCATATTTACACCTAAACTTGGAGAGCAACGCTCCACCGCAGATGACACAGAATTGCTGTTGATGGCCATAGCACTGGCCGAATCAATGACACGTGATAAACTCGTCGTAGCAACGTCACATGTGATGGCCGATCCGGTTATATCTCTTTTAATCGCCGATCCTGTGGTTCGTTTGCGATTGAGATATTCAGATAAAGACACCTACGATCAAACAATGTAAATAGCTTCAGATGACCTTAAAACATGTTCTTGAAGAGAGCATGGGCAAATGTTCCGTAATTCCTATCCCGAATGGTCTGCTAGCCAAAAAGGCTCGTGGTTTTATGGGTCATAACTGGACATTTACAAAATACATAGGTATGTATTTCATGGCACAGCAGCATTTTCTAATCAACTACCTACAGTTTACTTGACGACTTCTTCGCAAAAGCGAAGATGATGCGGTCGTGAGGTCAGTTTATTTCACACATGAATTTCGCGCGCTAAATATACATTTAAAATGCTACAAAAGTTCGATTCTACCATGGAAAATGCGACCGAAGAATTTATTCCACCTTGGCAAATGCAAAGTAAATCGTTTGAACCCGCGAGTATCGTTACATGTTTGTGGATGTATATCGTCCAGGTTAATATACTCCTGCGAAGGACTGTTGCTGTTGACTGACGTTTCGACAACCTTACTGGTAGACATCTTTAGAGTTGAGAGTGGGGAGTAAAAGTCTGGTTCGCCGTATTTGTTGTCTGGTTCCTACGTCATCGCATCGTGTGTGCAGGAAATTTGTAGGTGTGTTGATGTCAATAGTGTATTCTCATCGTGGATTGGTCTAAAGTAATGTTACACACTACCATGGAAAATACAACCCAAAAATCTACACTACCAATAGAAAATACTAACAAAAGTATCCAATGCACCATGGAAAAAAATACCACGAAAGTACGTATTCAAGCACGAAAAATACTACGAAAATACCTATTCTACCATAGAAAATTACCAAAGTACCAGAAATTTTCAAACCCAATCATGACTTACAGACCTTTTTCTTGCCACCAGGCGTTGTTTGTGTCGTGCTCACCACTCCCAATCCATCTGTGACACCTACATCATCGCTTGTCACATTTACAGTACTATTGTTCGTGCGTTGCATCGGCGTAAGAAGAGACGCCTCCCGATTAACTTCCGAACTACTTCCGACGTGATCTCCTACATTTATTAGTTCCGTTTTTTGTGTATTACTATTAGACGATACAAGGTCCGTTTTAACATCATCTGTCGAGCTGATGCTTAATACACTACTTCGCTCAAAATTTGCCTCATCACTTCCACCACTGAGTCGACGCGAAATAACTTCGTCACTTCCGGTGACGTGCGGCCGTGCGGTGTCTTTGCTAATAGTTTCTTGAGTCACCATAGAAACGGAAGTTTGATGATTCGATACGACCACAGCCGTAACGGTTGACGTACTCGTATCAGACGATACTGATGTTAACGGCGATGACGTATTAATTGACGACACATCTGATGATGTTGCTAACTGAGATGATACAACGTTCGTTGAAATGACTGAAGACGATTCCAGTGACGTCATAGCTAACTGTGATGTCACAGGTGACATGGCAGACACAGTTAACAACTTCGTAGTGGAGATAGTTTCGACGCTATTAGAGCTAGCGCACTCACTGCTCGGCGAAACATGATTTTCGTCAAGCGGGGAGGCCAATAACGAGTTTTGCACACGATTCTTGTATTCCATCAATTTACGTCGTTTGAACGGAAGAGGAAATGACGTAGACGAAAATGACCTCTTCGAGATTAGACTCGGTCTATACACGCTTGTCGTGATCGTTTCGTAAGCAGGCGGTGTCTTGTTACATGGTTGTTGGTTTCCGTACTGTAGCAACCAGCGCTAAAACGATATGAGAAAGATTTTAGTCATTGAACACCTATCTCGTGGTGGATGCAGTGGGGGTAACGAAAGATGGCTGGCCCTTGTTGACTGTTGTAATGGATTCACTGATTTTTCTGCAAATTTTTTATTTATCAAAAATGTATCGTTTTTTAACTTTCGGGCAAGAAGCTCGAAGCCGATTTCCTCACTTGCTTAACCCTTAACAAGCGCTACGACACCGGGTGGATGCAATCTGGAAACATCCACTCAATTTCGAAAGACATAAAATAATGCCTCACAACAATCACTATGGAATCTTGCGTTCTTATGCTATAACGAAATGTTGCCATTATATTTGCTGAAAAGCAAATCGTCAGGAAATTGCACAATTTAAAAAATTAAATCGTGAATTGTGAAAATTAAATTGTTGGACAAAATGTCGCAGCTGGTGATAGCTATTTTCTATCCAAAGGGTTTCAGTATGAATTTGAGAAAAATTTTGCATGAAGACGCACTCCGAGATCACGTATGAAGTCCAAAAAATTTAATGAAAAAAGTTTTTCCCACAATATGAAATATATTGAATGAATTAATACCATTGGGTCTTGGGCGTTATTTCTTAGCAATATGAGATTTGAGCTGTTCAAACAAAAAAAAAACATGGAAAATGCAACCCAAGTATCTCCACTACCATCCGTGCAAGGTTAAAGTAAACTAGCAAAGTAAACTTATCGTGCAACTGATGTATGCTAAAAACTAGAACGCTCTTGGGCAACCTGGGATAAGTATGTTGAAATGGAGATGCTTGCAAGAACCAACTACAATCCACATCCGTAGTCAATGAAATCTTCCATAAGCTATCATCTCAATAATCTTATTGTTTAATGTAAACCGAGGACAAATTGATATTCATGTGTCTGATGTTTCCTTTAGCCCAAATACTGAACTTATAACTTTCACATTGCAAAACTCTGATTATCTATATAATGACACTCCTACAAATTACATTTTAGTTTCCTTTATCGAGAACTTTAATGAACTTTTTCAAAAACCTCAAACTACAGTTTATTATAACTTGCCAAATGAGACTAGACTAATTAATAGATAGTTTCTCGGATGAAAAAAAGTCAAAGTTATTGTATAGCTAACTTGCAAGAAAAAAGTTATACAATTTAGATGTCATGGTTTAAAAGTTCCCGCGATATCTGGATGGATTCTACCACCTTAAATAAAGTGCAGATGTTAACTGTTTTGTTGATTAAGGGACTGTTTACTTGAGCTATACGGGAAGGGTTTAGCCTGCCTGAAAGGGCGTATTTTACCTCTGTTTTAAAAGCAAGTTCTAGCCCCGCATCAAGAGCCTAGCTTGCACAGTGAGTTTTGGCGCTGAATAAAAAATCAAACGGCTGGAAAAAACAAAAATAGTTGTGGCTTTTTATATTTTTTTCGATTTCTTTGTGACTAAGCTCAAGTTCATGCTTTTTCTTGCGGTCATTGCTAAAAAGCGATGCCTTATTGCATGCGTATTCGCATTAAATTTTCAGCCCTACAGGAAGGCTAGCCCTGCCTGTTGCGTTTACATGGACAATTTTCAGCCATACATGGCGAGATCTCGTGTAAATAATAGCGAGACCTCCGCTGGTAGGGAGCTGGCCCACCTCTAATGTAAACAGCGACAGACTCACCTTTTTCAACGTCGTACTGGCGGGATTGCTGATGTTTAATGCTGAGCTGAGACCTGAAGAGGAGATCAAGCTGCCTGTGGGAGAAGCAAGATGATGGCGAGAAAACATTTCCGGCATATCTGCACATTCGGAATGCGTCGGTGAGGCTAAAAGATTAAAAAAAAGAATACTTAATTACTTTCAATGAATTGTTTTCCCTTAATTATCACTCGTTTAAATCTCCGATCAATAATTAAAATGAAATCTTAAAACCGAGGTATGTCTGAACGAGCAGTGAGTCAATGGCATTGTCGAAATCACTCATTCACCGATGATTTAAATTATAACAACACGAACGTATGATATAAATAGATATCTATCGAAATATTATCATATGATCGACTTTATAATATTGATAAATATTTCTGAAAAAACAGCCGACAAATATTTCCACCTAGAATATTATTAGTGCGCTCTTTCGAACTCGGCAAATTTTAAAGTTAAGGATCTTTGGAACAATGACCCAGAACCCAATCTACTCGATAACAGATTCAATAGTAAATATTGTATAGTTACGAGTAAGGCAAGCAGACTTCAAGGCTAAACTGACGACATTTACGAGTACATTCTGTTTCGTCTGCGTTGATGACAGTTGATGGTCTTGGCTTTGATCTTTCAAATTTTTGATAGGATTCGTTCTTCAACTGGTTTTTAAATTGGGGTTTTACATTTGTACCACCTTTCAAGATGGCGTTATCACTTTGACAGGGTTGTCAAACATCTATGGGATCATAGGCGTATTAGACGGGGGAAGAGAGCAGCAGTAGCCCGCCCCTCCCCCCCCAAAAAAAAATATATATATATTGAGCAGACAAAGCCAGTCGAGCATTATTTTCAAGAAAGTTGGACAATTTAGGTCATTTGAGATAGAAAATGTTCCCAATGACCCTCTAAAAATGTTGGCTCCGTACACCCAAGTATGGGATTGAGTTCTGAATCATTGCTTTGGAATTACTATAAACACCAAACGACATACCGTATGTGGAATGAGAAGGGCTCGGGGAGTAAACAGGTTCAGATCTTGGAGATGCGTTGCCATTAATAACGGCGTGCAGTTGATTCAATCGCTCATAAGTAGACTCGCCGATGTCAATCCGAGATTCGAACGACGACTTCATCGGAATGGGATAGCCCAATGATGCCTCTAAGGACGGATCATTTCGAGAAGCATCAACGTTTGACGACAGATCAGTCATTGAACCCTACAAAGGAAAGAGGAAAATTAAAATGATTCTACCTTAAACAATCAACATATAAGGTGCAGTAAAATAAGTATACTCTTCGTGAGCCTTGGAAAAAGTTATCTAATATAAAACACGCGCGGAATAAGCTAAAACCTTCAAAGAACTTTAGCGTTCTCTGGCCTACAAGTGCAACAAACTGCTAGAACTTTTCAATTGAAATTGAATTTATGAATTGATAGCTTGTAGCAACACAGTTCATATGTTGACTTTCCGATGAGTAATTTGTGTGCGACAGGCCCGTTTAGAAGGACTTTTAAAACAGTTCACTCACTTGCAAACAAAAATTTCAGTGCCGGCTGTACCAGAGAACGTTAAAGTACTTATAACCACTGAACACTTTTGCTTATTCCGCGCTTGTCTTGTTTTAAAGAACTTTTTCCCAAGGTATACTTTTTAATATACACCTAATACAAAAATTTCTAAGTCCAAACTAATTTTTTCCCTCAATATTATAACATTACGTGCAGAAATAATCACCACCTTAGAGACCTTCATCCAAAGCTTATTCTAAAATGTACAAAATCTGCGTCTGAGGAAACAATAATTCCCCTTGGACGTGAGGCAGCACCTTTTCGTGAATGAAAAACCGTGTAGAGCAGTCGAAAGTTTTGCTTCAATAAACGCTTCTACGACGAAGTTTATACAAAAACTCGAGGCAAAAATTCTCTTCTTTAATAGTCTAACGTATCGGTGAAAAAATTCAATTTTGTCAAATCGACATCTTGTTATGGCGGTTTTAAAGTTACTTTTTAATGGTCTTTTTCCTTCGTGGCATGCAGTCCGAGTCAAGCCAAATTCTGACGTCATCCAAGGTAGTTGGTACATATATCTAACTTATAGCGAGGATTTCCTTACATGACGTCATAAAAGTACGTCGTACCCATTGAACTAAAATACATGGAACGCTACCTGTAATAAAAATCTAATAATTTTTTGAAGCCAAATTTTACACCCAGACACGCGTGTGTAGTCAATCAATTTTCAGAACTCGAAACACTGCACACGCGTGTCTGGGTGTAATCTCGCGTATCAGGGTGTAAGATTTGGCTTCGATTAATTGCTTTAGGTAGCGTTCCATGTATTTTAGTTCAATGGTCGTACCAGTCTTTCTACGGCGGACAAGGTCCTTAAAAAAGAGCATTTTCGCAAACTTTAAACAGCCATAAAAATGCAACGATTTGATTTAACTTAAAAACTCTTCTCACCAATACGTTGGAAATCACACCTAAATTTAATATCGCAATTGAAAATTCTTGCTGAAATGGGCACTTTAACACTATTGACAATGACCATATAACTATATCGGCGATAACTATTATTACGACATCATTATATATCGCGAGTTGAAAGCGATGATTTTAAACCAATGGGTAACGATATGAGACTTGCGCCTTTAAAACAGCCTAATAACTTGAACACGAAGATAACAAACAGTAACTTCAAAACAAAACCAAAAATGTATTGAGTTCGGATTAAGCTAAAGCACAGAATGGACGCGCAACAAACCTTTTTAAACTTGGGGAATTTAAAAGACTTCTCGTGTGTCGTTTCGGAATAGTGTTGCTCATCCTGATGTTCTTCCATGGCGTTCACATAAGGTGTCGTAGGTGTCGAGGCCGTACTACTGAAGTGATCTTCGGGAGAGAGTGGCTCGGATGAACAGCTCGTTAAACGGTGCTGTCCACGTCGTAGCGCATGTATCTTACGTTGATGCCGCTGACTCAAACCTTGTTTCCTGTATTGAAAAATTAGAATTTGTAGATCACTGATATGTATAATAAACTGGATAAAGCATCCGCGTATACATAAAATATAGTAAGGTTTCCTGGCTTATTTGTAAACGTTTCATCGGTATCGCTTTGCAGCAATTTTGTAATACAAAGTTACGCATATTACAGAAAAACTTCAATCAAATATAGAAAGAATGACCTGTAAAGGAATATATAGGAAAGTGGGACAGATAAAACCTTTTCAACAACAGCCAAATTCCGGCTTTATTTTTCACACTAGATAGGTTATCCAGTCTAACATACAGTCCAATATAAAAATACACGCGTAAATCTGATAAAGAAGACGATGAATCCCGGAAACAGATCAAGCAATATATATATTACCACAGACAGTTCATCAACTAAGGCAGACTACATCCAATGGCGACAAGTTGTATAATTCTACATACCGAACCAAACTGAATGATTTCAAAATAGCCAATTTGTGCATGGAATTGAACATTTTAACCAAACAGTAGTGAAATTTTACTATAAATATGATTCTAACACGATGTTTTGTAATTTAATCCTAGGTCATAAGCTTGTAGTTTCAAATTTTATGGAATAGCTCAACAGAAACACTTAAGTTAAGTTAGTTAAACCATATTCTTAATTTGTGGTAACTACATTTAGTTTTCTATTTATGCATGCGAAGCGATATTTTTTATTTCCAGCAAATTGATTGGCTGCCTCAGCGGGGAGCTTTTTACGATATCTTGCCCATGGGCCAAAAGTGATATTGTTTTCGCAATGTATTTGTTGACGAAGTGAAATTAAATTTTAAAATTGATTTAAGAGGGGTGTAAATTGTCGGACGAGTAAGCAAAGTCTATTCAGATGAAAGTTATCAAAGCTAAAGTGAATTTTAATAGCCAGACGAAGCTAAGTTTGTGGAAAAAATCCAAGTGTAGTCTCAACCATTGGTCTCAACATATTTTTTTCGCAATGTATTTGTTTACAAAGTGAAATGTGAATTTACAAAAGTGATTTAAAGCGATGTAAATTGTTCGACGAGAAAGCAAAGTGTAATCAAATGAAAGTTTTCATAGCAAGAGTGAATTTTACAATCCAGACGAAGAGAAGTTTGTAGAAAGCAATCCAGTTATAGTCTCATCATAAACTTGCAACGGCCATTTTACAACGCAAATTTCTTCATAACAAAAATACATAAGTAAATATGTTCAGACCTCGTAAAAATATTTTTTCCGTACGGACCTCCTAGCCAATAAATAACATATGTATTTTACAAATAGTAAATTAGTACATATGCTATTACATACTATCAATGTGAAACTAAATGATTAAAGGTAAAGATTAAAGATGTATAAGTCCGTAAAACGTACTCGAGCGTATTTAAGAAAACTAGAATGCGTTAAAATTACGAAGTAGTCGCGCATGCTTATTGAGACAATGACGTCACTCGTGCAATCATTGGTACAGGTAATAGTATGGATCGAGGACAATTACGGGCAAACATGCACGAGTGACTTTTTTTAAAAAAACTGCGGCGAAATAGCGCGAGTCCGAAGGACAGTGCATTTACACTTTTCCAAATACTTATAAACTGCACTACAACCAACCAATCAGAGTCGAGAAATATTTCAAAGTACATTATTATAGTAGTAACATATTCTACCTTATTCCTTTTGACGCCTTTGATGGCGTTTCACCGTTTATTTCATCCAGATGATTTCTAAATGGCAAAACACAAATTTTTAATGGTTTAGTTCGGACAATTTAACTCAGATAATTTCCTGGTGTGGATTATTTACTCAGAGCAAACTCAGCATGGTGAGCACAAAGCTGTAATGAAAATTGGTGCACTTTTCAAGGACTTTCAAGGACATATTTTGAAAAATTTAAGGACGAGGAAAACTTTGGATGGCACACAAAGCACAAATAAAATGAGAAATCGTTAAAACATCAAAATTTAAACAAAAGAACTTTTGAATTACGGCATTCAACATCGCGTCGCTTCAGAACGACCTCACAGCCAGTAAATAACATATAAAGTATATATACGTTTCGACAACCTTAGCGGTAGTCATTTTCAGAGTCAAATGAGGAGTAAAAGTCAGGTTAGCCGTATTTGCTGTCTGGTTCATACGCCCTCGAATTGTGTGTAGAACGAGACAACATGAGCCAGGTATGAACCAGACAATAAATACGACGAACCAGACTATTTTTCCTCACTTCACTCTGAAGATGACTACTACTAAGGTGGTCGAAAAGTCAGTCAACATAAATATCAACAGTCTTCTCAGGACTCTACTAACCTGAACGATCTACATCTACAAACATCTAACGATGCTTCCGGGTTTCCCACCATGCTACAAGGCTACCAACCATTCATTTTACATATAAATATATATTGTTGTTTATGTAGTTGAACTGTCTTACCGTTGAGTAAGTATACCAGTAGTTCGACTACCCGTCTCTCTTGTAATGCCACCATGTTGTTTCTTCTTCTTTTTATTTTCCATCTTCTCGAACTGCCGCATAATTTGCTGCATCTTTCTGTCTTCGCGTGACATTTTTGCACGATTTCGTTTCGCGTTTTGATCGCCATCCGAGTCGCTATCCATCTGAAAGAGCAGACAAAAATACATCGTATTTATATGGCGTAAAGTGATCATAAAATGGGCATTAAAACACCACGTATTGTCAGACAATGTATAGTAAGGAAAGACCTCTGTTCACACAGCATAAAATGACCCAGGTTCGACTCAGCTTGATATCAAACCGTTCTAGTTTATTACTAAACGCTGCAAAACAGTGTCGAACCAGGGTTAGTCGTTGCTAATTTTACACATGCCACCTTGTACGATTACCACCCATCAACCGTTGCTCGTTTTTTACAGTTTCGTCACTTTATGCCGCCATATTTCTGCTACATTTCAGCATCTAAGCTTCATCACAACGTTCGGTCTGGTAAAGTTATTCGGACGCAGTGGTGACAGAAAAATGGCCAGGTTGTTAAAAGCCAGTGGACAAGATCGACTCTTAAGAAAAAATGTTGGCTGGTCGTTCTAGGACAGCAACTTGCCTCTCATGAAGTCTTACGATGCGAGAACCCTGGCCGCGCTATGCCACATTCCCACTTTCAATGAAGAATTCTCCTCCTCCAATAACAGCTAACCGTGATTCACCCCAAGTTTGTGTTAATGATATAAAGACAAGCTAGAGTTGGCCTACGCTGAGTGAATAGGGCTAATACTCAGTTACACAAAGTAATATATTTCACAACGTGGAATGAGATGATAAACATTGAGACTATGTGAAAGCTAATTTCAAACTCACATCTGAATACAACGTTCAGGTTTCAAAGATGGCCTTTGCTGAAGTTCAGAACACCCTTCAGGCACAAATGAAATAGCAACCCTCCCCCACCCACCAACAAATCAGATAAGCGCTCACATGATTGCTTTGACTGCTATCCAAACAGCCGAGCTCATCTTTACTACTTCGATAACCGTTTGCCTGCTCCACGCGTTGGATCATCCTGTTGTGTTTTAACACTTCGCAGTTCTCCTGAGCGCATGCGCATTCCAACTGGCGGCGATAGTCTTCGAAAGGGAACTCGAACGCCAGCGTCACTTCTGCCCCCTTTCCAAGCGGTGTTATGGAAACGACAATTAGGTGGGGCTTGCCCTCCAAAATAACATGACCAACCTTGGGAAATATTAGAGAATCAAGTAAGAAACAAAGTCATTTAACATCGCTGCACAGCACGTTGGTTGCCATGAACTAAAATCGAAGGAAGTGAGATCTCTTACCTCAGCAGTCGGTGAACAAGACCTGCGAATGAAACGAGCGTCGTTGCCATATTCGGAGAAATCCATCACAAGTCCAAGACGAAGATAATGCATTATATATGGATCACATCTGAAATGATAAAGACGAGTAAAAATCATTTAAATACATATATCCAACCTGCAGCATATTCTGCAAGAACACTTTGTTCTGCTATGGAAATATTGTCTGCCCCGTCAGTGTGACCAGACTAGGTAATTTTTATTACCAGATCCGCTCTGGTGAGCTTAGACTGCCCCACCTGCTTTAAATAATTGCGACATTTGGAGCAGGGGGAGGCATTCCGCACAGATCAACGTATTTTTGATAGTAAATTATTTATGCATAGTAGCATAGTAAAACCACAGTATAGGAAACAAATAGTGGTCTCACTTAAAAGAGCAAATGGCTGCTGTATATTCAATAAGTTTACTAGCTGCGATTCGCCAGCTCACTACTCCTATTGGTCGAAAAATGCAACTTAATGGCTGCAACTATGCTAATCGCATGCGTAATAAAATAAGCCATAGACAAATTTTTTCAATAGAGTGAAAGTACTGTTTTTTTCCATACTGTGATAAAACTTTCTACAAATGAACGTATTTGATATAGGTAATTTAACTGAACTTGACGAGAAACATACAAATTATAGCTAAAACAGTATTTTTTAAATGACCGAACTAAACTATAAGGAATCAACAAACCTCGCGAGATAACCAACCTAACTTTGTTTTGCAAAAGACTTCATCAACACTTTTGAGACCTCGTGAAAATATTTTTTCCGTACGGACCTCCCCAGTCGGTAAATAACATATACACATAAGTATATTTTATTCTGTGATATGGTCATGTATTGCACATTTTAATTGTAATTTCTAAATTAATTAATTCTGATCTATAATATTGAATTTCACACCTCGAGTCAAGCATATAAACATTAAATGCCAAACGCCTCAGGTCAAGCGTGTGAACATTGAATGCCAAACTAAATAAAGTCGATCATCGTCATCATCATCATCATCAAATATTGCCTGTCGCACACTTTGTGAACATACATGAATAATTTACTATCAAAAATGCATTTATCTGCGCAGAATGCCTCTCTCCCACTCCAAATGTAGCAATTATTGAATCAGGTGGGGCTGTCTAAGCTCACCAGAGCAGATCTGGTAATAAAAATTACCAAGTCTGGTCACATTGGTCGCACAGTTTAGCGCACTCACATACATCTCAGAGTTTTCAATATTATTTAACAGAGCAAGACGAGAAACTACGTTGTTAAGATTATAATTTTGGAGTTATCTAACATGCCATTGATGTAGATCTAGCTCAAGAGTGCAACTCACTAAAGATCTATGAAATAGATGCATGATCTCCTGAATGTAACAGCTATTCATATACTTACCTGGCAAAAACAGGATGATCTTCCTTGAATTTTGATTCTAACATCAGCTTTCCTTTGCATTCGAGAATAAACTGTTGCTTATTCAGGTCGCCGGTCAACACAACTCCCTGAAATTAGTGACAATTCCAGCTGCTAATTTGGACACAATTTTGCAAGCACGGGGGAGGGGTAAGAGATTGAAAATGCTTTTATGCTGATTCAATTCCCTCGCCAAGTGGGGGGCGGGGGTCAGTATGTGCAATAACGCAACGCTCCATGTGAGAGACTTGTAACTTGAATGTAAAATTTGAATGTAATATTTCAGGGTAAATTTCAACGAGCATTGCTGCAAAAACATGCAATTTTACCTTTTTATTCCTTTGAACGTCTACGACTTTACACAATTGTTCAGTTTTCATGTTCATGTTAAGATTGAAGCTTGGCTGTGGAGAAATGCAAAATATTATCATCGACAAGTCCATTTACAGGCTAAAACGTACGTTCTTCGAAGAGGCCAAAGATCGCATATTTATGATATAGATCATGCAATTTACCGCTGTGCACACGTCAGTGGGGTAGCCAGTTCACAAGTTTGGTCGCGTTATGTAAATGTTTAGGTGTTCACTTGCAGTAAACACAATAGATTTCTAAAGAAATGATCAATGCTATAATGATCTGAAATTTCTATAACACGACCAAAGTTGCGTATTGGCTAAGCCACAGCCACACATGCAATAATTCGAGGTCAAAAAAATCTGTTGTGATACGAGATATAGGACTTAACAAACCTCAATAGGTGGGAATGATTGATTCATCAATTCTCCAATATACTCTGTCTTATCGGCTTCTTCGTACAATGCACGACTGTCAAAATGGGAACAACAATAGGCTTAGATTACGTTCACACGATAGCGGTACTTAACTCTACCGGTATAGTTTCAAATCGTTTCGAACTGTTCACACGATACCGTCAGAGTTTAGCTCTGTTTTGGTGTTGTGTTCACACTACTCCTGATTAATGCTGCCTTTCTGTTTATTTGAGTTATATCTATTTGAAGTCTATCTCCTTTTGCTGACAATATCAATCGCCGCCACGATTGTGTTCGATTATTTTATCGCGTCATTTTTAGCAGAGAAAAAAGTTTCGCCAAACCACAATGAAACTCATATGGTTGCGTGTTCACGTAACGGAAACGGCATAGTTTCATACCGTTTTCAAACTGTTACGGATCGTACCGTTTTCGAACAATTACGGTTAACGTTTAAGTCTTTTCCAATAGTACTTTAGTCATACGTAAAAAGGCAAAATCTTGAAAGCTTAAAACGTTAACACGAGAATTTGTTGTCTCAAAAAATTATCTTTAAACGTTCTTTGGTGTAATTTATGCATGAAATTAATTTGAATCTGGGAGTGTCGTTACAAGCGAGTTTGTAGATGTAGGTAAGTGGAGTCTTGAGAAAGACTGTCGGTGTTGATGACAACCTTAGCAGTAGCCATCTTCAGAGTTAAGTGAGAGCTACAAGTACAAGTTGTTCCTCATTTAACACTACCTTTAGGTGGTGGAAAAGTCAGTCAACATCAACACTGACAGTCCCTCTCAAGACTCCTCTAACCTGAACAGTCAACATCAACACTGACAGTCCCTCTCAAGACTCCTCTAACCTGGACAGTCAACATCAACACTGACAGTCCCTCTCAAGACTCCTCTAACCTGGACGGTCTACATCTACAAACATGTAATTTTTGTGTATTGTCAAAAACCGACTTCGACCGAGCTCAAATGAAGTTGACCGGAGACATTTCGGCAATTATTTTGAGCGCTGAACATATCGTGAATTTTATCGAGTGGGACTTACTCGGGGAATGGTGCTATATTCCAAGGTCCATTCGCATCTTCATCGACTAAACAAGAGAAAATACAGACAGTTGATTAAATAAAAGTAGATACTGCTTTTTTATTGGCTTAAGAAGGGCAGGATTTTTTGTAAAACAAGATTTGCCAAAATATCAATATCTTTATCAATTCTTCAATATGATAAAGACTAATCAACTTATTACGGATTACTCAAAAATAAAACGGGTATATCAGCGCAATTCTATCAAAAGTGACAAAATTAAGAGATCTAAAGCCATCCGTTCAGTTATAAAGAAACTACGATCAAACTACAAAGGCCATCATTGTCACGCTACGCATATCAAAACTCGACTACTTGTAGCACAAAGTCATTAAAAATGAGCACTGCTAGTCGCGAGAATGTCAGATTCACATGCAGTTTATATAACAGGTTTCACTCTTCTTCATTACCTCACGTCTTGGTAGCAGGTAGGGCGTTCGCCATTTGTTTCAGTATACACCTCGATTAATCGCCCGCTAATTTCGTCTAAACTGCCGATAAATTCAGGCTTGACAAAACAAATACGACAATAAAAGGGAAAATTATCACTCCATGATAAGCATGTACATTAGTTCACCTTTCATTAGGTTTTTTGTAAGTGAGCCGACAGTCATACGAAACGCGAATCGTTGGGCAGTAGAAAATAGGCGACCATTTTGTAAAATGCATTTTCGAGGTCATCATATATCAAATTTCCTGGAATCTCCGCTCCAATAATGTACATTTCACAAAAATATAAACAACTTACCGGGAATTGCATCGTTGTTTGGCATGTGCTTCTTTTTCCGTCGCTGTTTAAAATAAAACAATGAGAATATATAAATGATGTTTGAAAAACCGTTACATGAAATTCATAAAAAACCCGCAGTTGAAACAACTATCTTCCCTGGGAACTCACATATATAACGACACCTCGATTTGCACTAACCCTACATATGGCTCTCTTAGTTTTTTCTTTTATTCTCATTTCATCATTCATTTGGACGCCTTACATTTCGCCTTCTGAACGTTTCACAAACGAGAACATGTCAACAGAAACTTCTCATAGTAATTTTAGTTTCGTATCGCTATTGACTTAATATACTATCGAGTCAAAATTCAAATTATTCACATGTTATGCGTCCATTTGCCGCTTACTACTGACTACATGGAGTACTAGTTGACTAACAACGAAAACTTCGTCAATTATGACTTGTTAAGCAAAATAAGGAAAATCCAAAAGAAAAAGAACATAAAAGCAGAAACTCCTTCGGCTGCAACACGAAGCGATACTTGAAAGAAGAATACATTTTTGATTTAATAGAAGTTGTTATAAATCCAACGAGTACATATTTTATAGACAACCAACCATCTTGCCACTAGGAAAGAGCTAGGTAAACAGATACCAACTTGAAGTTTCACGCACCGAAGTCTCCGATCGGAGTTATAACCCACTGATAGGAGAACGACAGATGATAAACATTTCCCAGAATTCGCTTTAATTCTGTGAAGGCAAAGAAATGGCCAAGACGCCCGTGAAGTTTATACGGAAAAAAGAATTGTGTGATTGATTATTAAGAACGAAATAGTTTTACAAGTGTATGCATGTACATGAATGTATATGCAAGTACACCAGACTATTGCTTGATATAAAGTCAATATTTTCTAAGTTACTTAAATAAAACTAAGGCATGGGTTGTACGATGTAAAGTTGTCTTGATTGGAATTTATTACTCACTAGAGGCGGATTCAACAAGTTTCAAGCAATAGTTGATTCAGTTACGCTCAAGAGCAATAAATTGATTAAACTCCGTGAAGTCGGAGCTACGATGCGAGAAAACCGTTTTGTGCCAAGTTCGGCACCACATGGCAAAAAAAAGATTTTAGAAATTTTTTCTTATCAGTTAATTTACTATGTCCACGTCTATTCTAACAGAATTAGAGCAACCTTTATATAATAAGAAGTTTTAAACGGCAAACATTCTTACAAAGCACCAACAAGATCCCACACCATCTTTCACGCACCCGATAGCAGCAGCCTTGAACAACACAACGGAAGAATGGCATTAACGTAGATCATATATTGTCTATCTCTTAATTATGGCATTTTAATATCCTATCACGTTATCTCGAAGATACTGTCAAGATGATAAAGTCACAGCTGTTAAATCGCTTTCAATATGGAGAATTTTAATGAAGAAGTAAAAATTGAAGTCATATTAACACGTAACGAAGTCAACATTGAAATCATCCGTGAACTTTCCGTAAAAAGAAAAACCAAGAGGTTAACACCTTTACTCGGTATTACAAAAAAATCAGACATTTAAACAATTTTTTCAAATGTTTTAATGAAACATGAATGCATTAAAAATTTTAAAAAGTTGTCGTTTACGTGAAATGCCTGATTTCAATCGTGCTGCTACGAAAGTATGGAAATATTATTTTTTTCGACTTGGCACAAAAATACGATGGGAAAGCTTCCCTTGTCGACTTCCGAACATTGGAAAAGTTAGCTATGAACAGAAAGTATGTATGCATTAAAAAATTTTAAAAAAAGTTGTCGTTTACGTTAGATGTCTGATTTCAATAGTGCTGCTACGAAATTATGGAAATATTACAAAGAATTGGGAAACATTGACGTAGCCAAGTTGTTGATTTAGTCCGCCATGCAATTTCCCCATGTTTACTCACAATGAAAACAATAGACATCCAAAGAAATTAATCAATAATGTTCATGATTAATGCAAAGCACAACTTTCTTGTGGGATAGCTACATGCGCAGCACGTCTTAACTTGTGGGATAACTACATACAGCTACAAGCATAGCACGACTTATCTCACAAGATAGGTACATGCACAGCACAACTTACTTATGGGATAGCTACATGCATAGCACGACTTAACTTACAGGCTAGCTACATGCATAGCACGACTTAACTTACAGGATAGCTACATGCATAGCACAAGTTAATTTACAGGATAGCTACATGCATAGCACGACTTAACTTACAGGATAGCTACGTGCACAGCACGACTTACATTACGGGATAGCTCCATGCATAGCGTAACTTCACTTGCGGTATAGCAGCGCTGTGGAAAACATTTGAATACAGTGTATCTAACCCTGACCTTTCTTTTGCTGTGTTTCATTTCCTTCTGGTGCATTTTACGCGTCGATTCTCGTTTCTTCCTCTTGCCTTTGGTCACTAGATTTTCCTTCATCAACGACGACGCTGAATTTGGCGGCAATGGAACACGTGATGAAACGTTGTCACTGTCATGTTCGCTAACGTCACCGTCTTCTTCGTCTTCCAATTCTGAATGAATACACAACGTACACATCGGTAAGCATTAAAACAACTTCTAAGAGGTTTTGTGAGTGAATGTTTGGTTCTCCTAATTCATCCAAACAGTTTTCGGTTGTAGGTTTTTAAAAGAACCGTGACAGCACAATAAGAACCGCTCTCAAAACTGTGACCTATCGTGATTGCGTCAAATCGTCCTGGACCAAAGTCAAAAAGAATTTAGCTGGAAGTTGTAGAGGTAAAGGTGTGAAGGTTTGTTTTGAGTGTGACTAATAGCACTGTAGAAGGAATATATACCACAAGAACAGTGGCGGACATTGTGGAGGTGGTAGTGTTGTGACACGCCCAGCTTTTGTGAAATATGTATGAAAATTCTGTCCATAAACGGAAAGGAGACAAAGAAAATCAGTTCGGCTAAAATTTTGTGCTTCTGTATGAAATAAAGACACTGCAAGGGTCTGCCCCAGAACGTAGAGCCAGGCCCCCTTCCCAGTTTTATGAGCGCTCCTGCGCAGCTCGGTGCAGTATATTTAATTAGAATACTTGCTGCAGTAATCCAGACATTGCACCATTCCTACTGGTGAAAAAAAAAACAATTCATAATCAATTGTATCAAAAATAAGATATGCGTGATGGAAAAAAAGTTCAATGGAGAACGGCCCTTTAGTACATTCTTTGTTCTGCGCTATACAATACAGAATCAAAATTTTCCTCAGTACGTCAAAATAAACCCAACGACGTCGCTAGCTGAAGAAGAGCAACTCGTGTGTTCTTTGTCTCATTTTAGTTGCTTGAACTATAAGAACGGCGATGAAAGATAATTCCTACAAGCCTTCCTTTACCTGACATATCTCTAGTCTTCTTCAATTGTATTTGAAACGCTCGCTCTCTATCCAATTGTCTGGGATCACACAGGTCACAGAGGTACGTGTCGGGTACACTGTTGCTCTTGATCCCTACACATTCCACGTGCTGCCACGCACTACATTTATCACAACAGATCATGTAACCATCATCGTGTTTGAAACCGCTAAAATATATAGTTCAACCATTGTTAATGAAAAAACATGTTCGCTCTCAGAAAGGTTATCGCAAATACACGAAAGGGATAGGCTAAAACCATTGAACTAAAATACATGGAACGCTACCGCTGTAATACAAAACCCTAATAATTTTTTGCAGCCGTGATTACACCCAGACACACGTATGCAGTGAATAAATTTAAACTTGGCTTCAATTATTTGCTTCAGATAGCGTTCCATGTACTATAATTCAATGGCTAAAACTTGGATATATGAATTTCGCCATTGATAAAGTACCCTTTCTAGCAAAAATAATTTATTGGCGTCACACCAATGAAACTAAGGACAATTTCCAGCGTATAAATGATAAAATTTACAATTTGGAGAAATCGTTCTCTTGTAACTACGATTTATACTTGGCTTTCAATGGACTTTGTCCTTCGTCACATGAAGTCTGGGTTGAGCCCCATTCTGAAGTCATTCGAAGGTAGGTGGCATATAAATGATGAGTCCCTTAAATGACGTCACAAAAAGAAAAAAGTCGTGACGGACAAGATTCATCAATCAGAAAGAGCATTTTTGCCCACTATACATCGCTATTAACCAGGAGCGATTTGATTAAATTAAAAAAACATTTCACAGATACGCTGGAAATCGCACGCAGTTTTAATAACTCCAGCAAAATTTTTTGTTGGTAGGGATACTTTAACGAGTCTTTCTTACGTAGCTAACGAAGATGCAGGTCTTTACGGAGAAACATCGGACCGATTGACCTGAAACGAAGTTCCCTTTCCTTTCTGGTCTTTGCTCTTTTGCAAAGACTGACTTCCAATCCTTCACTTTTCATCAGTAAAAAATATATCCTTTGTAATTGATGTCTGTTTACGAGATTCATTTAGATCTAGTTGTAAAATTGTGCAAAATGAACTACCGGTCCATGGCGGGAAAATAATGGACGGACAAAATAGTTACTTATAGCCCATCAAAGCACGCTATTTCTCCGGAAGTGATGTTGCCATATGACAATTTTCCTACAAGGAGCCTTATCTCGATATTGCCAGCAAAGGGTTAAGTCAAAATTGACACTTTTGTGCTTTACTGCTTTCACACAATGTTTTCAATACCTAATGAACAATTTTAACCACCATTATTAACAATTACCCTGGAAAAATTCTTTTGTGGCAAATAAAAATGACCCCTCCCTCCCTCCCCTAAAAAAACTGACATACAAATTTTAAAATTTCTTCAGGAATTCTCACCAAATACATCTGGTAAAGCCTTCATCTTCATTGGCAGTATCAACTTCCTCTGCAGGATGATCGGGGCTACATGAATCTGGTGGAGTGAGTGGTTTACCGTAGTTATGGTCAGAATATGGGATGTGATTCCTTACACCTGGTAGTCGAATCAATGAATTTGGCATTGGCTTTCCACAATTAGGCACAATAGGTGACTCAATTGGTTTCCGACTACAAAAATATTAAAAAAGTATTATACATAACATGCTATAATACATGCTATACATACGTAGTACATTTTATCTTTCCTGGTAGCGTAACAAGTATTTGTTTGAGCAGTGTAAATTCAATAACAAAGAGACTTGCAGAGCACAGGAACATCTACTATAACACTTACTGTATAAATAACCTAACATAACATAATGAGAAATTGTGACTTCTCAGGCACCAAAACAAAATCATAACCACAAGATGGTATGATTTGGTTTTTGACACTAAGTTTACTTAACTTGACACTGATAGGATCTCTCATATAATTGGGATAGGTAACAGTATATTTACGAGTGCAATTACAGATATATATGCACAAGTAAGACTGAAATGAAATACAGGAAAAGATAGCTATTCGCAGTCTTCAAAACCCTCAGGAGTTCATGTTTAACAGTAATTGCACAAGAAACTACGCTATTACTTAATAATATAATTTGAGATATTTCTTGACTGTGCCGTCTAACTCGATTTCTCTTAGTTACTCTTTATCGCTTCGGAAAAGCCTTGTTACATGGCCTTACTGTCAAAAACTTTCATGCAAAAAACAAAATTTCCTGTTTTGTTTTTATTCTTACCATTTTTTTTAATTCTTGAATTTCAAACAATTGCAATTGTGGAAATCTTTGTTTACTTACAACTACTGCCATGGGTTTTTTTTAATCGAAAGAAGTTTGTTTGGCTTTTGCTGCTTTTCAGCCAATCAGGAAACAGTATTTACAGTGCAATTACAGATTTTCAACAGTGCAATTACACATTTTCACAGTGCAATTACAGATAAACTGCACTGCAATCAGCCAATGACAATTGAGAAATATCTCAATGTATATTATTAAGCAACATTGCAATTGTTATTAAATTTCAAACAAGAAGTTCCTTTTAATATTCTGAAAGGAACTTCTACATTAATCTTAACATGAGAGTAAGAAAAGGCAACTAGTAATGTATCCATAATTCCATAATTGGGATGCCAGACGATAGGGAAGGATACTAAATTCTAACACACTGGTATTGATGTGGATAATTGAAAAAAAATTTCAGACCCTGATTCAAGAACCTTCCTTTTTTGCAACACTCAGATGTTCATGCCAACTTGCTAATGTTTAAATGAATAAACAAAATGAAAAGACCATGCATAGATCTGATACTTACTCTGAGCCTGCAGCCATTGTCAAGCACGCTTGAGCATTTTCACCAAAAGCATCACCATTCATTTTCTATTCTTGATAAACGTGATGGTTGTGCGAGGCAGCAAAGTGGATGCACCAACCATGCTATATGCTACATTCATGCTAATAATAAATCAAAGGTAATATTAGTAATAAACGGAACAAGTCATCCATAATTGTCATACATGCTTTTTACAACTTATCACTCCATAGAATGAAATTAAATTTTGATTTTGAATCAAATCTATGCGAAAGTTTGCGCGTAAGGTTTGCAATTTGAATGACTTTATATGTGAGAAAGTTTGAAACAAACAGATATCGATAGTAAATTCCAGTCAAAGTAACGAAGGTCTGGATATTTGTAAGCAATTCTTACAAAAATGTAAGATTTTATTTCGACTCCTAATTCTATGAGTGCCTAAAGTTTAACGTGATATGCATCCAGTAAATGTTACAAATCGCAATTTTTGAAACATAAAAATGAGTTGCAAATTTGCCAAACGTTGTAGCATAATTACATCTCAAACGCGGCAGGTTTCTCGTTTACAAAAGTCAATGTTTCCATTATTGCGAATTTTAAAAATAAATGCCTTGCATTATCAAGATTTTGTCACGCTCTAATATCTCAATTGACGGGAAACGAGGCGCCGAAAAGAAGGGAAAATGCACTCGAAGGTAAACAAGTTCAAGAAACGGGCAGGAAAGGGAGGACATGTCGTTTAGCGTCTAGCAATTCAACAAAGCAACCTGCGAATCATGTCGTCGAACAAAAATACAGAAATATTGCATCATTTTTAGCGTCATTGTAAACTGATATGCATTTACATAAAATATTTGTCATATTTCAATATCCGGCGTAAACGTCGGCAAGAACAAGCAATTGGAACAAAAATGTAGAGATTAGACATACGTAAAAACGAGTTGCTTCTTTTTTTAGATGAATAAAAACGATCACAAGATAATTTTCGTGTAATCCTTGGCACTTTGTAATGAGCGAAGTGCTCGCCATATCAATTTTGCTTAAACTTCATCAAACCATATGCTTTTCAAAACGTGTTTAGTTACGAGTATTCAAAGTGCTTTCATGTGACAGTCGAAGGTATGAACTATGCTTTACAAAATAAGCCTTCTTGAGCGAACTAAAAAAAAAGTATTTTCGGGAAGATATTGAAAACCGAGATCATATCATTTTTGAACTCAAATATTTTGCAAGATGGAAAGTTAGGCAAAAACATAGCCTTCGCTAAGTCGCTTATATATTCAAAATGGCGCGAGGTTTCCGCAAGCGCTTCATTAAGAAAAATATCGCTTTTACAAAGTTCCTCGTTGTCGTCGTTCACTTCTGTTAAAGCATAAAGTATGGATCGATTTAACGAGGCTAGTAGGGTCAAGAATAACACAACGATAACATCCAAGAAATCAAAATACGTTTTCAAATGGTTAGTCTCAAATGATTATTAAAAGGGAGGCGACAAGAAAAGTACATATATATTGCAAGAATCTTGATCGATATCAGCGATGATGCCACATGAACGAGGGCAATTTTACATTCAATTAAAACGTAAAAGCGATTCGTTATCCGAAACTTATCCGTTCGTGAAGACTACAATTGAAAAACAGAGAGATCTTATCTCGAAAATGATTGCAAATTTGCATGTCGAAATTGTTATAACAACCGAGGGATTTGTACAATTTTCGCGGTTGCAGGACGCGTTACTTTCCCATCAACAAAGTTCCTATTCGATAAATTTGCCAACAAAAGACTCGCTTTTATGTAAATAGAAAATCACACATGTTGCGGGGTCATCTTCGACGGGCAATATATAAATGATTCTCGATATTAACGCAACATTTATAAAATACAGCTTTGACAGAGAAAACGACATAGTATCATTTTGAAACAAAAAATCGGGCAGGTTCTTTTTGCCACAAAACTTAGCCACTGGTCATCACACTGAGCTATAATCATAGATAACGCTACCCGCGGAGGGAACCGAATATGGCTCAAAGATTATTACGATTAAAAACATCCAAAATTCGACTATGCACTCTCAAAATCGCTACTTTTTTCCTCAAAACACGAGAATATTTTGTCGCAATACTTGCACAACCCATAACATGTCGAACACGACAAGTTTTACTTTTCTGATCGATACGAATTTCAAAACACGACGAGTTGTCGTCGTTCACAAATCAGGCAATCTATTTCCCACTAAATTGCTAAATGGATAACATGTTTTCACGTATAGCAATACGAATTGTACTCGACTCCAGCGAGAGCAATTAATACCATTCCTAACAAGCACAAAAACACGTCCATATGTGGTCTGAAAACGCCATTGCCTTCCGTCATTTCAAATAAAGGTCGTTGTCGATTTGAAAAATGTGTGGCTAAAAAACAACTTCGCTCGGACAGTAAATTCTAGTGAAAACTAAGACACAGACTTTACTCCAAACCTAATTCGTGAGCGTTTCGATATAGGTATTTTCCTAACGAACAAAACGCATAAGCAGCATTCAATCGGTCGACGTCCTTGCGGTCGCATTTTGGCCACAACAGACAGCTAACTAATATCTACATTTTGTCCACACAATCGCTCGTTTCTCGTCGAATAAATCAGGAAAATACAACATTATTCTTTAAATCGCGGCAATAGCTACAAACCTGAAGGGAATGGTATATAATATGGACAAAGCGTAGGCGAATGTGCCAAGATTTACAAGAGAAACACCTCAACTTTGAAAAATACAATAACAATTTCACACAACACAACTAACCTTCAGAAAACTAGCAGAATTGCAGGGAAATTATTCCTCATTGAAAGTTTTGTTGACAGCATAGAACAGTACACAAATTTCCAAAAAACGTATAATATAGTCCCAAGGAAGTTCAATACATTGCACCTTATTTTTTATGGACAAATTTCAAAATACAGCCTAAAACACTGACGTATACTCAACGCCTCGTTGCCAGTGATAGTAAAAAGTAAAATGGCGGCGCATATCCCCAGTCCTTCACGTGGCTCCTGCGTGGCATTTAACGTTTATTTGTGCGAGAGTCTCGCGTGAAAAGGAATTGATGACAACTGAAAGATGCTTGGATAACAATTGAGATATCTGAGCAAAAAGCATGAAATTTTCTTCCTCGATTTGCATCACATTCTACTGAATATCTGAAATATAAACTATGATCATGGAAATAAACGCCGAATTACTATTGACAGCTACGATCAAATATGCATGATGTGCATCTATTAATCGAACAAGAATTACTGACTTTACTAAATATATACTTAGATATACTGGTGAATTACCAGTCAATAAACAAGAGTACAGTTGATTTTATACATTCCTCTGGAATTGGTTGCAACTATCATTATTCTCGCAACCATTCCCAGCATAACCCTCTGGCCTGGGTTGGTGCAACTTGCAACTTACTATTCATGATTCTCGCAACCATTTCCTGCATTACCCTCTCGGATTGGTCGCAACCGTTCCCTGTATTTGAACATACATGAAGTGTTTCTCTTCATAAGTCGTTGACAGGTCAGTACAACAGCAATTGACAAGTTACATTAGCTTTTAAAAACTTGATGGTAAAGCTAATGTTCCTCAGCCAGAAAACCTTCGCACGCTTTTATACACTACTTTACTACAAAGCTTCTATATACTACCATCACATAAGTCAATAACAAGCATAACATTCGTCAATATTCGAAAGATAAAAGGAAAAAAAGGAATTTATGAAAAATGAGCAAATTTTGCTAGAATGTAAACAACTAAATAATCGCGATTACCAGATCGGAGGAAAAGCCCAGGGCCCAGGGATTGAAACTCCTCAGTGACGTAGAAAATACACGAAAAATTATCCCAACAACAAAGACAAACTCGTGTAGGAAATCCCAATATAGATCCGACGATAGAAACAAGACTCTAACAACGTATTTTACAAAACAAGTTGACCAAATAAAATATCTACCAATGACGTAATATGATATCCACAATGACGTAACAAGATATACGCCGATGACGTAATGAGATCTCCAGCAGACGATATAAGATACCCATCAAGGTCGAATTGCAAACTCCACTGTAAATCAAGGCTCTTTTCCACTCCAAAGAATTTTCCTGAACAAACAATTCCCTTTTGTATAGCAAGCCTAAGACACGAGCAGTGCACGAACGTCTGCAGCACCTACAGGTCCAAAACAAAAAATGGTTTTTCCAAGGAAAATCTCCACGAGTGGATACGGACCCTTACCATGGTCTAAGTGGATACTTTTACAACGTAGCCTGGTCGGCATTTATCATTAATCGATAGTAGAAATTAATTGTTTGTTCGTAGTTCTTTACAGAAATGCGTTCATTGGAGCCATGTATGCAAGACACGTCGGCCATGTTCAACTGCGACGGCATGAAGCGGTAGATCTCGCTCGTCAGTTTTTGAAAATGTTTGGAATCGGTGCCGGCAACAAGCAAGCCTACATTCAGAAAAGGAATAGTCATAGTCATGTTAAAAAGAAATGATATAGAAATTTTGTCGTGTTTGGAGTTTGGAGATCGTTCGGTGGATATGACAGGCAATTCACTCGCTGCCAAGCAATCCACGGGGAACAGGAAAAGTACACATTCTTGAATGAGTTTTTAAACGAAATACAATGAAAAACATAAGCAAACTAGGCTCCTGCTGCGAAAAATAATCACAGAAGATAAACCACTTAATCTTGTTAAATGTCTTGCAGAAATCGAAAACACAACATAAGTTTAAAAATAAAAACGTCGGCACTTGGATCAAGGTTCGAAAATAGGTTGGCATATTTTTTGAATGCGTTTTCAACACCAACAAACCAAAGCATGTCGGCAGCTAGGGAGATATTTAGGAATAGAAAGCACTTATGACATATTCTACCACCAAACATTCCCCATGTTGCGACGACAGATATTGGTCGACGGTCAAAAGTAGTGGGTCTTAAGAATATTGTTCAGGTGATCTTAAAAGTAGTAAAAGCTTAACAAAGTTGACCAATACCGGCTATTTCATCATTCCGATACAAATAGAATTCCAACAATACCCTAGGTGTAAGGGAGAGTCAACGACGCCATCTTGAAAGGTGGCAAAAAGCAAAACTCAAAATGAAAAACAAGTTAAAAGAGAGTATAAAAACTAATCTTCTCCAACATTTTAAAAACCAAACATACACTAACAACTCGGTATTGTTACCTTTGAACAGGGCGGCTTGCCTCTACAGAATTTCGGCAGTCGGTTAACTAGTTGACTGGTTTCTAGGTCATTGATCTGAAAGCTTTTCCTGTTTTTAAGTTCATCTGAAGGGTTTTCAGCACTCGTTACATGTGAACACTGCATGAACACCATTTTTGAGCAATCGCTCAGGGGTACTTTAAAAAGCTGTTTGCAGAAGTTTGTTTTGCGGAAGATGTATGTTGTACCAAAGATTTCAATCAGGTTTTCAAATAGGCACGCCTTCAGTTACTACTCAAACGCACGTCATAGAAGGCAATCAATGAGAAGTTACAAATGTAAACAAAACGCTCTTTGGATGAACGAGCACTTGGTCGAAACTGATAAAGGCTGTTTTCACTTCACGGGTAACGTACCAACAGATGACAAAAATCGTGTTTTGTATTTAAAATTTCACCTATTGATTGTTTGGTTAACTTTGAAACTCAATTTTTAAACTAAGCATGCCCAAAGCTACATGCCGAAAAAATAACGGCCTTCACATTCGGATTTTGTACATGAACGAGAATTCTCGATGTAAACACAAATATACCTGGCACGACAGCGACATCAGGGAAAACATCCAAAATAGAAGAGACGACAGTATTGTAACCAAAGCTGTCGCTATCACTGGACGCTATCGGCGACTGAGGATATGTTTCGATGATCTCAATTTGAACGCGGTCGTCATGAATGCAAGAACGCAGGTGGTTGATTATCTGCAGCGTATAAATACAAGCGTATTGATACTTCATGTTATTTATAGATACTTAACGTATATATACTTCATGTTACTTAACGAATGACAGATAGGTGCTTAGCCCCCTCATCTGAATTGTGGGGGGGGGATTAGCCCCTAATACGGGAATATTTTCTCCGTAATATATGTTTATGTTTGACAAGGAAAAATCATCGACATAGATGGACTATTAAATACTGAGAGCCATTTTGAAAGCTTGTTTCTCCTATAGACTTTCATTTACTTGAAGTACTGAAAGTTGACGCTAGGAAGAAAATCGCGCTAAATATATTAAAAGAATGGCGTAAATCCAATGACAAAATGGCGCAGTCTAAATTAAATAGCTTTTCACTAGTCTGGTACCGAAGCAAGAAAAGCAAAAAATAATATTATTTGTGAGTTCAACAACAACAACTACAAAGGTCAAAACGCCACGCCCCTACCAAGACATTTTTGTTATTCAGCCCTCCCCCCCCGGGAGGAGGGCTGAATGACAAAACATCTTGGGGGGCTGAATTGGCACTATTACAACGCAACATAAAATCATTGTAAATATTTTCTGATAGTTTGTCTATTAATACGTAAAAAAATGGTTATAATTTGTGTTTTTGGATTAAAAATGGCGGCGAGATGCCCACGTGACCATAATTATCCAATCACCATGATCATAACGCAAAATGCAGAGAACAATACGTGTCCTAACTCTTATAAATAGAGAGGGCTCAGTTAATACCTAATCAGGTAAGAAATTCGTACTCGAGGCCCCGTAAAACATTCTTAGCTTTACATGTTTGTAGATGAAGATCGTCCAAGGTTAGTGCAGTTCTAAGGACAGTTGTTTCTGACGTTGTCTGATGATGACTATCGCTAAGGTTGTCGAAGCTTAAGCAACATCAACTGCAACAGTACTTCTCAAGACTTTACTAACCTTGATGATCAACATGTACAACATTTTGGATTTGTGCTCCATCAAACACAAAGATCACAGTTGCTTTTGCTTAGTTGCTGGATTTATTAATATTTTGCAAGTGAATTGGCACCCTATCTGCATCCCTCTGCATCCCTCCGTGTCCACGATACATCCATCCCCGATATATCATAAAAAAGGGGTTACAAAATCATTTGGTTTACTATTCCACAAACTATTACCATAAGAAGGACTCGGGTTGCAGACTCAAAGCATGAAAAAGTGAAAAACAACAAAAATACATAATAAATTCCAACCTTTTCTGCGGTGTCACCAGGATGAATTCTGATGTTTAAATGTGCTGTGGCGGAAGCCGGAACAACATTATCCTATGAAAAATTAACGGCAAACAAAGATGTTGACCTGAAATTTGAACATGAGCGTTTGAAAGTTAAATTTTCGACACTCGACAAAAAGAATGTAAGGTGGATACTAAGAATTCAGTGAAAGGCATGACGATGCTAAACAAGTGAGTAAATGGGATTGGCGTCGCTTCTAAACAAGGCTAAGAGGGTTGTGACCCCCAAGTAAATCCTGATACAAACAAGGCTAAGGGGGTTGTGACTCCCCCCAAGTAGATCCTGAGCATTCACCTAAACACGGGGCCTTTAAGAGCACTGTTAGTTGTCGCATGTATCATCCACATGCAATTTAAAATGATATCACTCGTCTTCGCTTCCTGTTGGCATGATACTAGGCATATTTTAACAAATATACCGGGGATGATTTGGTCTCCCAGGGCCTCTTGTTTACCCTGAAAGAAAATCCCCCCCTTCTTGAGCCTTTTGGTGTTTTGTGTAGTTGGTATTTCAAATATTTCATTGCAAATAAAATATTGCTAGCTTAAAGTAAGAATGCTTATTTCGTAACACGTATGCAAATTGCTCTTTGAAGCATAAAATAGCGTTTACGAAATTGCACTTCTTACAATTTCACTGGGAAGGGTATTTCCGGACCCTCTGCCACATGGCTCACACAGTTCCTTTTAAAGTTAATGGCCTCCCAGAGTAAAATCCCTAAAATATCCCTTGGGGCCTAGATACATCAACAGTTCGAGCGACGGACATAAAGGTACCATCAAAGTCACATATTTTTAAGTGTTTATGACCACGTCAGAATTATTGCTCCGACTCCTTGACGTCTTCGGAATAAAGACTGGGAACTAAGTTTTAAGGATAAAACACACTGTGCAGTCGCTTTGGTCGCGCGACTAAAACTACCAAATTGCGTGGTCACTAAGCTAGTAGTTTAAGTCACGAGTATACTCGCTTTGGAAGTAGAGCATGTTGAACTTATGACCTTGGTCGCTTCAGTCGCTTGCATGTGATTGGTTATTTCCTAGCTCAAAATGCTAATATATAAAGTTTACGTGAACAAAGATGGCTGGTTAGGAAGAAGCGCTCATAAATTTTTTTCGTAATTTTTCTGTTTTATTGGAGACAATCTTGGAGACAAAAATTATAAAAATGATAGCAGCAGCTCATCAAGTATTCGATGGCTCATGCTCTTCATCGGTTCTTAGTTCTTGGACCAAGTGCAGAAAATCTCTCTGTGCTCCTCTCTGCTTGCTTAATTGATAAACTCACCAATGCCTTTTTATTTTATTCTTTTTTCCCCGTTTTTCTATCTCTTCCAGCTTGTACAAATAGCAAACAGATGTTACTAACTTAGCCTGATGACTAGACTCATGTTGATAGTCGCAATGTGATCTCAATGCTCGCTTCTACAAACGACTTGCGCGCGCATTAATTCACGCGACCAAAGCAACTGCACAATGTGTTTTAGCCTTTGCATATTTAAACTTGGGTCTAGACTAGGAAATAAGATGAAGGTGTTTAAACACAGGTTTAGACTAAGATCAAGATATCAAACATAGGTTTAAACTATGTAAATTACGGTGTTTTAACATAGGGTTGGACTGCATGGGAATTAAGATTAAGGGATTAACGTGTTCAAAAACAGGTTTGGACTAGGAACTAATATTAAGTTATTAAATATAGGTTTTAGACTATGGAAATTAAGGTGTCTTAACATAGGGTTAGACTGCATGGCAATTAAGATCAAGGTGTTTAAACACAGGTTTAGACTACGAACTAAGATTAAGTAATTAAATACAAGTTTAGACTATGGAATTAAGCAGTTTTAACATAGGGTTAGACTGCATGAGAATTATGATTAAGGTATATAAAAGATCAGATTCAGTTAGTTCAATCACAGTACATTTGACAGCGGGATTCATATTTTAAACTTAACAATAAAACTTCCTTCGTAATTGCTAACAATTAAATCAATTAGTCATATACGTTGCTATATTTTAGCTGCAAAAATAGTCGATACCTTTGTTCCTCCGTGTATTTTGGTTACAGCAATGGTGGAGCGAACTAACGCGTTTGTTGACGCCTTTCTACTGAGGATCCTTAAGAGCAAATAGAAAAACTTACGTAATAGTTGCAGAACGTTGACAAAGATGTAATAGAAGCTGAAGAATACGACTTCAAAGTCTGAATGAGTGATCATTCGTCAAAACAGTGATAGAGAGATGATTGATTGTAATCGAAAGTTTACCGTGATCAACTGCCGCGATGACATAAAAAATAAAGTAGTAGCTAACTTGCGGGCCTTTAAGCGTTGTCTATTGCCCCCAATAAGATTGGTCTCTTGACGATATTTGCGGACCTCACGATTCTCTGCCTTTGCATTTCCCGGTTGTTTTTGTAACTCGTAATGTAAACAATAGGGAATAAACCTAAAGTTGAAACTTGGAAAACCCACTACTTTATGAAGTCGGAGCATCGTACATTTAAATTTCAAAGTAGCTAGATCGTACGGTGTTCAAAAGTATAAATGGTCTAATTTAAGAACATTGCCTAGATACCATGCACGGGCCTCTCAAAAGCTTGGGCATGTAGGCTTCAGCCTACTTAGCCTAATGGATAATCCATTACTGCCTAATGAGGACATTAACATAAGATAAATTTTGATAAAGACGCCAGCTTGAAGGATATGAGGAGTTCAATTCCAACACAGATCTCATTAAATACTAAACTAAATTTTCTACATGAAATATCTTCGAAAGAAAAAGATATAAAATTGAAGATTCATACCAGCTAACCAAAGGTTTGAAAAGCCACATGTTCGACATGATTACTCTCAAGAGAAAAGGAAGCTGCAAATGAAAGAGTCGAATAAAAAAGTCTGCATAATTTAACACTACGACCTCCCCAAACATAACTACGTTCGTAAAAACTTTTTGTGTTTACATACCACAGGCGAAAGTCCGGAGAAAAGCTCGACCTCGGGTCCATGGCCGAAGGCTGATGGCATTGCATTTCGCTCGATTCTGTGTGGAAATGGAATGTCATCAGCAATAGCAACAAAACAAAATAGAATTGCTGTTGATTAAAAAAATTCATCACTTAAGTTTTGTACAATATAAGGGAGTTGCGGGTGCTGGTTTACAGCCTATATATGATAATACATTACAAGCCTGCAATGTAGCAAGAAACATTTTAGGATCTCCTAAGCGTGGGATTGGGATAACTACGAAAAATCTACGAACAATTATAATCAGAAATGGCGTAAGTGTCAGTTTGTTAAAAATATTAAAATTTCTTTTTCAGTACAAGCGTACGCATTCATTTAAGACCAAAATTATAAATACGGGTCAGATCAATTGAGTTTCTTCTATGACGTCATCAAAGACCCCGAGACGTCAGCACCACAGATCTAATAATACACATCTAATAATAGCACCACAGATCTAATAATACACATCTAATAATAGCACCACAGATCTAATAATAATAATAATGTGTATTATTAGATCTGTGGTCAGCACGCGGTGACACCTCCAACACTAATCCGTTTCTAGAAAGGTGTATTGAACTCACTGATATGTATCATAGAATGGATAAAACATTAATGTGACAACTAAAGCCGGAAATTTTCTATAGGTTCACGATTTAAATGCTTAAGGGGTCTTTCTTTCCATGTAATAGCATTATTGTAGCGGGAATGTGCTAAACAAATAACACAAAAAAGTGCGACATTGTCATACAAAATTGTAGTAAAGTATGAAAACCGATCAAATGTATGAAAATGAGCCTGTCCGAGAGTGAAATATACGAGGATGTCTTATCCATACATACATAAGTGATAGAGCCCCGTGTCATTCCTCTCCAGTCTCCAAAACGTAAATGGCCTACCTTGCCACAGCGTTGGCAAGAATACCAATGCTACTTTCCTTTGGTGGCATAGATGCGTGACCGACCGTCGACTCGACCTTCAATTTGACAGACAGAGCGCCTTTTTCTGCAACAGCGACCCTGTAGAGAAAAGCAGCAACGTTTACATCACAAGTCACAAATGGATTGATTGTTCCCAATTACCGCGATCGAACCATTAAAAAGGACGATGCAAGTCCATTGAGCTGAATATATAACTGGAATGCTACATATAGGTAAAGAGCGATTCCCGGATGGATGTTATTCTTTTCTCCAAGCGTAGACAATAAGCAAGACTTAACAAACTATAGAATGTTATGGTGTTTTAGGATAAATTTAACTGAAAACATGTGTTGTTATGGTTTTTAAATGTGCTACGTCACGTTGGTGACAAAAATATTGACATTTTTCCATGTTCTCACAAGTGCCACGCTTTGTGAATTTTCATATGAAAAAGTAATTTAAAATACACAAAATGCTTCATCCGATAATAGTAATTGACACTTAATTGGCACATTGTTATGGCACATCATACAAGTACAGTTTCTAAAACGTTCCTGTGCAGTGTTTATTTCATAGATTTGCGATGAACATGTTTACGTTGCACGAAGCAAATTTTTAACTCCAGACATGCGTGTTTGAGGTAAAATCCCGCATCTTAGCTTGATATTGCAACAAACTTCGGAGTGAGTACGCGTTTATAAATTGGTGCTAGCAGTTAAATTATATTGACATGACATATTGGTGGTAGATGGCCTTCCAGGTGTCTTCGTAATAAAATGGAAGCAGACTATAATTACAAGTGAAGTAAAAGCTCACATTCTTCAAGCAAGAAAATCTCGATAAAACAAAAATGAAAACAAAAACGTACAAGGCGGCGGGTGTTTTGATACCGGGTAAAACATCGTTGAAAATCATCAGGCCTTCGTCTTGAACGAACTCCAAAGATACACCTCTCGATACCAGTTCTCGAGCGATGTGCGCGGCTCCATGGTGGCCAAACACCTTGAACGCAAGACGTGGGAATAATTTCAGTCAAATCTTTAACACAAACTGTAAATTTTTATCTGTCTTTTGTACTTCAAGATTTATCGGCGATATTTGCAGTTTTCACCGATTAGTTCTAAAAAGAATTGCTTCAAAACTACAGGGACCGCAGAAGATCGATGATTGGGGGCTCATATTCATCCATGCATGATATGTACCAGTGGTAGATTAAGCAAGGATCCTTTCAGGGGGGTGCTTGGCTTAGTGATCAGCTAGAGTTCAGAGGTTAGAAACCAACTATTTATCAACATACTCAGTAATATAAATGGATACTAGTTTTCATTTTGGTGAACAAAATAAATATCATCGACAGTCAATAAACTTTAATGATAAAGTCAATAAAGGCTTTTTCCATTAAAAGTAGGATGCATTTTAATTTTATTTTTGCAATTTGCACTCCTCTACGCACCCCTGTTGACCATTGCCTACAAGGGTGAGCACCTCCCCCTATAAATCCACCAATGATAAGTCCTTTGAAATTTCATGGTGTTTCACGGATAATAACATGTTAATTTGCATATGTATAGGAAAAATTATCCCCAAGTAATCGATTTTCCGCGCTCCCTGAACTAAAACACCAACCAAATAGTTCTAAAAGAAAGAACTGCTTTAATAACTAAAAGACAGTTTAGCTGGTGTAAAATATACAAAATAGCTATAATATTCACTCGCTTTGAGATGTTTTAATTTATACAAGTGAAAAAATAACACAAAATACTCCCTCCCACCCTAAAACAACCATATTTATACTAAAAACCATCCCAAATCTAAAAAAAACAATAATTATACATAACATCAGCCTCACTTCCTCCCAAAACATCCATATTTGTATCAAACACCACCCACTCTCTCCTAAAACAACCACATTAATACCAAACACCACCTACTCCCTCCAAAAACAACCATATTAATACCAAACACCACCCCACTCCCTCCAAAAACAACCATATTAATACCAAACACCACCCACTCCCTCCTAAAACAACCACATTAATACCAAACACCACCCCACTCCCTCCTAAAACAACCATATTAATACCAAACACCACCCCACTCCCCTAAAACCATATTAATACCAAACACCACCCCACTCCCTCCTAAAACATATTATACCAAAACACCCCCTACTCCTAAAACAACCATATTAATAAACACCACCTCCTAAAACAACCATATTAATACCAAACACCTCCTAAAACAACCATATTATTACCAAACACCACCCCTCATCCTAAAACAACCATATTAATACCAAAACACTACCCACTCCCTCCTAAAACAACCATATTAATACCAAACACCACCCAACTCTCCTAAAACAACCACATTAATACCAAACACCCCTACTCCTGCTAAAACAACCACATTAATACCAAACACCACCCACTCCCTCCTAAAACAACCATATTAATACCAAACACCACCCCACTCTCTCCTAAAACAACCACATTAATACCAAACACCCCCTACTCCCTGCTAAAACAACCACATTAATACCAAACACCACCCACTCCCTCCTAAAACAATCATATTAATACCAAACACCACCCACTTCCTCCTAAAACAGCCATATTTATGCCAACACCACCTCCATCCCCTCCTAAAACAACCATATTTATGCCAAACACCACCCCGACTCCCAAAACAACAATAAAAGCAAAAAAGCACCTCTTCATCATGTCCAAATGAAAGGAAGAAACCACGGTTTGGTATGTGTCCTGATTTTAGAAGAACCTCAAGTGCCTCTAAAGATCCCTAGATTATACAAAATACATTTATTGTAAAGTAAAACACCCACCCTTCAATCTTTAAGATAAATAATTCATTTGGCAAATACATAACCACACCATACCATGACACCATTTTTCACATCCAGTGTGCCCCTACCCCATATGAAACCATCCTTCACAATACCACCAAACTGTGGTACATCCCATTTTTGATCTTTGACTGGCACGACATCCAGATGGGATATCAGTAGGTAAGGTTTCAGGTTGGAGTCACTACCTTTGACTGTGTACAGGAGACTGTATTTGTTGATCATTTCACATTTCACCAATGGAGAAGAATGCACATGAGGAAATGCTAAAAACACAAGTTAATGCATATTAATTTCAGTGATTTTTATTCAAGATTGATTAGTCAGGATTTGGCTACATCCGATGCATATACTCAAATATGTTCAAACTGAAGCTTAATTTCTTCAAAAGCAAAAAGCCTGTCATAATCCAGTCTGGTTTTCTTCATCAGATATGATCTGTCATTCAACTTGAGTCCACATATACTGCAAATTGGTGCCTTTATCAGGAGTGATCAGATGTTAAAACTTTAGTCCTCATATACTTCAGTCTAGTGCCTTCATCAAAAGTGATCTGATGTTGAAACTTCACTCCAGGTCACTGACTAGTATTTTCAAGTATTTTCAATAGGGACCATCCGATACAAAAAACTTGTACTCCAGTCCTGTCTACAACAGGAGATAACTCATGAAGAGTAGTTAAGATAACGACATGCTCAGTTGCTCATGAGGATACGGTGTCATCACAGTCGTCTTAGACATTGATGAGTAAAGCCTTTTTGATAATTGTCATACAATATTTGAGATGTGCAAATAACGTGCTTGAGCTATCTCATAATGAAATAACACCAATTCATTTTCCTTCGCCAGGCCGGGTTTGGCAAGGTTTCAAAATTTACCATCTCTCAATTCGATTTTCGAAACGAATTTAATAGAAACTACATTTCCCGGCAAACGTGATCTGTCATTTGCAAATACTTACAAATTCTGATATGTTGATGAAGTTTGATCAGCTCGTCTTTGTTCCATGGTTCATCATTCTCAGATATACTGTAGGATACAGTTTGGCATTGAATGGCCTTGGAGAATCGTGTCAACATTTCATCGTCTATTTCTATGTACTTCCCCGCTTTTGTTTTCTTTAACGAGCGCTTTCTAGAGGGGGAAGACAGATCCACCACTCTTTTCACGATAAATAACGATAAAAGCATCAGAACGCCAGCAAATCCGACACCAAAGCCGAACAGGACGTTCACCTCTGATTGAAACGCCGAAGCCATTTTCGCTAAGGCACTACGCAATCCTGGCAATACCAAAGTCGTGTTTTTCTCTGAGGGGGGTGGGGAGAGGGTTATAAACTTCAACGATTTCCTTCCCACCACGATTGATTGGGCTCAGAAACCCTATATTTAGTCTTAGCTTTGTTTTCATTTGTTCACAACGTAATAACTATAAATAAAACCATGGTAGTGAGATTATTTAGTTATTAAAGGTACTCGAAAGCCGAAGGAGGATGAGTGACGCTGCTAGCCGAAGGACTTTTACCGGCCAACCTCACAAGTTGTTCCTGTACATTTCATCTTCAGTACCATGGTTTTACATTGTAACACCATGATTTTCGAAATATTTTAGTGTTTCGCTCACTTGTCAATGATGGTATAAATCAGGGGTCTCCAAACTTTACAGCCAGAGGGCCACATGAACTTTCATCCAGCATGTTGAGGGCCGACGAACCGTATATATTAAAACGAATATTTTAATAAAACGAAGTACTTTTGAAAATAGACATGTTTCGACATCTCATGATCCCATCTTCAGTATAAGTGAAATAATAAATGATAGAAGGTTTATATAAAAGTAATATGATACATAAATGACAACAATAAAAAGGAAATAAGATACATTGGCGAAACTTCGCGCCATTTATCCACCAGAATCAGGGAACATACCACAACAGACAAAAACTCCGATATCTAACCCACACCTTCTTAAATCTCACTCATGTAAAACCAACTATTCACCCTCTTGCTTCAAAATCATTTACACTGCCGACACCTCATTCTCCCTTAAAATCAAAGAAGCACTCCACGTTAACAGAACTTACCCTGACCTCAATGTTCAAGATTTTAAATTCAATACAATGTTTAGTTTATAATACGCTCGGACGCTCCCCCTTAATTTTATCTTATTTCCTTTTTATTGTTGTAATTTCTGTATCATATTACTTTTATATAAACCTTGTATCATTTATTATTTCACTTATACTGAAGATGGCATCATGAGATGTCGAAACATGTCTATTTTAAAAAAAACTTGTCACGTATATCAAATGCGCAAAACGAAGCACATCACACAAGCTTCGTTAAAGGTTGAATTTCAACCAAGAGTAATATCATAACAAAATCACAGTCTGTTCAGTTTTCTCAATGTGAGTGGTGAAATTGGCTTTCTTAAGTGTCTCTGCGGGCCGGATTGAGAGTCCCAACGGGCCGCATCTGGCCCGCGTAGTTTGGAGACCCCTGGTATAAATTAAAGGTTTTTGTGTTTTTGTTAATACTTTGTAGTGATTTTTATCATTTCACGCTTAAAATTCGGGATTGTTCTGAGTAGTAAGAGAATTCTAGTAATAGTGAATTCTACTAAGGTCAGTACGTTATTATTTCTGCTTGCTAGGGTAATAGAAATTGAGGCAACCATGAAACCATGCATAAATATGGTCTCTAAATTATCTCGATAAGGACTTGTAACTGGGAGGGGAGGAGCATACCTGGTAACTTCGAAAGTCGTCAAGTCTGTATATTTGCACACAACGAGATGCAAGGCTTATTTACCTCATAAAGAATCTCATAAAGTGGATGATGAAGCCATAAACCTGCTGGAACTTATTTATCGGGACCGTGAATGGTGTATGTGTGGGGAGGGGTATCTCCTGGATGGGCCCACCAGGAAGGCACTTGAATTGGGTGGAAAGTGTAGTCTCCGTTACCAAAAGAGGCCTACTGGCGAAATAAGATAGACATTACAGGAGAAAAAATTCCACTGCATGATAGCTTAGCAACTGAATACGAGTAAAACCAAGAAAACATCTTTAGTTAAATCCACATCAGACACACCTTTGGCAATGATTTCTATATTTTTGACATGTATTCTCCATATTTTTTTACGGTGTATTCATTAAAAGCCGATCAATGTTTTTTCCTAAGCAAGAGCGTGAACGAGAAAAATTAAATTCGCCATCGAGAAAAGGCATGTTCTATTCAAAATAGAGAATCGATAATACGTACAAAAACATGAATCATGACGAATAAAACACAAAAGACAAACAAGCAAGGTTGCTGGTAGAATACATTACATAGACTAAAAATTTTAATCCAGAATTATGATTTATCATTGAGTTAGAATCGTATCATGTGCTGAAGCGTTATACAACAAAAACATTACTCTATAAACTAAATCTATTACAGGAATACGGTCGAAGGACTTTTTCAAATTTTTATAAGAAAGTAACAAAACTCATTCTCGAGAGTAACGCCGGCATTCTCAAAGCCCACTCATACTAGCACGTGACACCAAGGGTGCAACGCAGAAATCTCGCAACCACTGATCAATAGCAAACTTATAGCTCCGTCGGAATATCCTTGGTCCCACGGCATAAATCCCTATCATTTGGGTCTTTTAATCAAAAATGAAAACTGTATCAGGTTTTCTCGCTCACAAAGGCTTTTCTTTTTTGAAGCTTCATTAAATAAGGTTTGGGTGCTAACGTCAGACGGTATTCTCCATTAAAATCATTTACATTCTCGTTCTCTACCAGACGCAAGTGAAACTGTTGCAAAATTGCAGCAAAAAATACGAAGATTTCGTCCTTTGCCAAACGCTCACCCAGACACGAACGTCCACCCGTTGAAAACGGAATAAAACTTTCGTGTTTCGGTACGAAAAACCTCCCGTCGTTGTTCAAGAATCGCTGGGGATTAAAATCGTATGGTGATTTCCAGTATTTCGGGTCGTGATGAATTCCCCACAAGTTCACGAAAACGAAAGTACCCTTTGGAATGTTATAATCACGAAAATTAGTATCTTGCGTAGTCGAGTGAGGCAAGGAGACTGGCACGACACAACTCATCCTCAATACTTCATATAGTGCTGCGTTTATCGTTGGAAGGTTTTCTCTATCGTTCAAAGACGGCAGGCGATCTCCTTTGATAACGGCGTCAAGTTCCGACTGCAAGGCGATTTGCCATGCTGGATGGGCAGCAACGAGCATCAGAGCCCAGCTAAGTGTGTTAGCAATGGTCTCGAATGCTGCTCCGACAAGATCAGCTAACACATACACGAGGTCTTTCTCGGTTATAAGTGAGCCAGCATCATCGATCCCTTTGTTGTACAGCGGTAGGTTTTCCAACAATGCATCGGTCAGACACCGCGGGCATCCGGGGACTCTACTTAGAGTAGTGGAAGTATAATACTTTTCGTGCATCCCCACAAAATCCAGAAACATTCTTCGCATTTTAGAGAAATATCCGATGGGTAATTTTTGCAGCCAGGGCACAATGTCCGATAAGTTAACAGGGCTTGTGTTTTTGGTGAAGTCTTCAACCATATCTACAATCTCGTTGGCCTCGGATCCATTAAACTCGAAATTCAAGTCAAAAAATGATTTTAATATTATATTTGCAGCCAAAAGCCTGAGTAAAACTTTCGGATGAAATGCCTCGTTTTCGCATTTTGCAAATTCGTGCAACAGTTTTAAAACTTCCGTCTTCAAAATGGCGTCGAGATTTTTGGTGACGTAGAACGTTCTATGCAACGAACGGATAACAAGTTTTCGTTGACGTTCGTATTTTGGTGTGTGGTCGATGAAAAGTACACCAAGACCACCACGCACTTCTGTGAACGAATACAGCTGCGGGCGGCCTCCGTAGACGCGCGATCGCTTCACGAGCGTCTCCCGAACGCTTTCTATGCTGTTCAATACAATGGAATAGTAACTGCCAAATGTTATGGTAAAGACGTCGCCATATCTTCGAGATAGTTTAGTGAGCGAAAGGTGTGGATTAAAGCCGAGCCAAAACAAGGACCCTATTGACAAGATTGACATGTTTTACAAACTAGCTTTAGAACAAAAAATATGTAAAAAGTATGCAGTCGAATTGCGTTAAAATATTGGACTGACGTCTTTTTGTACAGGATTGAGCCCGGGCGAATACAACGCCACAGCCAATGACCTAGAAAAATGGTTATACCTGAAATTTACACAGTATGAGCAAAACCTGCATGCGGGCTGGCTACGCCAGGCCTTTAGTGAAATATATCGCACTATGACCGTCTTTTTGTACCCACCAAGCCGACAGGATATACAATACGGTCATTAGTCATTTATGCTGTACCTGATTTCTGACAGTAATGACCGAGTAAAACTATTCACTATTTGCCATATAACAAACTTTATTACTTATCTTACAAAAATTTTGGCCTGGTAGCTAACTATCTATTAATTCTCATTTTTCAGTCACATTCCAGACAGCATCAAATTTTCGTAGTTTACAAAATAATTCAGACTGAAGTCGAACCCTTGGAGTTAAGCACAAACACATTGTCACCATAATGAGTTAAAAACACCCCAATTTCCCTCTTACAAGTTTCCCAAGGGTACAAAGTACAGTAATTTGTACATTAATCAATATAACGGTATATCGTGAAAATGAATGTATAATTGTACCCAACATTCCAATATGTACATGCAAATATACGGCAAATTAGTGTCGATGAAATTACCTATGATAGGCAATCCAAACGGGCCCGGTGGTAATTTCATCCATTGAAAATACCTTCGTATTGCAACGTGAACATAATAAATAAGGATTAAAGCAAAAGTGACCACACCATCCATCCTTGAGGAAGATCCATGAAATCTTTCCCAAACTTTTGTTCAAAACATGTTCAATTTAATCGAAAGAGTGAACGCACTGCGACCAACTTTGACAACTTTCACAATATTCGGTATATGTTGAACCCGCAAGAATTTTTTTAGAATATTCACGAGAATATTTGATACTTGAGTGATTTTTTGGCATGAAATACCGATAAAAGCGTAGGCAGCAACGGAAATTGATTCGATTATTTATAGAAAGAAGTATTTAATTATTTATAGAAAGAAGTGTTTGTTCACAAAACATCCACATGATAGAGTGTTCAAGCACATGACACTTTGCTGTGCTGTCAACATTCCTTAAAGTTTTTCATAAAATACAAATTTCACAACAACTTAAGTCGCATCCAAGCCTTTCGACCACCGCACGGTAGTGCTGTTTTACCCTATACGGCTAAAAAATCTTTTCCAAATTCGTTTTGAACAAGAAAAAAATTGAAGAAGGAACATACTGAACACACATGGTACTTCAAAAAAGTGAAACAAAACTTGAAGCTCGAGCACAATATCCTTAAAGCTTTATGTGTCCGGACGTTAAAATATATAAAGAAAAAATCATACTTTTACAAGAGTAGTGCATAATGTCATAAAACAGTACATATATAAAATGTGATCAAGTCATCAAAGTTTACATGAAGATCGAAGCGTGTTTACCTAAAATACAATACACGAATTCCTATCATTCTTGTGGTACAAACGTCTGTAAAATCATGCAACTGTTCAATTTTTCCTGTTGAACGATACGAATAGTTCGATTACGATATCTCACCAACATAGAATTGTTTGTAATCCGTTCTAAAAAAATTGGCTTTTTGTCACTACTTTTAATCACGTCGGCTTCCGTGTGTACAGACCTTTTGAGATAGAAATACATGTACATGTTAAACAGAGACCAAGGTCGTAGCTAGCTCGATAATTTGGTTGGGAAATATTCATATATGAATTCCCTCCCACAAATTATCGAGGCTAGCTACGGCACTGACAGAGACCGAGGTAAGAGGGGTATATACGTGTATACATATGATACAATCTGTAATCATAATTGTTTTCAATAGAAACTAATAAAGTAGAACATGCTTACATGAATAACTCACCCCTTCCCTCAATTATCGGTCGCTGGTGTAAAAAAAGACTTAGACCAAACTTGGTAAAATACAAAAGAAAGGGATTCAATCCTTTTCCATCATCTTAAAATATCAAGTTGACGGATATCAAGGATAAAGGAAGCGGTTGAACAGAAAGTGGACAGTCTTACAACCAAAAAAAGAAAGAAACGATATATTTGGGAAGTTTTTTAAAACCTTTCGTAAACACGTGAGACAACAGAGAAACAACTTACTATAAAAAGCATAAGCACAGGAAACACAAGGCTAAGTATCCTTTTGATGCCATCTATGGACGTATATCATGAAAGGATATGTTTTTCTCAAACAGCCATATCGAAATCTTTGTCGTAAATCAACCAATAAAAATGTATTAATAACCGACAGTCAATACCATCTCCGTCCGTGGGCGACAACGTAACAAAGAAATTGTGTGAACCACACCTTAAAGTTTAACGATTGTTTTCTTTAAAGTTTACTTGAAACAAAGCGATGAAAGACAGCGATTCTTCGTTTCTTACGTAAATCCATAAAAAATATCTGTCGAAAGAAGAATATTGTTACTTCGCAAGCATCAAACATAAAACTAACATATTAATAAAATTTTATTAGTCGTTAATTGCGTCACTTGCATATCTTCTAACAAAGAAAGTAATTCGCACACACACAGAAACAACAAGTCGAGTTGGTCCACAACTCATACTATGCGCGCATAATCTTTCCAAGGTTGAATTGAAGAATGAGCAAGACCCATGGCAAAGATTCTCTAAAAACGTGAAAAGAAAATTGTGTCAGCATGCCAGGAAATGGCTAAGATGCTTCACTTCCGTAGCGAAAATTTTCAGTCTTAACCCGGGACCACATAATAGTGAATATACAGTAGAGTCACTCCATTGAATTTTTTTCGTTTCACGCGTATCTTAATACGCATGTGATTACCATAGTCAATCAATTGTTTTTTTTCCGACCAGCAGGAATGATGAAATGGCTAACGAAAACAAGTAATCTAATGAAATATACAGCAGCCAGTTGAACAGAAAAATGGACCCACTGTACATTCTCCATACTGTGCTCGGGACCACCGATCATTACGTGGGTTGTTTAGTTATCAGGCAATTCGCGGGCTCAGAGTACTTATTAGCAGAGCACTTTGTAAGAAACTGAGACTGCCTCTTTTGATGAACACTAAGATATACACTAACTACAAAGTGTATATGACAAAAATGCAACCGTATGATTTGTAGTCATTGCCAATTAAAATACAAACTCAGATTGCATTCAAGCGGCGTAGCATCTACAACCATTTCAAGTTTCATTGATTTTTTCTTATTGAAAGTCTTCGTTTTGCTGACTACGTACAACACAACTCTGCCACAATTATATGATCGACTCAAGATGACTTTACCCCGTCATCCTTAGCATAGAAAACATTTCGCCTTGTTGTAGCTGTTACTGTAGTGTGCTAAAGCATGAGCGAAAAGGTTTAGTTTGTAGCAATAGCACTTATAGAATACCTTACCTGCACGCCCGACCCCAACTCAAACCCTTTTTCCAAGCATAACCTAGCCTGATTGTTGTTGGCAGTCTTTATGATACAGGGACGTCATGGCAAGGTACGAGACAACGAGAACTCGTTGTGGGTCCCCGGCATTACGAGCCCTTACATAACAAATTACTCACCTGGACGATCTACATCTACAAACATGTAACCCCTAAAATTTTGCTCATTTGTTGTTGTTCTTGCAGTTCCAGCACGCCCCTGTTATAACTGAAATCTAAGGACTGCAATCTAAGGTTCCAATTCAGGTAAACATCCCCGCCAAGTGTTGTAATGTTTTCTCTCATAATTTTCTTCAGTAATATTATGAACGTGCATGAAATAGTTGAGCAGAGCTTAGGTTCCACGAACATATCTCGAGCATTTTTCTGGCGGTGGATCGTATTGCGCTTTGGAATCAAGATACGTGACCAAGATGAAAAATGATTTCGTAAGGGGATTAAAAAAACGTCGATGCTTCTCGATGAGATATGACAAGAATGACATACAACAAATTCCTCGCATTTTCTGCAAGATGAAAATAAAATTCCCTTCGTGTGCACATTATATTTCATGCGTTGCGTTAAAATTACCATGGACAACGAAGTTTATCTAAACAATGCTAAGTCATATACAAAAACCAACAAGGAGCACAGTTCACTTCTTTAAAAGCCGAAAACTATACAAAAAAGCATGTTTTGAATAAAACCATCGTGTAAACACAATATTATAGATTCGCGTGGGTTTTTTTGAGCTTGATACATATCGTACAGTTTACTTCATTGATCCTGTTGTCTTTCTCTTACCAAGAAATGAACTAGCGTAAATCGGAAAGCTAGAAGCCCCAGCGGGCGGTAGGTATACATTTTGCTGATTTAACTAAATTCTATTCCATTCCATTCCACTCTATACCATATTCCTTCTATTCTATTCTAGTCTATTCTAATCTATTCCATTCTATTCTATATTCAAGACAGTGTTCAGTTACATTAAACAGTACTTAATCTGACAAACAATAGGCCCTCTAATTTAGTTAAATATATGTCTACAGGAATAAAAATATATGCATGCATATTAACAATAAGATAGCATAAAAACCTAAAATTATATAGTGAAGAGACTAATTTCTTTACAAGTACAAAAAAGTAGGCAAACAATTCCTTTTAAAAGACCCAACAGATAGGTTAGCCATTTTAAGATAAGATGAAGGAGACCCTCCTTAACTGTAGTTGGAACGAAAACATACTGAGTTTCATACACGTAGCATCTCAAACAACGCGTTTGACAGTCAGCATTTTTACACAACAAAATATTTTTCAAAGTATGAAAAGTATGACACGCTGATAAAAATACTCAGACGAAACTCTGGAAACTTTTCACTACTTCATGACTCATATTGGGTTCTGTTGGTACGACTGAAAACTTTAACTTTTCAGGGAGAAAGCGTTACAGATGGGAACAAAAAAGAGATTTCGTCGTCATATACATCAAAGTGAGCAATATGCCGCGCACCATATTCATATAAAATGATACGAACTGGCATGTATCGATACCTAAAGCAATAACGAGATGAGAAATCATGCGGTATTTAAGTCGTTGCTTTGAAAAATAAATAATTTCTTTATAGGATTCAATTCCTCGGTAGGCAAACCAGATCACAAGATTGGTTATTTTTATATACGGCCCTTCGTGGTAGTTTTCTTAAACCATAAGCTATTTACACAGATGAATCAAAGACAAAGCCGCAAGAAGCCCTCTCTTGTAGGTTGCATGTAGCATGTGTGTCAAGAGCCAAAAAACAAACTTATCGCGATTTAAGCGAAGCGATTAGAGACCTTCTTAAGTGGCATCATTAAAACAATGCTTGAGATGATCAGAAAAAATAAAAAAACTTTGATGGTCTTTGTTGAAAAATATTGCACCTATGTGTCACGTTTTATTTTTCTCATTAGCAACATTAGCAATTATATCATTACGCGCAATTAACTTTAGAAACGCCTAAAATATCCCACCCCCTTAATACAAACGCCGCTCATCCCCCTGTATTTCAAAGATGTGTGCGCCAGGTACAAAGTTAATTTATTCTTTAATAAACGTCAATCGCTCCACCCATCCAGGCTAATTCTCACCTTGATGCGTATTTTTACATCAGACGTGGATATGGTTACAAAATTTTGTCGGATGTGACATGGCATGCGTATTACCTGTTAAAGAATATGTTATTTCTTTATGAAATAAAGAAACAGTGTAAGTAGTTTTTCTTTACTGGGAACGTTTTCTACTAACATCCGCCGAAACAACGTTTGTTATTCTTTTACAATCGAAACCGTCTATGACGACAAACGAGAGGCAGCGAGAGCCCTCGGCGGATGTTTTCCGAAGGGAAATCGTTCGTCAAGCAATCGTGCAACTTCGGGCATCGTTCGTGTCGCAAACACCAATCAAATGGTGACCACACAAAAAATGTTCTGAATTCCAATATTTTAACAGTTTGAAGAAAACTATTAGAAGCTACACAACAATCCAATCATTTAAACAACCAGAACCTCATTACATAACAAAAATAAGAACAACGACAAACAGGACTCTCTACATACGTAACTAGAAGTATCCTTCAAACTTCAAAGTTCCTACATCAACCAAGACGCTTTCAACAACACGTAATTATAATCAAATTAAAACAATTACCAAGAAAATATGTTAATGTTTTAACAAGTACAAAATATGCTAACTAGGTGTTAATTGTGGCACGTGTCATATGGCCAACTTTAACTTAAGCCAATCAATACGGCCAAACTCCCCTTGTATTTCGTACTATAATTGTGGCAATAAAAGGAGTTTGACATCTCTATTTCCTTATTAAAGCTCGAAAGCAGAACGCTTATGCTATGCTTTCATCCTTCTTAAAAAATGACGCAATGTCAAATATGCTAATCGCAAGTCTTTAAACCTCTTTATTTTTTGATTTCCGGCCCCGATATTATATAAAGCTGGTAAGGACGTCATGAGTGATAATATTTTGAAAGTGATTCACTTGTGTCTAAACCTGGGAAGTTGACATCTACTGTATTCTCGATTTCGCCGAAAGATTTCTGAAAATCAAAAGTTGTGAACAGGTGAGTGTCGAGTGAATTTGTTTGAGCACATAGCTATACGTTCCACTGTTGGTTTGAAATTATATTATAATTTTATCCAAGAAAATTACTATTGAGTATTGATTTAATCAAAAATCGGCACGGTTCATCTGTAACAGCCTTGAATGTACTAGCTATTTGGTTAACATTTTATACTTCAAATTGATGACCATATTTAAAAAGAAACATTTTCGCACGAATACGAATTTGAAATGAAAAGTAAAATCGACGCGGGTATATTTGAGAAAGTAATAAAGTGCATTGAAGTGAAAATTGTTTCTTATTGAAGACGCTTTAGAGATTAATAAATACGCAAATGTATGCTTGGTTCAAATAATGTTCAATTTGTTCTTTCATTCTGTTTATGGTCAAAGAAAATCCCTTACAATCCTCAATAAAAATAAATCGCATTTTCGGTATCGATAGCCGATATTGGCTCAACACGTATCACAATACAAGAAGTGTTTCATAAGTGACGCGGGAGGAAGACAACAATATTCCCGATGATTTTATAGTTAATTCGACGAATGCAAAAAACGCTAGCTGTAAATATTGTATTTGCCAGTCTCGAAATTATATCAGCGTATATCAGCGAACTGTTAATTGCTACATCACATGTTGGCAAACTTCGACTAAGTTCTGAATATGTTTAAACCCACGCCTTCTCATAGGTGTGGGTAAAAATAAGGCCGTTTTGTGTTTGTCAAAAGTTCCTTCATCTTTTAACAAAGACGCGGGTATTGAAGGCGTATACAAACGACTTTACTAAGACCTATACATTCAATCGAGAGTATGTTTATCGCCATGAGTAGATCTAAGATCTTATGACAGAATTCATTCAATAAGAACGATTCATGCTGTACCTGTTGTTAGGCAACCACCACAAATTAAATTATTGCCAGCAGGGGACATATTTATGTATTGTATTGTGAAGGACTTAATTTTAGCTTCGTACTACGTTTAAATATAGCAAATTGAAAAAAATTAATGAAATGCCACGCACAAAGAATGAATAACGAGATGAATAATGAAGTCACGAAATACAGTTTAATGGACGAAATTGAGTGAAAATAAACTGTAACGGACAAAAATAAATTCGCCATCAGTCATTCGTGCAATAATATGTTTCAAATTTGATATATTTCAATGAATGCAGTCTTGTTCAACTTTGTGAGAATTTGAAATAAGGTTATTCCAAATTGACGAATAGTTTATTTTAAAATAAGTTTCCAATTGAATTTTCGAAACCAAATTGATAAAGAAATCTTTTTTCTCCTTTACACCGCGTCCCAGTTCCAAAATTGCGAAACGTTCCGAGCGAACTCGTGCCGGGCCAAAAATGAGTCAAACCTTTGAATTCGTGCACTCACTCGACCACACTTAACAACATGTAATTTTCTTGTAAAATATTGATACAAAATTGTCTTTGAGTGATAAGTATGACGTACAAACATGAACGAGATTGGATCTGGGCATCTGGCATGTAATCATTATTACCAACTCTCAAAAAAACCCACACTATATCTCCTGACGTTGATAGTTTCAGTTTATCTAATAATTTCAGTGTCGTTTATTGGCGATATCAAACATTGTTATCGGCGACAAAAAGGCAACAATAAAGCGTATTCCTACCCAAGTATAAAATGTGCTTTTAATGAAATATCAACTTCGTAGTTGTTCGTTATAAAATTCCAAATTGTAAATTCTGGGAATAGTACGTCTTCCTTTTATGAATTACGCTACGCCCGCGTGAATTCTGTATACACGTATTGAATAACTGAGAGTTAAAGTGAAAGCAAACACATCAGTTTCTTACGAATCAAAAACTTCACATTGTTTCACCACACCTAGGCTGAAGAACTCAATATGTATCGAAACTCGATTACAAATGGCATTGCCTAAAATATGTTTTCCTCCATTTCGTTTAGAACATTCTGGAAATGACGACCCCAAAACCGAAAAGAATAAAGTTGACCATTGTTGGGGACGGTGCAACAGGCAAAACATGCTTGTTGATGGTGTATAAGGAGGAAAAATTCCCGCAAGAATACGTCGCAACGGTTTTCGAAAATTACGTGAAATATTTAACGTACGAGGGTAAAGGGATAGAGCTTGTGCTATGGGATACCGCTGGACAAGAAGACTACGACAGTATACGACCTTTGTCTTACCCGGATACCGACGTAATCCTATTGTGTTATGCTATCGACCAACGAGAGAGCTTCGACAACATAATTAACAAATGGCAAGAGGAACTCAAACAATATTGTCCGAAAATTCCAATTGTTTTGGTCGGCACGAAAAAAGATTTGCGCAGCGAAATAATCACGAGTTCGGACATCGAAAACAGCAACAAAGTGGACTTTGTTTTGCGTGACGAAGGGAGGAAAATGTCGGAGTCTATTTCGGCGTCCGCATTTGTCGAGTGTTCGTCACTCACAGGGGAAGCGGTGAACGATGTTTTCGAAAGCGCCATAAAAGCAACTCTTCAGCGCAGGAAAAAGTTCAAATATCGCCTGAGAAAATACTCCTGCTTCATTCCAGTTTAATAATGTTACTTCAAAAATTTGAAATCAAGTCGAAATACAATCGTTTTTAGGTCAGCATGGCTGAACTTGAACATGGGTGTTTCGTTCAAAAGAGTTATAGCGCGCTTGCGTCTCCGTAACCCAAACCGTTGGTCCGATTGGTTTGAGAAGACATTAGTATGAGCGATGCTAAATACTCAAGAACTGTCATATGTCGCTGTTATAACATTACTTAATATATTAATAAATAATTGGGCATTACGTGACCGTCCAAAATGTGACAATTTACGTGTGATTCAGTTAATCACGACAGATACAATATCTAATATTTAAAAATCTATGATAAATAGGAGGGAATAGAGCTACAGAAAATGTACAGAATAACGAAAAAGTAGCATGTACATAGAACAATGAAAACGTGATTTATTCTATTCTTTTTTTCAATTGCTGGATGTTGATAAAGAATATGTAAAGATAAGGGGGTGCAACTTGGGCCTCGAGTCGAGGGGCGAGGACTGAATTTGCTCGGCAAAAGGGCGTGCTATTTAATTGGCCAAAGAACAGGGCCTAGTACAATTTTGTATAGTAATGCAATGAAAATGAATTTCACAAACTTTTGTCGAAAATTTCGCGAGCAATTACGCTTCACGTTCAAAAAAACTCGGTTTTCTACTTTCTCGCCGGAGTGGTTACTAAGTTTTGCCCAACAAAACTGCAAGACAAAAGGGGGAGGGGGTGGTGAGCCATCCTCACCAACCTCCGCGTTTTATGTCATTGATAAGGGACAAAAAGATTTCGAACATTTGAGCAATATATACTACATTTCTTTGCACAAATTGAGTTTATCTACAACACTATTAAACCAAGCGCCAAAACATTTGCAGAGTTTCAAAAACTTCATCCTAAAAATTGGCAATAAGAACAGATTGCAGTAGTTCCTCTCCTTCGAGACAAATGCTAACCTTGACATGGTCGATGACAGGAATTCACTCTTGTCATGTCACGTGTAAGACAAAAGATTCAGGTCGTAACAGCCATCAATCTAGTTTGAAAAAAAGTCCGTCAGTTTTGATGATGATGAGTAGGTAAATAAAACGCACACCCCATCGCTTAAAATCTTAGAAATCAAAAAATTATTTCTTCAGCAATGTTTTCAATATCATTCAAGGAGTCCTGACTCCTGACCGATAAAAATTCCTTGAAAATTGAACTGCCATTGCGTGCCTTAAGGAATGTGACGTAACAGCAAGCATGGTTTCAATCGAACCCGTGCGCATCGTAACTCGTCGGAAATGACGCTTTAAGGAAGTGACGTAACTACGATGATAAATTTGAACTTACGTCGAAATGGGTGTTTTCATCGGTCGATCCATTCTCAGAAGATACGGACTGAGTCAGGGCCCACATGTGTTGAAGCTTACTTGCGACATTCACAACACGTTCACTTTCAGTCTGTACAAGAAAGAAAACTTCTCGTTTAATTGACCACGATATTAATGGAGGTGAACGTTGTTATCAAGTCGTTTTGGTCCCAGTCTTTTTGTTGTTCACGGTGAATCCCGGGATAGTGCAAAGTTTCAAACTAACTGGCGTTTTCGCTTTTGATTACGTCGAAATCACTTCTCTTTACATCGTATACATGGTGTCCTCAAGAGACTGCAATATTCGGGGGAGGGAGGCACTTACTTTCGGCGAGCGCTTAATTTTTAGTTGTTATTTTCAGCATCAGCTGACTCTAATTAATATTTAACTCTAAATCCACGCTGTATAAACGGTATTTCTTCAGAGACTGCAATATTCGGGGGAGGGAGGCACTTACTTTCGGCGAGCGCTTAATTTTTAGTTGTTATTTTCAGCATCAGCTGACTCTAATTAATATTTAACTCTAAATCCACGCTGTATAAACGGTATTTTTCAATGCGTTTAAAGTTGTGTAAGGTTGCAGTAGTTGATAAAATCTACATGAATGTTTTATTTGGATAATGAAGTATAAATGAATTATTTTGTAAAGCTTTCAGTTATTAAAGAGGGCGGTAACTTTCGAGAAGTCGGTTAATTTCGCCGCGGCAGATACTTCCTGGGGATACTTTGAGACGCTAAGGTGTTCTATTTTAAGTTCATGTACTTTGAGGAAACATCAATCACTACTTTAAAGTATATTACCGCTATTAAAATCTCATTTGTTTTCGATTGACGTATTTACTGTTGCAGTGAAAAATTTAACCCACGCATCACAAAGTATATTTATTGATTTAATAATTAAAAAACCGATTTGATGGTTTCATAACATACTATATCGCAGGCTTAAAAAAATATATTAAATAATTCAGCGTTTTCATTAGGAGTCCTCATAGCAAGCTGTACTACAAAAATAGGCGTCTGCATCCAAAAATTCTCAAAAGTCACATTTTATATTTTGTACATCGATAACAATATTGAAAATGGGTAGTCTTCTACAGAATATTTCTAAACTGGAAAACGATTCGCTTGCTTTTTATCACTTTAACAATTTCTTAAAGTTTCATCACATTTCACTACCGGATGACAACTTGAAATTTCCTTCACTACGTCACTAAGTTCAAAGACAAATAAAACTGCTATATATTATTTGATTTTTCGTACGATTTGTATAGCAATAAATAAAAAAATATCCTCTACTCTTCTATATTATTTTCAGACTGATAAGCGAACAAGCGGCTGTCTGAGGCAAAATAGGCGGCGGTAAACAACCACTGACCGCTTCTTATAGAAAAATTGTAGTTATTAGATGAAGTTGAGCATGATGCCCAGAATTATCTACGAAGATGTGGGCGTTATTAACCGAAGAATTAGGCTGACGTAGGCGGTTGAAGTGTAACGAGTCAGGTTGACACGACTCTTTAACTACATTACCAATGCTGTAAAAAATAATCTAGAAACATCAAATTGTGGAAAGTGCTGTTTAACTTTCTATTTTATCGCAATTATTCATTCACAAGAGATTGAGTTATTCATGATTTTCAAGAAATAAAAATTATGCCAAACAGACAAATTTAAACAAACGTTTCAACATTCCTTTCAAAACAATTCATGATTGATTTTCAAGTTCTCAGTGGTTGATTGATTCGATCGGTTGAGCTCAGATCGGTTTGCACAGGCTAATGGAAACAAAGCTATAGACCAATCAGCGCATGCGTTTTATTGCTTTTATTTTATAATACCTTATCATCATCAACAGAGATATCTTCGACGTTTGAGGCAAGAACATTCGCCAAGCAACTGCTTACCTAAAAAAGAAATCGAATTGCTTACAGTGATGTTGTCATGGAGGGAGCTGAGGGGAACGTGTCCCCCCCTCCCCAGTTATTCCAAGACCAATTTTGAAAAAAATTGAAGGAAAAAATGCAATGAGTCCAATTTAGTCGTATCAATGATTTAGAACCCATTCCTCTAGATATCTAACTACCGTGTTAAGGTGAGACTGGGAGAGACGCCATCTTGAAAGGTGGCAAAAAGCAAAACTCAAAATGAAAAGTAAGCTAAAAGAAGATTTAAAAACCCAATACTATCAAGCACTTTAAAACTTACACCTACACCATCAACTCTGCAACTGTATACAAACACACGAAAAGTGGATATTAATCGTAAACAACGTCAGTTTTGCCACCTTTCAAGATGGCGGCTTGCCTCAAGAATTTTGGCGGAGTCAGATATCTAGTAGATTGGGCTCTAGGTCATTGAGTTGTATACAGTCATATGACAAAAATAGTACAGTAAAAAGCAGCCTTCATGCACAATTGTCTATAAGATTGCATTGAAACATGTAACAGAAAGTTACCCATCTAAAAACGTGTGGCTTTAAGATGATTATAAAAACTGTCTCAAAGCAATAGCGTTTAAAGAACATACAATCAAACATTTTCAAGGGGGCATGCTTTCAAACCACCATTAAGGTCTTGGCGGTAGCTTCGTCCCCCTTAGTCTGAAGCAGCTTGCGACGGCACTCATTGCTTATCGATAGTACATATATATGTATATGCAAACGAAGCATATCAACATCTAATTATGAATAAATCAATGAGATCAACTATCATATTCTAAACAAGTATGTCAAACTGAGGGGAACCCTCTTGATTTGATGAAATGCACAAAAGACAAGCTACTGGAAAAACACTACGAAGAGATACAATCTGATGTTTATGAAGTCGTCCCTCATTAGAGTGCCATCGCATGTGATAAAATAAAGGGGACTATGACTTGTACTCTTCGGTACAGTTTGTGTATTTTCACCGCAATCTAAACATATGGCTCAGTTTCTTTACTGCAACATAGTCTAAACATGTGTCAATTTCTCTTCATTGCGCCAAAGTCTGAAATAGTGACCCATTCTCTACATTCGTATGGTCCAGCGTCTTTATAGGCAAGGTCGGATCAATGCTACTTTGATAGGAGGGGTGCAGATTTTTCAAGGTGTGTGCATCATTGTCCTAGCTTAAGATGCCAGAACCTCCGGCTATTGTAGATTTATAGGTTTATAGATGAATGAACCTTGCGTGATGAAAGTGTTAATAGCTTTTTACATAATTTATAGCAGTTCTAAAGCTGTACCATCTACAAAACTTCATAAATTATGTATGCAAATATTGTCAACGACGAGTGAGACACGAATACAACAGTTTCTTTCAAACATGACCAACAAGGGACAAAAAGTAAAGGGCCAACGGAGTTGACATGACAAAGTAACAGGTTACTTCACACGTGACACACAATGGAAGAGACAATAAAGAGCAAACGGAGTTGACATGACAAAGTAACAGGTTACTTCACACGTGACAAACAATGGAAGAGACAATTGTTACGTGCGTGGTCCCTAAAGAATAACTATTAATTTTGGTCCTATTTCCACACGCAACAAAGATAGTGTGAACCAGTTATATTTCTCAAACAATTTATTAATCAACGCGTAAATATTAAAGTAGATAAGTGTCTTAATAATAATATCAATAAGTATGAGTAAAACCTATCTCCTCTGTCTGAGTACAACCGTGAGTCATTGTTCTTGAGCGTTCGTGAGTCCAACAATGACTCACAATAGTTTTCCAATAGATTAAAGGCACAGAAGCCAAAAGATAGTTATGGCACAGAAGCCAAGATAGTTATCTGGTAGATTGTAGCTTGTCAACCTACTTCGGTAGGCTATGCCTCCTAAGTGCGTTGGAGGTTGTCCTCGTAGGTTGTACTCAGTGGTCTAAACTACTGATATATATATAATATCTAATGGGAAGTATTGTGGTTTTGTGACCTACATCCCATACGCAATACAGTATGTTACAGCAAGATGTAGTTAACCACAATAACAACAAATGCGGTTGCGGTTCTAAAATATGTTTACGCATGTAAGCAAGCTTCTAGCGCATGCAAGCAAGCTTCTAGATTATGTCCTAATTAGTAATATATGAAATTATAATATGATATAATAATGATATTACATGATAGTAGTTGCTATCATGTAACAACAATAAAGAGCAAACGGAGTTGACATGACAAAGTAACAGGTTACTTCACACGTGACACACAATGGAAGAGACAATAAAGAGCAAACGGAGTTGACATGACAAAGTAACAGGATACTTCGCGTTTAGTAATTTATTTCAACTTTCATGTTTGCATGAAAACACTCATGGCAGTAACTCAATTGCAAATAGTGTTGGTATAAAATATGTAATTGCCTTTATTAAGTTTCACTTTTTACTCAGTTTTACTGTACTTCCTAGCCTCCGAAACTACTATAATAACAGTTTACAGTATGTAATACCATTTTAGAATTTTTCTTTAGGGGAATCGGGAGAATTGAAGGGGTGTGCACCCCCTGAACCCACAAGAAAATCAGCCCTTGTTTACTGGGCCCTGGACTTACGTGCCCCAGTCTTCTTATTGTGTCAGGTCTCTTTATTGTACCCTTGACTTATGTGCCCCAGTCTCTATTTTGCCACTTATCTTAAATGAGTCGCAACATGTTTACTTTCACCCATGTCCGACCATCATTACATTAATCTCCTCATTTTGCTTTGTTTTCTTTCTACTCCAACATTTAGCAATCGAACAGGTAGATACTGAACCAAAATTTTAGAAAATGGCATATTTGACAACAACATCAACATTGCCCTGTATAATAGCCTTGTACTAATGATATAATGATATTCATTATATTCAGACATTTATCAAAGCTGCACTGTTGTATAGTCTGAAGAGATTACTCGGAAGCATTGTTTATAGGTATGAAGGAACAGTACTCGGAGCGAGGCGGTTATAACTGTTATTCACGACTGTTCGTAAAAAGAGATGAAAACGACCTTTTTCACTGCAAAATCGGATGCCAAAAAAGCAAAAGTTTACATCAGAAGGTGGAATACTCGCGGTGTAACTGAACAAATTATGTCTAAAAAAATACTGGACCCGCATAAATTATGTGTTCACTGAAATTATTATGAAAAAGAATGTCCAAACATTCACAACAGTTTAAGAATAAACTTGACAGTTCTGTGTCTCTGCGATGTCATAAGGTTTATACAATATCAGTTAAAATACTGTCATACACTGATTTTCGTGTTCAGTTTTTGGGGGACACACTGTATAGGCTGTTCCACTGTTGCAGCATATCAGAGTATTGATAAATAAAGAGTAAGTCGACATACTGAAACTGTAGAAAAAATAGCTAGATTAGGGCTTAGTTACGATATTTCTGGTCATTACAGTTGGTTTTAAATAGTTGCTAATGACTGTACAATGGTTTTAATTGTTTATTTACGATTTTCAATCCAATGACCCAATAACACGCGCTGCAAGTGTTTCAATTTGATCTACAAGAGTCGTTACCAGACGCATAATAAATACACAAGATTCAATAGGAAAAATCAATAGACCTAGCAACAGATCTCGCGTGAAAAGTAGTCTAACAACAAGTCATAATCAGTCTTGTAAGCATGTCATATCTTTAATAAAATCGAGAGTGAAGTACACGAGTCAGCATGTGAGCAGAAAGTGAAAATGCAAAGCATCCGATAAGATGAGCAGAAATGAAAAGTTTTTGTTGTTTTCATTGGTGTACACTGTTGTTTACAATGGTGAATTCTGATTATCATCTCACACAACAATATCCAAAAGATTAGGTTTGTCATATTCAACATACCTCATAACTATAAACGCCGATCGTAAATGTGACGCCTTTTAGTGACGCCGTGGGCAAAAGGGGCATGCCAATAACATTCCCCTATGCGATCAGAAGGGGTTTTATGCGGGGTGAGGGTGCTTACCCCTGTAGGCAATTGTCAAAAGGAGCGCATAGAGGGGGTGCAAATTGCAAATAAAAAACAAAATCCATCCTACAAAGCCTTTATTGACTATATCATTTGAGTTTATTGACTGTCAATAATATTATGATTAAAAGGCGTCAAGATATTTATTTTGTTGACAAAAACGGGAACTAGCACCCATCTTTAACAATGAGTAGGTAAATAAATAATTGATTTATAACCGCTGAACGTTAGTTGATCACTAAGCCAAGCACCTACTTAAAAAATTCTCGCTCTATCCACCACTGTATCCGATTTATTACGTACCTTGCGCGGGGGGTAAAATCTTAGATCTTCTATGGAAAAATCCAGCCAATGTGGAGAGGGTTGCCTGAGAAGAAGACGAACCATATTTGCTTTTCGTATGGGACATAACATCATATCTGATTTTACGGTGAAAACACTCTGACTTCCTTCCTCGCAGTGAGCTGATGGCATCAAAATGTGATTTTTTAAACAAACTTTCCACGATCCATCTGGAATTATTTAAAATGATCATTTTCGCATTTCGAACATAGATTTTGGAATCAAATAAAAATTTTACCATTCAATTGATGGCACTCTAAAGCGGAGGTGGAAAATTTTTTCGACGACAAGAGAAGAAAAAAATTCTGCCATTTATTAAAAAATCAATTTTTCTTTACTTCTGACACCTGTAATATGCATCTAAATCTACCAATGGCAGCTTCCTTTCTTTAAAGTATTAACGACAGCAAATTTTTCCATTGTGTTTTTTAATTGTTTTCCTCGATTTGCGAATGACATCGTTATTGCATCATACTGCATAATTTGCATTACGAAAAACTAGTTTTCGTCGACAATTACCATTAAAATATCTATCTTTGGCATCTTGACAAGTATTCATCAACACATGTAACCATGAAATTGTTGTAGTTGCGCTTAAAACGTTCTAACGATGTAGTACAAATTGATGATCTTTAAAATGTCATTATGCTCTGTGACGTCATAACGATGTCATTTTCATAAAGAAAATCGTTAAAAATCTCTAGAAAAAAGTACATTAAGTGAATTCTTCTCAAGAGCTTATAAGGTCATTGTATTACAATAAAACAAATTAGCTATCAATTTTCATTTTCTTCATGATTTAAAATTGTTTCAATGAGGATATGCAATATGTCAGGTACATGAATCCTAATCTCCATCAAAGGAACAGTTTTGGTGCCCAGGCAACCCCTGAGTCATACCAGTTAACACCTAACCATCCAAATGGTAAGTAGAGTAAACTAGGTGTTAAAAAATAGCAAATGTCATGGTGAATGGTAAAAGATAATAACACAACAATTCTTAAAAGTTGTGTTATTTGTGTTATTATCTTGTAATATATGGTGTTATTATCTTTGATCAATCACCATGATAATTGATATTTTTAAAACATTTTTTAATTTGTCACCACGACAAAGTCTCTATCTTTGTGAGTTAATGGCACATACCTGATGATTTGTATTTTACACTAATGGATGCTGTGTAGTTGTTTTGGAATGAAAAATATCCAATCTGGTAAAATAAAAATCAAAAGTGGATTCTAGAATGCAAAAAAATAAACAGAAATGTTGATTAAACACTGCATTTATTGAAGTCAAAGGAGAAAACCTCACCAAAAATTTCTGTGTTCTGTTGTCTGGCACTGACCTTAGTTTCTGGACACTTCTTCTCACCCCCCCCCCATAAAAATGTGCATCTCTGAATGATTTACGTCTGAAACTTAAATTGATAAGATATTTATTCATTTCCCATTCATTTTTTTGATGCTAAGAATTGTTTTGTTAGCTTAATTTACCAATGCACCACAAAACAGAAACAAAACAAGTGGTAAATGCTATGACATGCTACAAGTCTTAAGGTTGTAGTAAAAATAACAGAAATGTAGCCAGTATTTCATAAAAATCTGTTTACTAATATCTTTACTGTTACTTTAGTTTAACTTTGAACTAATTGATTCTTGAAGTCTTAGAAAGCACCACACCAGTATTTTATGTCCTATGCTGAAACAAACATGTTCAATTCACCACATTCTTTATCACATACTGCAATCTTGTCCATTCTCTTGTCATGTCAAATGATTCCATCCCATACACAAAAATTCAACAAATGTGCAAAACATTTATCCAAATTTTTTCCCACCACATTTACTCCTTGGCCCCATGATTCCTAAACTTAAAAGTGCACATCTCCGAAAACTTTTTAGGGGTACACGTTAGTACAATTTGAGTGTGTGCTACACTCCCAGCTTTGGTGAAACACAAAAAGTAGCTCAAGAATTTTATACAAGATAAAAAATATCTGTCCAGCCAAAAATGTTGACTTTTTATCAAATAAAGAAACAACAAAGTCAGTCCAACAATGCGCACCCCAATTTTTTTCTTCAATGGGGGAGGGGGGGAGGGGTATTTTTGGATTTTAGAACCAGCTTTTGTTGTATCTATCTGTATTTGATAAAAAAGCCCACAATTTTAGTACAACTCAGACAAACTTCAGCGGCTGTAATTATTCACGCTTGCCTCAAAATAACATTCCTTACCTCAACTGGTTGCTCTTGCAGAAACAACACGTCTCTAACACAGCAACCAGACTTAAATTCAACTGTAGGACTCCCCACACGTAAAAATATTGGTTTCTTCAGAGTATACTCAAGGAAATCCTCCCTTTCCACATTTTCCATTACTCCATAGAGCTGAATAACATCCTAAGAAGAAATATTTCTGTCACTAGTCAAATATTTCCTCTCACTTTTTACAGTAAACAAAATTTTCACTGTCGCAAATTAATCGCGTTTTCTTTCCGAATATTTTTACCGGAAAAAATTGAAACTTGCTGTTTCCTAGCAACGGATACACAACTTCATCGATAAAAGTAAGACAATAAGTAAAGTGGAACAGTTGTTTCTTTTGAAAAGTAAGATAGACAACTAAATTTCTCATTGCTCTTGATGAATTCTAAAGGTTCACGTGTAAGTAAAATCGCTGTTTTGGAAAAACATTAAAAAATACTCGAAAATTCAACGAAATTGATGGTATTCATAAACAAAATTAAATGACGGACTAAGTGATTTCTCATTTTCCCTTCCTCTTGTAGACAAGTGAACTCGAAGCGACGAAACCTGGTAATGGAGCTAGAACTTCTAATTACTATCGCACTCAAAATATTCCTCAACGCTTCGACAATCCCGGTAAATGCTTATCTCTCTTTCCGTTTTCTATAGTCTTCGGCCTGAATGACGCGGAGGCTATTACAAATGCACGCGAAGCAGTAAATAACTCAGGCAATCCCGTCTTTTCATGTTTGACAAATATAAATGCAACTGACGTGGCTGCGACGCCTGTTTTGACGGCAAGTGAAGGTGTGTACTGGGCAGTTTTCGACCATATTCATACTGTATGTGACGTGTGAAACAGAGATTGAGAATCCGTAGAGCTGGTGAATCTAATCTATGATCTATCTACTGTGTGTAGCGTCAATCGTATGTGCGAGAGGGCAGTCGACTTCGACTATCTTCAGGGTTTATATAATAAGATGACGTTAGGTACTGGCTAATTCATTTGACCGTGTAGTGGTTTTAGTACCAGATTAGAATTCATGTCCATCACACCCTTATCTGATCAGTGACAAATCTATACCTAATGGACATAGTATGGTAGTAAAAGAAAGGAGAAATGGATTTTACTCATCAACTCGACTAATTCAGATTTCCAAATTGCTAAATGTATAAATGTCCTTACATTCTGTAGCTCTATTGACGTGTATCTCCTGTGATGTAATGTCACACATGTATTGTGACATAGTATTGTCGTTTACTCTGGTATAAAATACAAATCAGGAGTTTGAATTTACATATGCATATTCTAACAAAACACATAGCTTGTCGGGGAGATACTATACGAATCGCGCGTAAAATTCTACTGTTACAATTGATGTGGCAATTGACGAAAATTTGAGTTTGAAGTGCCTTCCTTTGAAGCACTACCAGTCTTTCACAACACTTTGTGCCTTTCATACCTTAACGTGCCCGTAAATCTTGCGCTGCTTGATTCGCCTATCGACAAAAAAATCATCCGTCCCAGGTCCCTTAGCTGAAATCTTTTCGCATACAACGTTATGAATAACCACCATTCCCTCTTTTTGATAAGAGTCACTGCGTTCCGCTCAAAGCGAGAAGCCTTACATAACATACAACATGCAAAATAATCATAATTTTCTGAACGCGAGCATTTCTTATTCAATTTTCAGACGTATTTCAAGGCTACAACACCAAGAAGCAACACCCAATGTACATGACGAGTTCCATGGATTATGGGTATTTGTTTTTCTTATTATTATTTTTCATGAACATGGACTGATAATCGCCCTGATACAACTAATGCTAAATTAGTAGACTTGATTTTAGTGTTGAGTATGTCGAGTTTTGGAACTCTCTCCTTGTGACTATTAAAGTGCGTATATCAGGGTCAGGGAAATGACTCCTTCAGATAGTCAAATTGATTTTACGAACATTAGCAATACATTTGATAAGTCGAAAATTTTAGCTTCAAGGACTTATCGGGCGTGGGAGAAGATGAAGTCCGCGCCGGTAGTGACGTAAAAGGAGAACACGTGTGTTGAAGATATTGCGTTCATGATGCAGGTTTATAGCAAATAAAAAGTTAAAAAGTAAAAATGTTCTGACCACAGATCTCATTCAGACGCTATTTCCTCTTAAAACTCCATAATACTATACGGTGTTTATAGGTACTTTACCAAACGATCGTGTTTTTCTTTTTACGTCACTTCCAGTGTTGAGGCAGCTACTTCTAGGCCCAAAAAGCCCATGAAGATGAAATTTTCAACCCATCAAACTTTTAGCAAATGTTCTTAAAATCGATACCTCTATCTAATGATGTTATTTCCCAGGTATTTTCACGTGCCATGTTTTTTTTCCTTTCCAATTTTTCAACAACGAACTAGGTCGTTAAATTCGTTCTCCATAACTATACTAATTCACATTTGTCGGTTAAATTCGTCTTCTCCCAACTACTAATTCTCACATGTGCATTTTAAATTCGTCTTCTCCCAACTACTAATTCACACATGTGCATTTTAAATTCGTCTTCTCCCAACTACTAATTCACACATGTGCATTTTAAATTCGTCTTCTCCCAACTACTAATTCTCACATGTACATTTTAAATTCGTCTTCTCCCAACTACTAATTCACACATGTGCATTTTAAATTCGTCTTCTCCCAACTACTAATTCACATGTGCATTTTAAATTCGTCTTCTCCCAACTACTAATTCACACATGTGCATTTTAAATTCGTCTTCTCCCAACTACTAATTCACACAAGTGCGTTTTAAATTCGTCGTCTCCAACTACAAATGCACACATGTGCATTTTAAATTCGTCTTCTCCCAACTACTAATTCTCACATGTGCATTTTAAATTCGTCTTCTCCCAACTACTAATTCACACAAGTGTGTTTTAAATTCGTCGTCTCCAACTACAAATGCACACGTGTCATTTAATAGTTCATTTCGTCTTCTCCCAACTACTAATTCTCACATGTGCATTTTAAATTCGTCTTCTCCCAACGACTAATTCTCACATGTGCATTTTAAATTCGTCTTCTCCCAACTACTAATTCACACAAGTGCGTTTAAATTCGTCTTCTCCCAACTACTAATTCACACAAGTGCGTTTTAATTTCGTCTTCTTCCAACTACTAATTCACACAAGTGCGTTTTAAATTATTCTTCTCCAACTACAAATTCACACGTGTCATTTGTTAATTCATTACGTCTTCTCCCAACGACTAATTCACATGCATGTGTTAATTTCGTCTTCTCCCAACTACTAATTCACACATGTACATTTTAAATTCGTCTTCTCTCAACTACTAATTCACACAAGTGCGTTTTAAATTCGTCGTCTCTAACTACAAATGCACACGTGTCATTTGTTAGTTCATTTCGTCGTCTCCAACTACAAATTCACACGTGTCATTTGTTAGTTCATTTCGTCTTCTCCAACTACTAATTCACATGCATGTGTTAATTTCGTCTTCTCTAACAACTATGTACTTCACATGTGTGTCTACTTCTCTCGTTCCAGTTCACGACAGCCCACGGTACATACAATGCCGACGATGTTTCATGCCAAAAATCAGAAGTTCTCCGCGCATCTCAGCAAATGTGGAATGTATAGAGACCATTCTCTAAACACGGCCATGGACAAGAGTACAGTTTGACCGTCTTACACACAATAATTTCTGTAAATATAATTTCTAATGCAGTCAGTTAGATACAAGTGATGGAAAAATGTATGTACACACAATGCAAGTTTCAAAAAATGATACGTGTCAAGAAGTTGAGTAGTTCAATATATGTCCAGAAAAGATGGAGAGCTAAAATTTAATGCGTTCTTTTATTTACTTTGGAGAAGAGCTGTTGATAAAAAGATTAAAAACTAATGATATGAGAATTGCAAAAGTCGTTTCGTTCAATTGAGATCGTTGAATTTGACGCAATCTTTTTGGAATTTACCACAAGATTTCTCAGTTGAGTAACGTCGGACAAACAAGTTACAAAAAGATGTTGTTTATATTTGCAATCCACTCCCTTCCCAGTCTCTCGGACGTTACTCTCGACCACTCTCGACCCCTGCCTTAAGGAGGCTCCCTACAGTTCACTTGAAATTCGGGTGTTTCAGGTAACTTTCACTTACAACATTATTTTGATCAAACACACTCAAACATTGGAAATATGATATGCGGGAGTATTCAAGAATGCCAGTAAGGTCTAAAGATGCTTGAATGGGATAACTGTTTGCGTTGTTATGAAAACCATGTCTCATTTTCTTTAAGAATTTTTTGTCAAGTTTTAAAAGAATTGACCGTATCTTTTTTTGGTTGGTGAATTTTTCTGATTTTTTGCGTGACGATTGTCATTCATCAAAGGAACATGAAGTTTAACAATGAAGGAATTCTATAGATACTTTTTTGAGATATTTGAAAATTTCGGCTCTACCAAATTTCTAGAATTACCAGCTTTTTAAATTTAAGACGTTCGGAGTTTGCAACTTTGATGTAAAAATTACTTGTTCAGATTTGATCAAAGTAAAATTTTCTCATCTTTATAGCTGTAATTATTCATGATAACTCCCAGACCATTTCATAAGTCGAACTAATTAAAAGATACAACACTATTGGCAACATATTCAGCAACAAACTTACACAAGGCGGGCTCAGAAATAAAATAATTTCTTATTTCTAAATTGCTACCATGCAAAACAATAGAGAATAGTTTGTTCTTCTCTAAAACAATTAGCTATACACGACGAATTTGTGCGCGCGAACCAAGAAACACCTTAAGTCCTTAATGAATCATTGTGCATACGCCGTTTACGTCGATTAGACTTTTGGGATATTGCTGACTAACAAATAAGCATGAACAAAATTTTAATAAGTTTTGGTGCTGATATTAAAAAGCACACAGATTTTATGCAAGCATCTTTCCGCCAAACAGTACAGTTAAACAGATTTTGCTTTTGTATCGCGCGAACAAATTCGCCAACTCAAAACGGGCTTAAGAACTAGTTGTTCAAAATGGACACGGCTCAACATTATATTAAAGCTAACTCCAACTTGGATGCCCAAGTTCAACGTTTCAAGTTTTGCCTCTTGGTCATAAAGTACCTCTCTCTTACACTGTGCGTGTGTTTAGTGGTTAGAACATAACACATTTTTAACATTAGGCTGAAAGCAGAACTTTGAACAACCAAGTTTGAGCTAGACGAAAATCTCGGACTTACTAGCTATGCTTCAAAAATACTGAAAATTTTAACATATTTTATCGTGCTCGAGCGAAAATGACGATTTTTGAGCATATTGATTATAGGATGAATATATGTCAATCATTAAATCAAGTTTGTTGGAGTACATATTATTTACGATTGCGTCTATGACGTGGTCTTCAGTTCTTTACCAATTTTGTAGCCAGCAATCTTATTCCAGTCCAAGCGAGTTCTAGTCACAGGTAACTGGCGCCGAAGGGCTTTGAAAGTCGTTTGAGACATTGTACTGTAGTTCTCCGTTAGAGCATTCTGAAATTGGAAATTCATTTTAGGATTTATCAATATCATATCACTCCTGATATAGACACTAGACAGGAGTACATAATTACTGAAGTTTAAAATCTGTTCACTCCTGATAAATACACTTAGACTTGAGTAAAAAAGGACTCAAGTTTCTACATTAGAGAACTTCTGATAAAGACATCAGGCTGAAGTATATAAGGACTCAAGTTTCAACATCAGATTACTCTTTACAAAGACAATAGAAAAGAGTACACACAGAGTCTAGTTTCATCAAATCTCACCATATAAAACATAACAAACTGGAGTATGTTTGGTCTCATGTTTAAACGAAAATACACCAGCCTGGTACACGCATCAGATCATTTCGTGTAAAGAAACTAGTCTGGAGCATATGAGATGTATAACCGAAGCGAATAAACATTTAAGTTAGACTCGCGATCTGAACTTGATATCGAAAACTTGCTTCGAATAATGATTTGAGTGAAGCCATATTTAATAATCTTGATAAAGGCAGAGAAACGCAAAGCCGTCTATTTTAGCCAAAAATATAGCAAATTTTTCGTACACGTTCATTTTTTTTGTAAATCAACTTCGACACTTCAAACCGACAAGCGAACACTTAAAAATTTAAAAGACAAGAAATGTTATACCACTATGAACGTATAGGATGCCAGGTTCAATAAATTTACCTGAAACTTTTCCTCTTCAACTCCTATAACATCAACAATACTCCGAGCAGTTGCGCTTTCACTCTGAGGGAAAATCAAATTACACAAACGAATAAATACAAGCCGAGAAAAATACCTACGTCGAGAAAAATAAATAAAACCAAACGAAACTCACAGTTATTTTAATGTCCGATGTAATTTCTTTGGACGAAACTAGCTGGACGTTGCCATCTTCATAGTAATGAACCTGATTAAGAAAATTGCCATATGAATCAAAACGTTAACAGACCATTTTTAGAGCTATCCTTTTGCACACACCAATAAGCCAGATTCATATTGCGGAATATTCGATGTAGGACTCGAAATTTGCGGTATCCCTCGATATGCACTTGATACCAGATTTTTATTTTGGAGTCTAAACATCACTGGTTTAGTATCCACATTGGATACCATAAAAATGGAAGTGCATGCGAGATTCATAAGTAGGATCTTGGTGAAATGCTTGGCAAAACCAGATAAACAATAAAAAGCAGTACGGTTTAGTCGCCATTGTAACGAAATGAAATTTGATTAAGGTTTTCCAGGAGAAGTTTTTCCCTGTTACACGAGATAACAACATACTTTTATAGGCTGCTAGCTGGTAAAAACGTATTTGTGCAGAGACACGTGTATCTGATGAGGTATCTACGAGCAGCATGACGTCTTAGCAATGTTTGATTCTGACATTAAAGAGGCTGATTATCCACCATATAAACTGTCATTTAAAATATACATTTAAATATTCATTGGTCGAAAATTTACGAATTTCTTCTTTTTTTTCCTTATTTGAACAATCAATAGTTTCTTCATATTCTCAGTCAGGGGCGGATCTAGAGTATGTCAAATCCGTCGCGCGACTGATGTTTGAAATTCAAAAATTACCTATTCATATTAATTAAAAATTCATTAATTATTCTTACTTTATTATCGCATTTACTTCGTGATAAAAATCCAGCTTTATTTATTATTGAAAACTAATGACTAATGCAATGAATATCTCGTTGGTAACCAGATCAGTTGAATTTTAATTGACCTGGAATAACCGACTGATAAGCGGGGTGGCTTGACTGGTTCGACTGATAAAGGAGTCTATGAACGCCAGAAACGCTATTTTATTGGTCAATGGCCAGATCAGTGGACGATCTGGAATAATCTCGACCGATAAGCGGGGCGGCCGGACCTATAAGGGAGTCTACTTGCTATCGTGTAATTGGTTCGTTTAAATTTTTGTCTTACTGTGATTGGTTTGACCGATTTCGACTGATAGCCAACTGAACTAACACAGTCAAGCTCACTGTCTGAATTGAATGTTTGATCGTTTTATGGTAATTTTCTAAAGCATGATAGAAACTAAACTACAATCAGATGGAATTTATGGAAATCTTTTACAAATTCATATATTGACATGAATGCTGCTTTCTAAATTGGGAATTTTTTCAAGAGGGCGAAAAATTTATGGATGAATTGTAAATGCTTGGCAAAGACGATCTCGCGAGCGACATTTCAGTCATTGATGTTCAAAAGCAAGCCAACATTGTTTTGAGTTTTATCAGCAGAAATTTACATCCAAAATCGTAAGTAAAGGACAACTGAAGTGTATGCATGAATGTATTATATCAAAGTCAATTTATGCGAGTGTGTGATGCGATTTATGTTAATATGGCGTATGGTAAGCAGATTGATGCTTCTAAAATTGTTGTTGCCGAGGGACTTTTAGCTATGATTTCTTTAGTGCTTGGGGAATCGTGACCGTTATATGGCAGCGAAATCCTACATTCCTTCAAATATATTTCAATGGACAAAAAATCTGTAGCCATAAGGCGCCATACTTATATTTACTTTATCATAAACAAATGTTTGGGGCTTTTCAGTTAGATCATTGATCATTCAATCATTGGACAGTTATACTACATATTAAGATTTGAGAAAACTAACATTGATTACATGAGAAGCTGTTTACTATAACTTGTGATTTTGAGTCTTCTGATCCATGAAGCTTTTTATTTTGACAATTTGACTGGAATGGTATTAAACCTTAGTATTTCACATACATGAAATGTTGTCCCATGTCACATATTGTCCCCTTTTCTAACTGAACACCTCATGTAGAGATGTAAAGGTGTGTTAATCTACGGCTCATACCAGATTGTTTGCCATAAATTACAAAGGGCTATTGATGTATGAAAAGCATTTTCTATAAAGTAAAAATGTCTTCCTATGTATGCAGATAAACCTTGAAATTTGGCAAAACAGCAAAGTATTTTTCATTATCACTAGGTAATTTTTCTGATGATCATATGAAAAGATATTTATCATAACCAGTAAGCATGACACATGAACCAATTTTAACATTCATGTAATTATATAATTAAAGACATGTTGGTTACATTCTGTTTGTATTTGAAAATACAATGCTACTAGTGATTGCTATATAGCACACCTTGCAGAAGATAATAGTCAAGTGAAATGCCTAATAAACATTTATGGCATTAAGCTGTCCTTAACTGCAAATTTTCACACTGATAATTTTTGCTTAATCTTTGGCAGAAAAAAATTTTGAATTTTTTCTCAAAAGGTGAATTTGCTGGCACTGATGTGGAGATGGGTAAAGAGTTACAATAAACTTGCATGGTTTGAAGTCTGAGCTTTTCTATATCTATGAACTGTCACTTGTAGTACCAAATTTCTAACTTAACTCATTACATAGAGGTTTGAATGGGGGTCTCTAGGGGGTTCTATGCCTGACAACTTGGTAGAAATTTTTGAAGACTATATCTGTTTTTGAATAGCATTATTATAAAATAAATTTTACGTTCCTAGACATGCTAATGAGCCATATATTTGGCATAATAATGAGCCTAAATATTTGGCAAAACATTCAAGTATTGTTCACTTCATTTTTTTTTTGAAAAAAACGTAAGCAAAATGTGTTGTTTTTACGCAAAAACGATGCCCACAAAATACATTTTGTAATGCTCTAAAACGATGAAAATGGCATTTTTAAGGCTCTGAAATTCAAAATTTCTCAGGGGAGAATGCCTCAGATCCCCCCAGGTGCGGAGCGCTTCCAACGTTTTATGACTGCTGTTTGAAAAATCCTAGATCCGCCCCTGTTCTCAGTGTATAGTGTAATTAAATGGCATAAGTGCAATTATTTTCATTAGCTACTTTGATTTTATATATGACACACTATAATATCAAAATTTGGGATACCAAATTTTAATTTGGTGCAAAAGATTTTCACACCTTCGTACCCATTTGGATACTTGCTGAAATTTAAAAAAATGGTCGAAATTTCAAGCCCTGCGATGTGAAAATGAAACAATTCAATGCGGCCAGGCTTAAGGATTTCGCAAAATTTCGACATCATTGAATTTTCATATTTCAGAATAAAGTCAACCGAAATTTATTTTCGGTCGGGTCCGACCGAAATTTACGAAATATCTTTCCACCCTGAGCCATAGTTCGTTTCGTTTTCTACCATCCAATGGAAAGCACCCTAAATGTGTTTTTATTAACGGGCAACAAAGCAAACACAATTGAAAGCCATATGTCTATTTTAAAAAACAAAAAAAGCCCGAAATGAAAGGATAATTAAAGTGCTTAAATCGTATTTCAGCATTTTTGCCATTTACATAGTTCAGGCTACTTTAAAAATTTTGTAATATACTTTAAAGTTTGAAAGTATGATTTTGCTGGATTTTTTGCCACTCAAAGGATGAAAAAAATTAATCATTTCTTCGCTTGACAGACAGTATAAAAAAGCTGGTAATTAATGTTACTTTCAACAAAATTCGTCTATTGTCTAATTTAAAATTGGATGCATTTTAACAAGCACGACACAATAGCTATGCTTTAAAGATGATAAGCGTGTTCCTGATAGGACGCCAGGTCTTGGTTCTCGCCGTAGATTTTTTAATATAAAATATATTGCCGGTATGTTTAAAATCTTATAAACTATCTAAATAGCCCTTTTGCAAAAACATGATATATGCACTATAAGAGTGATCAAGACAAATTTTATGAAATCTGACAACCAATTTAGGCGAACCTGTACTTTAATAATTCCTTTCAACTGGGAAGTTTCACCAGGACCTTTGAATGATATGGACCATTCTGCCCTCAGTCGACCATTCCTAAACATTTACAGTACTAGGTAAATACAACAGAAATGGTGTTTTGAATGCCAAAATACAAACAAAACAAAACGAAGACCTCCAGGAAACCAAAACATGAAAACAGATTAGTTTATAAATAATCGGAATATAAAGCATTCTTAGCCCTTGAAATTCCCAAAATTTCACCAAAAAGCTAATATACATCACGTCCATAAAAATTTGACTTGCTTGTTTGCTATCAGCCAGTGTATTTCGTTTACATTGCTGGAAAATGTCCGACAGTACTTTTGCTAGGAAAGTTTTCATAAAATTATTCACAGGAAATATAGCTTTACATCCGCAGGAAATTTTTTGAAAATATGGAGTAGATTTCAAATACATATGCAATAAAACATTTTCCAGATTACATTGTAATCTGTATTATGTAAAGTAAACAATACCATACGGAAATTCACAGGCAGCCGCTGAAAGCGATGAGCGAAGGCTTGTTTTTACTACATATAAACGAATGTTTTCGCTGGAAACATCTACTTTTGAATGAGGACATACAACATGCAAAGCTGCAGGCGCCGAAGGGGGTATATAAGGCGTAGGCTCTAGAGTGAATCATAACCATCACGACTTGTAAAAATAAGCGGGAAAGCAAGATTGATTGAGGAGCAAAATTTTTTCGTGCGTGTGTTTTTTTGTTCTATTGATGTCCGTCGTTTTTCCACCATATCAGTGTTAAGGTGCTAGTTGCGATGGGGAGGTCAGCTTAGGATGTCAAAACACGAATCCTAATCTCGACCCAAGGAACAGACCTGGTGCCCGGACCACCCCTGTGTCAACCCAGTAAACACCTAACCATCCATATGGTAAGTAGATTGAACTACGTGCTAAAGTTCGCTGCTAGGAATTGTGAAATGTTTTCACCAGACCTATGCAACAGTCGAGTTATGGATTTACCGAGGGAGTGGAATGGTGCACGCCCAACCTATCATTAGTTAAAGCATGAGTCTCACGGTAATGCTTAGCGCGCTCAGCCACAAATAGATAGCAATTTCCAAGGCGCCCAAAATGGCGGCATATTTGGTTGTTATTGTAACAATATGTCTACTTATATTACCAAGTCTGGCACGTTAACATTAAAGCGCGGTTGGCCAAGAATTGAAAAAGAAACAAAGAGTTAAATTGAAGGAAGATATCATTTTACATTTGGTTAGCCTAGGATGCAATCCCTATAAACTACGAATCGGATATCGCTGACATTAACAAAACAAACACAAACAAAACATTAACGTGATACTCAAAGCAATACCATGCACGATTGTCGTTCGACAATAATGCCATTCTAAGTTCGACATAAACAAGAAAATAGCTAAATTCCTCAGGAAGTGGCAGAACACGAGACTACGTTTAAGTAAAATACACGAAACTTACCAGAAGTTCTGCGGCTGAAACTGGTGATCTTCGCAGCACGCAATTAAGGAAATGTTCCCATTCACATTTTTGCCGTAAATCTACGCAAAGACAAAATCATTCGTTGAATATTACCACAAAATGTCAAACATTGCAACTTTAAGAGTTTGAGAAATTAGATACCCCAATGTTCATAGGATAGAAGAGATTTTCATTTTGGATACGAAATATCACAGGCTTGGTATCCATACGGGAAACAATAAAATCGTATTTACAAGATTCATAGGATCTTAAAGAAAATGTTTTCAAAAGAATAATTTTTCGAACTTAGTTTCATGATTTCCAAGTATGGCTTTTCTCTCGCGAGTGTCAATCATGATCTTTCATTATACAAAACATAAGCCAACGGAATTTTGTTAGGTTCGTTTCCAAAATAGTTTTGGTTGAAGCCATCAACAAAATGCACAGTTATTTAAATTACAAACATGTCATAAGTTATTTTATTCTCTTGATAGTGCTCATCCAAATTCGGTAGTATGCACCATCTTGATAGTACCATCCGTAGTACCCATTTGGATACTGTTCAAAAGTTTAAATTTTAAGCGCAGGTTACAACTAAATGTTCGTAAGATGCTGGGGCCGGTTGCACGAAATTTGGATAGCGTTATCCTTTGGATGGTAAATTTTCAAAAGTGTAAAAAATATTTGTATTTTCCTTATGACAAAGAAATTTTGTTATCTTAAAAGCAATACTTTCTTTCAATGATTGCTCAGTTCAAAACGTATATTTTCCTATTTTAGAGGTCTTTTTAAAAGTTTAAAAAAATTTGCTATCCAATGGATAACGCTATCCAGGCTTCGTGCTACCGGCTTCTACATTGTAAGAAATACTTCAAAATCCGTCAAACACTACGTACAAGTACGTCGCTAAAACATACTGTCCCAATTTTCGCCAGCATTCTACAGCTACGAATTACATGTATTATAATCCACCTCGCAAAATTAGGTAGAACTTTCAAAAATGCAGAAAAGCAACTTTCACCATCAGAGATGTTAGAAAGTTCGCATTCTGTTTTCAATTTACAATGAATTTGTCAGCAGTCCTACTGTACAATTAATTGGTCAGCGGTCGTACCGTAGAAATCCCATGGGGATAATGACTTCGAATGTATTTTCTAAATTCGATGTCAAGCTGTTCACGCCAAGGTTCAGCTTCTTTGTCAACTTCGATTGTTTCTGGATTATTAGCTTCCTGCCAAAAATAACAAGAAAAGTGATTAGCCTTGCATTTGATGATGGTTGCACAAAGCAGGACAGTTACATTCACTCGACAGTTATTTTTCAATCATTTCATTCAACTCAAAGGCATAAACCTTCGATGTAATATTTAAAAGTTCTTCAAAGCACAAATCACTCAAATCTTGGAATATAATTCAACATACTGTGTTAGTTTTATGATTTAAAAAGGCTCAATATAAAAATATTTTTTGTCAAAACTTCAGAAATTTTATATTTTTCCATTTGCAATTCTGGTGAAAATTTTGTCAAGGTAAAAGGTTATTCAATTTATCAATAAACTACATCAACAAAAACCAACCTTTCTTAAGTGATCATATCGAAACTTCAACTTTGATTTTGGATCAATAAAAGTTCCATCTGGTAGCTCTCCATGTGATGTAACTAACACCTGGTAAGGATGATGAAAAAATGTAATCACAAAGATGACATTTCAGCAGTGAAAAACGAGTTGTGCCGACAGTCAATAATGAGCAAATTGTACGGATTGTGCATTATAACTTTCAGTCAGTAATCAATGGACATGTTCAGAGAAAAAAAACTTGTCAGATTATTGAAAATAGCTTAAATAAATGAACTGTAAAAGAATCTTCAATGTCAAAGTTTGGGTTACCATATACCGTAGAAAAGATAGTTTGCTACAAATTTCACATATAATAGACATAATAATAGCATATAAGTTTGTTGATGCAATTTTAAGCTGTTTCACATGTTGCTTTTATCTTTGCCTTTGTTGGTGTTGTACTTTAAAAAAACAGTCTTCAATTAATTTTGGAATGCAAGACCCCCAATACAATCAATGGCAAAGCCAGCTAAAGTTCTTGTTTAAGTTTCTCTTTTCTTTGCCTTGTAAACTTTAGGCAAAATCATTATTTGTTCAACAAAAAATAACTCCCAGTGAATAAATAAAAAAATAATAAAATAGCAGGACTATGTAAATATCAAGATGGATTGAACTTCAGCCAAATGCCTGCACAATCACCAACCATCACTGGTATATGAATGATCTCCTTCAAGGCTTAGTTCCCTCATTATTCATGATATAGTTGTAATTGTAGTAATTCGAGGCAGATATTTCATTTACACATCACAGCCGAAATCATGTGCCGCTTCTTGTTGCAATATTTGATAAAACTCATTTTTTGTGACAGACTTTCTTAATGGCAAGGATAGTTAAAGGATTTTAATCATGCATCAAGGAGTGCTTGTTCTTCAATTGCCATAATTATGTAGCAAATAAATAAAAGATGAGTTGCCATTGATGATAAGCATTCACACATATGAATTTCTTATGTCCATGAGTGTTGCAATTGTTGTGAAAATTAAGCCACATTCAACTTCTACAACAGCTCTCAACTTGTCTGCAATTAAATTGCAACAATTACAACACATTTCACATATAGTTGTAATTGTTCAAGACTTTCATCGCCCGTAGAATTACAGCAATTACAGCTACAAATACATTAATTTGGCTTTATACAAAGGAGAGATAAATTTCCTAAGTTTCTTTCAATTACAAATAACTTTTCATCACGTAGGGATGTGCCGGATCCGGATACTGTCATCCAGTAATATGAGCCCATTTGGCTTTATCCGATATCCAGTAAACCGGACATTAACCAGACAGTGGGAAAACTTTTATTATGTTTACCAAAAAAATACTAAGTATATTTTTTCACCTGAAACAGAAATTGGTGTTTTAATCTTAGTCATTCTCAGCTGGGGATTGCGATCAAAGAGATAATTTTGCTAGCTAGCAAAATTATTTGTCGATGTATAGCTAGAAATATTTGTTATTTTGGGATGAAGTAAACATGTTGCAACATTGACATATATTATATGTATATATATAATATATGTCAATATATAATTACATATAATTATAACTATATATAATTAATATAACTATATATAATTATATAACTATATGACTATATATAATTATATATGACAATGGTAAAACAATGATAAGGCACTTTATTTATGATATAGATTCAGATCTATATATCTATATCAACCAATAAGCCTAATATCCGGAACCCAGTTTATTATTTTCACTTGACCGGTATCCGGTAGACAGCCATCCAGTACTATTCAGTACTTGGCAAAGTGGTATCCAGCACATCCCTATCATCAAGTCTTCATACCTGGTGTTCGGCACCTTCAACTTTGACAGGCGTAAACTGTTCTTTATTGTATAATGCAAATGTGCTGAACATCAAAAACATAAAAAAAACAATTTGAAAAGAGCAAAGCATGTTTTTAGATTATTGTTGCAGGATCATTAAGTTTTGAGAAAGGTGAACACAATTTCCCCAAATTCTGCTGTTTTCACAACATTATCAGAGCCACCCTGCAAGTTTCGGTCCGGTTTTGTAAACTATAAAGCATTATCCTTATTCATTTCTTTAGAAATCTATTGTTTTTACAGTGAGTGAACAGAGAAATTATTAACATAGCAGGACGATATTTGCAGGCTGGCTATGCCAGTGTCACAGACAAAGCAAATTTAAGGTAAGTGATGAACCAAACTGACATGTCCTCAACAAGTGCAACAGTGTACAGCACCCCCTGATTTCATATCAATATCTATAAATTGCAGGGGGTGAATTTCTAAGATATAACATAGTTTCACGTAATGACTCAGCTAGCTTGATAAAATGCTACATTTGGGTTGAAAAAATGTTTGTGTGCTTGTGTATTGCTCAAATGAAACAGCAACTTTTAAAACATTAACAGACCACCTAGCGTTCGTTTATTAGCTACGACAGTTATATAAGTGGCTCCGTCTGAAGATTAAAAACTAACAATCAAATGAACACCTTTGATAGAAAAGAATTGCCATTACGGACTTTCGCGTAAACACGATTAGTTAGAAGAAAATGGCAATTCCATAAAACAACACGAATAATACACTTTACCTAGCAGCACCGCTCTTTAACAACGGATCGTCGTCAAATAACACTCTGACATCTGTTAAATCAAGAATATTGACAAAGTAAGGCATGTAAGCGCGAATGCAAGAGAATTTTACAGCAAACTTACCGTTGAAAACTTCGTTAAACTCGCCCGGAGGGGCGTGTTTTATAAAATCATCCGCAATGCGAAGCTAAAACAGCAAGTTTACATCGAAAAAGTCGGTGAGTAAAAAACGACAAACCGTCAGGAAAAGTCAGCCAAAGGGGTAATAAAATGTTTAATTTTAACTACCTTTTCTTCTTTAGAGATTTGTTGGTCGTAATCAGCCATAACTAAAAGTTGAATGCCGTTCCTCTCGAGGAAGTAACTATCACAACAAATATGGCGCCCCTGAGCGGAAATAGTAGTGCCGCTTGGAATCATGGGGAGAAGCAAATGTGGTATTTGGTATGTAGGTATCGTTGGTATGTTGGTAGGTATAAATATCATAACCATTAGAACCATGATTACCATCACCACATCAAAAGAAACAAACAGAAGTCCAATAGACCGTGACCAGACGGTAAACATGTGCGTAAAAAATATTTTTGCTGCACACTTCTAACAACGGATAATTTCTTTCGTAATGTTATGGAGAATAATGCAAAAGCGAGAAATTAATGTGGCCCCAAGCGATAAGTGTGCACCACTGGTGTCACAGAATAGATTACGTTATCTATTCTGTGTTGGTGTGCACAATATGCAGAAATTTACGTTTTACTCACGATGACGTCATCGATAATTATCAAAACCAAAAAATTTGCAAATTCCAAAAATTCTGAGTACCACTCGACAGACTTGAATGAAATGAGTAAAAAGTATATTACACTGTTTACTTTCAGTCACTCGTTTGTGAAGTGCCAACGAATGTTTTTTCACCATGATGCTGATTCAGCATTTTAAGTTCTTGTCTTTATACCACAAGCAGACCTGCCAACTCACCCGATTTTATGGATGTATGTTATATGTTACACTTCTAAATTTTCTATGCGCTTTCTTATTATGAACAAAAAAATCTACTTGAGTTTTTTCTGTTTGCTGTTTTTACACATTTCTTTTCCATCGAAATCTTCTGTTCGTCAGTATGTTGGTGAATACAATTCTCTGTTAAACACTCACTTGGTCTTGATTTTTCAAAATTGTTTTACTAAATACTAGTCATAACAAAAATTAAAAAAGGTTGAAAGTGTTTGAAAATCTGGTGTTCTGAAGATTTTTTAAGATATAGGTGACAGCCCATAAAATCAGGCGAGTTGGCAGGTCTGTCTGCTGTAGTATAAGACAAGACATTAAAATTCTGAGTCAGCATCATGGTAAAAACCATTCGTTGATGGTTCATAAACGAGTGACTGAAAGTAAACGAAGTAATATACCTTCGAAGTATAAATGATGAAATATCATTTCATACCAGTCAACTAAATTCAGCCGTTGTTTTAAAAAGTTGAAAGAAAAAAGAATGGAAACGAAGAGTGTTGAGAAGACAAGAGTTGACAACCTTAGTATAGTTATCTTCTGAGACAAGAAGACAGTTACAATCAACACCAACAGTCCATCTCAGGATTCTTCCATCTTGGACGATCTTCAACTTCAAACAAGTTGTTCCCATTCATTGTAAATGATCCATCGACATCACAAGTTCCTATCTTATCATTCAACACTAATAATTCTGCATTGAGGATTGCCTTCGTTCGCTACTAAGTTGATCCTGACAAAAACAGCAAACTTTAAATTTTACGACCCTGGATAATGGAACTAACATTAAGAATTTCGTCCCCTGCATTTAACGAATAAAAAAATGAACTTCTTGAAAACAACAACAAATTGTCGAGCTGCACGCATCAATCCATTAACAGAGCAGTGTTACTCAGAATAAATTATAGCTGCTCAATTTTAAATTCAAAGTACTTTCAGACAAACACCACTGATTAATTCCTTTGTCGTATACCTAACGAGTGTTTATAACATAATACGACTTTCCGTACAATCCTAACTGAATCAACGTCGACGTATAAGTTAAAAACATTTAACACTCGAGAAGAAAAAACTAACTATATTTATTAAATTAATATCTATAAGTATATAAATATGTATATATCTTTACTCTAGCTAACTCTTCGACCAACAAACTTCCATACAAATAGAAACATGCACTGCGATATCTTCAAACTTTTACAACAGGCAAATCCTTGCCAAAATTCTCCTTCCATACTCTAGCAATTATCCCCAGCGCTTTCTCTCTCTCTTCGTACGTCTGCGCTATCATATGCCAGCGGTCTTTCAATTGTGTAATACTTGACAGCAATTTCCCGTCTTCATGTCCGTCACTGAAAACTACCGTAAAATCAAGAGAGCAAAAACCGCTGAACTCGACTCGTCTGACGTCGGTTATTCGCCGAAGAAGCTGAATGTCATAGCGCGAGCCTGCAGGCAAACCTTTCACGAACAGCGGCAAAGGAAAGTTAACGTGATTTTCAATGCAAGTGCAGAGCGCGTCATTCAAAACGATGAACGTTCTTGAAGACTTTTTACGCTCAATAACTTGAAACATTAAAAGGTAAAGTAATATACTAATATCATTCAAACATTTGAATATTTTAGTCTGACAATCATACACAAGGATGCTATGCTTCAAAATCTCTACTGTATCGTCGTTTGGGTAGACAAACTGTATAACGCCATTTGAATGATGAAATGATTCGAGTTGTTCGCTGCCTATTTCTGAACTTTGATAATTGTCGTAGATACTCGGAATGCTGTCCACAGTTTTAGGCCTGGCATTAGGCTCCACTGCCATAGCTTTTAACGCGTTCTTGAGGTTTTCTATAAAGGAACTTGTCACGTGATAGTCACGTGTAATGAAAGTATAAGTATTGGCGGGGTCATCCGTCTCCACCCGAAAAGTCTGATCAAAAAGACCGACACAGACTTGACGTATCGCTACAAAGGGCAACCAATGAACACAAAGTTTTCCACCGATTCCATATAGAGCATCATACGCACTTGAAAAAAATGTTTTCTCCTCGCCATCGGCAACGACATAGATCTTCGAGCAAGATAAAATTAGCCAAACGTGAACTTCTCGTTCGGGGTGCATGTAGGCTATGCAGTCTGTCCACGCACTATACACGAGGATCTCGGACATGTCGTTTCCAGAAATCTTACGTAATGTTTCTGAGAAATAATTCTCAAGTACTGCCGTACGCGCATTGCGTAGTTCATGAATTGATTGGTAAACTGCATCTTTGGGAGGTGTTGAACTGGATTGCCGGCATCCATTTTGCCGATGGCATTTTTCATTAGAATTATGAGAGTCTTCGGAACTACAAGCAGCAAAGCCTTCCTGGAAAATAGGCTCAGTGACATCTGATCGAAGGGTTTGAGAAATCTTTAAAGAGGATAATGCGCTGGACTCGGTCACTTGAAGTTTGCCGTGAAATTTCGACGACCACATTTGAGAAAGTGACCGCTGAAACTGTGCCCGTTCTTCGAATAATTTGAAAATTAATTTCAACTCTCGATTTTCCCCAACGCGCAAAGACGACTCTTCCTTGCACGATGCACGATGTAAGTATTCCTGACGATTCGCATCAATGATTAATGTCATACCACAGCTTCCAACAAACGCAGGATCACCAGTGACGTCATAGATTTCGATGCCAACGATATGCTTGACGTCATCATGTTTGATCACAGCCCATTGTGGAGTAGATGGGGCCTCACGAATGTAACTAGGCAATGGCCAATGAAGGTGATCCTCCTCGCAAAGGAAGATGTTATAGTTCGTCAGAACCAAACTTCGTGTTACGCTCGAAAACAACACGTCACTATGTGAATTCATCATGGAGCGAGTATCCTCATTTTCTGATGACGTAAAAACACCTGTTTTTGGAGTTGATTTTGCGTTTTTAAGTGTGAGTTCTTTGACTATGGCATACACAAGCACATGCTCGTCTTCTTCAAACTTCTTCTCACAAGACATTGCGATCTCCCGTTTCATTTTCTCGAGAAGGTAGTCGTTCAAGTTTAGGACATCACAACTGAGCATGTCCAACATTCTACCGCTGGACAATGGCAATGACGATTGCAGAGATTGCATGAACATGTCGGTGACGTCCGGATCACACACGAGGAATGTGAACGTTCCATGAAAACCACGTGCAGAGCATTCAAGACGGAGAGTCAAATCAAATATTCCACGAACAACGCAGGAAATCTCATCGAGTGACACGCAAAACATTGGCAAAAATATTTCTTCAATATTTTTGGATGAGTTAAAGTAATCGATCAACTTGAACAATAACAATTTGAAGTTTGTCATAACCAGGCATATTTGAAGCTCGTGTTCAGGGAAGGCGTAAAGTAAACAGTTCGTCCAAAAAATCGACTGTACCGTCTCATCACGATACTTCGCCGTTTCTTCACGACGATGCACCGTATCTTCACGATGATGCATCGATTCCATAACATCATTTTTGGATAGTGAAGAAATTTGCCGATTTAAAAACTTTTTCAACAAATCTTCTGATAAGCCAATCGGGTTGCCATAAGTCAACTTGACGTCACTAGCGATAGTTTCGCGTGACGACAGTGAATTGGCTCTTTCCGAATACCTAAAACGTAGTTAACCAACCGTATTAATGACGTCATAGAGAAGCATCTCATTCCCCCCTTTTTAGGTTTTCCGTCGTTACCTCTTTCTGGAAGATCGTCTCACAAACTTATGAAGTAGAACAAATAGTTCAGAGGTATCTTTCATCGTCCTCATGCGATACTTAATAGCAGGAAGATCGCGGACAGCGAGCTCCACGAACATTCCTTTTGAGGTCTCCAAAACATCAACGCTCGACGCACAATCTAGTAACAATGACGATTGATCATACTTTTGTACGCTGATACTTAAAAAGACGCTGGAATGTTTACTTTATCTAAATTCTTTCGAACTGAAATCGTTTAAAATCCGTCGAAGATGCCTTGTTTGATCAGTTTCTCTTTATAAATAATCACTGACGTCAGTAAGGACGTCACTAAAACATGACCTCAGATATATATGAGTAATGACTTTTAATGCTTGCAACGGACAGAAACATGCTCAAAGAAAAAATAAAGAGAAATAGACATCTCATATCTTTATTAATAGTCGTTCATTTCGAATGGGGTAATCGTGTGAAGTATGTTGTTCAGTCATACCATCATTTGTATTCTAAAAGCTCGATCCCTTGGACTTGTGTTATAAAAGCTCGATCCCATGGGGCTTGTATTCTAAAAGATCGATCCCAGGGACAACGCTAAAAATCGAATCTTGTGGGCTATGACTTATATTACTGAATTTACTGCGTCATACTTCACCTCAAATTAGGCTACAATACATGAATATTATCAAAACGTTTATCATGGGGAAAAAGAGGGCGGGTGGAAGCCCCTAGCCTCCCCCTCTTTGCAACAAAGAAATCCTGCTCCCACTAATCAATGGAAACTCGTTTCTCAATGAATGAAAGATTTTTGCTTAAATATTAACAATCACGTGATCAGTAGACTGAAAATAGACTTGGTATGCAAATTTATGCTTCATTCTTACTTAGATCGAGTTTTCTCAAAGTTTCCCCAGATACCACGACGATCTCGATCAACGTTTCTTTCGTCAAGTCGATTCCAATCATGAGTTCTTGCTCGTCATCGATGCCGGTGGCGCAGGCAAAAAACCATCCCACTAGCCTGAAAATACAACATTCCCACATGACTTTGTCAGATTTATCACATGCTCAAAAAATATTTTCTGCTTGTAAAACTTGATATGTATGCAAATGCTCTTGTTTCTTCGCTTAAAATGATCAAATAGTTCTGTCGCTATATTTTCAAGCAGGAAGGCCATTTCGAAGAAATATTACAGAGCACAAATATTAATCACGTCAAATCTCGATATACTAGTATTTTAGAGAGTTATAATTGAAACACGTTTTTGCCAAAGACTATCAACGTTTCTTAAAATGTTGGAATAAAGCATTCATTTAACAGAATGTTTTGTTTTTTTTTGAATACAAAACAATGAGTATAAATTACGTACATGTATAAGTTTAAGATCAGTACTGTACAACTGTGCAAGTATCGGCTGGACTGTCACAAAACGTCACAATGCGTCATAGGTAATTAACCTTACAAATGTTCAGATTAACTCACGCATCACGTTCCTTCTTCATGGTCAATTGTACCAGGTTTTCAAGTTCCAAGGAAAATCCAAACTGTTGAACAACATCTTCAGAGTCTTCATCAGACAACAAATGAGTTTTCTTTTCTGCCGAGTTGGAATTGATGGCAGAACTTGCGCACGCGACATTAGTATCTTGACCAGCGGATTCTTGACGATTTCTTAAATTGCAACCATCCTGAAAAGAAAAAAAGAATTGACGGCAAAATGATAAGGATATTCCCGCTAAAACACCAGTTTAACTGCACCCCATTAAAGGCTAATATATTCCGCTCGAAACATCAAATTCTCCCCCCCCCGAAAAACACCGGTTTGTTCGCAGCTAAAGCACCATTTTATCCACACCCAAAAAGATCCGTCACTTCTGTCATAGAATAAAAATCAGATGATCAACGTCGGTCGACATTCAATTTTATAAAACAACAAAATTGAAAATACGGGAAACAAAAGCAAAAACGCAACGGTACCACAAATATCATTGCTTGACGTGCGAATTGTGTTTTGAGATGTGATGTAGCTAACTGAATTCTGAGAAAGGCCGATGTTGAAATTTTTTGACAAACATTTAGCAATATAAACGATGTTGAAACAAGGCATCCGGCACAAGAAAGATTTTGCAACCTGTAGGTCTCTCCAAGCTTGAGAGAAGACCTAATATAAAACGAGGCTCTTTCATGTTGAAGTGAGAAAGTTTGGAGACTCCAGAGGAGAAAATGCATACGTCGGATGGCTAGAGATAATATTTCCCCAGGCCTCCTAATTTCTCTTAGTAGTCCTGGTTCGATAAGAGAAAGAAACCATGGTCTTGTTTGAAACCATGGGGTAATGTTAAGATCCATCGTGAAAATGACAGTACCTTTTTCTTGTTTTGTATCTCGTTAAGCAGTCCCAGCCAGTCGTCACCACCGAGCCGACGAACCTTTTCTACTAGTTTTCGAAATTCTCGCGTTTCACCCGAAAGCTCAAACTGCCTTGCTGAAAGAAATACGGATGATGATAAGACTGGAGACCGCTCATCATTTTGTAGAGTGAAAAAAATATCATATTCTGTCGAGGGTAGGACCAAATCACGCATAAATGAAAAAGTGAGCTTTGCAAACCATCATAATAGAGCCTTATATTCACAAGGTGTAAACTTAGGTTCAACACCCGAGTTGAAACAAATCCGGTTTAGATTTTGTCGTGTGAACGCGGTAAAACCGTGGGTGACCCGGGCTAAATCTAAACCATGCATCTTCGGAGGTAAGTCAATGTGTATCTTCATATTTTTTTCATGTTTTCCTCGCCTACGTAAAGATGAGGAATATATTTTGAGAAAATGAGAGACGAAATGAACTGATTAGCGTTTCTATCATCATGATGACAGAAGTTCACACCAGTAAAGAATACAAGACAAACTACACGTATATCCTGGTTAATCCATAACCAGCCAACAATTTTATGAAGAAAAATATCCATCTTCAACTTAAAATTTAAAATCTCACAGTGTCATCTGTACAACTGTGGAAAGTGAGGATACAATTCTTTAGTGATATTTTGAATTCATTAAAATTTATTATTGAAGAAAAAGGACCAGCAAGTTGAGGGTATAGATCTTTATTACTTAAGCTATACAATTAAGCTATATTTACTGTGTCTATAGCAACGAACTCGTCCCAGTTCTGCCAGAACGACGGCCAATGGCCGTAGAATACACTAAGTAAGCAAAGTGACGTACCTTTACAGTCGTCATTACGATCAGAACAATTTTCATTCGAAATGTCTATTTTCCGACAAGCTACCTGGATTTAGAGAAAGAAAACAGTTGAACGTTTACGCAGAAACTCTAAAAGAAACTTCTTATCAAATACAATTTCATATGTTCTAAGTCATGATGGGTTAACAATTAAAGTCCATACACAAATTATAATATAGTTTGCATCTAGAAGTTTTTAGGAGTAGGAATTTTTTTAATAAATCCTTCTAAAGATAGCATAAATTAACCCTGTCTTTGCACAGGAAAAGAAATAATTTATGTTTTTTTCCTGCCATTTAATGTTTTGGAGAAGTTCCTTGCACAAGAGCCCGCGAGTCAATAATCTCCCGAAATTTCTGAGAGAAATTTTACAAAACTGTATAAAATATGGTTCTCTTCCTATAACCTCTTTATTGAGTTTTAAAGCCCATGTTTCTCATTTGGGCCATTTTCATAGTTTAAACGTTTTTAAACTCTTGGGTAGCATTTTTGATGATTTGAAAAAGTAAGATCTCCGTGGCCAAAACAGACCAAATTACAAAAAAATTATAGCTACAGGCAATTTGAAAAAGCTAAACCTTCTTGTGGCCATTTTTAATCCTTCTTCGGTCGGATTGACCGTCAAGAGGATCGATAATTTCAAAAAGGCTCTCTTCCTCCAGGATCTGCATCACATTTTTCTGTCAACACATTACAAGAAGTAAACATTTCCAGAACATGACATGGTTTAGGGTGCAGGCTGTATGTATCACATTAAAAAAAATCGGTAAAATTGTTTGAATGTTTGATTTGTGCAGAATTAGCATAAGAGACGAACGCAGTTAGAATTACTTTCCTAAGTTTAATGTTTCTGACACAAATTTTCATGCTATAGGGTTTTAAATTTCATTCTATTTATAATACCCAAAAAAGATTGTTTTCTTAAAGGTAGCGAGCTTGTCGCTCACGCACGACACATTGCATTGATATGGCGTGAATAGCTATTGGTGGGCAAAATTAAACCAATCATCGTCAAACACTGTAAAAAAAAAGAACATCTTACTTACGATTTCCGTTTCTGTTGGAAGGACTTTATCGAGACATATCTGCAGGCGATAAGAAATTTACAGATGCATAAATTTTAAGAAATAAAAGATGTTTACTATATGTTTGCACAGACTTATGCAAACCAGGGAGACATTCGGGGGAGAACTCGAGAGAAGATCTGTGGAAAAGCCGAGTTCTCATAAACCTCTCCGATGTTTGCATAAGCCGGGGCAAACACAAAAAACATCGTTTGTATCCTTTGTAAAACAACAATGATACAAAACAGATAAATTTAACAAAAATGTTTTAATTTTTGCTCTAACATGTATTCATGATTGATTTCCAAATTCTCTTTCATTGTTCAATCGATTGAGCGCAGATCCGTTTTCATGCACAGGTTATAATGCAAATTCAGCCATAGATGGATCAGCGCACGCGTTTTAAAATTTTCATTTTATAAAATGTCTTGCAAACGGTTTTAGCAAAAGCCATATATGCAAAATTACAAAAAATTAACCTTCATGTAATTGAGACGATGTAATGAAGTTGTGAAGAGTGAGAAAGAAGGCACTTACTTGAGAAACTCTGTCTTCGAAAGCAACTAACATGAGCATGCGATACATAGGTACATATCGTACAGAGTTCGCAAGCAAAATTAAATTTTCCAAGCACGGTAGTTTGGCAAGACGAATTACATCGCTAACCTAAGGAAGTCATGGATAAAATGTTATATGACAAATACGGTATTGGATAATTCACACATTTTTATAAGAATTAGTTTTTCATGGGACGTCCGAGGTCCGTTTCATACTCTGTACTTCACATGTTCTGCTGACAGTTGCCGAATTAAGTGCAGTAAAATTGGAGATGTGAGTCGAACCAACTTCGGTATATTTTATAAGAATTCAATTCGACAGTCTTGTTCAAGGATGGATCCTTAATGATTTTGTAAGGGGAGCGCTACAGATTCTACTTAGGTGGCAACTTGTTGCCGTAGTGTGTGAGACCTTTTAGTTGTAATTGCGTGATTTAGGGCGTGTGCTCCGTTATACGTAAATCAAAGTTGCCTTATCTTAATAGATTTACAGGGAAATTGGCAACCGTCCTTGCATCCTCTCTCGTAAAGACTAAGAGTTGGACGCGCTCCCCCGCACTTCTCCCCCGGAGTCAATCCCCGTTCTGGTCGCATGCCAACTTGGTTGACAAGTATATACAGTAAATGATAACCGCTGCCCAAATGACGTACAGACCTCCTTAAAAACTACGAAAGTTTAAACTTGCCTCGCTTATAGAATTTTCACTAAGATCAAGATTAACCAAAGAGAACAGCTTCGGCAAGTCTAGACAAAAAAGTAAAGGAAATTTTACATAAGATTAAAACAAAAATCAGGAACAGGCATAAAGAGCTTTGATACATAAATCCTAACTTTCAGAAGTTCTTAATATAATTCCTAATAGAAATTGTATTAAGCATAGTCTCAGAAGTTCTGATTAGGCAATTCGTTGAAACTAACCTCCAACCGCATTCAACTTATTGCCGGCTAGTCTAAGAGACTCAATGTTGCCCAACTTTCTATGAATGGATTCGAGGCTTTCAAACAAATTATAAGACAAGTCCAACTTTCGAAGATTTGGAAGATCCTAAATTGACACATAAAAGAAAAACACACAACTGAAACAAGCATAGACTTCCGCTCTACAATAGACAAACAAGATGATGACGAGTCACTACTTAACCAGTGAACTTAAAGAGCCTACAAAACGAAACTAATGCTATGTAATTATATCTTTATCATCTACATTGACATCGCATTGCATAAAAATTTCCGTTGGGAAAAGATGACCTCGTCTGCTTAAAGCGCCAGTATAACGAAAAAATGGCGTTTAAAATTATAGTTCCATTGAAAAGCACCAGCAAAAAGTCATTATCGAGAGCTTTTCAATGGAATTATGATTTGTTAAGTCTCAATATATTTTAGTTTAAGTTTTGTCACGCCCTATTTATAGAAAAAGTGACGTCACATATCACACGAGTCGCTGCAAATTTAAATCTTTTTGTGGCCTGCCGGCTTTTGGACGAAATACCGATGCAGAATCTACGCCATGAGAATTTCCAGGTTGATGTAACATAATAGTGAATGTTCTTAATAATTCAAATACTCATTATGCAATGCGAGTATTTCATATGCAATTCACCTTCTCTGTAAAGTCGACATCAGAAAACTTCAATATCTTGAGAATGCAAAGAGATATGATTAAACTGTTTTAAAAAGTCGGCAGTCATTTTACGAGCTCCTTTCGATAAAACTATAATTTTGATAGCAAATGTGATGAAATAAAACTATAATTTTGATAGCAAAAACTATAATTTTGATAGCGAATGATCCTTCAATAAAGGCCGTCGACAGTATCACATGATTGCTTAAAGCAGTGTAACCGCTTAATACGGTACCGTTTAAAACTTAAGTGCTACTGCACTTTCACTTTTCGAAAATAATCTGAAAATTCAACAATGGAAGTACAGGATTCAAAATACATGCATGTGGGGTGGTGGGGGTGTAACGTATGTAATTCGCACCTGCAAATGCTCGACGTCCCGGATGTTGTTATAACTTAAGTTCAATCTCGATAGAGCACGAAGCAAAGTCTACAAAAGGACAAAGAAACAGGATAACGCCATGTGTAATACAAGTTTATGATCAAAGCCTAAACATTACAACAATAATGGTCAATGTAAGTGGGCGAAAAAATTTCAAACAATCAACAATATATCTCTCACGTCCAACAAAAATATGATTTGATTGTGTGCTACAAGCATGTGTACTGTGTAAATCGTTTGTATTCTTCACTCCAGGGGGTAGATTTACCCAGGGGGTGGGGGTGCACCACCCTTATCATTGAGTTAGAAGAGGTACAAGAGACGTCAATAGCAAGTTAAAACGATAAAACGTAAGAAGAATCAATCGGTTTAAGCAGTGACTAAATGAGTGTTTTCAAAGCTATCCAAGTTTCAAAACGTAGTCGACCTGAATTTCATTGCAATAATTTTTAGCTTGTCATTTAGGTTGGCATTGCTGACGGTAGACGTGAGTTTCAACGTCTGTTTAATCAATGAAAACAGCCTCACATGCAACAAGTCATAAATACAAATCTTAACAAAATACAAACGTCGTATCTTAAAAGTAAAATTTAGTTATTTATAACAAAATAAAGCGTACAACACAGCGCAAAAACAACGCATGCAAGCAAATACCAGTTTGACATGATCATAAAACATCTTGCATTTTAATGTTTTACATTAGATGAAGAAGCTAAATTATCAAGTTACAAACTAACCTATTGCATCCTTACCACAGAATCATCAATGTAAGATATATGATTCCGACTGAAGTCGACATCAGTCAAAAGCTTCCACATCGATGCGTTCAAACTTCCTTGCAAGAAAATATCCTTATACATACAGACTTCTCGATCGATTAATACATCCTGTTGTGAAGAAATTTGGGAATGGTAAACTTCTATTATCGAGACGGTCGCAAATTTTGAAATCTTTAAACGCCAGTATAACGAATAATTTGCTACTGAAATTATAGTTTCATCGAAAAGGACTTATAAAACGAAAGCAGACTTTCTAAACTATACCTCTTTGTATTCTCAAGATATTTAAGTTTTTTGATATCTGATTTCTGGAGAAAGTGACGTCATTTATTAAGATGTAGCAAATTTATAAACATCTTTTAGTTACGTGCCCGCATTTGAATAAAATGCCATTAACACTTTACAACGACAGGAACTCCCCGTTGATGTACAATATATCAGCAAATGTTCTTAATCGTTCAAATTCTCATAATACAATGTGTCGTCCCTTTCTCTATAAATCACAAATCTTCAATATCTTGAGAATGCAATGAGATCTGACTAATCTGTTTCCGAAAGTCCGCTGTCATTTCACAAAACAATAATTTTACCAGCAAGTTTTTCGTTATGTGACCCTTTAAGATAAGGTTTTGAATGACATCGTAAAGATCGAGGCTAGATAGGCTGATTATACGCAACAGGGACGTCTTAGAGCTTAGTCTACACGTTTATAATTTGGGGGCCGGTTGCATGCATGAATGCTGATTGGGGCTTTCCACTCATTAGTAACTAGTTTTAAAAATCCCTTCAAAAAGAAAAATATAACATTTAAACTGGAAAATCAATAGAATAAAACATTAATTCGAAAGTATCAAAGTCTCACCAGTATCTGTTTAAGTTTACAATAACTAAAATGTAGTTGTTGAAAGTGAAAATCTTTATACTTTTCAAGATGACTCATCGAAAGACATAGAAGATAACATGAGGAAGCAGATGAACTGCCGTGTGTAATTGTCGGAGACTGGTTAACAAACTATTGAAGAGACAGACAGCAAGACCATAGCGGTCATCACAAAAAAAACGTTATAAATACGTAGAGTAGCGGAAGACAATATGAAGCCATCCGAAGAAAGACAACGGCGGTGTAGGTGTGTTACTTATCTTACATAACTACTTCAAGTCATTGTCACACATTAGGGTGTGAAGGGGGAGTGCTGCACCTCCCAGTTTTTTTGAAATATGTATTAAATGTTTGTCGAAAAACTGATGGAGAACGAAAAGTGTCGGTCTAGCTTTTGTAAAACATTATAAAATGTCGGTCTCGGCTAAAATTGTGGTCTTGTTGAGCCCCCTCTTGATTTTTGAGATGCGTGCCCCGACTTCATGTAAGGCTTTATATAGACAAACAAACTAAACGAAAAAGACATGCAAAAGAAATTGCGCAGTTAACAGAATAAAATGCCAACCCACGGGTTGACCATGCTAAAGAATATTCAACTATCAAATGACACCAAAAAAAAGGACAAACCTTAAGACGATGGAGCGAATCATGGACAACAAGCTTCTCGAGATTTTCTTGTAAAAGATAAATTCCTTTAAGTTTTTCTACGTTGCATTTCGATATCTGTTAAAAACAAAGACAACTTACTTTGAAATATTTCAAACGACTGTTTGTATTTTTTTCATTCACCGAGCAGGAATTATTATACCCATAACCATGCAGCAGACGTGCTCTATCGTTACTTGAGCTACGGAAAGTAAGCCTGAGTTTAAAAATGCTCATATCAATGGGTTTTTCTTTCTCATGACGGGCTCTGTCATGTGAGCAAGTTTGAACTTCCCTCAACAACGCTCAACACCGTTCAATACCACTCAACACCCCTTAACGAAGTGTGAAAATGCTCTCAATATGTTGAGTCTACCATCCATGTTGTGCCCATGTTCAGTCAACATGTTGAGTCTACCATTCATGTTGTGCCCATGTTCACTCCACAAGTTGAGTCTACCAGACATGTTGTGCGCATGTTCAGTAAACATGTTGAGAGCGTTTAGACGTAGCCTTAATGTTAAACAAACAGCTTTCGTACAACATCCTCCATTTACTTCTTAATTATCAAACTTAACAATTCATTGTACGAAACACAATTCTCAACGGCTAAAAAAAACTTTGAACACACACGAACAAACCTGCAAGACATTGAGCTTTTTAAAAATGGACAGATCAAAGAATATCGCTTCGTCGAAAAAATCGACATCTTTGTGCTTGTTATCCTCGATGATCTGTAAAATAATCGCGAACGAAACTTGTTCACAGAACTGATCGTTTTTCAGTTAACTTAAATATACAAACGTCAACGAGCATTCATAGATTATGTAGGATTCTTTCGTTTGGAAGAAGAAAATATGTTTGAAAGAAGAAAACATTTTGCATAGGAAGATCGATAATTGGGAGGCTTATATATTTATATATGCATGTTATAATCCGTAAAAAACAATAGATTCCAGAGGAAATTAATACGGCACATCATGCATATTTATAAAAACAGTTATAGGTCGATAACTGTGTTTGCATTGGCATGTGCAAACCTATCTGAGCTCAACCAATCAAATCAAATCAATCAATTAATCAATCAAACAAAGAGAATTTGCAAATCAATCATGAATAAAGGATTTATTAAAACGCTTGTCTTAAATTTGTCTGTTCCACATTTTCGTTATTTTATTCAAGAAATAAAAAACGTCTTTCGTGTTTGCACTGCAAACGTCGGAGACGTTTGTGAGAATTCTCGAGAAGGTGCAACTCTCGACCTGTTCTCGAGCTTAAACTAAACTGCTCTCGAGTTCTCCCAAAAATCTCTTCGGTTTTCATAAGCCTGTGAAACACAGTAAACATCTTTTATTTCTTTAAATGAATACTAGCCCCCCCCCCTCCCAAATTGTCGACTTTCTAACGTCAATGACAATACCCGTATGTAGAATAGATGGGCAAATAATTCAAGGCCTAGAAAACAAGATACCTGAACACTTTGGACACGACAAACAATATCATAGAGATTGCCAACGTCATAAAGATATCCGTTACCACCTTGAAGTACGAAACATATGACGAATTTAGAACTTGGAAATAGCATTTGGTGAATTAACGATGTTAGAATGGCAACACCAGGACTCCAATTTCAAAATCAGATGATTAATGAAGACACTAAACTGGAGTATATGAGAACTCAAGTTTCAACATCAGGTCACTCCTGATGAAGACACTTGAATGGAGTACACAAGGACTCAAGTTTCAACATCAGATCACTCCTGATGAAGACACTTGACTGGAGTACACAAGGACTCAAGTTTCAACATCTGATCATTCCTAATGAAGACGTTAGACTGGAGTAACAAAGGACTCACTTTCAGCATGATGTTAGTTTCAATAATTTATTTCTTAATAAAGTTATCTACATTCCAATACGTAATCCCTCTAATGACAAAGTAGTCTCCCCAAACAGTTTCATAAAAGGTAGCTGTCTTGAATAAGAAATAATCACATACCACAAGTTGGAATCGGCATTTTCAACCTTTTCGAAATGCAGTAAAGTTGCAAAGGCGTGACTTTGAATACCTCTTTTTGGGACAGAATGCCATCACCTGCAAACGTACGGAGGAAATCACGTGATCGAAACATATTCACGTGACTCCAATGGCAAGATATTACCAGTGAACTCAATATTTAAATAACTGGAATGATAACTGAAGCCAAAAATTGAAGCCAAAAAAATATTTGTCGTCATCATTCGTCATCACTTGTATTTTTTTGGATTCTAGATCTTTAGTTTGACCTCAGTTGATTTCATTTTAGTAGTCAGTTTTATCTTCACGAAGAAAATCTTTTGAATTATATTTATTTCAATTCTACATCATCCTCAGTGCAAAAGTATTATTACGTTTTTCAAATAAACTAAAAGGTTTTGTTGGTATGAATTTTTATTCGAATAATACTTTGAAAACATCTTTAACATAGCTACTATATATTTTTGTCATACACAGTCGATCTGCTCTTAAGATGCGGTATTCTTTCAAAACATATCAAAGTCTTTAAGGATATTCAACTATTGATATCGAGATGAAACCATTTAGTACTTCAAGTACTATCAAAATCAATGAAAATGACAATCGCTCTGTAAAAAGTAAAAATGCGAGTTATAGACTTATAGATTTTTTATGAAACTGGATATTCAAGTTTCTTTTTTCTTCGGAAAAACAGATCTTTAAATCCACTGAAATGACAAAAAAAAACACTGTCTGACACCGTTTGAAAATTTACCTTCCACTGTAGTAAAGTTTCAGCTGTAAAAAATAACCTTTTGCGAAGAGTTGGCCTCGTGTGTTGTTTGTCGTGATGTTGTTTATACGTTTATACTTTTACAATTTGTATTCAAATTTATATTGGCCGTGTATGTTTGGCACTCGGGAATGAAACTGACGTACAAACCGCGTGAATATTCGACTTTGAAGGACTGGAACTGACGTACAAACCGCGCAAGAGACTAGGACTTAGGCTTCAATTTTATATCTATAAAACGTATTGTCGTTATCGTTCCAGATATATATATATATATATATGGATAATGGATAAATCAATATTCTATATATTTATAAAATGAGACATGAAGATCGCCCTACGATCTTCATTCGTATTCTGAGTATTGTCCATTTTATTTTAGTTCATATATATATATATATATATATATATATATATATATATTTGAAAATTGGTTTGTTTTTTTTTTTTTATTAAGCTTTCAACTCGGTGCTTCGAGCCTTCGTCAGAATGTGACAATATATTATTTACAAAGATTTTTGTAGGCGTTTGGAGCGTCTGATTGGTTGGTTAGTAGTTGAGTTGATATTACTGGATGGTATAAGATGCTACGATACCCGCTACGACCAATTGTATCTCTTCCTGGATCTCCCACGTATGAACTTATAACATTCTGTATCCATTAGTCAAAAATTCACCTCACACCATCCGAAATGCCACCACTTTCCTCGCCGGTATTGAAAACATTAAACTACGACCAGACGAAATCATGATATCCTACGACGTGACATCACTCTTCACATCCATACCACTGGACATTGCCAAACAAATTACAAACGAACTACTCACAAACGACAAAACTTGGCAAGCTACAACACAACTAGACAAAAATGACATCCTAGACTTACTCAACCTTTGCCTCGCCACTGAATTCACCTTCCAAAACACATACTACAGACAAATTTCAGGCACACCAATGGGATCACCACTATCCACCTTCCTCGCAGAAGCTGTCATGCAACACCTCGAAACACAATCAGTCACAAACAACACAAACATCAAACTATGGAAAAGATATGTCGACGACATCTTTGCCATAGTCAAGAAAGACAAAACTGAACAAATCCTACACACCATAAACAATACCACAAAGAACATTACCTTTACTAAAGACGAAGAACACGACAAACAACTTACCTTCCTCGACATCCTACTAACGAGAACAGATGACGGTACACTAAACACACAAGTATACCGCAAAACACACACACAGACCAAATACTCAACTTTAATAGCAATCACCCAACACAACACAAAATTAGTTGCATACGAACTCTCTTTAACAGGATTAAAACACACTGCAATACAGAAGAAGCCAAGAAGAATGAACGCAACTACTTATACTCTACATTCATAAACAACAATTACCCACGAAACTTTATCAACAAAGTATTAAACAAAATACACAACAAACCACTAACTGAAAAACCTAACGAAGATACAGACGAACCAGTAAAAATAGTGACATTACCATATATAAACGGAACATCAGAAATGACATCAAGACTACTCCGACCATTCAAAATAAACATCGCACATAAACCAACACACAAACTCAAATCATACTTCACTAAACATAAAGACCGAACAACGACATTCGACACAACCAACGCGGTCTACATGATACCATGTGAAGATTGCCCCAAACAGTACATAGGACAAACGTCCAAGAAAATTGAAACAAGACTCACTGAACACAAGAATGCCATCAAACGACGCGACCCAAAATCACTACCAGCAGAACATACCTACGATACCAACCACACATTTGACTGGACAAAAACACAACTTCTTGGACGCGCACAGACAAACACGCACGAGAATTCAAAGAGGCATGGTACAGCAAAGACAACAACACAATTAACAGACATATTGACATCCCCATCATCTATTCACAACTAAAGACAAAACCAAAACAACAAACTAATAACACAACGACTAAAATAAAACACTCGAATTTCATTAACGTAATCGATACACCCGAAACCATGACAACGCATCTTATACCATCCAGTAATATCAACTCAACTACTAACCAACCAATCAGACGCTCCAAACGCCTACAAAATCTTTGTAAATAATATATTGTCACATTCTGACGAAGGCTCGAAGCACCGAGTTGAAAGCTTAATAATAAAAAATTTAAAACAAATCCAGAGAATCCTTATCATTATCATATATATATATATATATAATATATTGATAAGAAGAAGAAAATACACAAAAACTACAATTTCATCCCGACAAGCCTGTTTCGTGATTGCTCACTCTTCAGGGGATTTAAATCAGAGCGGTATAATTTGATTTATTTCAGAATGAGCTGGTGTGGTTCAAGTAGCGTGTTTTAAAAGTGTTCTCCGTTAGACCGATGTAGGTTTCTTTGTGTTTGGTTAGTGTGTTGGTGACTGTGGCTTGGTAGACTACCCCTTTGGTTTGGCATTCTCCTTTTAGTGGGCATTCCTCTTTCTTCCGCCAGTTGCATTTTCTGTCTGTGGTGGCGTTTTTCATCGTTTCTTCTTTGGTTAAAGCGGTCTTATTGTGTGTAGAAATTATTGTATCGATGTTTGGCATGCAACTGTAACTTATCTTAAGTGTGTTTCTGTTGAAGATTTTGCTGAGTGGATGGTTTTTTGGAAAGGACCTGTTGATTATACTAAGGAACTTGTGTCCGATGTCTGTGTGGACATTGGAGTTGTATGGTGGGTTGTACCAGGTGATGTTTCTATTTCTGTTTCTGTTTTTTGACTTTCGTGTGGTTTGTGGGTTGTATTGTAATTTGTAGTTAAAGCCGCTTCTTAGTATGGGTGTATGCTTGAGTCGAATGATTGCTTGTTGGATGAGATTCTTGAGAGCCGCTGGTTGATGGTTTCCGGGATTCTGCGTAGGATAGATGGGGGGGTGGTTGCTGTGAATGCTTATGTATTGAGGAATGTTTCCAGGTTTGTTGTATGGCTTAAAGGAGTCAGATCGTAAATCAAAGGTGATGTCAAGGAAGTTCACGGATTTCTTATTTGCTTCAATGGTTAATTTCAGGTGGTTTTCGTTGAATATTCGGCACAGTACTTTCTTGATTTTTTCAATCGTATTGGGGGGAGCATTGAATGCACCGAGGCCATCGTCGCGATATAAACCAGTTTTATTTCTGTAGTCGGTAGGAAGTTGTGAGGGTAGAAATCAGCCTACCAACTGGCATCTTTCCGCTCCGTCAAAGCTACCCATTGTTACGTCGAAATTTGAGCTGCTGCCTTTCTTGCGCCATGCTTCAGGTCTGTTGAATAATAGGGAATTCTTAGCTTGTATGATTATGCGCTTGTCTTTCTCTGAGATTTCTACAAATTCGGAAGAAAATTCCAGGGCTTTGTGTAGAAGGTCGTCTGATATTGAGGAGTAAAATCAACGACGTCAAAGCTAATGAATGATTGCGAGCGCTTGTTGGGGATGCTTTTGAACCATTCAATCACTGAGTCGCTGCTTTGCCATTGTTTTACGCCGGTGCGTGCTATTATTTTGTTATTGATCCTTTCGAGAATCTTTTTACTGATGATGCCAATCTTGGATTTTGTTGGATTGATGAGTCGCGATGTCGGGTTGTTGTTGAAGTTTGGTTTGTGGTCTTTTAGTGTGATAAAGCAATCTTTCTCGGCTAGAGCGTCGATTCTGCTTTCGAGCTTGAGGTCTTTCGCTATTGATCTCTCTTCCCTAATGATTTCGGTTTTCGGAAACCATCAACCAGCGGCTCTCAAGAATCTCATCCAACAAGTAATCATTCGACTCAAGCATACACCCATACCAAGAAGCGGCTTTAACTACAAATTACCATACAACCCACAAACCACACGAAAGTCAAAAAACAGAAACAGAAATAGAAACATCACCTGGTACAACCCACCATACAACTCCAATGTCCACACAGACATCGGACACAAGTTCCTTAGTATAATCAACAGGTCCTTTCCAAAAACCCATCCACTCAGCAAAATCTTCAACAGAAACACACTTAAGCTAAGTTACAGTTGCATGCCAAACATCGATACAATAATTTCTACACACAATAAGACCGTTTTAACCAAAGAAGAAACGATGAAAAACGCCACCACAGACAGAAAATGCAACTGGCGGAAGAAAGAGGAATGCCCACTAAAAGGAGAATGCCAAACCAAAGGGGTAGTCTACCAAGCCATAGTCACCAACACACTAACCAAACACAAAGAAACCTACATCGGTCTAACGGAGAACACTTTACTTAACTTGCCACACTCGTCAGGAGTATGGAGTTCACTGGATATTACTTTACCTGTATTGAAAAGCTGCTCGGCCATTGTTTGAGTTACTGCCAACACATCCTAAATTTATAATAAACAAAAAAGCAATAAGTACTTAGGGGTAGTACATTTAGCACATACTCAAAATTTTTCGAATTTTAAACACCCCTCTCCCCTTCATACACATTACACCAATGTACAAAATTTGGCTGCCCCCTTCCTTTTGTTCCCAAATGTACTTCGACGCTTCAAATTGACATATCTTTCAGTCTTTGAACTCGGCTGAAAGCCAATGCCAGACAATTTCTCGCTGACCATAAATTCACAAAATAAAAATCCCTGGTTTCGAGGTTTGAATACTCTTGGTGCCGTCGGGATTCTATTGCCATGATAAAGAGTTCAGGATTTCTCATATAAATTACATGTCAAATTACAAACTTACATAAATGTGAAACTCGAGGAACGTTTGTAGGACTCGGGGTATTTCGTTCAAGTTTGCAACAACATTTTGTAAATATGTTTCAAGTAAACCGCGTCTCTTCTCCACATGATCGTGGTTCAAGTTTCCAAACAACTTTTTGGGTGGAAAGGTGATCATCTTGACGTCGATTGGAAATTCGTTTGACAACTAAAAAATAATGAAAACTAGCGTTCCTTATGAAAGAAAACAAACGGCAATTAAAAACCTGCGCCAAGTTTTGCCACTCAAACACTCTGTAATCATAGACCTATGATTTTTATGAGAAATATCCAGTGCTTCCATTTGCACTAATATAAGTCTATTTTTTATCTTTATTTTCATAAATAACACAGTTCAGCATGTCCCTTTGCAAGGTAATGCTTGAGTGCTCGTGGCTCTGCTCACCCAGAGCTCATAGAAGTTACGCCACGGCCAGGGTTTTGCAAAATAGATTAAAGTTAACCTTTGCCTGTAGTGACAATCAACTCATTCCACATAAAATCCCATCAGTGTAATTGCTCAACCACATGCAAAACCTATATATTTACACCATTATAATAAATGTGTCGTGTGTGAAGATTATTGCAGATTAATACAGTAAATGCATTCCCCTCTCTCAAGGACATAAGTATAAAAGGTTAAAATAACTTTCTCAAAACAAGTAATTAAGTGTCTACGCTAATTTCATTTGGTTGGGTAATGAGCCAAATATAACAAAGCCAAAATATCTAAATACTCAATTACAAGTTATTGGTTTGGGAAATTCCGTTTCTACCTACATCCTACCGCAATGACGCATTGCGGTGAGGAAGTGTTCTCTTAACTTGACTATACTATTTTACAACACACTCCCCACCTTGATTAGTCCCACTAATCAAGCATACTCTGTGCCTTCCATACAGAATAAAGAGCAGCGGCTCTCTTGCGTCTACCCTCATGTTCTGCCTCCCTTCCTCTCATCTCTTTTTCATTCTCTTTTCGCTCACATTCCCTTTCGTCGTGCTTTAACTCGGTAGGAAAGAGCTTTTGGACGGGACGATTGAGGTGAATGACTTTACCGTTCTTAACTAGCCTGACGTTAGCGCCTCTTACCAACCCATCTCTCCCTAAAAACAACTCCTCTATTACACCTGTCTTCCAATTTCCTCTTTTGACATTATCCTCATAAACAGTCACGACATCTCCCTTATCTACTACCCTAATGGCATTGTCCTTGTCCTTGTCCTTCTTATGAAACTGACTTAAACCAACCAAATACTCTTTACGCCACCTATTCCAGAAATGCATTTTTTTCTTACTCAAATACTGATACCGTTTTTTACAGTAACCCTCATCAGACTCCTCTTCACCAGACCCTTCGTCTGGCATGGACAACAACCTTCTTCCCGTCACCAAATGCGACGGAGTTAGTGGTTCACTACCCACCTCGTCGTACGTGTAAGTCAATGGCCTAGAATTTAATGTTGCCTCAACTTCTACCCTCACTGTCAGTAGTTCGTCAAATGTCAACCTAGCATTTCCTAATACCTTCTTCAAGCACCTCTTCACTGATCTAACCATCCTTTCAAAAAATCCAACCCACCAGGGAGCTCTTTCTAGATTGAATTTCCACTCTATCCTATTGTTTCCCAAATACCCTTGCACACTTGCATTATTATAGAGGTTTTCTAAAGTCGTGACTGTTGCTTTGAATGTTTTTGCATTGTCTGATACCATTAATGATGGGGTCCCCTTTCTAGCTGAAAATCGTCTAAGGCATCTCATGAATTTATCCGCAGACAAATCTTTAACTAAGTCTAAATGCATGGCTCTAATTACGCAACAGGAAAACAATGCAATGTATACTTTGTCTGCCCCCCTGATGTATTCTTCACAAATAGTGGTCCAGCAAAATCTACCCCTGTCTTCGAAAATGGTTCCGCTTGCTCTACTCTGAATGCCGGAAGGTTTGCTTCGTTAGGTCTATTATATGGTTTACCCTCTAATTTCTTACACACGACACATTTGTTGAGAATTGATTTTACCTTCTGTCTGCCTTGTGGAATCCAGAACCTTGACCTTATCTCTGCTAAAGTTGCCCTAACTCCGCTATGATGTACCTTTTCGTGGCAATGCTCAACTATTAATTCCGTCAATCTACCTTCCTTTGGTAATAAGATTGGAAACTTCGTTTCCTCTTCCAAGTCTGATTCTGCTAGCCTACCCTGACATTTTAGTAACCCCTCATTTTCTACTACCTTGAGTTGTACCTCTAACTGCTTGAACTTATCCTCCTTCTTTAGCCTGTCTTGTGAAGCCTTCAATCAAAGTTTTTCTGCTTTACTTATCTCCTGACTCTCTAATTCCATGAAAGTTAAATCTTCATGTTTCCCTTTGATCCTAGCGATCAAATTCCTGACAAATCGTGTGACCCATGCCGTTACCACGAATAACTTCTCAACCGTACTGTACCTCTCTATAGAGATCATGTTCTGAATACCTATTTCTTCCTTAGTAGCTACTACCAATAGTGCCGTTCGCTTTTCTTCTTTACTCTCCTCAGTTACGCCTACCTCTGATTGCGGCCATTCTCTTACTACGCTACTCAGCTACCTTGGTCCTATCCACCAAAGTGATTGCTCTTGTATCTTCGACGCAAATACTCCCCTGCTTCCTAAGTCAGCGGGATTTTGCATTCCTGGACAATGTCCCTACTTCTCCTTCTGTGTTATTGCTAAGATTTCATTTACTCTATGTCTAACAAACTGTTTCCACTTACCGCGATTCAGAATCCAATATAATGCTGTAATACTATCTAACCAGTACCTTGCTTATATTTTCCCTACTTGGCCTACTAAAGCTTTCCGCACAGATTCCATTAACTTTGCTAACATCAGCACGGACATTAGTTCTAAGCGCGGTATAGTAAGCTACTTCAGCGGCGCAACTCTAGTTTTTGCTGTTAACAATTTCACAAAGACTCCAACACTCGTGCGACAAACAAAATATACTAGCGCGCAATACGCTTTCTCGCTTGCATCAACAGCATTTGACATGACAATTTACAACAACTTCCTAGTACCATATTTTCCAGTACTTCACACATAGGCTCTTGGTATTTCTTCCACAAACTTGCACATCATGGTGCCTAGCACTTCTCATGGCCTTGCTAGCCATGAATTCAATATTGTATTTATATTTCGACATGATTAAATTCATACAATTCTAATAAAACTGAAAAATTTGATGCGAAATACCTGCCAAAAGCAAATAGCATAAAAAACATACAAAGACTAACCTTTTCATGAAGTTCAATAAATTCCCGATATCTTTTACGTACAATCCACGAGCAATCATGCAAGCACACCTTGATGCTATAAATCTACAACAAATTTGGATATGATGATGAAAACAGGATGGGTTACAAGGAAACTTCTCTTTACACAGCCCTTAGTTGGAATGTTAATAGGGGGGGGGGTTGTTCATTAATATATTTAAATATGCCAGACTAATCCCTTTTGAAAGTGAATTTCTTAATTCTTTAAATGAGTTGTTTTTGAAAGAAATTGGTTGGGTGCAACTAAATATATGAATAAAACATACCCCAATTAAACTTCTAGTGATGGCTCTGATATGGTGGTGTAACGAGCCCATACCATTTAGTTCTGCTATGTTACTTTCAGAACATTATAATTGTTTATTTCTTTGAAAATCTATTGTTTTGACAATAATTGAAAACATGAAATTCTTAAGAATACAATTCTTTTGAAATCAATTGTATTCTGCAAATTATAACATGTGTTTACGAATACTGCTCCCCCTCAGGATTTACCAAACTGCCAGAATGAACGCATATGTCAATTAATCAAATCAGAAGAGTTACATTCTACTTAAAAGTACAATTATGACTTATTCATCAAATCTCTCCCAGTGAAAGTGTACTTGCAGACCCGGTATTCACAATTTACAAAACAATTAATAACAGTTTAATACAAAACAATTAATACTAGTTTAATACAAAACAATTAATACTAGTTTAATACAAAACAATTAATACAAGCTTAATACAAAACAATTTATACTAGTTTAATACAAAACAATTAATACTAGTTTAATACAAAACAATTAATACTAGTTTAATACAAAACAATTAATACTAGCTTAATACAAAACAATTAATACTATTTTATTACAAAGCAATTAATAGTAGTTTAATACAAAACAATACTATTTTAATACAAAACAATTAATACTAGTTTAATACAAAACAATTAATACTAGTTTAATACAAAACAATTAATACTAGTTTAATACAAAACAATTAATACTAGTTTAATACAAAACAATTAATACTAGTTTAATACAAAACAATTAATACTAGTTTAATACAAAACAATTAATACTAGTTTAATACAAAACAATTAATACTAGCTTAATACAAAACAATTAATACTATTTTATTACAAAGCAATTAATAGTAGTTTAATACAAAACAATACTATTTTAATACAAAACAATTAATACTAGTTTAATACAAAACAATTTATATTAGTTTGATACAAAACAATTTATACTAGTTTAATACAAAAAAATTAATACCAGTTTAATACAAAACAATTAATACTAGTTTAATACAAAACAATTAATACTATTTTATTACAAAGCAATTAATAGTAGTTTAATACAAAACAATACTATTTTAATACAAAACAATTAATACTAGTTTAATACAAAACAATTAATACTATTTTGATGTAAGGGTATTCCACCCAAATGCGTCGAGCTACCAAAACACCAATCTACCTGAACTCTATCGTCAGCATGAGATGGCTAAGAAAAGGAATATGGTGATCGAGTAAGAAAGATTGAATATGCTGCTTTTACACCACTGGTCTTTTCAACATCAGATAGTATGGGGAAAGAGACAGCAATTGCTTATAAACGGCTAGCTGATCTGCTGGCACAAAAGAGAAAGCTGCAATATGGCATCATGCTAGCGTGGATGCATTGTAAACTGTCTTCCGCACTGATTAGGTCAGCAATTACTGCGATACGAGGAAGTCGATCTGCCTCAACTCGTGAACATACTTTAAATATTGACCTAGGTTATTGGGAAAGTTGTCTTTACACTTGAATGTCCCTTTATCATGGATATTTTTTAAACATAGATTTTAGTTAACATTTATATTTGTATGATGTAGTTATATATATATTTTTATTTAAACTTCATTAAATCATTCAAATGTTTAAAAAAAAATTAATACTATTTTAATACAAAACAATTAATACTAGTTTAATACAAAACAATTAATACTAGATTAATACAAACCAATTAATACTAGTTAAATACAAAACAATTAATTCTATTTCAATACAAAACAATTAAGTCTAGTTCAATACAAATAGTTAAATACAAAACAATATTCTTTGTTTTATCAAATGTGCTCATGGCAAGTGTATTAAGTCATTGCAGAGCCATTGTAGCATGGGCCCTTCAATAATAAAAGTTGGAGCATTCTCGCATAATATATTGCCTCAATAAATAAACTATTACAAGTGCTTTGGATAATTGTTGTCCTCTACAACCTGTGAAATTATGATGCCGGGTTTTCTCCCTCGAAAATGATATTTTCTCCTTCGCCATTGATTCATGCACGCATAAAACTCAATAATTACAAATTGACAATTAGAACCTTTATAATTCAAAATGAAAATTCGACCTTCCTGAATGTCACTTATGTCTGACCATTTATGTCTAATTCCACTATTATTCCAGAGTATGCACTTAGCTTGTCCGTACAGAAATAATCTCACACCTACCACATGATCGTGTTGAAACTGCGTTGACGGTATTGTAACGTTTCTTAAACGTCTCGTTTGAACAAAAACCTCAGATGATTCCGTCATGACTTTTACATTCACCTTACCAGCAATCGAGCATCGCAGTTAGACCATAGACACTGTACGTGGTACATTTGCAAGCAAGACTGAGTAGCACAATCTGCTAGAAACAAGCGAGATAACTGACTGAACACGGGCACTTTGTACGTTGCAATTGTCACTTGACATAAAAATGAACAATAACTTTGTTTGAATTTCCATATTGTAATTAATCCGGGGACGAATCCCCTTCATACACTGTTGTTCATCGTCCAGTGAATGATCTAATAAACGCCCCTACCAAAAAAATGCCTCGTATTTAATAACCATCTATAATAACCGCCCTATTCTAATAAAGACCCTCCAATATGATAGTAGCGAAATTTAGCAAACACGACGTATCCTATATGACGTCGTGAAAATGACGTAAAAATGGCATGATATGCCCATAGATTTAAGTCCACGCCATATTTAGAGAGTTTGTCATCGATTGGGCTAAGAAAATTTAGTCTCAACTTTGGTTATATTCATTCACAAATCACAATTAAGAGATAGAAATGGAATGAACTCTCTCTCTATTAAACACCTTGTGGTCATATATGGGGTAGCTATATCTTCCCATCTCTGACCTCTGGTCTTCATCGTCTCATCAGAACTTTCATCAACGTTTCAATAAAGGTTTTAGAAATATGTCGAGTAATTCCTTGAAAAACTTTGCCATTACCTGTCTTAGCATCAACGTTTGGTATTGCCTTCCTTTATAGGATTAGTCATTTTGATAATGCATTTCCGTATCAAAAACATCTCACAGGTATTCGGTGTTCTCTTTGAAGACTTGATTATATATTGAACTCGTTCAACACAGCAAAGTTGTAAATTTTTTTGTCAAAAAGATAATGATAAGTATGATATTAGGAAGTCCAAACCTGAATTCCTCATTTCTAAATTTTATAATTTCGTTTCGTTATATTGTTTTTGTTATCCGGAACCAGACTCCAGAATGTTAAAGCATCTTTAAAAATATCTTTCCTAAGCCTTCTTCCGCGAAAATAGACCATAAAAAAGAAAACTGATTGTGCTGTGAGTGTGGTTATATTTTGTGTAAGGCATAATATTGCGCTAAATAATTTAGCTTTCGTTGTCAGTTCAATAACTTTGTGTTGTTACGATTATTTCTCCAGTCCTCTTCCAAGAAAATTCAGTGAAAAGACCTAAGATAGGCTAACAAATGGCCAAAGTGGCAATTGTTAAATTTTTTTTGTATGATAACAAGGAACTTGGTATGTTGTTTCTTTTTCAGGAGTTCGAGTCTCTAAACTACAGCAGATAGTAACCAAACTTCACTTAGGGATGCATCGGGTTACTTGGAGTGAATTTCCATTTGATCAACAATTTCAGTTCATTTCAAATGATCCAATCTTTCGCCTAAACCTTTATTTATTGGTTGTTGCTTAGGAACCCCAAGCATCATGCTTAGAACCCCCTAAGAACCCTGCAAAGCATCATCTAAATGCGTCTTTCCGATCTCCCTTCTCTTTTGCTCGGAACGTGAGTTATTTCCTTTTCATTTCTTTTCTTCCGTATTTTCAATGGCAAAAAAAGAGTTTTTATCTGTAATTTCCGATCCCTTAATCTCTGAAGCTGATCCCCGGTAATCCACTAGCAACCATGTTCATGATGTCAATCTTGACGAAACGTAATTAAATTTGACAAAATGCATTAAATCTATAAGTGAAAGAGCGATGTTTGACTTTCAATGCTATTTTTACACGAACAGTTCAGACATTGTTTGATTTAAGGCGTGCGTGACTCTTTAAAAAAATGCAACGAAGGAAGTCCAAAGAAAACAAAAAAACCTAGAAATACACTGTTATCAGCTATATGTTGGATTGCGAGTTTATTAACCTTGCAAACTTAACAATAGAAAATGAAAATGTTAAAACATTTTGTCGTGTAAGATGGCAATAACCTTTGTAACGGCTCTTGAGTTTCACAATCGCGGGCTTTTACAATCGCAAAATGATGACATATTTGATTGTTAGTGCAGAAATATGTCAACTTTTACCTGGTCCATCAACGCCAAAGCGTGGAAGACCATGAAGTGAAGAAGACATAACACGAGTTAAGTTAAAGCAAGACGTTAACATAAGTCGGAAAACAATCCCTTAAAATCTGCGTCAGCTATTAAAAGTCCGTTATCAACAGTAAGCACAAGCAATTTTCCACCAATGCAATTATTGTTACTGTGAAATTTTTGGCGGAAAACCAGGAATGAGAATCTCCGTGAGCCGTGTAAACGATATTGAATCAATTCTCCGCTTGAGGCAACTTCCATCATCGTTAAAATGATAACCGCCAGCTAATTTATACAAGTCTGCATGTCAAAAAGTGAATTTGGTTGTTTTGGGTCGTTTCTACTAGCAATCTTAACAGAGTTTAAAAATATGTAAATATTATTGTTGGTCTACTCCCAGCTCCCATCACAATTTGAACAGGTCAGCACAGCTGAGCCACATCTAGAGACCAGCTAGATGACCCAAGATGTTTCATGTCTGTATGTGTGAAATGTTACACAACTTAGGCGCTTCAACACCTTTCAACTAAGACTTGTTGTTAAGGCTGTTTGTCGCACCTTTTCGACTCGTCACCGAATAAGGAGCTTAATCCAGTCTGTATCTTCAATTACCTATGTTATACTTGTAACATATCACTTATTTTAGCCTTGTCGTCCTTTGCAACTCGCGAGGGAGCTATAGATTTATTAAGTTGCTTACACACGTATAAGTTTTGTCAGTGTATTTTACAGACACCTGTTATTGGAGATTATCTTTATGTGGTGAATCCCGCCATTGTGTGCATTTCTACTTGGAGTAACTGTTGCAACTGATAATGTTTTAAGAAGACCAGATCGATGTCCTTTTCACAGCATACCTCTTCTTTTGTTACAGAAGAGACGTTCTTCCTTATTCGCGGAAATTGGAACCTACTCTTAAAAGCATCTTTTTTGTTGGACATGAAGATGCCTATTGATAAAGTGTACCTAATATTAATATACATAAATGCATATAAACATGACATCACCTGAGTCCGAAGATAACGAAAAACTCAATATTCATTTCATATGCTTATCCAACGCCACAGCTGTTATGTTTGATGCCCGTTCCTTCAACAAATACAGCGGAGGAAAGATAATTTAGTGAATTAATGTGAAAACCATCACAAACAACTTTGTTTAAAGTTTAAACTGAAATATAACGTTGGTCATATTCTCCTGTTGAAAAGAACGCGTACGAGTGAAAAATACTGATTAATTGGCTGATTCTTGCGACAATTAATTGTAATGAATTTTTCTAAAACTTCTCCATGAATCATAAATTAAAAGCAAAACAGATGAATATCTCGAAATTTTTAATTTTACTATGAAAAAGATAGAAATACTCTTGCGCAGCTCAACAAATTAAACTACGGTTTAATGAACAAATTAACAACAAATTAAAAAGGATTGATGGTAATCTATAAGTCCCCTGTTTTAGAAGGGCAGCTTTCTGATGTGGCAATAAAACTCAATATGTGTAATCAAGTCAATCTCAAAGATAACGACGCTCGAAGGCTGTTGCTTATTATATTTACTCGGCTACCTTCCCGTTTACAGGAAACGACCATTGATATGTCTAGATGAAATTGGGCAAATTGTTACTTTCTCTTTTCCTTTATATTCGCCTTTTGAAAAACCTCAAAACTGGTCTTCGAATAACGGGGGGAAGACATTCCCCCTCGTCCCCTCCCTGGCAACCTTACTGAATAATAGGTATCAATTACAATGCCGAGCAATCCTCTTGTTAAACGTGTAGCAATTTTATATTCTTTATTCGGATTGTTTTTAAACATTGCTGCAAGGCTACGATTCCCACGTTTACAGCATTATTCAAATTTTTGAGCTCGAAGTAATTAAAAATACAAACCTTATCATTTAAAGTGCTTATATTACGAATTTTAGCCCCCCTTTTTTATGATCTTAATTGAAAATTTAGTTTATTTGAAGAACTATGACATGTCGCTGGACTTAAACAGATAAATATGAGTTCCTTAATTTTGCCTCCAAAGTCGGGTACTATTTGCGAATTTTTTACGACGCCATATTGATACTTGTGACGTAGATAGTTGAACACGTCTGTTTCCGTCAATATAATATAATATTATAGGAGGTGATTTTGTTGTCGTTTTTCTTGTCTTAAAAACAAATAATGACAGTATATTCAATAAAATAGTAAAAAACAAGTTTTCCGGAAAGTATGGCCTCAAATCAGTGCTCAGATAGTTCGAATTCGATGTCTGAATGCGTATCTGATTCGAGCTTGGAATCCGTGGGTTATGTCGGGCATTTAAACGACTTTAATTTACATGCCAGATATCATTAAAGTGCTTTGTTTCGTTTTTTTCGTTTTGGATCCACTTTACAATCCCTTTGTGCCTGTCACTGATGAAAACATCCATGGTAAGCCCAGATTTCTCAAGAAACTGAAAAGATCTTTTTGCTCCCTCCAGTTCCATGGCATTACTGCTACCAACTTTATTGGCCTGTTTAAAAATCAAAATGCTTCCATCATTGAAAGTAAAAACACTACAAACAATGATTTTCATCATTCGATAATACCTGAAGCAATCCAAAATGAACCAGCTTTGATGTTGTGTGGCTCCAAATTGTGTAGACTCCATATTTCGCACTGTGCCCCATAGAATCAAAGCGTCCATCTCCTGACCATGTCTGGAAATCCGCATCACTTTTTTTCACATCTTCAATTAACTTTGACTGATAGCTTTCCCAATGCTTCAGAATAGCTGGAAACAAGAAGGTGCGTTGATGCACATGATAAGTGGACACACTATTTGCTGAGAGATTCATGTGCTTGAACATCAGCATGGCCTGACTTATACTGACACCAGACATCAATATACCAAAACTAGTCATAACGTTTCCAGCTGGATGTCTTCCCAAAACCATAGGTTCGCTTCTCCACATAAAGCTCTTTTCAACACATTTACCACAATTTTGCTCTACAATTGCCATCAAACCAATGTTTTTAATGTGTACTTTTGGATTTTCAGCCTTGCAGTTAAAGCAAAATTTTTCAAATAACTCAACCAATGAGATGTAAAATACCATGAACATAGGTTGTTCATGCGAGCTTGCTCCTTCATCAATTCTGTAACACAATTAAGAAAATTCATTATTATGAAATACAACAGAGATCTAATTCTTTATAAGATAAAATACCTGACTGTATTACTTGTGGTATCTTCATCTAAATCTTCACTCTGACTAGACTCTTCGAAAGAGGAGTAGTCCATGTATGATTCTCCTTCGAAAAGCTCTTCAGCACTCCCCTGCATTTCGATGTATTATGATTTTCCCTGATTTCGCTTCGATATTCATTTTGCAACTTCTGGGCCTTTTTCTTCAAAGATGCTTTTGTCTTTTTATACCAGCTTAAAGTCTTTTGTAAAGATGTAAGTTTTTTCTTAAGACGATGGCACGATTTACATGGAGACTGGGATTCACAAATATCTTCACCAACTGCACGTAGTTCTTCTTCAAATGGCGAATCGTTTGCTTTCCCAGTGCATACTTCAACATGCTCAGCTCCATCACTAGTAGATGGTACTTCCTCATCGAGATAACATGTTTCCTTCAGCGATGGCTTATGGAGAGTATGTCGAATAATCTACAAAACTACTTATATCGAATTTACATATAACAAAAGAAAAATTAACATAAACAAGCGTAAACTTACTTGTCTTCGCTTTCGATCGGTTATTTCGTCCTGTAATGGTTCAGGAATCCCAGCCACGTCAATGGTTGGGATAGCATCTTTCTTCAACCTTCTTTTGAGCTTGGCTTGCACGCTCAAATTAAGGTCAAAACAAGAATCTTCAAAATGCGCAGAACACAGACACGAGGTAGAGGAAGCCTCAAAACCCGGTCTATGTTTACGCACAAAATTTACCCATTTTCTATGTCTTTGCGGCTCTGTTTCTTTTTTAGGAAACAGATGCACCGACATTCCTTCGGTTTTTGAATCATTGGCGCAACTAATTTGATTAGGTCCGCCAGCAACACAGCGTTTTCCTCCGCGTTTCTTATTAAGATTACTAGTAGAATACGCCATGTTGATATATGCGTTCAACTTTGTACGTCAAAAGTCATAAGCATACCGATCAAAAAGTTCGCAAAAAAATGCTGAAAATCGTGACTTTGAAAGTCCGTAAAATCGCTTTCACCAATCCAACTTCAATTATAATTGCAGATTTAAAATCACTGAAACAAGGTCTTTCAATTTAGCTAATAAAAAATGGAGGCTAAAATTCGTAATATAAACACTTTAACACACAATATAATTCCTTCGGTTTCAAAAAAAGAAAACTTCACCTTTCTGTTTGTCACACAATTCGCTAGTTGTAAAAATTTATCGCTATAGAAATATTGCAATTAGAAAGAAATATTGCAAATTAGCTGAAATATTCTCGGTTCAAAGGCTTTTTCCGCTTTTGCTGCATTAAAAAACGCACTAATCTTTCAACTTACCATTAAATTTACATCAACTTGTCAATATTTTAAAAGATCTTTCTTCCGGCAACATCTTTTTTCTTTCGTTAAACAAACTTCGTTTTCGCATTTTCGGTTTGCTTTGGCACAGCCGCAGCCGTAATATCCGGTTTAGTCTCACATACAACGAGATGAACAGAAACTTTTTTAGCAATAAGCGAAAGCCTACTGTCGTCGTCTGTCATATTTTGCGCTCAACAACGAGCACCATGGCATGATATGAAGCTGAGTACACAAAAGCTCGGATTACCACGATTCAACAAAGCATTAAATGATTTTTCATGTTGAAAGCTTCCAATATTTACCATCTAGCAAACAAATCTACTTGAGATTTTTCACGATATTTGCGTTCATTTGTGAATAGGGCTTTAAAGGTCCATGAAAAATAACTAATTACACCAGTATAAGAATTAGAAAGGCAATTAGTAGCTTATTCCCCTTGAACAAAATTTGTTGTTTTTACCGCTGAAGTTTCTACTCAAAGTCAAAATCTCAAACATTTTTGATGAAATAAATTGCATATTTACACGAGCTATTATTGAGAATCGAAAGCCCCCTGTGAGTATCGGCGACCTCGGACTGGACAGGTATTTACAGATCTTCGAAGATCAAAAGGTTTGCCTTATAAAAATCTAGCAGACTCAGAAATATAAACATGTGCAACTTTCCCACTTTTCGGTTTACAATTAATTTGAAAAAATTATTCATCCAATCATCTTTAAACTAGTTCAGAAATCATATATTTTATATAATAGCGAGTATATGACGAATATGGACAAGAAATTCCCCAAAAATTTCCCGGTAAAATACAATCCCCAATTTTCCATTTTAAATTTTTCAAAAATTTCCCCATTTTGTGGAAATTTCCCAAAACGTGAGAGCCTGATGTCTACCAAAGCAGAACTGCGCAGATAGATACAAGTATTCTTTTCTAACATTTAGGAATAAACAGAATGATAGCGCCGTAGCTAGAACGTTAATTGGGGGTGTTTAGCTATAAATGTCGTTGTGTCATACTGATTTCTTTTGAAAGCCTTTTGAAAAGAATCATCTTGGCACAAAGAACACATGAATAATCACCCCCCCCCCTTCCCGAGGGTCGTTTTTATGCGCAAGTATAACAGCTGTCAGCTGAAGTGCTGTACACGCCCAATACCCCACCCCCAATTTGGACACTTTTAACAAAGGAAATGAGGAAGGCTCTTTACGCTTTTTTCGGTGATTTATATCGGGCATAAGATTTAAAATAGAGAATTTTACTTGACAGTTTGGTTTGAAATTTTGCTTTTGGTTTGAAATTTTGCTTATGAGAAATAGAGCTCAAAAATAGAAATCGCCCTTTCATCGATGATTTCCCGACTGTGGTCTCTACGTTCCAAGATTTGCATCCCAGAGTATTGTACCTTTGGTAGTTTCAGTTTTACAACGACTGTGATGTTTTTGGGCTTACAAACACAAAGAGAGCGTAGCCTCGGCTCCGCGTTTCTAGAGCAGAGCGATTAATTATCAACCACCATCAAAAAATTGTCGTGAAGACCTTGTTGAAAAGAGAGACCTCGTTGAAAATAGACTAACAAATAAATTGTCGTACAACGCAGAGTTGTAAAGTATTTAAAACGAAGTCATATAATATATGGTGAAATAGTATTTGTAAACATACAAACTCAGTACATAAAACGCTAAAAGTTCAATCACAATTAATATAAAGTACATGTTCAATTTCTCCAATTCAAAGTAATAATGCATATAATTCACAAGTTATAACTTAACGTAAAGTGAATATTTGGAAATTCAATTTAAGATAGTTAACATGAAGTAGAAACGTTGCCATATCTCACCATGACGCTGGACAACCATAAAGCTCGCATTTCTACAAGGGCCGAGCCCGCAACCCAATGTGGAAATAGAAGCTCTCAAACACGCACTTCGCGAATGACCGTTGGCTGCTGAACGCCAGGATGCGAGCGCAGGCATTTATTGGGAATTGTGGCCAATTATTTTTCTGAAGGCCTAATATCTATCTTTTATCAACGCTAAGTGAAGCAGATGTGTTTCTGAATGCCTGAATCATGACTTACGATAAGAAAAATTCAAAAACATGCATAATTTACGTTTTCCATAAAATGTGTCTAATTTTGTCTTTTTGACAATTTAAATCACGTTGATATACGAACAACTAAATATCGATAATATTTGTTTGAATTTCCTCCCTCTAAATTATGAAATTCCCTAAAGTTAGTCCCCCTTGATTAAATATTCAGAAAAGAAACTCCAGGGATGGGTTGCAGGAAAGCCTGGACAGCGTTGTCCACTACATTGTAAAATTTTGAAACTCTAAAAAGGGTGTATTTCTCATTCGCCAAAAAAAGTTTGTAATCTTAGAAGCAGTATTTTATTTTAGTGATTGCTCAATTCAAATCTTATATTTTCCTTTTAAAGACCATTTTCTAAATGTTCCAAAAAATATTTTGCTAAATCTTCGGCATTCGTGCAACCTACCCCAGGTTGTATTAGATTTATAGCGAGTAAGGATCTGCCGAAAATCATAAATATTGTAGCTACATAACTTTTTGTCTAGAAAACGTATTTTTCATCACCACTAGTGAATATGTCGGCGAACGGGCATATCGAAACAATGTATAAATCGAATATATAAATCATTCGCACATGCAAGGTTGTTGATTTTAAAAGATAGATTGTTGATATGATGCGTCAAGTATAGAAATTTTAAAATGATTTTAGGTTGAGAATAACATGTGAAACGGAAAACCGCATTTTTGAAACCGGCACTTGACAGAACACGTTTCATTTTTTTTCGAAAAAAGTAAGAAAAGCCATGCAACGGCCTTGAAAACAACAAGGTGAAAATTTTTTTCCACTAACCAAAACCCCAGAATAACGATAAATGCACTGGCAAAACACGAGTCATATTCATACACGCGGCAGACAAAAGCACTTAAAACAAGTTGCAATATTTGTTATGAATGCGGTACGTTCACGAAATTCATAAATTGTGTATTATTTGGCGTGATATCCGCTCACGGACCATTTGTAAATCTAACTTCCTTTAATGGCGAAGAACTTGCTTCGATCATACCCGTTTAGATTTTTATGACATACGATCTGATAGCAAGTAGAGTTCCCTTGACGTGCGATAATCGTTGACCAAGCCAGGAAAACCTCCCATATGCGATACAGCCGAACTCCGTACTTTTCGCAAATAGCAGATTTTACTTCCGGTCGTATCCAATTTTTGTACCAACGATGAATGGTATAAGAGTAATGAACGCCAATGGTCTCGACGTTCGCCACTTCAAATCCGGCTGCCTCAAGATGCTGGACGACGAAACTTAAAGGGCAACTAGCATCGGCACCGGGAAAGACGTACTTGTCCATGAAAAGGCCCCAAACAAAATCCTCCCATTGAAAAGCGCGCCGTAGACCCGCGATTTGCAGGAAGAAAACACCGTCATCCTCGAGGAGATCACGAACCTGGCATATGAAGGACTGGAAATGAAGTATGCCAACGTGCTCGGCCATTTCCAAGCACGTGATCTTATCGTAGCGACCTTCTTTAGGAATGTCACGATAGTCGATGCAAAGAAATTTAGCTTTGTGTTTCAGTTGTTTCTCATCGGTGATCGTCTTCGCGTAAGCGACCTGATTCTTGCTGATGGATACGCCAGTCGCATCCGCACCCCGTTCGCCCGCAGCAAAGTTGACGAGTGTCCCCCACCCGCAACCAATGTCCAATATACGTTCGCCAGATTTCAGTCCGATTTTGTCGCAAAGTCGGTTCAGTTTATTCATTTGCAATTCCTCCAAGGTCTCGTCCTGCCTACGCAGATATCCCGCCGTGTATATCATCGTAGAGCCGAGGAACGCCTCGTAAAAATCGTTTCCGCGGTCATAATGATCTCGCACTTGGTCCAAATCTTGAACGCGAGAATGACTGAGCATCTCCGGAATGAAATTACAACAAAATGTTTTGACGTGATTCCACGTCAGCGCGAAATTCGAGAACTGCTCTCGTCTCTCAAAACACGCCAGAACATCGCCCTTGAAATCGACGAGCCCGTCAGCGTACGCTTCGACCAACGTTTCCAAAGGTATTTTCCTCGAATTGTAGCGTTTTCGCAACGACTCGTCGTGAAATTGCACAAAATCACCAATGCTCGACGCCTTATTAAATCGACGAGCATCGATCAAATTGAAAACCAACATGAAGCCTAGGAAGACGGGTAGCAGGCAAACGATTGCAATCAGGGGATACAACCAAAAAGGTAAACCAAAGTAGCACAAGATCAATGCAGGAATTCCAAATGCCAAAGCGAAGAACAACTTGTACGAGACGTTGTACCAAGCAAGGGTTTTTACGGTACTTGAACCTGTTGTGTGGACTCCGTTTGATTGTATGTATCTGCCACCATTGACGTGATGGGCCACATCGCCATTCATCGTCATCTTGTTCTTTGAGAAGTAAAAAAGGTAGACGATGGCCGATGAGAGATGAAACTGAAGTTTGATTGAAACTTAGTTACAAAATCGTGGTATCTACTTATCACACTTATATCGCGTGAATTTAACCCATTCTGATTGGATGCGCTCGAACGCCAAACCACACGTCATCGTCAATCTTTACATTTATGTATTGTATTATGGCGTCACAATACGCGATCAAGCACCTCGTACATTGTCCATAAAATGAAAGGGAAAATGCAAGAAGCCTGTTCACTGCGTCAAATTTATTTCGCCGTTTTTTAAGTGAATCCACGTGCAAACTCTCCTTTTTCTCTCGGAAAAGAACAAAGCATTCGCAAACACGTTGAAACATGCAACGACGAAGCTCAGTGACAGATGCTACATCAACTAAATTATTCACATCGGACGCATTCGACTTTGTCTCTCACGTGTTATTTGAATATAATGATTACCACTATAAGACAGGTGACCCAATGAATAACCGCAACAATGAATTGAACAGACCGCTAAAAATCGCGAAGGCAAAAAAATGAAATATTCTCAACAATGAATTACACATGCATCGCAAGCGAGCAAACACAACGTCCAGCCGATGATTTTAATAAATTTAAGTCCGACAAAGGCTTTGAAATAAAGTCGAAAATTAGCATTCAATTTTACGTTTTTTTTAATTCAAATGTTGAATTTCAAGATGGCTGTACTCTTTGTAGTCTGCTTTTTATATTTGCAATCTAACGTGAAACAAACTTTATTTCGAAAATGTTGAGCATGAAATGACTTGCGTCTAAGATGTTTATGATACGTAAAATATTTCATTTTAAATGCCAGACATTCACTTCACATAGCGCAGTATTAATTAGTAAATCACTAAGACTAATTCTAAAACTTGTAATTTGGAGATACTTCATATGCTACTGCAACTTTTTCATTTAATCAAAATCACACACAAAAAAACCAGGCTCAACTACAAACGCTGTCATTCTATAACCCACTCAACAAGTGATTGAGACATACAAAGTAAACTCCTTCCACTCTTTCTCCTCTCAAAGTTATACTCCGCAAGTCCCAAGCTTGTGACCGGAGCAGTGATTTTTGAGAAGATGAGAGCAATATACGAATCCTTTCATCTATGTAACTAGCTATGCCGGTCGCAAGCCAGGGACTTATGGAGTAAAACTTCGCAAGGAGGAGTGGAAGGCTTTTATTTTGTATATTTTAGTCAAAACACGTCTTGTCATCTGGTTTTGACAGATGCATGAGTGCACTCAAGTTTGTTGTTTTTTGTTGTTTCGTTGAGTTGCACTCAAGTTTGTTGTTTTTGGGGCGAATGTAAGAAGATTTTGAGAAACAATGCAAGTTATAAAAGCCTGTAATGAAAACAATGCACGAGTCTGATCTCGAGACACGAGCGTGAGAATAATCGTTAATCGTACAGACAGTAAATATACTTTTAAATGACTTGCACTTGACAAGGCTGATGCCCAAAGTCCGAAAATAACTGAGCCTTAAGATGACTAACTGTCAACAATAAGCCCCACTCTTAACGCTCTTCATTAAGCCATGAATGGACAAAAACATAACACATACATTATAGAAAGCAGAAACCATTGATCTTGATGTAATTGATACACCTACTGACAGGTGGGGACTCATTACAAAAGAAGCTTATATCGTTGGGAACATAATCTAATTATGTAATCAGGAATGGGAGTGCTCATAAGCTTCTTAGTCAAAACTGGTCAAAACGTCATTGACCAGAACGCTAAGAAATGGATCTTTGAAAAAAAGAAGCCCAAGATCTTTTTAGCATGTCCGTAATATAATGTATTAGCTTCTTGAAAAGAAATTGCCCGAGTGCCCTGAAGGACTGCCGTTAATAAATATTTTTAAATAATAAAATAACAGAAACGATCGCAATACTTCCGCACTATGCTTGAGTATGCCAAAAACCAAGACTGATAATGTTACAAATGATTGAAAAAATGACATATGTAAATATACGCGGAATTTCTGCTTCGGATATAGCGTTAATTAATAACATATCGAGTGACTTTAATCTTGGGGATATCGATCATACAAAGCCAAAGCAAGGAGTTAGTTATGTATGTAGTGCAGAAAATTATGTCAAACTTTTTTTTCATTGCTTTTCTGCTCTTAGGGAATACGCAGAAAAATAAAACAAAGAATACTGAATCAACTATATGCCTTTTTCCATCGAAAAAAGAAATGGAATATTATACAATAAAGCGGTTAAGACCAGCAGATTTATTTTACAATGATTGCAAAAAGTAACCTTGAACGCCAAAGCTGAAACCTGTTCGACAATATAGCAAACGTTTAGGCTGACCTTTAAATGAATCAAAAAGCCCACATGGTAGACCACTGTGAACTTTTACAGAATGCTAATATATTCTTTGAGGGAATTCTCGGCAGAACAGATGTGCCTATATTCAAGATTTTCATGTATGGCGCTGAGAAAAGACTGGGACTTGTTAAAGACTGTCCGCTTACAATTTGTTTGAATACATAAACACTCTCATCTAAGCCACAAATTTAGGATCTTATTTGGACAACGATGTAGACTATGATGTTGAAACTTGAATCATAATGAACTTTAGACTTCTGCATGCACAAGAAAGCATCTGACAAAACACGTTCAATGTCTTCATCAGGAGTGACCTTTGTATTTGAAACTTTATTCTTTAATTATTCCAGTCTGATGTCTTCATTAGGAGTGACCTTGGAGTTTGAAACTTACTCCGGTCAAAAATCTTTCACGAATGAACTTATTTTCGAAACTTTAGTGCTCATATACTTCAGTCTAGACTTCAGTCTAGTATCTTCATCACGAGTTATCCTATGTTGAAACTTTGGTCCTCATTTGCTCTAGCTTAGTAAAAGAGTAATCTGTCTGACGTTGAAATTTGAGTCAATATATACCCCAGTCTAGTATCTTCGTCAGGCGTTAGCCAGTATTGAAACTTGAATCATTATATACTCCAGTCTGAGTGTTTTCATCAGGAGTTACCCTATGTAGAAACTTTATTCGTTATCCTTCCAGTCGAGTTTCTATGCAAGCACGATGCTTTATTTAAATTCGCACCAGCAAAAGTGGATTTCTACCAGAGGATTTTTACGATTATAACCCCCACGATTCACAACGGATATAATGCACAAAGATAGTAAAACATCACAGTTGTCAATGTACAATCTCTTTGTTGATATAATTTAAATAAATGACGCAAGCATGGATGTTTAGAGTGTAGTCACACAGTTCAACTGGGGCAGTTTCTTCAAAGACAACGTGACCTAACTACAATCATACACCTGACGTATTTATCAAGGCAACGAAGTGCAAGCAGTCGTCTCCAGTTGTCACTTCAATATAAAGTCTCGAGATAGGGATGTTTAGGAGTAAAATCCCAAAGTTTCACAGTTCTGTCGTACGACCCTGATACAATCGCAAAGTCATTGAATTGCATGCACGTGACACCATCACTATGGTAACGAAGCGTGAGCAGACGTTGCCCGGTTGCGAGTTCCCATACCTGGAAAAGGAAAGTCTGTGATATAAATGAAGCGGCTATGAAACGTTTAGAGGTGACATCGTAGCATAATCTATAGTTCAAAAAATGGTACACGTCGTTGGGGCGGGGCGGGGTGGGAGTACGGGTAAAATCGATTCCCGGATGTTACGCTTAAGTGGCCGACTGTGTTTTTTGACTTTTTGTAAAGTCGATTTGTCGAACTATGTTTTTCTTTTCATCCTAATTTTAGATGGTTTAAACTACTCATACTTTGCAAAACATGTTTGTGTTGCTTTTATACTGCTTTTTTACTTATTCAGTAGTAAATTATAAGTCGGGAGTGCTGCTTGACAAAAAAGGCCTTTTCGCCATTAATTAAACTGCTAAGTGACTTCAAAAACACGTTAGTCATTCATAACGGAAAAATGTTAAAACGTACCAACTGGTAGTGTACAAATAATATGAAATCCCAGGGGCGCAGAACTGTTAATTTCATTTAAAGAATGTGTGTGAATCACAGCGTCACGGATATTTTGTGGGTCGAGAAAACAGAGGATTTTGTTATTGTAGTCCATGCAATTTAGACAAACGACAATAATTAATGTAAAATAGAGTTTTTAATCAATGTTTCTTTTCGCTAAACCTTCAGTTAATGTAAATATAAACAAAAGGCGCGCAAAGCATCTTGGTTAACACACATTTATTAAAACATGAAAATATGCAGGCTGTAAAAATAGAAAAACAAGCAAGAACAACATAAGGTTTCGTCGCTATAGTCAGATGAAAGCGTACAAAGCATAGACATTATAAACAACTTATAATCACAAACTGCTCGCAAAACAAATTTACTAAAGCTTTAAATTGATGAAGTTTCTTGATGTACGGAAGAAAGTGCAAGAACTCGTACAAAATGGTGTGATAAAAAAATCCTAAACTCGAAGATCGCAAGCAAAAAAAAAAACAACGTCAAAACTATTTCAACTTACTTTTAGCGTTTTATCATCTCCGCCACTTACAATTCGCCAGCTGTCCACCTGCAAACATCTATGTATAAAAGATGAAAGAGAATAAAAATACATTGAAAAAGACGCCGACAATGGCCAGGGGCGTAACTAGGACTCCAATTCTTTTTTGAGGGGAGCTGCGAATGACTGTAATTTTTGTTTTTGGGAAAGCTGCAAACGAAATTAATAATCAATCACTATAATTAAATAAGAGACTTATGAAATGTTTCTTTAAAAAAACGAGGATTCCATCAAGTTTCTTGAAGTTTGTGAAGGAAAATTTCACAATTTCATGACGATTAAATCTAAATTTTGGAAATTTCAAATATTTTCGGTTTGTCTTTGATGGCACTTCCAGAGTTTTCCCAATAAATTGCAAATTATTGTCTTTCTGTTAATAAATATCAAGTTCATCAAAAAAAATTTGTTCGCGTCGTTACTGTTATGAAATATACAGCAGCCCGGTTCTGACTCTTAATTCATTTGGCATAATTGCAACATCTAAAGGAGATTTTCTTTAATTGTAGCAATAGTTCTAGTAAATCAAAAGGCTTGAGCTATATTGTTTACGTACAATACATCGAAAATCACCTCCCACTGATGGGCTCTTTGCTAGCTCCTGTTTTAGTGAACGTAATTCTTACTAAATCTGAGCTTTTGGCTGGATCAGAACTTATTCAACATACTTATATTTTATAAGAGACACGTTGAAGACACACTTGTCCTTACAACCACTTTTACCGTAAGCCAATATTTTCTCAAGATGAATATGCTCAATTTCTCGTTAACCTCCAACACCACGCAATTCTCACGACGTAACGACATTCTTACTCCTTCTGAACCTGACTCTACCCCCCCCCTAAAAAACCTAAATTTTAACAATTTTTGCATTATACACAATACTAAAATTACTAACTACAACGCCTACCTATACAGTTTATAATAAATGTAGAAAGTGTAAACTAGTAAATAAGTTAGCATGATGAAGATTAAAAGATTTTAATTTCGTGAAAAGCACTTTATACAAAAAGCATCGACGAGATACGTACGTACTTCTGGGACGACGAACAATAAACTTTGAAAAAGGCAATTTAAAGATAGATTCTCTTACATATGCATGTAAACTTCAGGAATATTTGTCATTTTCTAAGTATGTAATTCAACCATATTAACCCCTTATTTTCAAACCCACTTACTAATTTTTAATTTAAATTTTACGCTTTGAAAATATAGTTGATCTATATTTAATACCCCTTACCAACGCCAATGACAATGGTAAGAACGTAAAACATGTAACGGTCGACTTTGACAGAGTCACAAACCTTTGACACGTGAAGATCCAACTTCAGACTTCTATATAAACTTCTAATAACAAAACTCCTGAGTTTTTACGAGTGCGCAGGCAAGAGGGAAGTACCCCTTGCTGTTGTAAGATCTAAAGCTGAACAAATTGACTTATCAAAAGGCTACATGAGTTGTATAGATAAGCAGTCCAAGTCAGTTTCTCTCCAAAAACCTAAAACTCCCTAATCCTAAGCTACGTCTTCCTCACATAAATTGCCCTGAAAATGCACCAGCTTTCTTCTAGATTTTTGAAATCATTAAATCAATTTATTGGTGTGTTTCACGACTCACCTTACAACTGCTGTATGACCCTCCGAGGTGATCCAGTCTAATGTTCCATAACACTGTAGAAAAAATGAAAGCGTTTCACAAATACATGGCATACACCAGTGTTTTTGACAACTATTATAAAATAAAAACAATAAAACACGTACGGTGATTGGTCAATAGCCGTGTTTGCATATTAGCATGTGCACACCGATCTGATCTCAAACAATCAAAGAGAATTTGCAAATCAATCATGAATACATTCGAGAGGAAAATTGAAACGTCTGTTTGACATTTGCCTTTTTTGCATTATTGCATTAAACATCTTTTATTTCTTAATTGTTACATCAGAAGGGGTCGGGGGAGTTGGGACTAGCGAGGTGTGAGTTGGACAACAACAAAGGTCTTGTAACAATTTCTTATCCTAATGTATCCTTCAGTAAAAAACGCAACACGATATTATATCCCTATTCACATTCAGGGGAGTATTAAGCTAACGTGGATCTCTGTTGAACCAAATCCCCTCAACCATCCCTCCCCCGGTACCGACATCCTCAATATAATCAAAACCCAAAAAATACATCAATGGTTTTTTTTGTTTAGAAATAAAAATCTGAGCAATTGCGATATTTACCAAAAATGTCAAGATTAGTAGAGCCCTGAGAAAGGCTTTTGGTGTTGATGTTGATTGACATTTTGACAGCCTTAGCGGTACACATATTCAGAGTCATCCTAGCAGTTGTCATGTTCAGAAGCATATTTACTCCTCACTTTACTCTGAAGATGACTATCGCTAAGGTTGTCGAAACGTCACTCAACATCAACACCAACAGTCCTTCTCAGGACTATACCGAACTGCACGATCTACATTTACAAACACGTGATTGCAAAAGTGGTAGCAAATAAAGTTATTCAATGCATTACGAATACCTTTCCGGTACAAAGATCCCAGAATTTAAGAGAATAATCCAAGGAGCCAGTTATGATCTTCATACCATCATGGGTCAAGTTTAGACACGTGACTGCATCCTGGTGGCCATCCAATGTCATTAAACAAGTCCCTTCGTGTAAATCCCAAACCTGGAGAAAAACTCATTTCTGCATTTGATCCAAATCTTAAGCACTTTCACCGAGGTGATACGAACCTTTATCTTCTTATCGTAAGACCCAGACACAATTTTTTGTTCATCAAATTGCACACACAATACAGCGGCAGTGTGTCCTCTCATTGTCAACCTGCATTCTCCCGTTTTCAAATCCCAAACTTTTACTGTTTTGTCGTACGAACCGCTCACCAGTTTCCCCTCGTCAGCCTAGAAACATGAAAGTGGTCAAAATCAGGGGCGAATCGGTGCTCAATAGACAGGAGGGGTGTAGATTTTAAAAGGGGGGTGCTCATTGTTCTAGCTATAGGTTCAGGGGCCCCTGGCTTAAATATATAGGCTTACATTTAAGTGAACCTTGCGAAATGTAAGTGTTATTAGCTTTTTTAATTTTTTTTTTATCAAATCAAGTAAATTACAATTCCTATGGTTGTACAGCTATACAGTACTTAAATAATCTACAAAGCTTCATAAATTATGTATCCAACTATTGCCAACGACGAGTGAGACACGAATACAACAGTTTCTTTCACCCATGACAAACAAGGGAGAAGAAAGTAAAGGGACATCGGAGTTGACATGACAAAGTAATAGGATACTTCACGTTTAGTAATTTATTTCAACTTTAATGTTTGCATGAAAACGGGCATGGTAGTAACTCAATGGCAAAATGGTGGTAGTATAAAATATGTTATTGCCTTTGAAATGAGAAGTTTCACTTTTTACTCAGATTTACTGTACAATTTCCTAACCTCTATTATTATAATAACAGTCTACAGTATGTAATACCATTTTAGAATTTTTCTTGGTGGGTGAGAGAATTTAAGGGCGATTCAACTATCTGCACCACCCAAAAAATCCACTCTAGGACAACATACAAAATAATCAAAGGGAGTTAAAAATTGTCTTTAAGATCATTCTAAAGCTCTTAATGGATAAAAACATCAACAGTCCGCAAGATTTCCTCTATTGAGGAAATCTTGAGATTTGACGATGAAACTTAAGTCTTTTGTCAGGTAAATCCTATCGTAATTTGAGCTCAAGTGATAAAGACAACAAACTATCTACAGCCGAGATGATATGTCGCAAATTTGAGTTCTTCTATACTTAAGTATAGTGTTCTCATCAAGAGTTAACTTATGTTGAAACTCGAGCTCAAGTCTTTATACGTAACCACTCCAATGTAATGTCTTCGCCAGGAGTAATCTAATGTTGAAACGCGAGCTACAGTCTTTAAATGGCTGGTTTAGTCACTCCAGTCTAATGTCTTCAAGTGTGATATGATGATGAAACTTAAGTCCGGAAAATTTTCATGAAGTCTTCATCAAATGTGGTCCAATGTAAGCTTCATGTATCGTTCAATCGTGTTTATCAAGGTTAAGGTGATGTTAAAACAAGATTCTTTACGCGTTTCAGGTTGGTGTTTTCATCAGGAGTGATGTGATGTTGTGACTTGTCCAATAATGAGTCCTAAGTCGATGTATCTTTGTATCTTTTAAAAACACAGTGCACTTGAAAACTTAATATGGTAAATTCAGTTTGAAAAACAAAAGGGCGACGTATGTGTAAAAGTTTGAGCAACGCAAATTTCGTGTACTTTAGCAAAAACAAGAAAATTTTGGTAAGTAATAGAGATGAATGAAACTTAAAGTTCATAACGGGTAGTTTACTTTATTGCTAACGTGAGCCGTCGATAAAAGTCATTAGCAGTATCATGGATTGCGTGGGCTGGGTGCACTGTGACTTCAAGCAAACGCCTTGATGATCAAATCAGTGCAAATGCATCAGTCAGCTATAAATCTAGAACGTTTCTACACGATCTATCTTGATTTAATATTTCACCGATGTAAGACAACACAACACGCGCGAGCATGAAAACACAAACCTGTAAACAGCGCACCGTATGGAAATGTCCCACCATAGTGACTTTACATGAAGCACCTGACCAGTAAGACGCAAATGACAGATCCCACACTTTGATGGTACGATCTGTTGAACCGCTGACCAGTCTGTTTCCGTTCAGATCGAGACAGCGGACAGTCCCGGAATGCCCTTCGAGCGTGAGCATAAGTTCGGTCGGCTTGTTGCTTATATCCCATAACTAAAAGTTGGAAACCACGATGAGGTAACAATACCCTAGGGAGTGGGATAGGTGGGTAGATGATTCAACATATAAAATATTTTGTCAAATTGTGTCAAAAAAGCTATCAAAATTGTAAATTTAATAGCGTGAAAGGAATTTTAAAAGTTATATTGAGATTGAATTGTCTTCATTCTTTCGGACACAAACGTTTGACCCCAACACTATCCCTGAGTCTAACTCAATGTTGCTATCAACTCAGACGATTAGATTTTCAGGATGCATATCGAATGGACTGGTAACGAGTAGACTCGCATAACTGAAGATGCTACCTACTTTAATGGTCTTGTCAGAAGAACCACTCACGATTCTTGTGTCGTCAAATTGAACACAAGCAATACCTGAAGAAGAAATGTGAACATGATAAACTATGTCGATCAATAATCTTTTCGCTAAATATGGAGTTCCTGTTTTTATTAACTTGTTTTCGAGTTCGTAGTTCATATATAATCCAGTCTACTGTTTAAATTAATAGTGATGATATGTTGAAGCTTGACCCAATCCAGTATTTTCATAAAGAGAAATCTCGTGTTGAAACTTGAGTCCACGACCTATAGTCCAGTCTCCAGAATAGGGTCTTTCTCAGGATTATTTTGATGTTGAAACTTGAGTCCTTATATACTCCAGTCTAATGTCTTCATCAGGAGTGACCTGATGTTGAAACTTGAGTTTTCCTATACTCCAGTCTAATGTCTTCATCAGGAGTGACCTGATGTTGAAACTTGAGTTCTTATATACTCAAGTCTAGTGTCTTCATTAAGAGTATTTTGACTTTGAAACCAGAGCCCTTATTTACTCCAGTCTAGTGTCTTCATTAGGAGTGATAAGGTTCTAAAAATGAGTTTTTCTATATTCTAGTCTAGAGCCTTCGTTAAATGTTAATACTTCACATCCTCAACACCAGTCTGACATCTACATCATTATTGACGACTTAAAGTGATTTTAGTAATCCTATCATTTATATTGCAAGAATATGCTTTTGTGCATGGTGTCCATATTCTAAACATCACCTAAAATCTCTACCTTGATGATGTCCTTCAAATGTGCGAAGCGTATACGTTCCATTCAACCAGTTCTTCTGAAGAAGGTATCGCTCGGCGAACACTTTTTTCCACTATGTAATTAAGCAAAATATAACAATGAAACTGTGGATGCATGAACTATGCTACAAAGGTTCAACAACGTATAAAAGAAAAACTTGATGAGAGGGCCGTGCGTGAAAACATTGGGACTAGTTGAGCTGCAGGCTTCAAATTTTGGCGGGAAGTAGCATTCCTGTTGTATTCAGTTTATTGGGTGATTCAGACGACGCAACAAAAACAATGCTCTTATGTTGTTCGCTGTGCATTTGCATTGCTGGCTATTTTACTGTTGGCAATATTCTTCGACAGACGTTCGTTCTAATAGAACTTGTCGTTAACACGAACAACAAAGAAAATATTTTGGAATATTTCGTGACGCTACTAACTTTTATGCCTCTAAGTCAATTTGGGAAGTTTCGAGAAAACGACTGAACGTTGTTTGTTGATTGGTTAATTGACTTCGCAATAAATACAATATACACCAGTGGGCAAAATAGTAGTTTTAAGCAAAATAGTAGTTTTGGGCAAAATAGTAGTTTTAGGCAAAATAGTAGTTTTGGACAAAATAGTAGTTTTGGCAAAATAGTAGTTTTAGGCAAAATAGTAGTTTTGGACAAAATAGTAGTTTTGGGCAAAATAGTAGTTTTGGACAAAATAGTAGTTTTGGCAAAATAGTAGTTTTGGGCAAAATAGTAGTTTTAGGCAAAATAGTAGTTTTGGACAAAATAGTAGTTTTGGGCAAAATAGTAGTTTTGGGCAAAAACTACTATTTTGTCCAAAACTACTATTTTGTCCAAAACTAGTAGTTTTGGACAAAATAGTAGTTTTGGGCAAAATAGTAGTTTTGGACAAAATAGTAGTTTTGGACAAAATAGTAGTTTTGGACAAAATAGTAGTTTTGGACAAAATAGTAGTTTTGGCAAAATAGTTGTTTTGGCAAAATAGTAGTTTTAGACAAAATAGTAGTTTTGGACAAAATAGTAGTTTTGGACAAAATAGTAGTTTTGGACAAAATAGTTGATTTGGCAAAATAGTAGTTTTGGACAAAATAGTAGTTTTGGACAAAATAGTAGTTTTAGGCAAAAATCCAAATTGAACAATATAACAAAAGAGTAGACAAATGAGTTTTGCTTTTATGAACGCGAGGTAAACAGGACTTTCCACTACAATTTACAAACGATGCTTTCTATAGATTTGAAGCTCGTGAATTAGCTAGTTTGTGAGCACCAAGGTAAAGATGGTGAGGGAAACCAGGAAATAACTCATTTGGCGACGACGGAAATTAACAAGATCTCAGATTTTCTAAATGATTTATCACGAGCTCTATTTCTATGATGACTTGATCATGAAGAATAATCTCGTTCATGAACAAGTTACAAGAGCATGTCAACAAAGGGAATTTTCGTTTTTCTCTAATTCGCCGAAGCACTATATTAATTGATTTCCATTATTTTGTGTAAAAACCGATCGTCCAAATCAACAATCTACGATTCTGTTAAAAATTTCGAGTGTTCCTGATGTCGTTTCTTTTTTGAGCTATCTGATTGGCTCCCTTACGAAACACCCCTTATTCAAGTAAATCCCAATAAGATACACAGGAAGACTGTAGGTGAAACAAAATCTTACATGAATATCGCCAGTTGGTAGAGTAAACTTTTGGAACTGCCTTTTGCTGCTTGCTTCAGACAACCGATGATCGGGATTTCTATGATAATACAAAAGATGCATTAGGAAACACTGCATTGTTCTGAAAATTGATTTTTATTCACGATTTTAAATCATTCACTCATATACATGTTCGCGCAAAATTGTTCGTCAACGAACCTGGTTAATCGTTGCCACAACAAGGGATTGTCCGAAAGTTCTTTCCAGGCGCGGTTAACTTGATTACAGCGGCACAAGCTGACTAAAAATATAAAGCGCAACTTTTACTCGCCTGTTCATTTTCAGCCTTCTTTTACGTACAATTATATCTCATCTTCGAACACTTCGGGCGGATGAAGGGTGGGCGTGTTCTGAGCGAAAAACAGGGGTCCCGCGCAAAGCAAAGTCATTTTTTCTACGAAAATACCGCCTTCATGTCGCATGAGCAATACGAAAATGGCAAAACAGAAGATCGTATTTTGGTTACTTAATAAAACTTCATATTAAAGGCGAAGTTTCAAGTGCTTCCATTCCATTAGGTGTCAACTTGGCGTTTTGTTTCATAAATACAACGTTACAGCTCATTGTTGTTAAGAAGATCATTATAGAAACATAACCTTCGCAGCAGCAAAGCCCGCCCTTTTTTACTCCTACATTGCAAATCTTTTTTGTTAAATCACTGGAAAACAACGAATTTAATTAATTTTCTAAAGAAATGAATAATAATTATGCTGTGAAATTGACAATGTAAAACATTTTTCTGAAGCATTCTTTGTGAACATCACAATTTTTATTGCACATATTGTTTTCTAAAACAAAAAACAATCATTCGTGTTTTTGTTTATAAAGGATTGTTTATAAAGAGTGCGCACAATTGCCGGAGGGAATGCAGCAGGCACGTAGCTAGAACAATAATTGGGGAGTGGAAGGCATATTCATATATGCATGACATGGCTTAGTAGTTTCTTTCCATTTTTTTCACGGATTATAAAATGAGTATATGAATATGGCCATTTTCAATCGCCATTGGAGAACTGTTCACATACCCGGGTCCAAGTACATAAGTATTTTCAGCGTCACGGTGTGTGGCAGCCACACCAACATGTCCTGACAATTTGGTGGACACGATTTGTGAAGATTGTTCTCCATCATTACGGAAAGAAGATGCATTTGAGGCATATCGCAGCAGGACTAAAGAAATCCATAGAAAAATGAGGCACAGTGGCGAGGAAAGGTACTCGTAATTGCGTTAATCAATAAATTACGTACAAGGATCTTCTTTAGTAGAATATTCCTCTGTTCATCGTTGAACTGCTTGAACCAGTCCAGCATTAACTGAAAAATACGTATTCAAAAGATTATACCAAGCAAATACACGTTTTACATTGGTAATAGTTCATAAAAGAGGAGTTTTGGTATAAAAGAATACGTTTTTAAAGCAAAAAGATGAGCAAGAGTTTGTAAAGAAATATGGAATATTTTCAACTGATCTTCATGGCGGGAATCGTAATTTTCGAATGAATATTATCGCCCCGAGCAAAGATTCCCTTTCAAAATGATGTTATGGCAGCGCTTTACTTGATTTTATGCATTCTTTGCAGGGCAAAAATATCCACTCAAGGATCAAAATAATAAGATAAATTGAAAGAAAAGTCAAATACAGCTTGTAATTGAGCGAGTTAAAATAAACAATAATAGTATGAAATTAAATAAACATGCAAAAAGTGCGAGTCTGCGAAAACTTTCTGCAGAACTTCTACAGCAAAAATTGAGACATGAGTTAATCTTCCCTTTTAAAATTCTCCCATACGTAATACCTCAGTTTGCATTTTGAATGTCTCACCAGGAACAGGAAGCCCAATCCCGATGTCACGTAACTCTGTTTCGGAACTCTTCCATGTATGGATGGGAACGTGAGGTGATTTGCTTTGAGTTGTGCTGTTTACGAAAGACACATAGTCGGAATGGTTTGTTAAATGCAATAAGGCAGGCGTTTCTGGCCATGTGATATGCTCGGAAGGTTCGAAATTTTTTTCGGACTCAAATACAGTCGAATGGTATCCCTGAATATCTTGGTATCTATCTCTGAGTATCCCTAGTGGACAATTAAGTTCGTTTCGATTGGTTTTTGAAACCTTGAATGATTCAGGTGTTACTTTGGCATCAAAGGAAACAGATTCACGGCAAACATGCTTTTGAACATGATCGTCGATTTCAGGTGAGATAGAATTAAAAGAACTTTCGGATGCCAGTTGCAGGCACTGTAAATTGCGATCCAAAGAGACATAATCCTCGAGGGTACTGGAGGAAGTATCACAACATTCCTTCGTTCCTGGACTAGTCAGACCACTGTTTCGATCATGAGATACTTCTGGAACAAGAGCGGATTCTAAAACAGATTCTGATTCATTGGGAAAGGAGCTCGCCGGATATCCCCCTAGGTTATTTATGGCATCAAGAGATTCAAAAGTTTCAATATTCCTCGAGCCTTCCTTGGTTTCTTCAGGAAACCAGCGTTCAGTATTCTTGCTAATATTCTCCTCGTCGATCATTTTATTTCTTTGTTGTTCGTTCCTTTCTGAATTTACTTTGCCCTTAAACTGAAAACCGTAGTCGCCGATTGGTTGATTATCAACACGTGGTTTGCTCTTCAAAAATCCTTCAGGACAGCTGCCTTCATGATATTTAGAATGCAAGTCCGCAGAACTTTGATAAAACCACTCGTGAATGGATTTTCTATCAATTGCCTGATCTCGAGGTACGTCTACTTTGCTCATTCCACAAGGTTTACCAAATTCTTCAACTGAGAATCTATGAGTTTTTGTGGACGATTTGGCATTGCTTGCCACGATCTTGCCAGATGATGTATCATTGTTGACAGACCGGACGAAAAACAAGTCGTGCGGTGCAATTGCGTCATTACAGGTACCAGATGATGTGCCATCGTTGATGTTGATCTTTAAGTCGGAATCAACATCCACGTCCCTACTCGACGCACTTCTGTAGAGCGGTTGAAACGTACTTTCGGTGCAAGTTCTCGAACACCATCCAAGTCTGATGGCGTGATTATCGTTACTTTGAAACGAAGGCGAAACGACAAAACTGTTATTTGACAGTTTGTTTTGCGGAGGTTCAAAAGTCCCGTGCGACAAAACACCACGAATATCAGAATGTGTGTGACGTAGACCAGGGCTATGTGACATGTTGTTATTGATGACTAAAGCTTGCTCATCAATGGGAATTTTGTGTGTTGAGTTAGAAATGGTACGGGTGATTGTATCAAATTTACCATCTACACTACTCTTTGAGAGATTGCATTTTGAATATTTCTTGGATTCCTCAAGAGACGTCGCGTTTAAATAATCACTACAATCATGTACATTTGAAAGCTCTTTAGCATTTCCATGAGACATGTCTCCTGAAAATTTATTTAACTCAAAATTTGTTAAAAAATCAACAAGTCTCTGGTTTGCTGCAAAGTTTTGACAATAACTGACTTTGCAAATGCTACCACAAGTGTTTTCTACTGGTATAATGGTTTCGGAAATTTCTTGAAGCATTTTACTGTCATTTATCGATTTGCTAGTGTCCAATTCGGCGGCATGAATAACTTGTCCATCTTTGTCATTATTTTTTTCAACTGGCATATCATGCTTACTCGAATCAGGATTCAAACTGTCCATTCTAGCAAATGAAGATTTCACAGGGGATTTATAAAAATGGGCAACACCAATGATTTTTCCACTTTGATCTTGAATTTTGCAAAGGGAAGTTGTCTTTTCAAGTTTCCATGTATTTGTGTCCTTGGATTTCTTCAGCATTGGTTTCAGACCATCCTTGCTCAATTTGATTTAATGATGCTGCATCTTGCAGTGGGAGCTGAAATCCTTTAACATGACCATAAGATTTCAAAGCATCAACATGCATTTGTAAGCTGGGAAAGCTTTCTGAGCGATATGCACTTCTTTGTCTGGTACTCTGAAGAGAATGTGATGAACAGCATGCTAAGGAAGCAGACTTTGAGAGCTTCTTTGCTGGTCTAATTATGGTGTCATCAGGTAAAGAAAAAGAGGGACTGGATAATGGCGGGTTTATATCACGAGCTATATCCATTAATGCAGGCGAATGTCTTTGCTTTCCAGAACTTTTACACTTTTGTAGAGTATTTGCACCAAAGTCATAAAAATGTCCAGTTGCAGTGGGGCTGTTTGCCCTGCTGTGACAAAAACTCTCATTTTGATGACCTGGCTGAGAGCTTTTCACAGTTTGACTTTGATGTTCTTTAAAGGATCCGGAATGCTGTTTTCTACGAATGGATCGTCGAAATTTTCTGCTGGCAGACCGGGCCAGTGACCATGATCTTGCTCTCCAGGCTTTCCTCTCGCTGTCATCAGTGTCATGTATTCTACTATCCGTCTGACATTCGCACACATCCTTCGCAGCACTACTTGTGCGGCCACTAAACCCGATGACTCTTTTTAAAACGCGAGATTTAGTCCTACCAAGTTTCAAAATACGTTCATAACATTCATGGCAACGGTTCTTTCTTGTGTTTTTGGCGTCGTGAATTTCAATATCCTGTTCATCCATGATCCATTATCACATGGACGGTTTGCCCGCGAGTTTATCGGCTTTCAGGAGCACACAAGCGGGGTCTTCTTCATACATCCTTCACCAATATTTGGCAAAGGTTCGACAGCCGTAAAATTCTAAAACATAACTAAATTTGACTAAGTATCCACTCAAATGTCACATTGATTGTATTGACTTTCTATTGCAAATTTACTTCGATTCTCCCCCATCATGCATTGCGCGAAATTAAGAAAGCAGTGTTTCCATTCCACATCGTCAATTTTATATGATTCACCTATTGATTTCATATAATTCAATAATTCACTTCTGATCAAGCGATTTTTCTCTAAAACTGTCTTGGTTGCAGTGGCACTAACTTGTCTTAATTTATTATTTCCTTCTTTGTTTTGGGGCTCCAACAAGGTTTTTCCTTAGCGCAAATTTTCCTAAACCCCTCGCTTTTGAACAGTTCAGGACTTACAATTCAGCACGTGAGATGGGGTGACATTTCGCACAAGCACGTGCGAAGCCGGCCGGAAACAGAAGACTTTCTCTTTCTTCGTTTTACGTCTAGATTGTGCATAAACAGCAATTGTATTCAGCTCGCTGAAGAATGTTGCAAATGCAAAAAGAGCGCAATATGACAAAGTCAATTTTGCACATTTGCATTATGGAAGCAGTAGGAAATTTTAACTATAACAAAATTCCATCATTGAGGGCAGTTTTTCGTGAAGGCTACTTTGGGGCTCAATAATTTCGAAGCTCATAGACATTTGAGCATCTCAAATAATGTAACAAATGTTTTCAAAACGTAAGGATGTAAAATGATCGTTATTATGTCGTCACTTCCTTTTACCTCCCTCCCCCCCACGGAAATGAACGTCCGCAGCTTTAAAAATAGCGACAGGTATAAATGATAAATCGTAAATCGAGAAACCTACGCCTATTCTGTCTGTTCAGTATCGAAGTCAACAAAGACGAGATATATAAAAATTCGCTTGTATAGCTTTTTTAAGGCAAAGTTTGCCAGAAAAAAAGGTGAGTTTGCTACAGTTATGCTGCGCTTTAAAGTTGCGCCTTTTTCTTTTGCTTCCCTTGAAAAATTGTGAATATTCCATGGCACTATTCGTGGTATGCGTTCTTGTTATTGATTCAAAATAATGTCGCTTTGCTCAATTTTTGGCGACGATTTTAGATGCGAGAATACAAGTTAGTCGTGCTTGGAAGTGGCGGCGTTGGTAAATCGGCTTTGGTAAGTAAATCGAAGCGGTTGTGTGTTATATTGCTGTTTATGATGTGTATGTCTAAGCACAAAGTGCAATGGCTGGTTGGCAACACCTTCCTTATGATATAGCCGTTTTTATAACGTTCGAATATCATTTTTGTCTCATATTAACATCAAATTATAGTTTCGAAAACCTATGGTTTAGAGTATTGACATTTATTAATATATTAGGTAAAGTTTCAAGTATGTTTTTAGACGGTGCAATTCGTTCAAGGTATTTTTGTTGAAAAATACGATCCGACCATCGAGGATTCATACAGAAAGGCGAGTATATTTCTCCTGGATTTTTATTCAATTCTCATATTCGAACGAATCGCTCATCGCTTTGACTTCTGCTATATCAAATCGTTTCTTTGTGGCGCTCGCAACTCTCGAAGTTGCTCTTCTTTTAAATGATGTTTTACGGATATATCCTTGTTGCGATGTGTATTCGTATACACAAATTGTTGCCAGCTGCTTATGTGGAATATTTGACATTTTCGTAAAAGCACTTTTTGTCATATACTTTGGCATTTAAATAATTGTTTTCTTCCTCCTTTAGCAAGTCGAAGTCGATAATCAGCAATGTATGCTGGAAATATTGGACACTGCTGGAACGGTAAATTTATTTCGCCACACACTTGCCGTCTTTTCGGAAGTATCGTGTGGTAATATAAAAGCTCGATTGTTTTGCGAGGATTATAAAATTATGATAATCCGATGTATAATATTCCTCCATGATCCATGTTATGGCAAGTTTCACGAAGAATTTTCCATACTGCGCTTTGGAAATATTGTCGAACTGTTTTACGTAATTTTGTTCTTTAAATTTGAATCATTCTTTTGTGCACAAAACCACACGAACGTCATCGAAATTTGTAATATTTAAAATTCATGATAAGTGGACTAGTAGAAATTTACCACGAAAGGCATTTGTTGGAGTCTCACTTGAATGGGAAATTATTTATCTACTGAATTGTTAAAACATTAACACTCTTTAAGTCGTACGTTGCGCGCCGTAAAATTGATTACCCTAATAATTCATCTTACTGGCATAAAACTTTCATTATAAAATGCCATTCAATATTCAGCAAGGTACTTTGGGGTTTTTCAAGTCTGGCTCTTATCTTAAAAATGACATCTTTGTACATGGATTGCCTTAACCATGAAACTATATTTATAAAGCTACAGTGGTGGGTCTGTTATTTTTTCAGACTTTGTTCCGTTTTTCAAATTGTAAATAATATCTCAGTCTGACTCAATGACTCTCCTCTTTCACAAGATTTCAAAAGTGGCTCTTGAAGAGCAAAAAAACCAGATTTCTTTGAGTGTTCTTTTTATTTTGTTTACAATTGTTTTACAAATGTTAAGTGTCCTAAGAGACATTGTGCCAAGTTCCTTTGATGAAGATCAATGGGAATTCTTTAGGAAGTGGTGTGGGTTGTGGGGCACAATCTTGTATTATTTGTGATTGCTAAGCATTGATTAAATTTTGAGACCCAATGAATTTTCATTTCTCTATGAGGAATTTCTTTCAGTTGTCATATAATTTACTAGCCTGAATTATGTGGCAACTAAATGTTTATAAGCCAAATCATCAGCAGTGAAAACTATTATTAAATTACATTTCAGGAAAACAATATTTTCTAATTGCTAAAAGCTCTTTTGTTGTTGCTTTCAGTACATTTCGTCTTATAGCAGTGAAAAAATGCATTGCCATTGCAATCCTTTCTGGATTTTGAGTAGTGAGCATGACAAAGCATACTGAAATTGTTCAATTTTAAATTTTAATTTCTGTATCTTTCTTCAGGAACAATTCACAGCCATGAGGGATCTTTACATGAAAAATGGTCAGGGTTTTGTCTTGGTATATTCCATCACATCACAATCCTCTTTCAATGATTTGGAAGATCTTCGCGATCAGATTATAAGGGTGAAAGATACCAGTGACGTGAGTTGACCAGATCAGTTTATGCAATTTTTGTTATTCTTAAAGATTGCTAGTGAACTAGTTTTCTTGTGCTTGTGAAAGGTACCCATGGTCTTGGCTGGCAACAAATGTGATCTTGAAGATGAGAGAATTGTGGGGAAAGACCAAGGGCAGGCCTTGGCTAAACAATTTGGAAATTGGTGAGTGTTAACATTCAACTTTTTTCAAGGCTTGCATGTGAAAATCTTTGTTTTTCTCTTCCCATTTTATCTTTATGAAACCCTCACTTGTGTACTCAGGAATCTTTTTGTTGACTGATCATTCTCTTGAGAAAATAATTATGGAAGTGTGATAATGTCGCAAAATCAAAAAGCGTCCAAGAAAATTTGACTTTAAGATATACAACGAATAAGAATGGACAAATGATTGAATTAGTTGGAAATGGTCTCCTTGCTACTAGAATTTTTTTACAACATAGAGACATGCTGGGCACTTAACCATTCATCTTAAGTATCAATGGTTTTATTTAGATTTTGTACTTTATATTTGTATATATTTGGCTGACTGTGGTCTTTATCTTAATTCCACTGTGTGTCTTCCGTTTCCTTGGACTTTTTGTTGAGACCAGTATGCTATCTTGGTTGAACTGAATTTTGACTTAAGCTCTTTCATTATTGATGAGGAAAGAGTGTGACAATCACGACATGCTTTGGTATTTCTCCGGTAAACTTTTAAGGATTGCCCAAATATATTTATTTAATTTCTATTTTGAGGTAATTCCCTCAACTTTTGTCACGGGATCTCCCAGATCTTTGTTCCTTTTGGATTGATCCTTGCCCATCCCACCCCACTCCATTTACTTTCAAGACCCTTGCCCATCGCAAGTTCTCTAAATTTGTTGGTATAGGTGCAGAAATCATTGTGCGAAATTTACTTTGTCAATTGCCAGATTACGGTGACTTAGTCCAATGTATTATTTGTGATGTGTATTACTGTTCAGAGAAGGTAGGGGGTAAAGGGAACAATTTGAAAACATAAGGCAAAGAATAATTGTAATGTGTGTGCAAGGGTCATGGTTAAGGTGCTTTGGAATTCAATTGTGCCCCTGCCATAGCCACTTGCCAGTTAGTTCAGGTCATTAGCATTCATTTTAAAAATCTATCGTTTTGTGACAGCAAATCCAGAAATATTTGCACAAAAAAAGTTACAAACTTGTGGGTTAATTACATCGCTACTTCTGACGTAACGAGAACATTAATTGGAGGGTGGCTACATCGCTACTTCTGACGTAACGAGAACATTAATTGAGGGAGGGGTTAGCTACGTCGCTACTTCTGACGTAACGAGAACATTAATTGTAGGGGGGGTGGCTACATCGCTACTTCTGACGTGGTTAGCACTATTTTCCACCCAGCAAACCGCCCTTTACTTTGAAATATAATATTTTACACAATATAATATTTTACACAATCTAATATTTTACACAATATAATATTTTATATAAAATTTTACACAATCGTCGAAAAACGACATATTTTCCAGCCTGGATTATAAGTTTATAACTTAAGGAGGTTGCATGAAAATTTATACTGCAACATTTATCTGTAAATATTTTCATATGTTGATATTAAAAACTGTATTATAAAAATATAAAATTACTCGCCATCTCAAAACGACCTAGCACCAGTGCATGCATGGTTTCCTTTTAGCTCTTGGTTCTTTCCCATTAGCCGCCATCTTTAATTTATTTCCGATTGTGTAAAGTAAAGGGCGGTTTGCTGGGTGGAAAATAGTGCTAACCTTCTGACGTAACGAGAACATTAATTGGAGGGGAGGGGGTTGGCTACATCGCTACTTCTGACGTAACAAGAACATTAATTGGGGGGTTATTCATGTAATCAGTTGCGCTCAAGTAATTTCTTTTAAAAAGAAATTAACTTTCAAAAGAAATCAGTGCGACAAAACTGAATTTATGAATACCCCCCTCCCAATTAACGTAGTACTTGGTGTATCAAAAAGACCTTTAAAATTAACCTGTAGTGAAATTTCAATTCCTGATTACTATGGTAATCGCACTGGCGCCTTAAAAGTCGTGCTAGGAGGTCTGGGTGCATGGTCTTCTGGAAAATTTAAGAATCTCGAAAATGCTGTTTTTTTTTACTCAGGGTGATGAAATAAAATATAAGTTAAAATGCGTTTTTCCAACACAAATTCAAAATTCGACGCCTCTTGTTCATTTCTGCACCGCTCCTCCCCCAAAAAAATGAGCAGCTGTGGCCAAGGGGGAGGGTGGCGAATAACGATTGCGTTCACTGAACGACGTGTGAGGAGAGTGAAACGTGTCATAATAGGGGTTGAAATATCTTTAGTTCCTCACCTGTTTAAATTTTCTCTTGTTTTAGCACGTTTTTAGAGACTTCTGCGAAGACCAAAGTTAATGTGACGGAAATATTTTTCGACCTCGTGCGACAGATCAACCGAAAAACTCCCGAAGTGAAGAAGCCAAGTCGAAATATCTTTAGAAGATTTTGCGTGATTTTGTGAATTCATTGAGGGTAAAAGGACGCCATTACTTCTTTGACGTTGTTCCAAAGCGCGTGTATTCAAGTATACACCGAAAGATCCATTTCACTTTATTTATAACTTTTTTGCACACGTTGCTATATTAATGTGTATATCAGATAAATATATGGACACCGACCGTGTGGTATATAAAACATAAATTTAAAAAAGTTTAGCTAGGAGTTCGAAAATTGACATTACATTGATTTTGCATATTTTTGTATGATGTATGTAAATGTTTGAGGCTTTAAAGCCTATTTCTACCATTTATACATTATCGTGAGACAGTCAATTGAGACGAGCAATATTAAAAATTTCAGCCAAAATTTAGCTTTTCGAATCTAGTCAATTTTCTTAAAGGTTTTTTATGGCTCTCAAGAATTCCAGTTAAACAAGTCAGAAAGATTTCACAGGAAGGAAGGACTTTGTCATAGCATTTCGAGTATCGTGCTGATTGGTTTATGGCTGAGTTAGCCCGTTCACACGATCCGATTTGTCTGATCTGATTGTATCGTTTCCGACTTTTGGTTGCGTCTTCAGAGGTTACGAAAATTTTTGGTGATATTTTATATTCGCTTCGGTGTTTTAGCCGTTTGAGCAGCCATTTGTGTTATCCAGTACATTCATCGATATATTTTTCGTAGTTTTGTTCTTGTTCCAAGTCTTTTTGGATTTATGTAATTTGGCTGGTCGGTTCCTTTGATATTGTCGGATGAAATTAGAGCAACTTCTATTTCCATCCGATTTTTTAGATTGACTGATCCGACTATCCGTTACAGGTGTTCACACGATCCGTTTTTTAGGATTCGACAAATCGGATCGTGTGAGCGGGACTTTAGCCCGCGTGCAAACTTATCTATAAACTTACATGTTAGAGGAAAAATGAAAACCTTTGTTTTTAATGTATCTGTTTCAACCACATTACTGTTATTTTATAAATATTTATTTTTTAGTGTTTTCACGGGATTATGCAAACCTCGGAGACGTTCATAAGAACTCTCGACCTTCGGCCTCGGGATTTCATAGATCAGCTCTCGAGTTCTGCTAAATGTCTTCTTGGTATGCATAGACCTGTTCAAGGCAGTAAACATCTTTTAATATGGATAATGATTGCGTCAATATTTGTTTCTTAATTGGATGATTTGTGTCATTAAAGTTAAGACGACCCCCCTAATTTCACTGAAATGGGAGACGAGAGTCTACTTTTCTCTTTTGTAATACTTGTTAACCTATGCAGAAATTCATTTCGTTACAATGCGGAGGTGATGATTATGTGTTTTAACTGACGGTTCGTAAATTATACACTCCAATAGGGAAGACTGCCTTCTCTAAACATTGCGTCTCTGAAAGATTTATTGTCGTGGTTGCGTTTTTAATTTACTGCTAAACGCTACAAGTCTCCTAATGCATTTTCGATATTCGAAACACCTGTAGTACATACGCTATTCATGGTAATATAAGAAATGTCATGTCAAGATTCATGAAGTATTTTGAGTCACTTCACAGGCCCTGTGAGTCGGTCAATTTCGTCGACCCCAATCAGAAGCGTACCAAGTGCATTCAGATTCGTAGGGTGTTTCTCAATCATTTCAACCGTTGAAGTCGATGATTTGAAACAGCAAAGCTACTTGACTATTTTTGGAATACTTTGTATGTAAGTTTGTAAAGACTGAATACAGTTAAGGTGAAAGACCCATCTCCCTCACAAGCAGTAAATGAATGAAATGGTTCTTGCTGGCATAAATTTAAAAATTAACGATTGGTTACGTTAAAAAAACCGATGTGGACCACTTATCACCATAACCATGTTTGAAAAAAACGGGGGGGGGCTAGGCGCCTCACCATCACACCAACCCTGCTCGGTACGTCCCTGACCATAAAAAAAATTTATTTTAAATCCATAATATCTAGACTATGTGTGAAAAAGGTTCAAATTAAAATACAGCAGCATCCGTATTCTTCTTCGTCATTTTTTTGCGACTTTTCATCTTCGTTTTTTGGCGACTTTTCGTCCTCGTTTTTTGGCGCCTTTTTGTCTTCGTTCGAGTTGTTTTGCTTATCCTTCGACACGTTATCACTTTCTTTCGGTTGAACACCTTTCTCCTGAGTTTCTTCGGTCTTTACGGGATCGCCAACGTCCTTTTCTCCAGACTCGTCTGTTGTAGGATTGTTCTCATTTGATTCCTCTTTGTCTGGTGGTCCTCCTCCTGCTTCATTAACGTTTGCCCCTAAAGTTTTAAACTGTACATTGGTTTACACAAAACTTAAAGACAGCCGTAAACTTTTCTTTGCTGTTTGCAGTCTCCATACGAGCGTAGCAAAAATTTTCAGAGAGTGCACGCAGTACTCTGGTACCTAAAAGGCTAAAACTAAATGAGGCAAATAAGTCGCCGTACAAAATTAGAACTGTAATCAGTAAAACATGTGACTGACGTGTTCTCGAATACAGGCATTAAAAACCGGGGGAGCATGGAAGACATTCACTAATTTAACCTCACATTTAGCCGAACAGGAAGACATGACTTTCTTAAAGTAGCTATAAGCTGATGAAAACGTCACTGCCTACTTTTTGAAACAGTTACAATTTATCACCATCTTAATAGAAAAACACTCTTATAACAGACAAACTACAGGTGTCCTATATAAGCAGGACACCGGCAAAATTTGCAAATTTTTCAAAGTAACAATTGGTGTTTTCCAACTGGTCCTTCGGTAGACTAGTTCTCCATAATAGATTTCACTGCCATGCGCACAAAGATATGCTTTATGCGTTAAACATTAATGTAATTTGCAAGGCATTTGCTTGTAGCTAATGAACAGCGACAGAAAGATTTTGGAAAATGACTGTGATCATTTATAGAATGTAAAAAGAAGCAGTATGTGTCAATCCATGATATTCCTATCCGTTGTACCGTTTAAGATAGATTTTGCGTATAGTATATATAGGGAAAAATATTGCTTTTTTGAGAGAACGTGATAAAAACATGTGGACACCCTTAGTTTTCAAAAGCTTCCAGAGTGCCTGAAAGTCGTAGACGAGCAGATGAAGTCTTCATCAAAACTAACAAACATAAATGATGCATACATACCGGCTGTTCCTACATAAAGAAACAAACGACCACAAGTAGGAAGGGGCGTTGGGACAAGAGACAGTACAAAACACTAAACATGAGCATGCGCAGAATCAATTTAACTGACACGTGAAAAAGCCTCCTAAGTATACAGCACAGCCGTTGGGCACTGGCTTGCTTATTTAGTCGTGCTATGATAGATTTCTTATCAAAGATTTCTATTGATTAATGATATTGTTCCAATCTTTTAATAGCAGGACTAAAATTGCTGGCTGGTTACGCCCCTGGGTAATAAGAAATTTTAATTTTTTTTTGCAATGAGCCGCGAAAGGCTTTCTTTAAAGCATCGAAAGCAATAGATCGTATAAAAGTGTTCATATAAAAATAAAAACATGTTGTCTTCGTTAATATTGGGCGAAAAAATGAAATGTTTTGGCAGCTTATTTTCACAATCACTGACTAAAGTAGCTACAATACTACTCTGTTATGCGTTACTTAAGCGTCAAATTTGCTACCCGCAAAGTAAGCTACCGGCAAGCTCCTTGCTTAGGACTTCGTAGCTATGCATATCCAAAACATGTGGAGAAAATTATAGAAAGTAGACAGTCAAGTCAAACGTATCTCGATAACGGAGCTAAAATATAGAAGAATGAATTGGCATTATTGATACATTCCAACACTTTAAGGTGACTTCAAACTCAACGCTAATCCTTAGCGCAAGAGGATTTCAGAAGGCATTTTTCTTACAATACCGAAGTACTCCACAACAACTAATTACAATGCAAAACCAGCAACACAAGTTAGAAGAATAACAGTGTTCTTTCCCACTGCTTATAAGAAGCAAAAATTGCAGTAATAGGCGTTGCATATGGTTCCCGTTTTGTAAATGGAAAAACTGCAGTAAAAGTTTTAATTAAATTCACTTCTATGGAATCTCATTTCTGTATTTTTGTGAGCAAATAACTCGAATGCACGAGAGCAAGCTACCTTTATCTTTGGCGTTTCCGTTGACATTCACATCGTCCTCCGTCGGTTTCTCTTCTGAATCCACTAAAGTCGCTTGTTCACTAGCCGACGTCTTTGCGGAACTTTCCTCCTCGCCCGACATTCCTTCGTTTTCTTGCCTTTACTACAGACTTGTGGGAAAAGACTATACAAAAATTTATAAGCTGCTGCAAACGCAATACGACGTTTTTTCTGTCCGGGACGCGCAATGTTTGTATACAACTTGAATAATTCAACACCTGTAGTAGCTACCTGCCACATTTCTCGAGTTTATCCGCGTTTCATTAGTCCAATGTGACCATTTGTACCCAGAGGTACTTAGCAAACATCAGCCCAAATTTTACTAAATGGGCATAAATTTCAATAGATTTGTATTACTCGTACTTCCCCCCTCCTGATTTTATTAAACACGTAGGGACGAAATGATTCAAATGAACTCTATTTAAGAAGACACTCGAGTGTTGAATCTATAATTTCGTAAGAGCACAATAGTCATGAAACATTTAAAATACACGACAAATTTCTTTAGAGCAAACATGTTTCGGCATACTTAATGCCATCTTCAGCGCGAAGTGAATCAATATAGGAAGTTTACATGATAATATGTATACAGTGATAAATCGAAAGTATCGACTAGTTATGAATAATTATTTACAATTGATTAAGGTGTTATAAAATGTTTGTGTTAGGATTTATAAAAGAAAAGAAAAAACTACAAAGCAAATGGATAACAAATAATAAAGTAACAATTGCTATTTACAGGTCGAAGATAGTGTTAAGATGTTGTATTTGTTTGTTGAGGTTAGGTTTACGTTTCTTGATATAAAGGGCTTCTTTGAGTTTAAGGGCGAAAGGAGTGTGAACGGTGTCTAAGATACAGAAGCAGGATTGTGTGTATTTGTTTTTGCAGTGTGGTGACGAGAATGAGGCTGCGTTTACACTATACCGGATTCGCTCATCACGACATCTTCATTTGCTTTAAAGGGGTAACTGTACGGAGTAAAAGCTTATTAAGTTGATAGATTTAGTCTATTTGATTGTGTTTCTGACGTTGAACAATTTCACTGCCTTTTAATACCAACTTTCTAATGTAAGCCGTTGTCTATAGTCAGTACTGTAAGTAATGCATTTTGCCGAGTCCCAGTCAATGTTGTGCTTTGTGATTCGGTGATGTTCGGCAATGTGATTAGTTTTGTCTTGTTTCTTAGTAGCTCGTTTGTGTTCAGTAAGTCTTATGTTTAAGTTCCTGCCAGTTTCCCCGATATAGGAGGCGGGACAGTTGGAGCAGTTTATTTTGTAAACTGCACCTTGTCGTTCGTTGGGTTGTTCATTGTTCACCAGTATTCCACTTAATCTGGCACTTACTTGTACAAAAACCCTCATTACAAACACCACGGACGTACTGCCATTACCGACAGAAGACATTATGGAGTTACTAGAGCTCTGCCTCACTTCGACTTACTTCCAATACAAAGGAACACACTACAAACAATTACATGGGACAGCAATGGGCTCGCCCGTTTCTGTTGTAGTTGCTGAAATTGTAATGCAATCTATAGAGGAACGGGCGCTCAAGACTTACAAACATGCACTACCTTTTTGGTTTCGCTACGTAGATGAACAATCACAGCACTACATGCAGACGACATTGATGACTTTCATACTCACATCAACAAACAGAACAGTCACATACAATTTACCAAAGATGTCGAAAAAAACGGAACTCTTCCTTTTCTCGACTGTTTGTTAAAACATGACAATCTAAAACTACGAACAACAGTTTATCGCAAGCCAACACATACTGACCGACTACTAGACCAATCATCTTACAACCCCACATCACACAAAGCCACCACAATCAGAACATTAACAAGACGTGCACAAATCATATGTGATTCACCGGACGCTCTACAAAACGAAAACAACTATCTCAAACGTGTTTTTGACAAAAACAACTATAACTCTGACTTTATCAAACGCAACACTTACAAACTCAACGAAACCAACGAAACGAACAACTCAGTGACAACAGCAACGATACCTTACATCAAAGGTACGTCTGAGACTATCTCGCGTATCTTACGACCATACAACATACGTGTCGCACATAATCCAATCACAACGTTACGACAAGTACTAACGAACATAAAGGACAAAGAACAACCCAACGAACGACAAGGTGCAGTTTACAAAATAAACTGCTCCGACTGCCACGCCTCCTATATCGGGGGAACTGGCAGGAACTTAAACATAAGACTTACTGAACAAAAACGAGGTACTAAGAAACAAGACAAAACTAATCACATTGGCGAACATCACCGAATCACAAAGCACAACATTGACTGGGACTCGGCAAAATGCATTACTTACAATACTGACAACGGCTTACATTAGAAAGTTGGTATACTAACTTGGAACAAACCCCCTGAACAGATCACAGCAATTACCGGCACCTTACAAACGACTTATTCACAATACAAACAAACGATCGACTAAAAACATTACACTTCACACTAATTCACAATGACAATACACAATTGACACCCACACGTTACAACTGAAAACATCACACCTAAATCACACATCACAACTAAAAATAAAATATTTCACTTCACACTAATTCACAATGACAATACACATTTCCTGTACACACAATACAATGACGTAAGAACCAGATAACAAATACGGCTAACCTGACGTTTACTCCTCATTTGACTCTGAAGATGACTACCGCTAAGGTTGTCGAAACGTCAGTCAACAACAACAAAAACAGTCCTTCTCAGGACTATACCAACCTGGACGATCTACATTTACAAACATGTAACGATACTCCCGGGTTCAAACCATTTACTTTATTAAGATCTAATGCAATATTTATGTTTTCGGATAAGGGGATATTAGTGAAAAGACTTTGGATATCAAAAGAAACGAAGTTGTTGTGGTTTTGGGCGTGTAGTTCATTAACAAAAATAAAAGAGCCTGATATAGTGTAATCGTTGGGTATGACAGGGTTAAGTAGAGTGCGTAAGTACTTGGAGAGATTATAGTTATAAGAGTTGGTGGACTAGACTATAGATGGAATGGGAGGGAATAGTTTCCTCTATATCTATGAAATTTGGGGAGACCATAAAACGAGCTGGTTGTGAGCCTCTAGGGAAAACTGAGTAGTATATATGGTTGTCTATGGAGCCCTGTTCTTTAAGATTTATGAGAAAGCGTTGTAGTCTGCCTTCTCTGTGTAGAGTGGAGTAATTATCTAATGGTTTGAATTTAGATTTGTTGTTAGTTATATATTTATACATGCATTATTATATACCTTTCTGTCCATAATAACTACTCCATTTCCTTTGTCTGGTAACAGGTTTGAGTAAAATGATGTCCTTGTTGTTTTAATGTTCTTCAAGAAACGGTGTTTTTTGAGGTTAGATGGTGAAGGACTGTATGACGAGGTATAACTTTGTGCGATGTGTATGAGTTCGTTCTTGATGTGAATATAATCGTCATTATTTTTCAGCTTGTTAGTGATGGTGTAGTAGATTCGTTCGAATGTGGAGAGGATGTCGGCGTCATTAAGGACTGATTAAAACTCTCATCGACCGCATAAGGAAAATTAACAACACGTCGACTTGCTATTATCATGATTTAAGCGCTCTCATTGACAATCTCAAACGAAACTCCTTTCCCTCACCTTTCATAGAAAAAATCATTAAATCATATGACCATGACTAAATCACAAACAAAATAAACCCCAGAAACGAACCCACAACTACCCAACTCGAGACTTACTTTATCAAACTACCCTACATTGGCTACGTTTCACAAATCACAGAACGAAAATTACACATCTTAACAAACGCTAATGCACAGACTTAGACATCAAACTAGTTTTTTCATCTTTCAAAATCAAACATCACTTTGGCTTCAAAGATCCTATTCCCACTCTTTTAAAATCCAACGTGGGTTATGAATTTTCTTGTGCTGGATGTAACTCCAGTTACATGGGGAGACCACCCGCCACCTTTCCACACGGATTAAAGAACATGCAGCCACGGACAAAAACTCACACATATTCAGATACTTAGACCACGTTTACACTATATCAGATTTCTATCGTAGCAGGTTGAATATTCTTTATATCAAAAGGCAGTGAAATTGTTCAACGTCAGAAACACAATCAAATAGACTAAATCTATCAGCTTAATAAGCTTTTACTTCGTACAGTTACCCCTTTAAAGCAAATGAAGATGTCGTGATGAGTTGTCGAAACGTCAGTCAACAACAACAAAAACAGTCCTTCTCAGGACTAAAGCATTAGATCTTATTTATTCACACCAGCCAAACCTTACGATTAAAAACAAGATCTAAAACAACTTTTTTTCATTGCCACATCACAAACTCATTTCCCATTTAACGAACAATTTTTTGACCAACTCGGCGGAGTCGCGATGGGCTCATCATTAGCATAACTTCTTGCCAATCTTTTCATGGGATATCATGAAAAGAATTGGATCAAGAACTATGACGGACCTATAGTTTTGTTTTACAGACGCTACGTAGATGACATATATTGTATTTTTTAACAACCAGGATGACGCTCTCTCTTCTTTTTTTTTAATTATTTAAACATACAACACAAAAATATTGACTTTACCATAGAAAAAGAACATAACAACAAGTTACCATTTCTAGACATACTCATTACTAAAAACACAGCCGCGAACACATACACGACATCTACTTTTCATAAGAAAACCTACACTAGACTCTTACTTAACTTCTTTAGCTTCACCTCACAAAAGTATAAGACAGGACTGATTAAAACTCTCATCGACCACATGCATACAGAAAATTAACAACACGTCGACTGATTATTATCATGACTTAAACGCTCTCATTGACAATCTCAAACGAAAACACCAGAAACGAACTTACACCTACACAAACTCGAGACTTATTTTTTAAACTACCCTACATTGGCTACAGTCGCGTAGCTATACAAAAACAACTGGGCGTGCTATAGCGAGAACAAACATGAAGTTCCTGTACAGTTGGTGGCAACATAAGTTATCTGTGCCGCCGGTTATGTACGCTTCAATGTGCGACTTTGATATTTCATGCTTTTGGCAATAGCCCAGTAAATTATGCATGTTGACATAATCAAATTGAGTCAATGTAGTGGACTTTGAACAAATCAGTAAATAAAGGCAACAAA